GACAGAAGGGGAGCAGGGGGGAGCGAGTGGGACGAGACAGACTGGAAGCCGGGGGAGAGGGACAGATGGGGAGACAACAAGGGGATGGAGACCTGGGTCTTGGAAGAGGAGAATTTTAATCCACTCAGTTATATCTCTCTTTGTGTGTGTCTACACGCACGTAGTATTTGTGCAGTCTCATTAGAAGGAAAAATTCTCCCCTTCTGTTTTTATCTCACTTGGCCTCTGAATGTGTGGTGACTGGTGTGTGTGTTTATAAATGGTCTTGTGAGATGAGATTTTACTCAATCTAGTAGTCCCCCCTTATTTAGTATGGGTAGGGGGTTAGTTTTCCTCCTGACTGACAGTGGGTGAGTCTGTCCATCTTACTTCTTTTCGGTTTCCCCATTCCCCCCCAACCCACAACTTACATTCATTTTACCCCATTTCTTCTATACTTTGCAATTTGTTTATTTGAAAAAAAAAACTTGTTGTTGATTCCGTTTTTGAATTTGTTGTTGCTGTTGGAAAACAGAACAGTAAAATTTGGAGACGTGCATATTTTGAAGAATAGGCAGGTTTCAGTTTAGGAACTGCTTGGCATGAGGAACTTCAGGCTCAGGGGCCAAATTTGGCACTCAAGAATCTTCCCCAGGCGACTCCCCGCACCAATCCTGCTGCACACCCTCCTCAGGGACTTTTGCATGGCTGGGTTTTTCATTGAACTGCAGTACAGTAATGTCTCTTGATTTCCTGGTTGGAACATGGAGAGACGTGTCTGTGTCTGTTTCTGTAAACTTCTGATTTTTGTCCGGCTATGCAAACACAAGAATTACACCTGTTGCTCTGGCCCCACCCACCTCTGACATGTGGCCCCTGGTTTTCCTACAAGAGAGTGTACAGCACTGCAGCTTTAATCACTAGAATCCCCCCCCCCCAAGTACATTATTTGGTGTTGAGAAACATCCATAAGCTACTAATGATTGAAAAGAGTGCCTGTGCTACTTTTGTGTAATGAGCCGGTGCTGGTTTGGAGGGGGGGACAAGCAGGGTACGGCTCTGGACCCATGCTCATCTCCCGGGGGAAGGAAACACATTTCATGCTTGCTGGCTCCTTGTCATCTTTCAAGCAAATTTTGCCCTTTTAAAAATAAATGTCTGTTCCCAGTTGAGAAAAACCCAACATTCCGAAATCGCTGTGGCTTCCCGGGCTTATTAGCCAGAAGATTGTTAGCCGTAGATGTTTTGTCCAGTGGGGAGTTTAGCTGGTTACACTGGCATTAGCCATGAGAATGTAACTGGAACCTTCCATCCTGTTCTCACAGTGGCCAACCAGGTGCCTCTTCGGGAAAACCCTCAAACAGGACCTGAGCTCAAGAGCAGCTCTCCCTGCTTGCGATTCACAGCAACTGGTATTTGGGGTAGATTACCTCCAGCTGTGGAGGCGGGACATAGCCATTGCAGCTAGTTAAATGGCTCCCTTGAGTGTGCTCTGAAAGCCCATGCATGGAAGGAAGCCAAGGGGAGCTGCCTGATCTATTTTGCCGGGGTGGGAAGCCTGTGGCCCTCCAGATGCTGTTGAACGCCAACTCCCATCAGCTCCAGCCAGCATGGCCAGGGATGATGGGAGCAGTTGGCTCCCCACCCTTTCTTTATGCTGTCTAAATGGGAGACCGTGCAATGCCACTGTGAACAGTTCCAGCAAACACCTGAGAATACAATACATAGAACAAATGCATGGCAATTGAGGGGATTGTTTGGGCCATTGGGAGAAGAGTGATGAGCTTCCTGAATATTTGGACCAGTAAGAGAATGTCTCCTAGTCAAGACTGGTCCAAACAATATACCAAGGGATCTTAATTCACCTTACAGGTGTTTTACAACAGGTACAGCAGGATCCCTGGCCCATGTTCAGCTCTCGGCCCACCAGGGGGTCCAGTTTGCCTGTGAGGTAATTCCCTCCCCCTTACCATACCTGCCAATCAATCAGCTGGAGGGCAGGGTTCATTCCTGCTGCGTGCTGCTCCACCACTGTGTTCATCGCAGGGAACATGCAGGCAAAGCAGACCTTCTCCCCACCTCCCAACCTATCAGTCAAATGACATCATACTAGTATTGGATGATTGGCAGGTGGGTGTCCCCGCCCACCTGTCAAAGGTAGAGGAGCAGAACGATAATATGTAGGCCACTGGGCCAAAAGAGGTTCCCCACACCTGCTTTACAAGAAGGGTGAGAAATTTAAACTCCACTTTGTGTTTTCATATGTTTGTCCCCACCTCTCCTGGTTAAGCTCACCAGTTCACTGTGGGTTGCTTAGCATGCCCCTGTGTTTCTGTGCTGAGCCAGGAGCATGTCAAAACTATATAGCTTCTACAGACTTGGTCAAGGCCACATACACATACCCTATATTCAAAGCACAACCATGCCACATTAAACAGCCATGGCTACATCACCCAAAGAATTCTGGGAGTTGTAGTTTGTTAGGGGTGCTGAGAGTTGTGAGGAGACCCCTGTTCTTCTCCCAGAGCTACAGTTCTCCTAATGATTAAACCATGGGTAGGCAAACTAAGGCCTGGGGGCTGGATCCAGCCCATTGCCTTCTAAATCTGGCCTGCGGACTGTACGGGAATCAGCATGTTTTTACATGAGTAGAATGTGTCCTTTTATTTAAAATGCATCTCTGAGTTTTTGTGGAGCCTGCCTGGTATTTTTACATGAGCAGAATGTGTGCTTTTATTTAAAATGCATCTCTGGGTTATTTGTGGGGCATAGGAATTCGTTCATTTCCCCCCCCCCAAAAGTATAGTCTGGGCCCCCACAAGGTCTGAAGGACAGTGAACTGGTCCCCTGCTGAAAAAGTTTGTTGTCAACAGTAGTTGAACAGACAGTCCCTCTTCCCAGGGAACTCTTAAGTCTGTGAAGGGAAGAGGGGCCTCTCCATAACTCAGCGCCCTTAACAAACTACAGGTCCTCCCAGGATCCTTTGAGAGAAGCCATAGCTGTTTAAAGTGATGGTGTGGATGCGGCCCAACACTCGCCCCCTCCCCACAAACAAGTAAAGTGCTTAACTTCCCTCTGCTTTGTGTTGTTTTTCCCTTTAGGGAGATGTCCCATCCACCCCCTCTTCTGTCACCTCAGAACGCTCCTCACATTGCATTAGGCCCGCACTTGAGACCCCCTTTTTTAGGGGTACCTTCGGCCTTGTGTCAGACACCAGGTGAGTGTTCCTGTCTGTGCTGAGGATTATGCCATGCAGCAAAATGTTCAAGGAGCGAGGGAGGTATGCAGTTTTGGTGTTCTTCCTTTAGCAATGGACAAATCTGTCCATTTCAGTTTTCTCTGGTTTTGTATCCCAACTAAGTTTTAACTCAAGATGGACCTGGGGAAATCATTGGACCTAAGTCGTGGCCACTAATTTCAGTTTGTCTCCTGTTGAGTCGGACATGCATTGGCTACAACCTTCCATCTCCCACTTTTTTCAGTTCTAATTTTAGTCTTCCATGTCAGTTTGCAATATTTTTCTCTTTTTTAAAAAAAAAAGTCCTCATGAAAATTTGTCAGCATTTTTGTGTGCAACTGTGCTAATTATATACGCATTCATTGTATGTGCTTTTGCCTAGCACACACGTTTTTGTATCTATATATTTTCGCTAATATATTCATTTTCATTCAAATGTTCCCTTAATATATGTGCCTTTGTGTATATTACTTGTCTGGAGAACTGCATTGCAAAAATTCAGAGAAGTACGGATTTCGAAGCACAGCTGCCTCTGTGTGTTGCTTTTGGAATTGTAAATTAAGTAGTTTCCAATTTCCCCCTCTGTCATCCTTCATAGTCAGAAGGCATAGTGTAGAGGTGGAGTGCATGCTTTTGAATGCAAACAATCCAAGGTGCTAGCCCCTTGCATCCCCAACAGGATATTAGGGAGCAGGGCTGAGAGAGGCCTAGGAACAGGACTGAATCGTCAAAAGGCTGGATTTGAGTGCAGTGGTCCAGGGTTCTGGAGTGGGGGGAGATCAAAGACCTGTTACTATTTCTGCTGCAGGGTCTCTGTCCCTATCTTCCTAGCACATCCAGTCAGCATGAAAAGGAGAGCTTTATAGCCACTGAGAAGAAGTCTTCTAATCCTTTGTGCTGATTTGGAGCCAGTCAGAGTGAAAGGAGTTGAGTAAGCCAGTGAAGATTGACTCCTAGGGTCATTCTGGAGAAGGCATTTCGGAAGAACACCAGGGAATTGTTGTTCAATATGCTCCAAAGTAGGGTTTCCCAGATTTGGGTCTTTAGCTGTTTTTGGACTACAATTAACATCATGCCTGACCTCTGGTCCTGCTAGCTAGGGATAATGGGAGTTGTAGTCCAAAAACAAGTGGAGACACAAGTTTGGGAAACTTCTCCGAAGCTAAGCAGTTAGGGACACTGCAAACAAGGGGCTTCTGTTTCAAGGGAAGGGTGAGCAAATTTTATTATGTGAAATGGAACTTTGGGGAAAACGCAATTCAAGTCACTCCGAAAGAAGTTATTGGAACACTCCAAATCATTTGTCCATGTATATGCACAGAAAATAATAGATCTAGCTGAAATGCAGCAGAAGGAGATCAGCATTAGTTGTTGCAATGCACCCCTAATTATTATTATTATTGATTGACTATTGTGAAGGGATGGTACACTTCTGAAATTAACACTACCGTAGTATTTCTGAACAACCATGCATTTGTGTTAACCTCCGGATCTTTCCCCTCCCCACAGGTTACGGGTTTCTACAGCCAGCCCAAGCGGAGATGTTTGCACGACAACAAGAGATGCTGAGGAAGCAGAACCTTGCCAGGTTAGAAGCACACAGTTGATGGAGATGGGCCCCAGCTCAGCGGGAGAGCATTTCTACGTGTAGATGGTCCCAAGTTTAATCCCTGGTATCTCCAGGTTGGGTCAGGAGAGACCCCTGCCTGGAGAGCTACCACCAGTCGGTGTAGACAATACTGAGTTAAATGGGCCAATGGCCTGACTTAGATGTTGGAAGGGAAGGGTTGTAGTTCAGTGGTAGATCAGTTGTTTTGCATGCAGAAGGGTCCCAGGCTCAAGCCCTGGCAGTTCCATGTATGGCTGAAAAGCACCCCCTTCCTGGCACCCAGGAGAGCCACTGCCTGTCAGTGTAGACAGTAAGTGGACCAAGGATCTGACTCCGTGTAAGACAGCTTGGGGGGGGGGAGGAGAAGAAGGAGGCCCACTCCCTTTCTTCTAGCTCAGGGGTAGGCAACCTAAGGCCCGGGGGCCGGATGCGGCCCAATCGCCTTCTCAATCCGGCCCGTGAATCAGCATGTTTTTACATGAGTAGAATGTGTCCTTTTATTTAAAATGCATCTCTGGGTTATTTGTGGGGCATAGGAATTTGTTCATTCCCCCCCCCTCCAAAAAATATATCTAGTCTGGCCCACCACATGGTCTGAGGGATGGTGGACCGGCCCACGGCTGATAAAGGTTGCTGACCCCTGTTCTAGCTAGAGCTGTGGGAGGTGGGGGCCTTGGCCATGAATTCATCCCTGATCTCCCATGCATATCCTTTGAGAAGGAGAGATTAGCTGGTACGCTTCATTGAGCCAAAGAGTTGGAGGCCATGCCAGACACGTTTATCATCGTTCCCTTCCAAGGGCTCTCTCCCGGACAACCTCCCTTCCCCTTAAGGGGGAGAGATGGGAGGCTGGGGAATCTCCCTGGGATGTGGGAGTTTTGGAAAGCGTTGCAATTTGCCTGGCAGTGCCCCCCCTCCCACTTTGTTTTCCCCAGGTTAGACTCCAGCTTCCCCTTTCCAATTGGAAGCAGGGAGAGGGGGAAGCGGAACTGCCTGGGTGATGCAAGGATGTCGGGGTGGAAAAATATTGCCGGAAAGGGAGATGGATAAAACTGGCTTCCAAGGGTTGGTAGACCCATTGAAAATAATGGATGTGACTCAGTTGCGCCCATTAATTTCAGTGGGTCTGCTCTGAGTAGATACACCCAATACGCATTGCTGAACCACTGCTGACCGCAACATAAAAATACAAGTGAGAACACAAAATACATAATAAAACAAAAACAAACCAATAACACTCCCCCAAACACATATTTAAAAAGCCATAGAATGTTAATCAGCCAAAGACCTGGTTTTTGCCTGGCGCCTGAAAATATGTTTTGAAGGCACCAGGCAAGCCTCCCTGGAGAGAGCATTCCACAAATGGGGAGCCACCATAGAAAAGGCCCTGGTTCTTGTGTTACCAACCGCCGGACCTCTCATGGAGGAGGCACATGAAGAAGGGCCTCAGATGATGTAGTGCTTTGAGTTTGTGCAAGTATCACACTCCATTTGTATTCAGATGGGTTCCCCCCCCTTCCCTCAACAACCCTGCGAGGTAGATCACTTTCACATCCGATTTTAATTGTGGGACACAGCAATTTGGAGACAAGAGGGGGTAGTTTACCCACAGCTGCAAGGCAGAGAGGTAGGACTCTGACCCTGAGCCTCTCAGTTCCTCCCAAACCCATCTCACCCATTTGCCTTCATCCATTTAGGCTTGAGATGTCTGCGGAGATCATCCGCCAGAAGGAGTTGGAGAACCTCCACCGCCAGCGGCTCCTGGCCAGCGACCCGATGAGCTTGCACCCGGGCCTGCCGCCAGACCACCCAGCCCTGCGCAATGTCCACGACATTCCCGAGGGGCACCCGCTCCGCGACGAGCTCTCGCGGAGGAACGCCATGTTGGTGCTCCGCCATAACAACACCCCACTCCTGTCGCTCAACCACGGGGTCCCCAGCGCCTCCACCACCCCGCCCAAGGAACAAGGGAGCCGGAGGGGGAGCCGGAAGTCCACACACCACCGGGCCGAGGCGCCTGGCCAGAGCGAATCCAAAGAGCTGTCCGAGAGCCGCCCCCCTGACGGCAACGACGAGGAGATGAAGGACTCTGAGAGCGACGCCGACGTGAGCGAGGAGAAGCTGGACAGCACGAAGGCCGAGAGCAGCAGCCTGGCTGGCGAGCTGAAGGAATGCAAAGAGGCAGCGAAAGCCTGCGATGGCGCCAAGGAACTGGGCGATTTATCTGCCAGCCAGAGCGCCCCCTGCAGCTCCTCCAGCGCCGAGTCGCCCAGCCACCTCCTCGGCCCAGTCATCAACAAAACCGAGGCAAAATACCTCCCACCGGCCTCACTTCCACCTCCACAGCCGCTGCCATTTGGCTTTCCATACACCATGAGCCCCTATTTCCACACAGGTAGGTGGCGGCGACGGTTGTCTGTGGAATTGGTACATTTAAGAACGCTAGCAGACGTTGGGAGTGTGCAGAATTTTCAGGTGGAGTGTGCCTTCGTTTGCAGAATTTGGTTCACGGCCATACCATGTGCATTTGCACTCCTTTAAAATTCATGACTCCCCTTACAGAATCCTGGGAACTGTAGTCTGATAAAGGTGCTGAGCTTCACTGACTTCCCAATTCCCAACACCATTAATACACTACAGTTCCCAGAATTGTCCATAGTTGCTAAAAGTGGCAAAAAAATGCTTTAAATATATTGTGTGGATATGGCCTTGGATTCTGGATTTGGAGGGGGCGCTGTGGAGAACCCCTTCTCTCTCCCTTCTTTTAACATGACAGCACCCACCAGCCCAGTATTTCCACTTTCTTAAAGAGTGTCTGACTACGCATAAGCTGTGATTCTGCTCTGGCCAAGAAAGGTGATCTGATACACGTTTAAATTAAAGAGGAGCAGGCCTCTATTTCCTTCTGATTTGTTTGGTTATAAGAACCTTTTTTCTCATACAGTATTACTGTTGTTTTTCTTTTCTTTTCTTTTCTTGTTATTGTTTAATTGTTTCTGAAGGTGGCATTGTGACATATTTGGGCTCTGTAAATCCTGCCTTTTACCTGTATGGCTGTGTTTTTAATTCATGGAGGATACGTCTATCAATGACTACCAGCCACAATGGCTACGCTCTGCCTCTGGAGTTGGAGGCAGTAATGGCTCTAAATACCAGTTGCTGGAAACCGCAGGTGCTCTTGCACTTGGGTTCTGCTTGCAGGCTTCCCACAATGCACCTCCAGTTGCCCACTGTGAGAACAGGAAGCTGGAGTAGATGGGCCATTGGCCTGATCCAGGAGGGCTCTTCCTACGTTTTAGGTTTTTTTATTTGGTTGTTCTTAATGGCTTTTAATGTAAGTCCCTTTGGGTCACTCTCTAAGAAAAGGGACTTAACAAATAATAACAGCAATGAGCTTTCCAGGCCCTTTGAACAGGCTGACTTCCACCCAATTCTACACCCTCCTACCTGTGAGGTGCTAAAAAGTGTTGTTAAATGTTATAATTTATTTAATATGTGCTGATTTTTGTACTGGGCAGGGGGGAGACCATTTGTATCTTTTGCTGGTGGGAGAGAGATACCTTGGGCCAGCTTTGTGACCCTAAACATCTCTTTGGATATTATATTTCAGGACCTAGATGAGTTGAGTTGAGTTGATAGTTTGTATCAACTTTTCCAACAACTAATGTTGAAAGCTGCTCACATTTAAAACAAAAAACATTGCAAATACTGTAATATCAAACACAATAGCATATAAAGCAAACAACAGCAAATTCATCAACACAATGAATACTGTTCAGTAACATATGAAGCTGCCTTGGTCCATCTATCTCAGTGTTGCCTATACAGACTGGCAGCAGCTCTCATGATTTCAGGCAGGGGACCTTCTTAACCCTACCTGGAGATGCCAGGGACTGAACCCGGGGCCTGGTGCATGCAAAGCAGATACTCTGGCTGCTGGGCTTACAGCCCTTTTGTTCCAGAATCCCTCCTAATGTCCGCTGTTGTTTGTGTGGGCATCCAGCTCTAGTTGATACTTGGCAGGTGAGGTGTGGTTGAGTGGGTTGCAGTGTGATTTCATTGCCCTTTTGGTCTTGCAAGGTCAGCCTGGCCTTGCTTGGAAAGCCCTCCTCCAGGACAGATGTTGATAAATTGCTGGGCAGGCGACAGAGAAGGACCTGCAAAAATGATTATGGGCTTTTCAGGATTTGGAAAGGAATAGGTAAAGGTGTTGTTGTTAAGATGTATATACTGCCCTTCATCAAAAGATCTCAGGGTGGTCACAAGACATGACATAAGTATAGTTGAGCTGGATTTGGGGGGCACCTTTTTAGTCCTATCAGAATGCTTTTTAACCATCTCAGTGTTTGCACCCATGGTATTTTGTGTGCACAATTGCCTTTGGAACTTTCCACTTGTACACCTCCCAGGCATGGGCGTTCCCATGTTTCAGAGTGCACATATTGTCTTCTTAATGACAGCTGTTCTGGCTTAGGTTGATGAGAGTTGTAGTCCAAAACAGCTGGAGGGCACCAGATTGGGGAATGCCATTTCGTGTGAATGAGTGCCGCCATAACGCGAGCTGAAACTTTCAGGCTTGTTTTCGAAGCCTCTGCTTTTCCTTCCTCCTGTTTGCTACCTAGCATGTTCAGCCAGGGAAAGCAAGAGGGAACATGAATTGAAGTGGGTTGGTGGGGGAGGGGGAGGAGGAGGGAGCTGCTTTGGGGAGAAGAGATGGAGGCTATGCAAGCCACTTGGGTGATGGAGCCGTCCTCCTTTCAAGAGGAGCTCATCGGGTCAAGGCAAGCCCGCCGGCACTCGCCACCAAAGGCGGGGCAGAAAGGAGAGATTTCTTCCTGACAGATGGTTGGGTGTGATGGAATATCCCCAGCCACCTCAACAGATGAGGCGGCTTGGCAAGAGCGTTTCCTTACTGGCTGATTAAAAGGGAAATGTGGGTTTTTAAGAGCGTGCAGAGCAGGGCATGGGTCCCAGATGGGCAGGGGCGAGTGAGAGGCGGTGCTTCTCCAAGCCCTGATGTAGCTTTTTCTTGGCCATATCAGTTCCTGTAACCCTTCCACTGTGTTTTCAAAGCGTGTTTCAGCTGGGGGGCTTTGAATGCCTATTTGTGATTTGGGCGTTCCTGGTTTCTCCTTTTTGGTGTACCATGAGGTTTGCGGAGGGCAGGAAAACAACTGCTGCTAGAACTGTAGCTCAGTCTGATGTTCACACCACGCATTTAAAGCACATTACTCTCCCCCCCCCCAAAAAAAACCTGTCAAGGGTGCTGGAAATTGTATTTCTGTGAGTACTAAGCCACAATTCCCAGAATTCTTTGGAGGAAGCCATCCACTTTAAATGTATGGTGTGGAGAGAGAAAAACAGCATGGTAATTGTTACTAGGGCAGAGCTTGGGCTCATTCATGGACACTTGTTTCCTCAACATTCTTATATATCTTCACAGCACCCATGTGAGGTAGGTTATGCTGGGCCAAGCTGGGAAGTGCGGAAAAACAGTGATGGGTTAAGTGACGGAAAACTGAAATGGCACATAGAATCATAGTCCAAGCTCCTCCATTGCAGCAATCTCCACTAAAGCATCCATGACACATGGCCATCCAACCTCTGCTTTAAAAAACTTAAGAAAGGAGAATCCTCACCTCTTATGGGAGTCTGTTCTACTGTCCAACAGCTCTTGCCATCAGAAAGATGGGCCTGATGTTTAGTCAGAGTCTCCTGTCTTGTAACTTGAATCCATTGGTTCGAGTCCTGGCCTCTGGAGTAGGAGAAAACAAGCTTGCTCCATCTTCCATGTGACACCCCTTAAGACAGGCTTCCTCAACCTCGGCCCTCCAGATGTTTTTGGCCTACAACTCCCATGATCCCTAGCTAGCAGGACCAGTGGTCAGCGATGATGGGAATTGTAGTCTCAAAACATCTGGAGGGCCAAGGCTGAGGAAGCCTGCCTTAAGATGTTTGAAGGTGGCTGTCATGCACAGAGTATTTTCTTTTCAGCAAAATGGTTTTTGTGTTTGTTCTGGTGAGAGTTACAATGAAACTTTGCATGCTCAGAAGTTTTAGGTTTTTCTCATCGTTAACAAAACCTAATATTGTAATAAATTGATAAGGGTTGCACCCACTGAAGTTAACGGACATGACTAGCTTTGGTCCATTAATTTCAGAAAGTCTTAAGCTTAATAGGGCTCATCTAGATACAGTTTTTAAAAAGATGCCGCAAGACTAATTTTGTGGTACCTTATTTGATGTGTTGCTTTGAGGAGGGGGGGGGGGAATAACAGAATCATAGAATTTTAGAGTTGGAAGGGACCTTGGGGGACATCTAGTCCCACCCCCCTGCAATGCAATAAGGAAGAGGTTCCTTATTTTGGGCCCCCAAAGCGCTTTCATCCAGCCTTGCTCCTTGGGCCCATTCCTTCACTCTTGATTCTCTACATTTCCCTGAATCTGCCACTGTGTCCATTGAAAAAGGTTTGTGCACAGCGTGGTAAGGCAGTTTTATCACCGGTGGCTTGTTCACACATGCAAGCCAACTCTTCTTGGGGAGGCAGATCAGAGATGCAGCATATTCAGGTTGGGCTGGGAGAGATCTGTGTCTGAAACCCTGGAGAGCCGCTGCCAGTCAGTGTAGACGGTACTGCTCTAGGCAGACTGATGGTCTGACTCGGTAGAAAGCTGCTTTCTGTGTTCATAGTGATGCATTCCCCAAGAGACAACGTGCGCGTGTGAGTTGTGTGTGTGTGTGTACACATTGCCTTGCCTTTGTGCCGGGGATGAAAGCTAGATAATGCAAGCAGGAAGACCCAGATAGCGGCTGACGGGAAGATGGAGGGCAGAAAGGGGAAAGGGTAGAGATTTAATATCCACAAATGATCCAGGAGGCTCTGAACGGGGCTGGCTGCTTTCCAGGGAGGGGGAACAGTGGTGGTGTTGGAGCAGGCTTGGGGGGGGGATGAGCCAGGGGGAGGAGGCTGGCTCCTCCGGCACTTTGGAGGCGCAGAGCCATTTTCTATCCCCAGTGACAGAAAATTATCGACACGGCAGTCGATTGCCGGGTCAATTCCCCAAGCTGCCTTATGAAAACCCCAGCCGCTGCCAAAATGACCTCATCTCGTTTCAGCCGCGCACCTCTTCTCTCATACACCGCCACCCCCCCCTCACCCACTTGCCCGCCGGCCGGCCCCGTCCTCTGGAAAAGGTGAAGGATGGAGCCAGCAAGCAGCTAAAATCTTCCTATCGATCTGCAGTCTGGAGAGCAATTAACGCCAGCCTTCCGGGGCCGTTCGGTGACCTCTCCCGGCTCTCGGCAGGGCAGGGGAAGAAATAACAAGATGGATTAAGCCCCCGTCCCGGCTCTCTGTGTGGGTCAGTGGCATGGGCCCCATGCAGGGGGAGGGAAAAGGTGCCTGGTCTTTATGGCTTGTTTGGCCTCTTGGACCCACATTGGTGGGAGATGATAGGAATCTCACGACCTTGAGGAAATTAGCAGTCCTTTGCTAGGGGCCGGTGTGGGCTCCACCACCAAAGCAATGGTGGCTGGTGGTATGTGGGGTGGAAGGCCGGGCACCCTGAAGTAGGTGGAGCCAGAGCCAATGACAGGCAGAGCAGACTCATTCTAGTTTTGTTCTCCTCTTCCCCGCTGAGTCCACCATCACCCACAAGAAGGCAGGCAAGTGGGACCGCTGGCTGAGTGTAGACTGAATTTGGTGGGGCAGCATCCCACTTGCCCTAATGAGCTATCCTTTGCAGGGTAATCACTCTTGCTCCCTTATAACCTGGCCCTGCGTGGCAAGTAGTTCCCATGTTCCATTATAAGCCCCTTGACCCACACAACTATTAACATAGCTTGAATTCTAGCCAGTATTAGCAACGGCATGAGCTGTAGCTCAGTGCTAAGAACATCTGCTTTGCATGCAGAAGGTCCCAGGTTCCATCCCTGGGTAGGGCTGGGCATGTCCCTTGCTTGAAACCCCAGAGAGCCACTGCCAGTCAGGGTAGGCAATATTGAGCTCAATGGACCAGCTGCCAGAATAGGCAGCATCCTATCCTGCTACATCTTCAGGGAAGAACTGTGGGAAAAGGTTCCAGGTTCAATCTCCAGCATCTTCAGGTAGGACTGGGAGAGATTCTCTGCCTGGAACCCTGGATAGCTGCTGCCAGTCAGTGTAGAAAACACTAGGCTTAGTGGACCAGTGGCCTGACTCTGCATAAGGCAGCTCCCTCTCTTCCTATGCACTAATTGTTGGGGATGGCAAGCGGGAGAGGGCAATGGATTTTGCTCAGGTCCACTGTGGGAAACCAGTTGCCAGTCTGGGGCCAGTGTCTGTGGTCTAGCAGGGCCCTTCCTGTCTTCTCCGCATCTTGTGGGGCCAAAGAGAGATGCTTTGAAACTTCTTGCTTCTGCCCGCACATACTGGCATCCCTTGAGAGAACCGGGTGTGAGAGCTGTGTGGAATTAATTAACGAAGCTGTTCAAAGGAGTCCTCTGAGCCCAAATCCTGGGAAGCTGAGCGTGAAGCATGTGAGACGAAAGGGGGAAAAGACGTCAGCAGGGAGTTGCCTTGCCTTTCTCCTTGTGGGCAGTGGTGCTGATTTGGCCCAGAGGCCGAGAGGAGGAAAATGGGCAGAGGCAAGGAGGTGGGCCTGTTCAAGGTGCCAGTGCCAACCCCCTCCCCAATTAAAATCAGGAGCCTGACCTGCTGGGAATAGAATAATCGCCTCTTTATTTGCAGAATGCAAAGGGCAGGCTTCCAGGTGCCTTTCCACTGTTTTGGACCACGACTCTCATCCACAGCTCAGTGATAGAGCATCTGTTTGCATGCAGAAGACCCCAGGTTCGCTGCCAGTCAGTGTACGCTGCAAAGAGATAGACCAATGGCCTGTCTCAGTAAAAGGCAGCTTCCTATGCTTCTGTGTCTTAAGGGACAGACCACAGCACAATGGCAGAGAGTCTGCGTTGTGTCCAGCTTCACTCCCTAGCAGCTCCAGGAGAGACATCCCTTGCCTAAAATCCTGGCAAGCCCCTACTAGCCAGTGTAGACCGTACCAAGCTACATAGACAAAATGATTTGATTCGCAGCTTCCTGTCTTCCTTTGTAGTTTTCGTCCAAAGCAGCTGGAGGGCACGAGGTTGAGAAAGAATTTGGGCTTTAAGGCACCAAACCAGCAAGCCTTCTCAGTATCCCTGGATATACCCCCCCCCCGGGCATGGGTCAGTTGTTCCTATTTAACTGGAGTCTGTGAGAGGAGAGTGGTGAAAGAGGGAGTTTGAGAGAGAAATGCGCTCCTCCTGAAAGGAGGGTTGGTCAGCTGAACCAGGCATATTTTTTGGGTCTCTGCACGCTGTGGCTGTTTGTCCTCACAGAGCTTTTACCAGTTCTTGTTTATTTTGGCAAAATCAGGCATCTCCTCTTTCTTGCCCCCCCCCCCACCTCCAGTAACTGCCAATAAATCACTCTGTCTCCTGCCCCCCCCCCATCCTTCAGCTCAGAATTTTTTACGCCAGCAGACATTCTCTCCGTGTGTTTTCCTGGTGACTGCGAAAGGGAGGATGAACTGTCTTGAGATAAATATTTTGGCAGGGTCTGTGTTTGTGTGGCTGTGTGGAAAATACTTGTGGATTCTTACAGGCGAGCTCAGGGGAGAGTTGGCACACCAAAAAAAATGTGTTGGGGAGTGCCTCTTCCTCAAGAAGAAGAAGAAATATTTTCCTTCATGGCAAATGAAAGAATTCGAATCACTTGCCATGGGCACCTGATGTCAGGAAGCTGCTTTATCCATTGGTCTGTCGGATCTCCGTCTACACTGACTGGCAGCAGCTATCCAGAATTTCAAACTGCGAGTCTTTCCCAGCTGAGGGGAAGAGGAGGATGCCTGATGGGAATCTGCATGAGTTGCTGTTCTGAGCATGATTCCTCCTAGTCTGCCCTTCATCCAGTTCTGGGAGCTACACTGAGGTGCCGCCAGAACTCTATAACTGTCCAGGCTAGAAGTCCTCTTCCCTCTGAACCTTTATGTACAGAGTTTATTTGACATAGGTTATACGGAGGTTAGACTACATCCAGATACTTCCTCATCGCTTCTGTAACCACAAACCTCTGCCTTGTGTATGTGTTTCTAAGTGTATTTGTTGCCCTGGGGCAACAGTACTTTCTCTGAATAGTTAGACAAACCTGGTTTATGCCTGATCCCTCCCACAAAATGCTGTCTAGACCAGAGGCAACCTAGACTGGGGAGAAGAGTTATTTCGGCAAAGTCTTGCTTGCTTGTGCTCAGTGCAGGAGCTGTCCTAGTATGGAGAAAGTTTGTTTAACTTGCCCATTGGCGGTCAATGGGTGCTGGAAGTAGTGGTGGGAGAAGAAAGGGAGGCCAACAGTAGGCGGAGCCAGAGCCAATGATAGGCGGAGCCAGAGCTTGTGCTTTGCCATTGAACGCTTTCTCTGTGTCTTGAGCAAAACCAGGTTTTTTTTCTATCAGGCTTGGTTAAAAAGTTGGCAAGAGAAGCCAGCCCTGAAATTGGAGGCTGGAAAAGCCCCTCTGGAAAACAGCTTCTGGTCCCATGGAAGGGTTGGATCAGAGCACTGCCCTATTTTTCCTGTGGGTCCGGAGCGATGCCCCCGTTGCAGAGCCAAAGTGCTGAGGTTCAAGCTGCCCAGCCGAGTACAGAGGAGGAGGCTCTCCTCCGTTCCCATCTACTCGGCCGAGCTGCTATCCTTGGCCGGCCTCTGGAAGGAGGAAGTGCATCATTTGGAACCAGTTGGCTGTTACTGCCAGATCCCTTCGGAGACGCTTGCTTCTCCGGCTGCAGATGGAGGCGTCTCGCCGGAGCCTTAGCTGTGCCTGGAATAATTGAGTTCAATTCCACTTCCTCTATTTACCAAGTCAGCGCCGCACTCTTTCAAATGGGTGGGTGGTGGGGAGGGGGAGGGGGAGAGAGAGAGGAAGAAAGAGAGAAAGATCTCCAATGTTTGGCAAAAACAGCTTCAGGTCTGGAAAAAACGCAAGTCTTTTGGATTAGGAGATTATTAAAGAGGTGAATGTCTGCCTTCACTTAGGTTGCATACACACCATACATTTAAAGCCTATCCCATCCCCAAAAGAATCCTGGGAGCTGTAGTTTACCCCCTCACCAATCTACAATTCCTAGCACCCTTAATGAACTACAGGTGCCAGTTTTAATGCAGTGGGTGAGATGTTCCTTAACTGTATGGTGTGTACGCAGCTGAAGATCAAGGGTGGCTCATAACCTGTGGGCCCTCTGGTTGTTGGACTCTAGTTCCCATCATCCCTGACCATTGGCCATGCTGGTAGGGGCTGATGGGAGTGGGAGTCCAGCATCTGGAGGGCCACTGGTTCCCCATCCCTTCTCTTAATTCATCTTAGGGCAGTATACAGACTTTTGAATTTCACAGGCATTCGCGTTTCACTAGCAAGAGTTCTGTCAAATCTGGCAGATTTCACAGTTTTATAAACAAGTTGATTCAGTGAAGGCTGTTGGGTCCTCCTCAAGTGTTGTTGACACTGTCTGGCAGTGGCTCTCCCAAGGTTTCAGATAGGGGGTCTTTCCCAGTCCTACCTGGAGATAACAAGCGATTGAACCCAGGACTTTCTGCATGAACAGCGGGTGCGCTTATCACTAAGCCATGCGACTGGCATTGCAGTTTTCTGTGATAACAAGCTGCCTGACGGCAGGTAGCATTTCCATCCCTCTACCAGCGAGCTCTTCAACCTGTTCCCTAAAAGGAAGGGGGCTGCCTGTTGTGTCTCTGCATGAGTTTCTGTTTTGAGTGTGCCTTCTTCCAATCGCTCACGTCCTGTCCCTAGCATCTCCAGGTAGGACTGGGAGAGAGATTCCCAGAAATCCCAGAAAGCCACTTCTAATCAGTGTAGACAATATTCAGCTGGATGGATCAGTTTCCCATGTTCCTGAAAAGCTGCCACTTCCTTGAACTCCTTTGTTGTCCTGAGCACATACTTAGAGGTGGTCAGAGACCTTTGCTGGCTGTCCTTATTGGGAGCTGTTGATGTTGCTTTTCAGTTTGCAGCCCTTGCTGGATTCTACCCCCCCCCCCACACCCCTCCCTTGACTGCAGCTGAAGAAAATTAAGCACATTGAAGACATTAGTTGGAAATGTGTCATCCCCCCCCCCTAGCCCCGCTGTCATTCTCTTGGCTTCCCCACCCTCGGGGCTAGGAATCTCCGGGAGGCCTCGGCGGGCAAATTGACCCTGCCTGGTGTTTTAATTGACAGTTCATTAAAGATGGATGTGTGGCTGGAGGAAAATAATGCAATGGGCAGCAAGGGAGGCCTGGCAGCAGTGTGGCTGTCCGTGTGGGACTTGCGTGATTTATGTTTCCCCTGCCCCCCCCCCCGCCCCAATTTCCCAACTCTCTAAAAACCTTCTCCCCCATTCCAGGCAGCATGGGAGGTCTCTTCTTGGATGGTGAAGACAGCCCAGCGCTGGAGGACGTCAGCAAGTGGACGGTGGAGGACGTCTGCAGTTTCGTGGGCGGTTTGTCCGGCTGTGCTGAGTACACTCAGGTAAACTCCCAAATATTCAGGAGGGGAGGGGAAAACCTGGGGCTTTGGGTTCTTACTTTCTCTGCAAATCAACAAGGCCAAGAGTTGCTTTCAGATTCCTGAAGGGCTGCGCTGTTCCCTGTTTGTTTGTTTGTTTGTTTGTTTGCTTGCTTGCTTGCTTGCTTGCTTGCTTTAATTCTGCATCCTAACAAACTGAATTCTGAAAGCTGAATAAATTATTCAAAATTTATTCTGCTGATCCCAGTCATGGGGCACTAAAGCGTCCACCCCACCCCCAGCTACTGGAAATCTTGTCTCAGCGCCTCTGGCTTTCTGAGGTTTTGCCAGGTCTTGCCTCCACCTCATAGGGTCTAGAAACTTATGGGATCTTTGAAAAAACATTTCTTTTTTCTAATAAAAAAGTATATATCTCAAGAAGCTGAATACTGCACTCAGTACCACAACTGTCTGCACTTCTTCGTGTCTTTGTAAGTCTACTGTGGCTTGGTCATGCCCATCCATGTTCCCTAAATACCAGTAAGTAAATACTGCCTGCTACTGCTGACTACACAATCCTACATGGAAGTAAGCCACACCGTGTTCAAGAGCACTTTCTGTCAAGTATGTATGCAAAGGATTGCACAATAAAGCCCTGTTGTATAGTCCAGTATTCCCATTATAAGAACAAAGGAAGCTGCCCTATACTGAGTCAGACTTTTGGTCTATGTAGCTTAGTACTGTCTACACTGACTGGCAGTAGCTCTCTGGGATTTCAAATGAAGGATATTCCCAACCCCTCTAACAGGTATTGGGGTTGTAATTTAACATAATTTATCCATATTAATCCATACAAATTATCCAAATGTCCAGCATACAGTTACCCCAGAGACAGCGCAAAAGTTGTTTCATCCGTCACAGGGAAGAATATCGTTCAAACTATCCTCTACAGGATAGCCACACCTTCAAAGATTGGGGGGGGGGGAGGTTTCATTGTTAAGACCTCTGTATCCAAATAATATTTAAATAAATAAATGTTAAATAAAAGGTTGTTAATAAAAAGTAAAATAAATAAATAAAAACAACAACAAATGATAAATATTTAAATAAATGATAAAATAGCAATAATTCTTTGCGTGCAGAAGGTTTTTAAATCTAAGGTTGTTATTTACATCCTGGGGTTTTTGACGATTTCCCCCTGATAATTGTGTGCAAGCAGCTTGGAGGTCTGAGCTGTAGAACTTAAAATTGCTGGTTAACCCTGTGCATTGAGTGGGGAGGAAGGTGGGTGGGGGAATAACCCCCAAGGCAAGAGGCCCTTCTGGAACATCCATCACTGCCAGGCGGGGATCATGAAGTGGCTCAGTGTGAGGCCTCCGGTCAGGATACAAAAACCCCGTCTGTTCGTTCGGCACCAGAGTCAGCCGAGGCCTCTTTCTTATAAACACTCCATTGAGAGAGAGAATATCAGCTTCAGGGGAAGGGATCCTGAGATGTGCAATGAGAAGGTGGCTGTATACTTGGAACAGAGAGAAGACCTGCTCAACAGGGAGGGCAGGGCCAGAGCTGAGTGGCAGAGCATCTGATTTGCAAGCAGAAGGCCCCAGGTTCAATCCTTGGCGTCTCCAGCTAGGGCTGTCTGAAATCCTGGAGTCCCAGTTGGTAGCGATGCTACTGAGCTAGATGGACCAATTTGGTCCCATGACTGCACAAGGCAGCTTCCAGGGCCCCTATGAGGCACATGCCCTGCAGGCAGAAGGTCCCGGGCTTGATCTCCAGGGAGCCTTGCCTGAAACCCTGGAGCGCAGCTGCCAGTCAGCGTGAGCATCAGCCTGTGATCTGACTTGGTACAAGGCAGCTTCCTAGAATCCTATGGAAGCCAGACATTTAGAACAACAGGTCCCTTCAGGGAAAGGGGTGCTTTGCAGGCAGGAGGCTCCGATCCTGGCATCTCCAGGTAGGGCTCAGGGTATCCCTTGCTTGAAACCCTGGAGAGAGACCAAGGCGGCTTCCTTTGTTCCATGTGCCATGTTCCCCTTCCAAGAAAGAGTCCCACAAAGCAGGGCTAAGAAGGAGGAACCGGTCAAACTATGTTAATGCTTCTAACCTGAATCAAGTACGTCACCTTTATTAATACTATTACCATATGTTTCTAAGTGTCCTAAGCTAAATATAACAATAAGAACTAAGTCTATTACTCTTAAACCAATTAAAGTGTTTGGACCTAAGTTAGCCACAGCATCGATGGGTCTACTCTTGAGTAGGACGAGCACTGGGCTACAGCCCAGTGTTTATTTCGTTTTTCAAACCACCTCCCACGAAGCACCCCAAAACGTGCCTCTTTAAGCACAGTCGTCTCTCTCACCTGCCAGTGAAAGGAGGAGGCCTCACTGTGGGTCTCAGGACCCCTGCTTTCCAAATAATTTGCCCACCCCCTTCCCCCAGCCAATTGGGAATGCATCAGGGGAGGCCGTGACGCCCTTTCTGCTTACAGGGTCGCCGTTTTTTCCTGTCTCTTTCTGGGTGGCAGGCGGGTGGTGCATTTTCAAGGCAGGGCCTGCCCCCTGCTTCCCCCCCTCCACCGCCGCCACCCTCTCGCACACTGTGCAAGTGCTAATCCCCTCATGACACGCTTCATTAAAGCCCCCGCTAAGGCTGGGGCTTCTGCAGGGCGGCAGCTGTGGCAGCTGGCTTGGGGGGGGTGGCAGAGTCACAAATGGGATGGAGAAAGAGGGTGAGAATTGGCGGGAGATGCAGAAGGCTCTGTGTAGGTGGAACTGCTATTTATTACTATTATGACATTTCTATAGCACCTTACAGTGAAATGTCCCCCCGACTGAAACCCTGGAGATCTGCTTGCCAGTCATTGTGGGTGATGCTGAGTTATACAGACTGGTGGCCTGTTCTGATCTAGAACAGCAAGTGCATACTGCATACTGGACCAGGGCTGTCATAGAATGGACCGCCTCCGATACAGGGCATCTCTGATCGAACCCTGGCATGTTGCCCATGCTGGCTCTCAGATGCAACCTAAAACTAGGGTTACCTTAATATAAATGAGCATGTAGCTAGGCATAAGTATTATTGTCGATAGTGGATGCAGCATGTAGAAAGCTAAGCAATACTTAGCTTTCTACTAAGAAAGCTAATAGCTAAGCCCATTGAAAAAATTTCTGACTGCACCATTACTTTGTTTTGTTGTGGTGCCCCACCAGTATGCCTAACTTTGCAGGGAAAAATAGGTCCCTGCCCTGAAGGTCGCGTGAAGCTTACTAACCCTGGCTGGTAACGCTGATGGCTAAGTTCTACCTCCACTGTTGGAGGCAGTATGCTTCTGAATCCCAGTTGCTGGAAGCCACAGGAGAGAGTTGCTGTTGCACTCAGATCTCGCTTGCTCAGACAGTGGTACCTTGGGTTACAGACGCTTCACGTTACAGATTCAGCTAACCCAGAAATAGTACCTTGGGTTAAGAACTTTGCTTCAGGATGAGAACAGAAATTGTGCGGCGGCAGCGGGAGGCCCCATTATCTAAAGTGGTGCTTCAGGTTAAGAACAGTTTCAGGTTAAGAACAGATCTCCGGAACGGATTAAGTTCTTAACCTGAGGTACCACTGTATTAGGCATCTTGTTGGCCACTGTGAGAACAGGATGGGCCTTTTGACCCAATCCATCAGAGCTCTTTGTATGTTCTTATCATGTTCAAGGGGGAAAGTAGTAAATTTAAAACTTTTCCTTCCCTTTCACTCCCACAAGGACCTATTGACAGCTATAACCCGGAGCTTAGTTAAATGGAACTTCCATGTTTAGAGGAAGTCTGTCTCTGTACAGTAGATGCTGAGGGAGACACATACATGGGCAGCCCATTGCCTTCACATCCTGCAGTCTGTAGAGCACGAGACTCTTATTCTCAGGGTTGTAGGTTCGAACCCCATGTTGGGCGAAATATTCCTGTGATTCTCTGTAGACTTTGCTGAGTGTTGGGGGCAGGATGCTGGGCTAGATTCCCCACCCTCTGACCTGATCCAGCTTCAGGGCTCTGCTTCTGTTCTTAGGGACAGGATGTAGCATTTTGAATTTTTCTTTAGATTGCAACCATGAATGTTGTTGTTTTCTTATAGCAAAATCTAGGACAGGTTTGCAGACCTGATGCGGCAGTTCAGCCCTCTTCCCATGTAATCCTGTGCTCAGAAGTAAATCCCACTGGTTTCAATGGGACTTACTCCCAGTTAGGTGTGTGTTTATAGACTGTAGCCTCAGAATGGGGACAGCGAACTTCAGAGTTTGGGTAGATTGCAGAGCTGAGTATTCCTCCACTTAGAAATGATAGAAAACTCTTCTCATTCCCAGCCCTCTCTGGAGGGGCCGGGGATTGAACCTAGGAACTTCTGCACATAAGGCAAATGCTCTACCACTGAGACACGGTCCTTCCCTTTCCATCAAAACGTCTTGAGCTGGCCTAGCACTTTCCTCTCTGTCCGATTCTAATTACTGCAGCTTTTCTTTGTTCCTTCTCTTTCTGTCTCTCTCTGACACACACATCCCTCCCTAGTTTGCTTTGTCCCTTCAGTTGAATGGCAGTGGGTTGACTCACCTTTGCCAAAATGGCTCCCATCTTCCAGGTGGGAGCATCTAGCTATTTCCTAGCTTTTCTGGGCCATTTACCTGTACTTTCAAAGATGTGTCTGCATGCTTGAACTTTCACCACTAAGGAACTTCAAGCAATGCCCCCCCCCAAAAAAAGAAACCCTTAACTTTCTCCAGTCCAAAACCCAGACTCCTCCATAGCAACCCTAGTGCAGAATAGAGATGTGGCAACACTCTAAAAGGCCCTCCCTGCTGTTTTTCTCCTCTCTTGCAAGAATCACTTGGAAGCCACCCGTGTGCTTTTGTGCCAGCAGCACCCGACTGGCGTGGGCAGGGCAGGCTTGCCCTCTCAGCTCCCGGCCTTGTGCTTCCTCCAGGCTGAACAAGAAAGCAAGCAGGGTTGCTGAGAGCTCTTCCAGTCTCCACCAGCCACCCCAGAGCTCCCTGTGAAGAGAGTTGCACTTTCACAGTGGTGCTTTCCAGGCAGCCTGATCCATAAAAATACAATCCCCCCCCACCCTATTAACAAGGTTTCTTGAGTGAGCCACGAAGGGCAGGAGGTTTGGAGGAGGGGGAGGTAGTGAAGGAGGAGGAGGAGGAAAAAGGGGTTTGGCACAGAACGAGTTAAAGGGATAAGGCCTTTTTCTTTTTCCTTTTGGTCCACAGCGGGGCTCTGCATTTAACAGGTTTTTACTGTGCAAGAAAGCCAGGCCGCCAGGGAGACCCAGCTCTGCAGAGCTGTCTGCCTGCTTTCTCTCCTCCAAAAACCGCAGCTGCCGGGGAGGTCTGGCACAGAGCTGACCTCCGCTCTTGCCAGCAAAAAACAAGCAACCGAAAGAAAAAAGCCGGCCACAGCGTTTGCATTAGGAATAAAGCAGGGGACAGTGGGAGGAAGGCCGTCTTTGCTCAGTGCAATCCTCTATTGGAAACAGACAGACAGACAGACAGACAGACACACACACACACACACACACCCTTGGTGCTCTCGGCCCCTGGGACCGTCCATTTGTGTCTCGATGGCACGTTGCATCGCGCACAGCTTGGCATGGGCTCCAGGGAGGCCTGGAAGCAAGCGTGGCAGAGCGCAGGGATGGTTTTTTGGCTGTCAGCCAGGCTGGCCTACTAGGTCACGGGGCAGGGATAGGAGGCTGTGCTTGTGAGCAGCCTTGGCTGGAAGGGCCCACCTATAAAAAGAAGATCCAGAAGGGGAGGAAGCTGCTGTCGGCTTCCTTTTTGTTATTATGAAATAAGGAAAAAAGCTTGAACAGCAGGCTCCCATCTGTGCCTGCCTCTGAATTGCCAGCTTTAAGAGTATGGGGCAAAATGAGGTAATAGTCAGTTGTCTCCAGTAGTGGCCCTACTCAGAATAGACCCACTGGATTTGATGGACATCTCTAACTTAGGCCCATTAATTTCCGAGAGTCTACCAGTTCACAAACGGACAAAAGTCAACAGCAGGATAACAAGGATCAAGCCTTTCTTTTAAAAAAAACACACACTGCATAATTGAAATACATAGTAAATCAACTACGCTAAAAAGATCAATAATTAAACTATGTAATAAACAAGGCATTAAAACAATATTCAAAGCAGGAGGTACAAGTAAGAGAATTGTTTCTCTCTTCAGCCTGATTGCAATACTTCAGGTACTCCCTTACTTAGAATCATAGAATTGTAGCGTTGGAAGGGACCCTGAGGGTCATCTAGTCCAACCCCCTGCAATGCAGGAATCCCAACTAAAATGTCCATGGCAGTATTATAATTAGAAGACAGGCACAAAAGGAAGAGGCCTGGGGTAGACATTTCCTCCCCCATCCAAATGCTTTCTTTGCAGGGTGCGTTTTCTTCCTATTTTCTTTTTTTCTTTAGTTTTACTGAGTTTCTTAATATTAGATAAAATGGAAGGAAGAAATCACAAACAACAAATACAAAAAAACTGGTCCACTTGAGGGAGAGGAGCAGTATTGTATTGTTCACGAGTCTCTGATTATGTCACTGGATGGAAATACCCATGCCATTATGACGAGCCAGTTGCTGCGGGGTGGGGTGGGGCTGTATGGGTCCATAACCTTATTTAACAGAACTAATGGGCAGGAAGCAGTCTGCATCAAAGTGATCGCAGGATGCTCTCTTTTTGAAGCAAAGGATGGGGTTTGCATCCACACACACAGACAGAGTCCACCTGCATTCTGAAGTGCAACACTGCAGCTTAGCTCACCACCTTACCTACATGTAGACCCAACCTCATTAGGTTGGCAAACAATAATGATATAGGCTCACATCTACACTGTGTGTGTGTGTGTGTGTGTGTGTGTGTGTGTGTGTGTTAGTCCTGCTTTGTGTTCACCAATAGACTCGACTATGTATAAGGCAGCTTTCCGTGTTTCTCTTACAACACAGCACTCAGATCCCAAGTAGCTCTCCTCTGGGCTCCTCTTGCCCACACTGCTTTCTGCTTCTGCCCGACAGGTCTTCCGGGAACAGGCCATAGACGGCGAGACTCTGCCCCTCTTGACAGAAGAGCACTTACTGAATAACATGGGGTTAAAACTGGGACCCGCATTGAAGATAAGGTCACAGGTAAGAGTGCTCAAGATGCAGCAGGCCAGAACCCAGAATTCCTGTTGACATTAAGGCCTGCAAGTCTGGCGGGCAGCTGGGGTCTAAGGGCTCAAGTGGCCTATTCCAACCAGACGTGTGTGTGTGAGTGGATGAACAGAACCCAGGGCAGGTGGAAGTGAGGGTGGGGGAATCACTTTTGAATGCTCTCCTCTTTACACACAGAGGCATAAGAAGTGCTTGCTGGGTGAGGCCAGTGGCCCATCTAGTCCAGCATCCTGTTCTCAGTGTGGCCAACCAGATCTCCTAATGGGGAATCGGCAAGCGGGACCTGAGCACAAGAGCAGCTCCCCATCTCCTGTGCAGAGCACAGCCACTGTGGCTAGTAGCCATTGGGAGCCTTTATCTAATCCTTTTTTAAAGCCATCCAAGTTGGAGGCTTTTCCTCCAAACCTCCACTATTCCTCCAAACCTAAGAAGTTCCAAGGGCTGCGGGTGGCGCTGTGGGTTAAACCACAGAGCCTAGGGCTTGCCGATCAGAAGGTCGGTGGTTCGAATCTCCACGACGGGGTGAGCTACCGTTCTCCAATCCCTGCTCCTGCTAACTTAGCAGTTTAAAAGCACCTCAAAGTGCAAGTAGATAAATAGGTACCGCTCTGGCGGGAAGGTAAGCGGTGTTTCCGTGCGCTGCTCTGGTTCACCAGAAGTGGCTTAGTCTTGCTGGCCACATGACCCGGAAGCTGTACGCCGGCGCCGCAACCCCAGAGTCGTCCACGACTGGACTTGTCAAGGGTCCCTTTAAGGAGTTCCAAATGCTGTAAACCTTCCTCTTAGGGGAGTTGGCAACATCTCCCTGGAAGGTTGAAACTAGCTAATAAGCACATCCCATAAGGTATTATGGAAGGATGGCATCCCTTTCCTGCAGCCCGACGGGGTCCCACTCTGCCACTTCATTCTACAGCATCTGTAGGTCAGGCCTGTGCTGATGGGGCTCTGGATTCATCTGCAATAGCAGCTTTATACATTTCCTTTGCCTTCTACTGTAACCCGTGCACGCTCACATACCAGTCGATAAGTTGTTTTGGTAGAACAAGGCTGGGGAACCTTTTGCCCTCCAGATTCCCAACTCCCATCATCCCTCATCACTGGTCACATAGCTTGGGGCCTGATGGGAGTCCAACAGCACTTGGAGGGGGCCACTGGTTCCCCACTAAGTGCAGTAGAAGGTGCTTTTCTAAGTACACCTCCCCCACCACCACCACACACCTTTTCTCAGTGCGTTCTGGAAACGGCATAGGAAAGGGTTCAAATAGGAGTCAGAGGTCTAGGTGTTTTGCTAGCTTTTGAGCACTATCTCTTTCTTCCCATCCCTCAAATTTTTCCATCACCCACCACCAAAAGCTGCAGGATTAACATCTTTTGCACACACATACTGGTCCTTGGTTTCTTCTTCCTCCATAAAGGCTGCTCACTTTCCCCCATCACAGCCTTCATTTGCACAGTCAACAATTTAATGGTAGCCCCCTGCCCTCTCCCCAGCTGCCGAGTCTCTCCCCCTATCCTCCCGTCTGCCCCAGGGATGTGGGCTTATATTAATCACCTTCGATCCTGAGCCAAAAGCCCCCCGCCTGCTCTCGCACCTACACAGCTGGTTTTTGTTAAAGCTTCAATAAAAAACAGAGGTTCATATTTAACCCAAAACAACCAGAGTATTATTCAGTTAGCAAAACTTGGGCAAGGGATGGCTGTATCACTCCAAGCCCAATTTTAAGGCTACTGCCAGTTATTTCACTTCCGTATCTCTCCTGCAAACACTCCACAACCTGCGTGTGTAATTGAAGTCGGATTGGTGCTCCTGAATTTCTTGCTGCCACCGCCGCTGCTTCTTTTTCCTCCTTGAATCAGTTTTATTTCCTGCAGAATTGATCCACAGGGAACAATTGCCCAGAGAACCTTTTTATTAGACCCCTCGTAAACAGTAAGGGCTGCAGGGAAAGTAATAAAGTTGCCCTTATTGTTTTAACATAATATAACAAATGTATATGGCCAGTGGTGGTTGAGGCGGGGGGAAGCCTGCCTCGGCAAAATGTATTTATTGCACCATGGTCCGCTTCCCAAGGGTGGTGTCGCTGGGGGGCCGGCAGAGAGATTGCAAGATTGCTCAGGGCTTCGGGTGCATGTGTGTGTGATCACCAAAAGGTTCATCCACAGTTGGAGGCAGTAATGCTTCTGAATAGGACGGGAGCGGGTTCTTGTGCGCTGGTCCTGCTTGCAGGTTTCCTATTGTGGCATCTGGTTGGCCACTGTGATGTGAGAACAGGATGCTGGACTGGATGGGCCACTGGCCTGATCCAGACTTACGATGTTTTTGAAGTGTGTGTGGAGGAAGAATGTGAAGCCCAGATACAGCAGTGGTCCCCCAACGCAGACTTCAGCTTCCCCATGGAGCATCCCTCCACATCCAGCCATTGTTATTCCTGTGTGTCTGAGATAAGAAATAGCCTAGTCACATTTCAGGTGACTCTGCCCCAAATGTCAGCAGGTATCTCTGCCCTGGATGCTGTTTCAGGGTGACAAGGAGCATGTTGGGTGCGTGGGATTGAATTCTGAGAACTGGTTTCTAGGGAGACAAGAGGGCTCACTTGTTCTATCTGCAAATGGGTCTTCATGGAGTGCTCTGATGATAAGTATATCAGGAGCAAAATGATCCCTCTCCCGCCCCTCCTCCCCCAGCACGTGTTGTGGAATTTGGGATTATGTGAAATTTAGCATGACTATTTGTCCTCTCCTGCCCCATTAAATCAAGGTGCTAGTTCCTCAAGATGGGGAAAGATAGACTTTAAAGCATGTGTCCAGTCTCTGTTTATATGATTGTCCTGTGGAGATCCCCTCTCACCAACCACTTCCCTTTATTTATGACCTTCACCAAGACTATCCACAATGTGTGCGAGTGGAATTACTCAGTTTGTATGCACATGGTTTTAATTTGCCTACTTTGTGCACGTTGCCTTTTCCAGAATTTCTATTTTGTCAAAACAGCCCCCTGCTAGGGTCCCCCAGGCTCCATAGCTGCCTCCCTGACCTGTACAGATTCTGCTGAGGAAGCGGCAGCACCAGGCCCTCGTTGCTTGACCCCAGAAGATGAACTCCAGCAGAGGCTGCCCCCCCCCGCCAGTTGTGCAGGAGTAGTTGTACAGAAAAGGACTGCGGCTCACAGCAGGCGTGCTAAGAGGAGGAGGCCTCTTGAGCCTGCAGGCTCTCCTCTCAACCCACCCATTAATCTCCCCTCTTCCTTTTGCAATTTCCCTCCACAGGTAGCCAAGAGAGTCGGCCGGGTGCTGTACATGGCTAGCTTCCCCATGGCTTTCCCGCTCCAGCCCCCGGGCTTGCGACCCGCAGACCGTGACTTGCCTCCCGCTGACCTCCGCCCCTCGTCGACAGGAAGCGTGACCTCCTCCCCGTATGGCAACACTCTCCTCCCCGCCAGCCGCATCTCGCCAAAGCAGGAAAACGGGAACCCTTTGCTGGCCGGCCTCAGCGACACGTCAAAGCCGCCCTCGTAAACTGCACAGCCCCAGGCAGTCAGCCAGCCTTGCGAGGGTCCCTGGCTTGGGCTGCTGGGCCTTCCAGCACTGGAACCAGCCAGCCGAGGAACCAAGAGAATAATAATGCATTCAGCGTTGGGGTTTTAAGGGGCAGGGGTCAGTGTAATCCAAAGATTTATTGGAAGCAATTTGAAAAGGGACACCGTGACTTTTTCTTTCTTTTCTTTTGGAGAAAAGGAACGTCGTTTGGGCTTTTTTCTTTGTTGCCTTTACGGAAATGCAACTTTGGGGAAGAGACCCTCAGCCCCCCCATTCTTCCCTTCCCCTAACCCCAGCCTCCCGCCAGGAGGAAACACTCTTCCTTCCCCACTTCTGAAATGTGTCCCTCGCTGGAACCTGTTCTGTTCCTCTTTCAGGGTGTCTATGCATCGCTCAAAAAACAACTTTGAAACAATACCAAAGACAGACAACTGACCCAACGCCCAAGTTCCGGTCCATGTTTACTTCAGTTTGGATGGTACGGCACAGCTAGCTCTGTGGGGTACAGGTTTTTTAGTTTTTTGTGTGCTTTTCTCTTTTTTTAAACTGCATTTTCATGCTGCTTAAACATTGCAGATTGACTGTGAAAGATCCTCCTTGCTGGGCACTGCACAGACTCGTTTTGCAGAATAATAATGATGATAGCCTTGTGGGGGGGGCAGAAGGGGAGATGAGCGTGGAAGAGGCTGGGAGGCAGAGTTTACCCCCCACACCTTAAACTGCGTGTGTACAGAAGATGTGTGTCCCATTTTTACTTTGTTTGTGTGGGGGGAGTGTGTGTGTATTTTGTGGGGGAGGGGGGAAGAGGCTTGTTGCAGAGGATATGGAGTTGCACATTTTTACCTGGTTCCCCCACCCCATGACCAGGTAACAGGTACCCGAGTGAGCCCATTGGGGCAGGGCGCTCTACCTTGCCCCCTCCCCACCTCGCAATTTGTACAGTGATGGAAAACAATCATGTGATCGATGCTTGTCCGCTTTTCTCTCTCCTTACTCTTTCTGTTTTAAAAACACCTGCACGCTCAACCTTTTTTCCCTTATTCATTTTTTTTTTTTACTTTTGTTTGGGGGTGGGGAATCAAACAGTTCGCTCAATGGTACCTTCGCTTCTTTATATATTGTAAATGGTCGTTATCCATCACATCCAGGCCAACGCTTTCCAGCAAATCGATTTAAATAATAATAATAAAAAAGAAATCACTTAATTTATAAAATGGTTGCTCCGTGGGCCGGCTGTGTCCTTAAAAAAGAGTCTTGCAAAAGTACAAAAAATAATACACAGAGTTGAGTCGGGGGTAAGTGCACAAAGGTGGCAGAGGTGAATCTAGCGAACTACAGTTCCCAGCGCAGAGCTCTTCTGCCCACAGACACCCAACTATTAGCCCTTCTCTTTCCTAGAATCTGCTTAGCGTAGCTGTACCAGGGAGGGGTTTAAATGGCAGAGGGCACTGGCTGGAAAAGAAAGACTTCTCTGCGCCCCTAGAAGCTCTGTGGAATAGGCAAGGTAATATTAGGAGAACCTGCCACCAGTCAATTGCTGGTGCTTCCCCCACTGAAAGCGGTGGCTGGCTAATAATGGACAACACAAGCTCTGGCCGTGCTGGTGGGCTTGGGGCTGGCTTCCTTCCAACAAAATGGGGATTTGGAGGTGGCGGATCCGCCCTCCCCACGTTATTTATAAAGTGGCAGGTTTTAACAAGGGCCTTTTTATCTCCTTGCCTGAGCCACTTTACTGCTGCTGGCAAAGCCACAAATTTTACTGTGTTTCTCCAAAACATATAAAACTCTGCTGCACAAGATTTTCGCGTTTCAAGTGGTGCCTTGGGGCACAGGGGAGGTGGCCTCAGTGGAGCAACTTCCTGCCCCTGCTTTAAAGGGGCACGTGGGTTACCCTACCACAAACGCAACACCTCCAGATCCATTTCCCTTGCCCCTCACAATACCCATCCCAGTTGTCTGTTGGCGCAGCTGTCAGTCAGCATCAGAGAAGTCCAAGTCTTCCACCATGTCTTCGGGTCCCTGTGCCAGCTGCTTCAGCTCCGCCCGTGACAGCTGTTTCCCGACGCCCTTGCGGCCGGCCCCTTCGCCTCCCCCTGTGGAAGGGGGGGAGAGAGAGGTGTAAATCCTGCCTTATCAGGAAGGAAGAGGAGGGGAGAGGGAGAAAGAGGCAGGCAGAAGCGGCTCATTGCTAATTAATCACAAGCATTAATTAATTTATCGCCACCGCTGCATCTTCCAGATAGCAGGGATGGAAGGGAGGGTGAACAAGTGCTTCTGTGCTCCTCTTATTGCAATTTGGAATAAAAAAACAAGGCGTTTTGGAAAGGGAGGTGCAAAAAGTTGTCATTCCCCCCACTGCCCTGCACTGCTCTTTCTAAGTGGGACTCTTGAGTTTAAAACATGGGGCAGGCTGTTTTCCCTGAAATCTCAGCCCCAGCCATCCTTAGGGGAGAGAGAACAGTCCTGGGGTTGTATGCAGTGCTCATCCTCAGAGCAGACCCACTGAAATTCATGGCCATGGCTAGCATCGGTCCATTTATTTCAATGAAAGGAATCCCTCGATACAAGCATTTGTGCATGCCAGACCAAACAGTCTTTCTTTTCCTCCCCACATGGGCTGTTCTGGGTTTTCTACTGACCCTTCCCATAGCGGGGGAGACCCCTTGTTGCGCTTGCATAACTTGTTCCACCAGCTCCCATTAGTGCAACTGCTTAGTTGAATCTGGGTCCATAGGTTTACTGTGAGTAGAATTCAGTAGGTTGCAACTCCTAGGCAACAGCGTACATTAAGACAGACACAAGAAATGCAAGGCCCTCCACATGTCGTGGGACTACAACTCCCATCATCCCTGACAACTGGCCATGCTGGCTGATGGGAATTGGTGTTCCAATATCTTCTAGAGGGCAGCAAGATCCCTATACCTATTTACAGTACAAGGCCAGTACCCCAAAGCCCCTTTGCCCAAGCAGGTCATGCAAGTTGCATTTCAAAGCTCGAGATGATCACTGGTATTGAAAAATCAAGCTAATGGCTGCAATTGTCCCTGGGACTTTGGGGTGAAGAACAGGTAAATGTTTAAAAATTACATGCCAAAGGTCTGAAATCCTTGGGAGACCCACCACCATAGTGCGGACAGTAAGGGACATTTCTCTGCCCTTTCTTAAGATGCTGTGGATTGAACCTGGGGACCTTCTGCATGCAAAGCACATGCTCTCATGTGCTGGCCCACGCAGAAACATGGGCGCGTAAGCCCCTGCATTAAAATGCTTATTACAGTATTGCAGTTCTGGAAGGGTGTTTCCCCCCCCCAACAAATGTCACTGCACATCTCGAGGGAGGGGCCAACTGGTAACATCCGCCCCGAAACAAGCACTGAGAGAGAGAGGCAGCCGTGGGAGCAGTTTGCCTTGCCAGGCTCTGGCAGCCCCAGATAGAAATAGCTCCAAGAGCCGGCAAGGAGACTGCCAAGCGTTCCCAGCCAATGTTCGCTCCCATCTCTGCTGTTCATCTATTCTGGGCAACGGCACCAAGGTCCGTGTGCCAACCCTCTGCCATCTGTCACAGTGAATCAGTCAGTGGGGCTGGGCACAGCTCTCCTCTCATTTTCACCTCAAAGCCAGGAGAGAAATCTTGTTAAGGAGAGGGGGGAGGAGGGGTGGACATCCCTGCACCATCATCGCCACCCCAAAAGGGCTTTACGTCCTTTAAACCTCACCCCTCAGAGAGAAGGGGAAGGCAGTAGCGCACTTGGAGATAATGGGAAAGGACAGCCAGAGCCGGTGGCACTCTTGACAAGCAAGGTTCTTCTCCTGGCGGAGACTTCTCTTGTTTGCGTGGATCGTCACCCGAGGCAAAAACACTGCTTGTCACCACCCTGGGCCCTGCTTCAAGGACCTCCACTGCTTATCTTTTCAGGCCAAACCGATGGAATTGGTATGCGCGCGCACACACGCACACACACACACACACACACCAGTGTAGCGGGTAAGTGGCTGGATCCTACCCAGCACCTTCCTCCATGGGCACCAGCTACTCCTCTTAAAGGGATCACCAGCAAGACAGTACGAGGTGTGCAGAGAGATGACAGCCAGGAACGTACGTGTGTGTGTGTCATGCACACACACACCTGGCAAAATGCAAGCTGCGTAGCAAGCAAACCCATTTCCAAAAAAACGTAACAGGTGAAAGGCATATTCCTTCAGATCCTATACTAGAGGTCAGGAGCACAGAAGCAAAAGCCTACATCTCGCCTCACCGAGATGCCCAACGTCATTCCTCCAAAGGAAGCCGCGGCAGCGCTCTCTTACCATCTGTATCACTGGAGCTCTCGTCGTCGTCATCCTCTTCTTCGCCGTCCTCCACTTTGTACTCTCCTTCATCGCTGTCATCCTCTTCCTCACTGCTGCCAAATGAAGTGTCATCTAAACTGTCCTTCTTGGCCTTTGATTTCCCTGCAGCAAGGAGACCGATACAAAAAACAAAAAAAATTATTACAGAAAGGGTATCAAAACATTTAAGATACTTTTGCAACACGGGAAACTCCATAGTCTCAGGTGTCGGACAGAAAGGTAGCAGAACAAGTCAGAACCCAACATGTGTTCTTCGCTTTCAAGGTGGGGGGCGGGAACCTATATATTCCTTGACACGATGGCTTGCAACCAAATTTTGCGTTACATCATAGCAAAGCAGTCTTCAATATACAAACACAAGGAGAGCCTTGAGGGATCAAGCCAGGGGCCCATCTGGTCCAGGATCTGGTTCTCACGGGGGCCAACCAGATGCCTCGGTGGGAAGCTTGTTAGCAGAACCTGAGCACATGAGCAACACTCTCCACTTACGACTCCCAATCAACTGGCACTCGGAGGCCTATTGTCTCTGACACTGGAGGGAAGAACACCACCATCTTGGCTTGTAGCCACTGACAGCCTTACCCTCCACAAATTTGTCTAACCCTCTTTTAAAGGTGGCCATCCTTTACTCTTGTGGGAGCAAAAAAGCATTTCTGTTTCCTTTCTGCACACCATGCATGATTCTATCACGTCAACTCTGAAAAAGCCCCAAATGCTGCACCCTTTCCGTATGCGGGAAAATGCCCCCACTGGAACAGCACTCCAGCCATGCCATACCCCCTATCCAGCAGGCCACACACACAGACCCCTAAAGCCCTTATGAAGTGCTGGCAATCACAGCTGAGTTCTGCTAGGTCCCACTTGAGCAGAACACTAAATGGTGCACCATCACCTGGGTTGGGGCAGCCTAGGAAAAGTTCCCAGGACCAGAGAGAGATGTTTGGGGGGGGGGGCTGCATCAGCCCCTGGGTTTACACTGACTTGGAGAAACTCCCCACCCTCTCCCCAAATTCACTTTGGCTCAAAAGATTTCCTTCCTGCCTTTTCCCTGACTGCTCAGCTCTCTCCACCCCCCTGGGGACCAAGCAGAAGATGGATGGCAGGGTTGCCTTCTGCGGGAGATAATCCTGACAAGCACCTGAGCAGCCTATCTCTGCAAGCGCAGGAGAAACAGAAAAAAGTGGCTCTTCTGCCATCCCCCTCCCCAGCCCAATCCATCACACGCCGCTGGCGGGGGGAAAGGGGTTATCAGCTGCAGCGGCTGCCTGGCGATGGAAACCTGCCCAAACCGGGCTCCTGAACAGAGCTCAGCTGCGACCGGCAATTGCAAGAGCCAGCACCTTGATTATTTCCCATTACCTTTTCAGCCAGGGAGCTGTGCGTGGGGCACATAGGCGGGCTTATGTAACTTACTTTTAAAACCATTTTCTAGAAAGAAAGGGGGAGAAGCTTAATCACAGGAGAGCAGCTGGGTGGATCTGCCATGCTCATTTTTTTTCTTTGCAACTCTCCCCAACCAGAACATCTGCATGGGTCTTTCCACATCTCTCTCTTCATTCAAATCTCTCCTCAAAACTCTTCCCCGCCCATGAAATCTTCATTTTCACAGACACCCACCCCTTCTCCCAAACTGAACGTAACAACAGCCCTCTTGGACCAGGCGAACAGCTGACTTTCCACAGTAGTCAACCAAATGTCTCAGGGAAGCTCACAAGCAGAACAGGAAGGCAGCAGCGCTCTCCTCCGCAGCCCCAGCAACTAGTATTCAGAGGTATAATCATAGAATTGGAAGGGAACCCAAGGGTTATCAGGTGCAACCCCCTGCAATGCAAGAATCTCAGCTAAAGCATACATGACAGATGGCCATCCAACATCTGCTTAAAAATCTCCAAGGGAGAATAATAATAATAACTATTATTATTATTATTATTATTATTATTATTATTATTATTAATTACTTATACCACTCTGGGCGGCTTCCAACAAAACACTAAAATACAATAACCTATTAAACATCAAAAGCTTTCCTAAAAAGGGCTGCCTTCAGATGTCTTCTAAAAGTTTGGTAGTTATTTTTCTCTTTGACATCTGGTGGGAGGGCGTTCCACAGGGTGGGAAGAAGAGTCCACAACCTCCCAAGGGAGACCATTCCACTACTGAACAGCTCTTACTGTCAGAAAGTGCTTCCCGATGTTTGGTCGGGAATCCCCTTTCTTGTAACTTGAAGAGTCCTACCCTCTTTTCCAGGCTAAACATACCCAACTCCTTCAACCAGTCCTCATAAGGCTTGGTTTCCAGACTTTTTATCATCTTGGCCACCCTCCTCTGCAAAACGTTCCAGCTCGTCAATATCCTTCTTAAACTGTAGTGCCCTGAAGTGGACACAGTACTTCAGGTGTGGTCTGACCAAAGCAGAATAGAACAAGACAATTACTTCCCTTGATTGGGACACTAGATGTCTGTTGATGCAGCCTAGAATAGCATTAGCCTCTTTTGCTGCTCCATCACACTGTTGACTCATGTTAAGCTTGTGGTCTACTAAGACCCCTAGATATTTTTCACATGTACTGCTGGCAAGCCAGGTGTCCTCCATCTTATAGTTGTGCAGCTGGTTCTTCCTTCCTAAGTGTAGAACCTTACATTTGTCGCTACTGAAATTCATTTTGTTAATTTTGGCCCTGTTCTCCAATCTGTTTAGGTCATTCTGGATCCCAATTCTGTCTTCCGCAGCACTGGCTACCCCTCCCAGTTTGGTGTCATCTGCAAATTTTATTAACCTCCCCTCAATACCTTCATCCAAATAATTTATGAAGATGTTGAAAAACAAAAGGCCCAGGGCAGAACCCCGCAGCACCCCACTTTTCACTTTTTTCCAGGTTGATGAAGAACCATTTGTAAGCACTCTTTGGATTCCATCAGTTCAACCACCTAAAAATCCACCTAACAATTACTTCATCCAGCCAACATTTTACCAGCTTCTCTGCAAGAATATGAGGGACTGTCAAAAGCCTCACTGAAATCAAGATACACTACGTCCACAGCATTCCCCTGATCTAGCAAGCTTGTAACTTTATCAGCTCTTCTGAAAAAGGAAGGTTACCATAAGCCATCACAGCTAATGGCAAAACAATAGACCCAGCCCTCTCAGCGAATCTGCCTAATCCTTTTTTACTTGGCCCCATTGCTACAAATTCAATAAAGCAATGGCATGCTGTGAAATCCAGCTTTAAGCAAATGAATTTGCTTGCTATTGTGCCTTCTTGATCTTGGGTTCTATCCAGTGCTAGCTCTTACTTAGGGTAGTAGACCCACTGAAGTTAATGAACATGGCAGCAAACACACTTTGGAACTCCCTGCCTACTGACACCAGGCAGGTTCCTTCACCCTGCCCCTTTCAATGCCTGCAAAAGACATTTTTGTTTAGGCAAGCCTACCCAGAAACATAAAATGTTGACATGCATTTTGCTCAGGATTTAACTTACTGATGTTTTTAAATTATTTTTACGGACAATTTTATTGTTTTATTCTTTCTGTAAACCACATCTAAATCTTGTGAAATAAACAACATAACCCAACATAATTTTACTGGGTCTAATCTGATGCCACTCTTTCTCCCTCACCAAAGTTCAGACTGTAAGCTCCTTTGGGGCAGAGAATCTTGTGTCTAAAGCCCCATTATGGACACGAGTGCCTCTCTACAAACCAACCAGCCACCAGATTTTCAAACATACAAAGTGCTTTATTAATTTTTCTCATCTCCCTTTTTGCCCCAAAGGCCGCAAGAGGGTCTATCTCCTAAGGCCACCCAGGGAGCCTCACGACAGAAGGAATTTGAACCTTGGCCTGCAGGACTGAATACCTACATCACTCCTCTCTCCTTGCAGGAGATGATGACGACAGATTGAGAGCATTTGGTTTGCCTTTCTGGACGAGCGGGGGGGGGGTTGGGGTTGGTTTGGAAGAATTACCACCCACTGTGGAATCCTGCGCCTCCCACTCCTTTTTCCCACTGACTGACTGCTCCCCAAGACACACCAACCCCCCAGCAGAGGAAAGAACAGCAATGCCCCCAGACACTACGGAGTTAAGAGCATCCTGTTCACATCATCTAGCCCCCCACCTCGCTTTCCCCCACCGGAATCCCTGCTAGCAAGAACCGGAGATATTAGCCTGACTTTTAATACAATTTGGTTGGGAAGCGAGCGCTCTAAAGGCAGCATTAATCACTTTAACGATGAAGCTATTACTGGAGGTGCGGCGGGAGGGGAGGGGAGAAGATGGGAAATTTTTCCACGCTTCCCCGCCCTTAACCCTCCCCACCCCACCCTCAGGAGTGCTTGCAGCCATTGCAAGGAAAGGGTCTGTTTCATGCCATGTTGGGTTGGGGGTGGGGGCAGGCTGTGGATACGGGTGGGGTGGGGGTGCTGCCAGCCCTTCCAGGCACAGAAGTCTTGTGGCATTTCATTCCGACTGAACATATGAGTGACCAACCCAGCCTCAAGTCATGAGCTCGGTAGTCCCAATCCTGCACCATCAAAATATTTTGGCCAGAATACAGTGGTACCTCGGGTTACAGACGCTTCAGGTTACAGACTCTGCTAACCCAGAAATAGTACCTTGGGTTAAGAACTTTGCTTCAGGATGAGAACAGAAATCGTGCTCTGGCAGCGCGGCAGCAGCAGGAGGCCCCATTAGCTAAAGTGGTGCTTCAGGTTAAGAACAGTTTCAGGTTAAGAACGGACCTCCGGAACAAATTAAGTACTTAACCCGAGGTACCACTGTACTGGGTCTTGAGCTTCCACACTGTGGACACTCTGCACACCACAGGACCATAGGAAGCTGCCTGATGAGGCCACTGGTTCATAGAGCTCAGTATTGTCCACATTCAGTCTGCAAGTTAGATACTCTACCACTGAGCCCCTAGGACACAAGAATATAAGAAGCTACTTTAGACAGCTAGGTCCATCTAGGGTCAGTACAGTCTGCACTCACTGTCAGCGTCGCACTGAGCTATGGCCCTTCCCCAACAGGGAGAGCTGCTGCAGTCATAGAATCACAGAATTGTAGAGTCGGAAGGGACCCCGAGGGTCATCTAGTCCAACCCCTGCAATGCAGGAATCTCAACTAAAGCATCCATAACTGATGGCCAAACAACCTCTGCTTTAAAACCTCTAAGGAAGGTGAGCCTAACAACCTCTGGATGGAGTCCGTTCCACTGTCAAAACAGCTCATGTCCTATTTGGGGGCGTCCCAAAGGCACCTCGCCTCAGGCACTGTAGGAAAATGCAAGGCTGACATTTGCTCAGATCCAGCAAGGCAGGGATGGGATACATGTGGCCCTCCAAAGGCTGCTGGAATCCCAGTCCCCATGAGTCCCAGTCAAGCATGGCCAACTGTCAGCAATGGTGGGAACTGTAGTTAAGCAATATCGGGGTGGGGTGGGCACAGGTTCTCCATTCCTGCACAAAAGGCTCCTGGGACCACCATCTGGAAAAGGAGGCTGCTTGCTGTGTCTCTGCATGAGTGGCTGCTCTGGCTTTGATTAAGGTTGATTAAAACAGGGGTGGGGAATTTGTGACCTTCCAGAGGTCACATCCAGCTCCCATCAGTCCAAACTTGGATGGCCAAAGGTCAGTGGTGACAGAAGCTAGAAGTGAGCTACATCTGGAGCGCCCCAGATTCCCCCAACCCCTGCCCTAAAATGGCATTCTCTCCATCATGCTACTCAATGCATTGGTTTCCCTCATCCATAAAATGGGCATAAGGAATCATAGAATTGTAGAGTTGTAAGGTACCACGAGGGTCATCTAGTCCAACCCCTGCAATGCAGGAATCTTTTCCCAACATGGGGCTCAAATCCACAACCCTGAGATTAAGAGTCTCATGCTCTTCCGAATGAGATATCCCAGCTGTAAACACCACTCACCTTAGAGAAGATATGTGTTTTAGGGCAACTGGTGATGCTCTCTACCCCAAAATAACCAAATGCTGATCCTTACAAACACACAGAAACACACAAATTATCCCACAGTGGAGTAGGTCTAAGAAGGACAACCAGTCTATATTAACTCTCCAGCTGGAAAGGTTATAGGGAGGGACCAAGGCAGCAGCTGAATGACCAGAGACCTGGGTTCAAATCCCTACTCAGCCATGAAGTTCACACAACAAATCATACCAGTCAATCTCAAGAGAGCTGATGTGAACAGAAAATGAGACTGAAAGAGGAAAAGGGAAATTTGGGAAGGGCCACAGCACACAGAAGGCCCCAGGTTCAATCCCTGGCATCTCCAGGCAGGGCTCAGAAAGGTTCCCTTGCCTGAAACCCTGGAAAGCTGCTGCCAGTCAGTGTTGACGATACTTTGGCAGATGGACCAAGGGGTTGGGCTCAGAATAAGGCAGCTTCCTAGGTACTGCAAATCCCCTCACAATCCTCCGGATAGAGAGGGAAGCTAATCTTGTCTTTCGAGCTCTGTTCATGGTTTTAGGTTGTGTTTTTATTTATTTATTTTATCATTATCATTATTATTACTGCAACATGAGGCTGTTTCAGCCATGCTGTCAGCTGAATTCCTCAGTTGAAAGGTGGGGTGGGAATAACAACAACAGAACAAACAACCACAACACACCACAAACAACAAGTTTGGCTGCATTTTACAAACAGGCAGAGTAAATGTATAGACACACACACTTCTAGTGAATTATAGCTTTCATTTAGTCAAAAACGTACAAGAGGCAGGGAAATGTAAGTTATAAGCAAGAGAGAGAGGAAGAGAAAAGAAGAGAGAAAGAAGCACAAAACTCCCCTGAGGTAAAATCTGAGATAATCATCTATGGTTATTACATAATCTATTCTTCCTCCTCCCTCCTCCTCTTCCTCCCCCTTCCTTACCCACTGACATTTGGGTCGACAGGCTAATTATCTGATAAAAGGAACACGTCCATCCTCACCCGGCACACAACCGCACACACACATACACACACACAAACATATACAATCGTTGCTCATTACAGATCAGGCTGGCTAGTAATGTATGCACAGTCACGCACCAGGAAATTCGTTCCCGTAACGAACCGGGGAGCGGGGGGGGGGGAGGAAGACCGTTCCCTCTGGCCGCCCCACACAACCCTCCCCCCTCCCCCCAATATTAAATTGGCGTAATATGATTACGTGCTGGATAAATGAATGAACGCGCTAAAGTTCATTAGAGGCGCACCGTCGCTTAATGCGGACAGATCGCTCATTACGGGCCCTGGCGTGGGGAGAGGCAGCAGCCAGCGAAGCGGCTCCTCGCCGGCTTTAATTGCCTCGTGACAAGGCAATCCACCAGCTCTCCCCAAGCCATTAATAACCGCCCGCAGCAGCCAGCCTCCCCTCCTGGAGCTCCGTCAGCCGGTAAATGAGAGGAATGAGTCCGCCGCCGCCTCTCCCCACTGCGACCGCAGACAGGCCATTGATCAAATCTGGCAGGCGAGGGGAGGCCATCTTACACGGGGCCTCGTTCTCGGAAATTCAACGCGGCTCTGGCCCGAGGCGTCCAAACCCCCTGACCTTTCTCTTTCCCCCGCCTCCCTCTCTCTCACACACAGACAGAAGCAAGGCTCCCCACACTATCCATTCCTCTTAGCATCACTAGTCCAATTCATCATGGTGATAGATAGATGATAGATAGCAGCCAAATGCGGCCCTCCGCTCCTCTGTATCTGGCCCTTGGGACTCTCTCTAAGACACACTTTCTCTCCCCCAGGCCATGCCCCTCACAAGTCCCACTGTTTTTGCCTGGCTAGAAATGTGCCCTTCAACTGCAACAATGCTTCCCTGGATGGAGGGTAGAGAGGGGTGGTTCAAGTGTGTTTGTGGGAAACGGCCTACGGTGCCCAAAGGTAAAATTAGCATTCACTGCCCCGCCCCATTTTGCCTCTGGCACCGCCCACCCCTGACCTATGGCCTGGGCAGGAATATGGCTCCTGCAGTGAAGTCCTGTTTTTTAGGGGAAGCTTACAATACTATTACTCCAGCTTTCCCAGTGATTCTCCACAAAGCCTTTTAGAAGCAACTTAAAAGGTAAAGGGAACCCTGACCATTAGGTCCAGTCGCAGATGACTCTGGGGTTGTGGCGCTCATCTTGCTTTACTGGCCGAGGGAGCCGGCGTACAGCTTCCGGGCCATGTGGCCAGCATGACTAAGCTGCTTCTGGCGAACCAGAACAGCATACGGAAACGCTTTTTACCTCCCTGCCGGAGTGGTACCTATTTATCTACTTGCACTTTGACATGCTTTCGAACTGCTAGGTGGGCAGGAGCAGGGACTGAACAACGGGAGCCCACCCCATTGCAGGGATTCGAACTGCTGACCTTCTGATCGGCAAGCCCTATGCCCACAGCGCCACCTGCGTCCCTAGAAGCAACTTAAGAGGGTTTTTTTAAAAATACATGTTATTAAAGAAATAAAAAAGACGCATCACTCAGCAGGATGAATCTACTACAAACCTAATGTGATTTTATGGCCGTGGCCTCTTTGCAAAAAGGAAACCCTGAGAAAGTTGGGTCTGTGTAGATTGCTAGGCTCTTTCTTCAATCCACAAATTGCAAAATTCCCCTGCTTTTGTACTAGTGAACAACAGTTTACAGGAGTCAGGCAGCTTGCAGAGACATGAAGTTAAGGTGCCACAGCAGAGAAGGCCCCGCTTTGTACAAACTTTGATTTTAGGCCCTCTTCCCCAAACAGGAAAGTACATCTAAGCAATAATTGCAGTGTGGCTCCTGTATATGGTCATTAGTATAATTAAAAATAAAGTAAAATACAGACCATTTCTTCTGAGGGAAGCCACACAGAAGAGAGAGAAGAATACAGTGGTACCTCGGGTTACAGACGCTTCAGGTTACAGACTCTGCTAACCCAGAAACAGTACCTCAGGTTAAGAACTTTGCTTCAGGATGAGAACAGAAATCATGCAGCAGCGACGGGAGGCCCCATTAACTAAAGTGGTACCCGAGGTTAAGAACCATTTCAGGTTAAGAACAGACCTCCAGAACGAATTAAGTTCTCAACCCGAGGTACCACTGTATTCCTAATTTCAAAGCAGCAGTAATGTGGCTATTGAGACATATCTGAACACCCTCCAATAGTTCTTATCGGAATGGTGGTTTTCGTTTCAAACAAACAAACAAACAAACAAACAAACAAACAAAGCACTAGTCCCCATGTTTGCAAACTTGGAACATGTGACAACAAAAATATATGGATTCTGAATCAAAATGAAAACACATTCTAGTTATGTTATGCATTTTTGTAGTTTAGAACACAACCCAACCAGACGGTATTTGGCTCTTAAGGCAGTCAGCATCTATCTAGAGTGCATTAAAAAAAATACAACAACCACACAAACTCATAACTTCTGCCAGAGAATTTAGGAGGTCCAACTTCTTTATATTTCAGGGGGTGGGGAGAATCCATAGAATAAAATACAGCTCCAAAGGGCCTTATTCCCCTCATGACTGATATGGAGAAAGAGGAAGTCAAAATGGGATAAGGCCCACTCTGGTGAAAGGTTGTCTCCAACCAAGTTCTCCTCAGTGTACACCCACTGGAATTAATGAACCTAAGTTGAGTCAAGGCCATTAAATTCAGATGGGTCTAAACATTAGGTACAACCCTTTAGTCTTGATTAGAGATCTAAGTTTGCAATGGTTAACTATCAGGAGCCAGGCTGCTCTCCAGACTAACTTACTCCGCAGAGATTATAGTTGCTATAAAACGCTAATGAGTGCTTAACTACTGCAATATTTAATTAAAAAAAAAGGAAGAGGGGCTGTGAGCTGCTGCTAATTAACAGAAAATTGGTAATTTCCAAGCTATTAACGGCTTATTTTCCACTCATCTGAACACAGCCAAGAAACTACAGCTATAGCATAAATAGGAAGCGCATTCTGTCAACAAGGGAAGAGCTTGCTGTGAGGTGGGGCTTGCTCTCTGGTGAATTCATGGGGACTAGGAACCTGCTGCCTCAATCAATCAATCCTTCTCGGCTGCTTTTCTGTCATGAGTTCCAATGAACACCTTACTATGCCATCTGCCCTGTTTCGGGAAGCTTTTAAATGTTCGATGTTTTGTTTTATTCCTTTATATTTTGTTGGAAGCTGCCAAGAGCGGCTGGCGTAACCTAGTCAGATGGGTGAGGTATAAGAATTATTATGATCATCATCATCTTGCTTCTCCCTGTACAAAACCCATTATTTGGATATAGGGGTGTGAAACCTTTTTCTGACTGAGAGCCCCATTCCCATACAGGCAACTTTCCAAGGGCCAGTTGTGGGTGGTGCCAGAGGCCAAAGTGGGCGGAGCAAAAAGAGGAGGTTGTTACCTTTGTAAAGGAACCCCTGACCATTAGGTCCAGTTGTGGCCGACTCCGAGGTTGTGGTGCTCATCTCACTTTATTGGCCAAGGGAGCCGGTGGTTATGTGGCCAGCATGACTAAGCCGCTTCTGGTGAACCAGAGCAGCGCACGGAAACGCCGTTTACCTTCCCGGTGGAGCGGTACCTATTTATCTACTTGCACTTTGACGTGCTTTCGAACTGCTAGTTACCTTTGTACAGGAGGCTATATTTCCAGGTATGCAAAAAGCAGAGGGCTTTCAACAGCACTATAAACCAGGCATAGGCAAACTCGGCCCTCCAGATGTTTTGGGACCACAACTCCCATGACCCCTAGCTAACAGGACCAGTGGCCAGGGTTGATGGGAATTGTAGTCTCAAAACATCTGGAGGGCCGAGTTTGCCTATGCCTGCTATAAACATTCCACTGTCAGACAATACAGAGACATTAGCAGGGCTCCAGGACATATTCTAGCCAGGCAAAAGCACTCAAGGAGGTTGTGGGAGGGTTCAGAGGGTGAAATACAGAATCCAGGAGGGAAGAATTTGTGCCTAGGTCTAACCACCACCACCCCATTTCCATGTAAATACCATACTGTTTCCAAAGCAGGCCCACCCATTTCCCAAGCTTCTGATAGCTTCTCATTACCTGATAGCTGAGCAATGCAGGTTTTGCTTGGAATCCTGATCCATCTCTGCAGACTCACCCCACTTTTTTCTTTTTAAAAAAGAATAAATCGTCTAGTCCTCAGGCCCCTGGGCTCCTCACCCCTGGTTTATATGATCAAGAGGACTAGAAAAATGATTTTAAAAGAAAGACCTCTGTATCTTGGGATTCTGCCTAGGCCACATATTTCAGTACCCAAGAACTTTTCTTTTTAACCAAGCAGATTTCCCAGCTGCACAAATCCCCCACACTAAACACACACAAGAAGCCAAGCAAACACAAAGTATGTTGTGCTCCTTCCTTACATCCTGTATCAGTGGCAATTTCTCCACGGCAGCCCTTAGTCCCTTATCTGCTACATAGCAACAATTCATATATGAATATGTCTTCGTTAAGTATCTAACAGGTGCTTTCAAGGGTATTTACAAGCATGCCGCAAAGTGTTAGATGCTTGGAGATGAAGATGAAGAAGAGGAGGTTCTGCCCCCCCCCCCAAAAATATGTTTTAATACGGTTTGGGAAGTTCGCACATATGCCTAATGGGTCTACCCCACCCCTATTTTTTACACTGCGCATTATCAGCTTTACAACTGCACGATTCCCCGCACTCCCAGCTACACACTTTGTAGATTCTTTGCCACAGAATCATAGAACTGCAGGGTTGGAGGGTCCCCCAAAGGCCATCTAGCCCAACCCCCTGCAACACAGGAATCACAGTTAAAGAAGGTCAGGCAGACGGCCATCTAACCTCTTTTTAAAAACCTCCAATGAAGGAGAGGCCAACACCTTCCGAGGTAGTCCATTCCACTGCCAAACAGCTCTTCCCATCAGAAAGTCCGATCTAATGTTTTGTCAGAATCTCCTTTCTGGCAATTACAACCCACTGGTTCGGATCCTATGCTCTGGAGCAACAGAAAACAAGCTTGTTCCATCTTCCATGTGACAACTTGCCTTAAGATATTTGAAGGTGGTTATCATATCTCCTCCTCTTTAACAAGATGGGGAATTAAGAGGCTGTGGTTGGGTGTTCCTCTGACTCTTGGAACATGGATGAAACGTGGTCTGCAGCACTGGTTTTCAACGGGTCGGCCTGGACCCACTAGGGGGTCATAACAGGAGCACCACCACCATGCAAATATGTGGGGAAAGATTAAGCAGTGGGTTCCCAAATGCATGCTTGAGCTGGGTCATGGGGTCTGAAAAGCATGAAGCCACCTACAGTCATACCTCGGGTTACAGACGCTTCAGGTTGCGCGTTTTCGGGTTACGGACGTGCCGAAACTTGGAAGTACCAGAACGGGTTTCTTCTGGGTTTTAGCACTTGTGCATGCGCAGAAGCACCAAATCATGCTTTGCGCATGCGCAGAAGTGCCGAATAACAACCCACGCGTGCGCAGACGCGGCGCTGCGGGTTGCGGACGCTGCAGTTGTGAACGTGCCTCCCGCACAGATCACGTTCACAACCTGAACGTCCACTGTATTCTACAACACAAAGGGGTGCACCCGAACCTCCGCCCACTTTTGTCTCTGGCTCCGCCCACCTGCCCCATCCCCCGGCCCGGGTTTCCTCATAAGGGACCTTGTGCTGAAAAGGTCATGTAAATAAAGCAGAAATTGGCCGCATTCAAGGGGGGTTGCAACTTTGGGAACGTTAGGAAGCTGCCTTATACAGAGTCAGACCACTGGCCCATCTAGTTAGGTATCATGGCTGGCAGCAGCAGCAGCTCTCCCAAGGTTTCAGGACGGGATTCTTTCCAAACCCCGCCTGGAGATGCCATTGACCCTGGAGCCTCCTGCAAGCTCAGTAGATGCCCTGCCACTGGGCAATGGCCCTTCCCCGAGAAAACAAACATGGCCTCAATGCTTTTGGGGAACCAGAGAGAGAAAGAGAGAGGAGATTTCCAGCTGTGACAGCTCCTGCTGTCGTTCCACCCAGGGAGGCTCGCCAGCCTCCAAAACGTGTCACTTCATTTCGCATTGCCAGCCCGCCGCATGCTGACAGGATTTCCCTTGCCTCTCTCCTCGCAGGGAGAATGGTGTCGCCGGGTTGGCAGCTAGCTTTAAAGGCGGGCACATCAGCAGCCCAGCCATGCGTGGCCTAACCGCCTCTCCAGGGGTGCCCGAACACCGTTCCCTGCTACGACCCAGTGCCCCTGCCACCAGCACAGCACAACACACACACACACACACAGAGCAGCAGCAGAGGAAGAAGCATTCCTGCCTCTTCTAGAGTCACGCTCAACTCGGCGTAGAAAAAAATGCTGACGGCGAAGACTGCCAAGCAACCAGCTCAAAATCAATACAGGCCCAATGTCCTCGTTTATTCCTCCAAGTGCCGTGAGAGGGGCTCGCCCATACACGGCCACGCCAAAAACATGAACTAAAATCCAGATTTGCACCGCAAGGAACTCCCAAACACAACATTAAGAACTGCCACAGTGGGACGGACTGACGGAGTCTGGCATCTTATTCCCACCAGCTGTTGGCCACATGTCCCAGGGAAGCTCAAAAGCAAGCCTGTGGGGTGATTTGCCCAGCATGAGAGCCTCCACTTCTAGCCCAAGAATGCTTCTTGGCTACTTGGCTATGTCCTGCCTCTACATTCAAAGGCAGTAGGGCTTCTGAATACCAGTTGCTGGAAACCACAGGAGCTCTTGTGCTCGAATCCCGCCAGCCGGTTTCCCCAGGCATTTGGTTGGCCACTGTGATAACAGGATGCTGGATTAGATGGACCACTGGCCTGATTCTATAGGGCTCTTCTTATGGAGAAGAGGAGGTTAAGGGGTGATATGATAGTCATGTTCAAATATATAAAAGGATGTCACATAGAGGAGGGAGAAAGGTTGTTTTCTGCTGCTCCAGAGAAGCGGACACGGAGCAATGGATCCAAACTACAAGAAAGAAGATTCCACCTAAACATTAGGAAGAACTTCCTGACAGTAAGAACTGTTCGACAGTGGAATTTGCTGCCAAGGAGTGTGGTGGAGTCTCCTTCTTTGGAGGTCTTTAAGCATAGGCTTGACAACCATATGTCAGGAGTGCTCTGATGATGTTTCCTGCTTGGCAGGGGGTTGGACTCGATGGCCCTTGTGGTCTCTTCCAACTCTATGATTCTATGATTCTATGTTCTTCACAGACAGTGATGCAACTCAGGCTGTTGCCTGATTTCAGGGTTGCTGAGTTCTACTCAAAAGTAGATTCATTGAAATTAATGGACCTCTGTTAGTCTCACGTTCATTAACTTCAATGGGTGCATTCAGAGTAGGATTAGCATTAGAGACAACCCAGTAGATTAATGAACTAGTTAGTGGAAACCATTTAGCCTAGTGAGAAGATGCCCCTCCCCAAAGATCTCTGAACTGTATTTAAGCTTTCAGCACCACCAGAGGTAATAGTGAAGGCTGGTCATTTTTCTTCCTTGTTTTCAACCTGCTCATTTTGACTTTGCCTTGCATTTGTTATGTGTTATGAAGTCTAGATTATTTCACTGACCCACAAGTCACAGAAAACCATGGTTTACTGGGAACATGCTGGTCTTGGCCACTGTGCTCCTTCCCTCTACTGCAGGGAGGGTGCAAACCACAATCTCTAATTTAGCATTGTTTGAGCCAAGGATGGGGATTTGCTTGCCCTCCCAGGAAACCAGAAATCTGTAGCTAAAGCTTTTTCCTGGCTTCTTCTTCGAGGTAAGTCAGGAGCAAAACAAACCTCAGTCTCTAGTCTGGACACAATGGCTGGGATCACATGTCACGATAAACCATAGTTTAGTGTGAGTGAGTTGTTGTTGCACCTGGTCGGGGAAGGCTGTTCAAAAGCAACCAAGGTGCAAACCAGGGAAGAAATGCAGAACCGACTGCTCTTTTGAACAGCAGCAGTAGCAGAGACGCCCTTCTGGAATCTGCACGCAGGCTTGTGCTAAATCATAGAATCATAGAGTTGGAAGACACGACTGAGGGTCATCTAGTCCAACCCTCTGCAATGCAGAAAACCTGCCCACAGCTGTCCCTGGTTGGGCTCGAACTACCAACCTTCTGCTTAACAGCCAGGTGCACTGACCCATTGTGCCATGTGCAAACAGCCTCACCAAACGGCTAATAACAAGATCGCCCAATGCTCAGAGCCTTTTGCTTTCCCTTTGTATATTTCTGTGTTTATTTAGGGAAAAAAAACATTTTAAAAAAACCCTTCCAAAACCAATCCTCACATATAGCCAGCAATTCCCAAATGCTAAAACACACCGGCAGCAAATGTCCAAAGGGATGCTCTTTTCCTAATTCCCTCGCAACTGCGAGTGGGGGGCTTTCCCGGTGTGCTCTGGCTGCTACAACTCCTGCTTTCAAGAGAACAAGACAACTGCAAACCCCTAGTGGCCAAAGGGGAGACTGCGGCTCTCCCCACCCACCCCAACTTCAAAGTCCCTGCTGTACCTTTGACAGACAGACCGCCGACAGCATCTTCCCCTTCTTCAGAGTCACTGTCCAGCTCAAAAAGGTCCTTGAACTCCCTCTTATCGTCCTCCTTCTCTTCGCCTGGCTTCTTCCGCTTGATTTCAGGTAGGTTCAGATCTTCCATCTGTGCCAGGAGAACAGAAAACTTTAGTCCTCCCCGTTTCAGTCAAAAGCATAAAGCAGCAGCATGACAGCCCATATAAATATATCCCTTGCTCTTTAACTGAAAAGAACTACACACACAATTAAGACAGAGGCTGGGGAACCTATGGCTCTCTGGACATTGTTGAATTCCATTTCCCATCAGCCCCGGGCAGCATGGCCAATGGTCAGCGATGACGCAGCTGGCAGCCCAGCAATATCAGGGAAGGCCGTAGTCCTCCCCCCACCTGCACCCCTACACTAAAGGTTCCTGGGAGCTGAAAACCCCACCCAGAAAGGAGGCTCACTGTTATGCCTCTGCATGAGTGGCTGCTTGGGCTCTTATTAAGATTACAATAGGGATGGGCCCTCTAGTTGTTGTTGTTGTTTTGGACCCTGGATTAAAGGCTCCAGGAAGCTGGAAGCTCATTATTATTAAAACAGGGAAGCAGAACCTGTGGCTCTCCAGATGTTGCTGGACTCCAGCTTCCATCAGGCCCATGCCAGCACAGCTAATTGTTGGGGATGATGGGAGATGTGGTCCGGAAACATCTGGGAAGGTCTCAGGTGTCCCATCTCTGGCTCAGAAGGACACTGACAAGAATGATTCCATCTCCAGTCTGTTCAAAGGGCATATTCCAGCCAGGCAAAATTACTCAAGGAGGGTGCGAAGGAGGGCCAGGAAGGAGTGTGGTCTAGGAAGAGGTGTGTGGTCTGAGGATCAGAGAGAGAGGGCTGGGGGGGGGTCTGTATTTGGCCCCTGAGCCTCAGCTTTCCCATCTGTGTCTTACCCGCTCTTTGCCGCTGATCTCCAGCTGAATCTCCTTCTCCCTCAGCTTCTTCCAATGCACATAATATGTCATCAGCGGAGTCCCTTCCTCTCTGACCTTTTTCTCCCATTGCTCCTGTCAAGGTAAGCAAGAAAATACCGTTGTCAGCTGCAAGTGATCACCATCTTAAGAGCCAGCATGTGAGCATATCTTCACAGCTTTCCCCTCCCCATCCCCCTGGAGGCAAGTCATAGTGTCTGCATTCCTATGGCCATTTTACAGCTGGTGCAGCTGAGGACCGAAGGGGAAAGGGCAGGCTATTTCTCATTATGACTCCAGCAAAGGAGTCGTTCAAACAGTCGTTTGGGCATCCCCATGATTCCTTGATATGCCGACTTTGATCCACTGGATTAGTGCAGCCAAGAGAAGTCTTCTTCCCCGCCCCCCCAAGTCTAGCACAGCTGTAAGCCTAAAGGCCAACCATCTCAAAACTTTGTCAGCAGATGGAGGCTGTGTAAAAAGCTTTCTGTGTGTCAGCCCAAGTCAAACAGATCCCGCCACATCCTCGCTCAGAAACTGATCATCAGAGATAAACGGCCTCTGAACAAGGAAGCCCAGAAGCATTGGAAGGGAGGAACCTCAAGTGTGGAACTCTTCTCCCCACGGAGATGCACCTAACAACTTCGCAGAACAACTTCTGCTATGTGCCAAAAACATACCTTTTTACCCCAGCCTTTGACGGTCAAGGTATTTTGTTTTGTGGGAACCACCTCTTTTTGCTAAATTTACACTGTTCTGTTGTTAAACGGTTTCATGCATTTTATACATACAAAGTACAGTGGTACCTTCTCCCTCAGCTTCTTCCAACACTTCAGGTTACAGACGCTTCAGGTTACAGACTCTGCTAACCCAGAAATAGTACCTCGGGTTAAGAACTTTGCTTCAGGATGAGAACAGAAATCATGCTCTGGCGGGAGGCCCCATTAGCTAAAGTGGTGCTTCAGGTTAAGAATGGAACGGAGCTCCGGAACAAATTAAGTACTTAACCCGAGGTACCACTGTACTTGAGGATCACACAGCCTGCCTCCAATCCCTGAATTAGGCCATGATTTGCCTTTACTGCCCCTCCTTACCTCCATCACCTGACCACTGAGCCATGCTGGCTGTGGGCTGACACAAGTCCAACAAGTTCTGGAAGGCCACACAAGCTCCCCCCCCCCCGCCACTCTACAGGGCTGTGGTTACGAACAGCCACAGAGGTCTCTAAATAATTTTATCATAAAGGCCAGAGATCGTAAGGGATTTCCACCACGGCCTTAAAAAATATTAGTGGGCGTCATGAAACGAGAGCTCTGGGTTGTTGTTGTTTTTGTGGGCTGATCTCTTTTTCACAAGTCGACTCAAGCGAGAGTCGGCATCCACGCCCAGCCCTCCTCTTCCTTCCTGCCTTTGCGCGAGGCTCCGCCAAGCGGCAGTCAGAGCCCCTCTCCCGAGATGCTGAGCCAGAGAGAGAGAAAAAACAGAGACTCACCACAGCCTCCCGGTTAGCGACGCCAAAGGTGGCTTTCTGCCGCTTGCCGGTGATGTAGGCAGAGTTTTCCTGCAGCTTTTCCAAGAGCTGACGGATCGTCTTGCAGTAGTTGGCAACTTTACACTCCTTCAGGAACGACTTCAGCTGCAGGAAAGGAAGGAGACATTCCACGAACTGATCCCATTAAATTCCCCAACTCTGCTCCTTACAACTTTATATTTCGCAGTACGGCACAGCTGCCAAAAGAGCAGGAAAGCATGGAACGCAGGATCCAGGATCCCACAGGAAGCTGCCGTGTACAGAGTCAAGCCACTGCTCCGCCTGGCTCAATACCGTCTACACTGACTGGCAGCTGCTCTCTAGGGTTTCAAACAGGGAGTCTGCCAAGGACTGAACCAGGGACCTTCTGCAGGCTTTACCACTGAGTCACGGCCCTTCCCTTAAGGCATAGGAAGTTGCCTTATACTAAGTCAGACTGTTGGGTCCATCTATTTCAGTATTGTCTACACTGACTGGCAGCAGCTCTCTAGGATTTCAGGCTAGCCCCTACCTGGAAATGCCAGGAACTGAACCTGGAGAGCTACTGTAAGTCAGTGCAGAAAATACCGAACTAGATGGACCAATGGTCTGACTCAGTATAAAGGCAGCTTCCTACCCCTGCCTTACATGGCCCTAAGAAGGGGAGGGGGGAACAGACCCCCACCTCTCATTTCTAACTGATTGCAGCTTGAGGTTTGAACTTTGTTCGAAGCTAGCCATTTGCATCTTTCTCTCCCCTGAATTGCCCCACTAGTCACTGGAATTTTGGGCTCAGAAACCCCCGCCGCCTGAGCTGCACATCTAGAAAAAGCATGGTATGCCCAGAGTCACCCCCAAATCGTGGAATTCACTTGTGAGTGGGGACGACATCACAACATCAGCACATCATGCTACAGAAGGGAAGGAGAACCCGATATGGTGCTATGTTCCTTATAAACATGTTATTTGGAATTAAGGGTACGGGGTTAGAGAGATCCAACTTTTTGACCACAATCCACCAGGGCAGTTCTTCTGTACAAGCTCTATTGAAAGGATCCATAGTCCCCCAGCTTTAAAAATAAAAATGGGAAACTTAGAACAAAAAAAAGTTCATTTAGTCCAGAATCCTGTTGGGCAACCAAATGCCTCAATGGGAAGCCCGCAAACAGCACCTGAGCACAACATCAACTCTGCCCCCCTGCAATTGGCATTTATTTTATTTCTTTTTTTTTTATTTGTTGCATTTATACCCCATCTCCCCCTCACCCAGGAGCTCAAGGTGGCTTACAACAGCTCTCCCGCTCATTTAATCCCCAAAACAACCCTGAGAGGTAGGTACAGCTGAGAAGTAGCGGCTGGCACAAGATCACCCCACCATGAGCTTCATGGCCGAGTGGGGAATCGAACCCTCATCTCTCAGGCCCTAGTCCAACACACTAACCCAGAGCTTTCAAACTGTGTGTCACGACACATTAGTGCGTCGGCTGCAGTGCGTAGGTGCGTTGCGCAAACACTCCCTGCTCTCCCTCCTGGGGCTGGAAAGGGGTTAGTTTAACCTCCAGTTTGCTAGTTAAAGACACCCAAGTTAAGTAAATGGGTACCGCTCCGGCGGGAAGGTAAACGGCGTTTCCGTGTGCTGCTCTGGTTCGCCAGAAGCAGCTCAGTCATGCTGGCCACATGACCCAGAAGCTGTACGCCGGCTCCCTCGGCCAGTAAAGTGAGATGAGCGCCGCAACCCCAGAGTCGGCCACGACTGGACCTAATGGTCAGGGGTCCCTTTACCTTTAAGTTAAGTGACCAAGGCAGGGGCGTCTGGATCTGACCGCAGCTGCCAAGCACAGAACACAGACACAGAACTCTGCTACACGCAAAGCCAGCTCAGCATCCAAATGAATGGTCCCCCTCCCAAATTCTTTCCTTAAGACATTCTTTCTCCTTGCTTCCTTCCCACTTCCTCTCTCTCTCTCTGTCTTTCACAGTCTTTTCCCCCAGGGCATACGGATGGGGATGAAGCTCGAAGCCTGCGTGTTCGTGCTAATTGCAAGCATCCCCCCTGGTTGCTCCAAACAGCCAGCCAGCTCAGATTATCCTCAGAGATTGAAGGAGGACAGGCAGCTGTTCCTTCCCTACGAACAACCTTCTGGGGCAAACGAGACCACCCCAGGGTTCTGGGCAAAGGGTCCAGGGATTAAAAACCAAACATTCCCTCTCCTCTGCCCACTACAGCCTGATTCCCTAGAAGGTTGTAAAAGTCTCCTCTGGAGATCCTTCCAGCCGCGTTTCACGAATGAGGCAGGCCAGGATGGGAGTCCAACCCCACGCCCAGAGGGAGGGGGTGCAGGGGGTGGAATTCCAGGAAAAGCAAAGCCCTGCAGAGGCGTCTTTAAGAGAGTGGAAAGGAAAGGCGTTCCCCCAACGACACTGCTGCAGACAGGACTCCCACCCCAGCAGAAAGGGAAGCAGTGAGGGCATTTTTAAAAACACGTCATTTTCAGAAAGTGCCGTAGCTCAGTGGTAGAGCATCTGCTTTGAATGCAGAAGGTCCCAGGTTCAATCCCCAGCATCTCCAAGTGGGGCTGGGAATGTCTCCTGCTTGAAACCCTGTCAGTCAAAGTAGGCAATTCTGAACTGGATGGCTGCTATTTAGAAGTGGACACGGGGAGAAAATGCAACTTTTAAAAAAATGTATTTAAATGAAAATTTCCACATGGAATTTGCATGTTTTGAAAAACTGCAAACTAAATTATTTACTTTGTTGGCGACAAGCCTAAATCCTCCTCAGAGCAGTCCCACTAAAATTAATGAACCAGATTCAGTCATGGCTATAGATTTCAATGGGTCTACTCTGAGTAGGATTGGGGCACAATCCTTAGTTATTTAGTTGTGGTTTTATAAACGGTAAACAACCAAACTTTCTTCAGTGCACAATAAAATGAAATAAGCTAAGATATAAAAGATTGACAAATTAAGCAAACTAAAGGTAATGGGTTGCATCCAATGCTAGTCCTACTCAGTGTAGCTCAATTAAAGTTAAGGGATCTACTCTGAGTAAGACTTAATTGGGTCGCACCCCAATAAAACCACTTCTACAATTATTATTCTGTGGGAAGGGCTGTAGAACAGTGGCAGAGCACATGCTTTGCATGCAGAAGGTCTCAGATCCAGGCATGGCACGGAGTATCCCCTGTCTGAATCCTTGGGAGAGCTGCTGCCTGTCAGTGCAGACCTCACTGAGCTAGATAGACCAATGGTTTGACTCAGTATAAGGCTGCTTCCTATGTTCCTAGTGCAGAATTTGGGACTGACGGGTGAACAAATACAAAAGTGATGCAGACCAGAAATAGGGCATGTTTGCTCACCGCTAATAACCAGACAACTTCCTGGATGAGCAAGACTTCTGTAGGTTGTCAAGTCTCTGCAGTATCATACACAGGGAACAAGCTCAGTCAGGATCCCCATTATAGAGGGGCAGGGCTAACCCAGAGAGAGAGGTGCCTTTTCACCCAAGGCTAGTTTTTTGACACCTGGACGCACCTGGAGAATAGTTGGGAGGGCGAGCTCCGGAAAACCGATTGTATAGGCCTGGCCGTGAAGATATTCCAGAATCAGGTCATATAGCTGGTCAATGAGCCCATCCTGTGTGTGAAAAAGCAGGAGAGGGGGGACTTGTTAGAAAGAGAGAGGAAAAGCAAGTGCTTGTATTCTGCTGTCCTTCCACCACTGAACTCAAGGCAAAGTATATGGCTTCTCCATCCAGGTGATCTCCCAGCCAGGCACTGAGTGGTAGGGAATCTGATTTGCATGCAGAAAAAACAGCTTCAAGCTCCAGCTTCAAGCCTTAGCATCCCCCGGTGTGGCCAGGCATGTCCCCTGTCTGAAATTCTGGAGAACTGTTGCCATTCAGTGTAGATAGGCCAAAGGCAGTTTTCTATGCACCCATTTCAAGGAGCGCTGAATTCAGAACCATGAGGACTGGGAACTTAATGCTCTTTTTAAAAGGAGGACCATAGTTCAGTCGCAAAGCACCACTCTGAGCTTCAACCTCGAGCATCACCAGTTATCAATGATCAATCAGGTAATGGAGAGCCGCATCCGATGAGAAGAGACCGTGGCGGCTGTGGTGCTTAAACTACAGTTCCCATCATGCCTGTTCAATACTGTGCTGGTTGGGGCTGATGGGTGTTGGGAGTCCAACAACACTGGGATGGAGCATCAGACGGGTGAGCCTCCCAAGACCCTCTGCCCAGTTCAGCTCTTTTATAACGAAGGACACCTGCACCTTTCATACAGCTGGCCAAATCAGAGTCCAGACGTTACATATATAATGACTCATATTAATTACTTCTGGTGATGCTTAATTAGACTTGGTTTCGTAATTAATTAGGTGGTGCAGACGGGCTTACGGTTAAGTCGTATTCACTGCCCGCAGGGTGTCCCCCCAATTCTAATTCTATAGTACTCAAACTAAAAATTTTACTAGAGAACTGCAGCTCAGTGGTACAGCATCTGCTTCGCATGCAGAAGGTCTCAGGTTCAATCCTTGGCACCTCCAGGCAGGGCTGGGGAAGAATCATTATCTCCCCCCCCCCCACACACCCAAATCCTTCTGCTTCTACTTATTTGAACATTTCTTTGAAGGGCAGACTATAAATAACCACGCAAGCAAATATGGAAGATTAGGATTTCATAAATTGGGCATTTCAAAAGCTGCTATTCCGAAAAGCCAGAGGCTGGACCACGCCATCTCTGCCCCCAAAGCCCGCCCCTTACCCGGAAAGCCTTCTCCTGAAGATTGGCATTGGACAGCTTCAAGATAACGGAGAAGTTGATGGGTTTTGAACTCATGCGTCCTGGTTTCTTGTTGAAGTCTACCTGCTGGAAAACCTATGAGATAAAAAGACACAATCTAGTATTTACTATTTGCTCAGGAAGGAATTTGGTGTCATGCTATTATAATCGTTCTGATGGCACAATGATTTCTACTTGTCAGGTAGAACAATTCTCCTCTCCCACCTCCACCCCCTTTGCTGTCCTGGGACTCTCCTGAACCTCCAGAGGGGATTTGGGAGATATTGGGGGGGGGGGAATGCCTGGGGGGGTGAGAAAGCCCCATTGCATTAGCAAGAATCTTCCCCTAGCAAACCGGGTTAACTGAACCCACCATTCAAAGCTGTTGGTGTACATGCCATTTTACAGAGTGTCAAAGTTCCTGTGGGTACAATTTTCACCCCTCACCCAACTTCCTGAAAGCTCCCCTGCTACCACCTAGGGGTGACCCAGAAGCTGCATTCACACATCACAGGAAGCCGAGACCTCCGGCTCTGGGGCGAGTGAGTAAACATTGCAGTTTAGCGCAATGCCTGAACCTGGCTCGCTAGCCAGACTTAAGGCAAGGTTTTGCTTCTGGGCTATACTTCCAGGGTCGTTAAAGAGAAAAAGCAAAGAATCACGCTGCACAAGCAGAATGGCCAACTAAGTCAAAGCTCTTGGCTACGAGATGAAGCAGGGTCAATGCTCTGTAATTTTCACTGACCTTCTCAACGACCCTGTGAGGCTGGGAAGTGACAGAGAAAACAGGTGCCCTTCTCCCAAAGCCACCCCGGTGAGGTCTATGGCAGAGAAAGGATCTGAAGAAATACTTTAGATACGATGAAAAGCTTGCTGTGGTTAGAGCACCATCTCTAGGTAGGGCTGGGGAATGTCCCCTGCCTGAAACCCCCTGCAGAATTGTTGGCAGTCAGTGCAATGAACCCTGTGCTAGATGGGCCAGTGGTCTGACTCTGTATAAGGCAGCTTTCCTATATTATTCCCTCCCCCTAAACCCAGCCATTTCAAACAAATGAATCAAACCCCAAACAACACAGATAGTGCTGTATCATAAACTCCTTTTCAAGCCTCCCTTAAATTTCAGAAGCAGTTTGATACCTAGCACTGTGTGTGTGTGTGTGTGTGTTTCTGTGTGTGTGTGTGTGTGTGTGTGTGTGTGTGTGTGAGAGAGAGAGAGAGAGAGAGAGAGAGAACACAAACAGCAGCCCAAATCTGCCCCCCCCCGCCAGAGTTCAATAAGCTAAACTGCGGAGGGTACACAGATGTTGGGTCTTCCTTTGCCGCGCAACACCTGGTGGAACAATATTCCACCACCCCTCCATCTTCCAGAATCACTATTCATTCCCTTTCCCATGTCCTGGGCCTCTCTTTCTCTCCCACCCCCCACCCTTGGAGTCCAAGCAATGGGGCCCTCACACATCCGTCAGCGACCCACCATTTAAAGAGTCAGCTGAGTGCATTTGCGTCTCTCCTCTTGTGACTCTCTGAGCTTATCAGTTAACCTTCCTTATTCCTACACCCCCCCCCTTAAACACACACCCAAGGAGTGCGGTGGGGGAAAGAGATGGGTTTTAGATTGTCAGAGCAGCCTTGCCCCCTATGGGGAGGTGGGAGGAGCAGGCGAGTTAGAAGGGAGAGAGACATGGGGGAAAGTTTTCCCACCTTAATTTACACAAACCTGCCTTCCTGTATTAAGTGTCTGAACAAGGGCTACTGCCGGTGGTCAAACTTCTTGGCAGTCTGTGTGAATTGATTCTTTAAGTATGCATTGTTATTGTTTTACACTGTATTTATGTACACACAGGGAGAGTTTTTATCATTTTTTAAAAATGCAATCATTTTTTTTTCAATTTTAAAATATTTCTGTTTCACGTATGCTTTTATTATATAGCAAATCACTCCAGGAAGCAATCCCTAAATGGAAATAAATAAATAAAATCAGCTTCCCAAGTGCCGCCAAAGAATAAGGAATGCCCTCCAGCATCCTCTTAAACATAAGCAGAGCCGGATAATAAAATAATAGCAATCATTAGCTGTAAAGTAGAGCCGAATCTCAATCTCCTTTCAAGTAGGACTGAATCCCAGCAAGGACCCACCTTGTTTTGTTTCTTCTGATTGTAAGTTGTTCTAAACAGTTTTTAATACTGTAATTTAAAGTCATCAATCCCTGCTGGGACCTTAGAGCGAAAGTCAGGGGGTAAATAATTGACAGCAGAAGCTTTGAGCAGAGTCCTATCCTAATAATAGCAATAATAATAAACTTTTAAGTAGAGCCAAATTCTACGATTCTATGAAATCCTCTGAAAAAGAGTAAGAATAAAAAGTAAGACCCCCTTCCCCCGGCCTTGCCCCCTACCCTATACACTGAGACCCTTCCAGACGCCCACTCAACCTCTCCTGAAACATGTCTCACCCCTCAAGAGAGGGAGAGGGAAGGGAGAAGCCGCCAGTCGGGGGGGGGGGGGAGCAGGGCAGGTGCTCTTCGCGCCAGAGCAGCCAAGGCGGCTGTCAAGGCCCATCACTGACACGACTCTTATCTCCGGTGGCAGGAGCCAGGGGAATTCCAGCACCTGGAGGGGCGGCAGAAGACCTGCAGGCTGTCAGCGGCGGGTGGTGACAAGGGCAGGGGGGAAAGCAGAAAGGGGGGGGGAGCACAGTTAGAGAAAAGAGGAGCAGCAGAAGGCCCCTTTCCCTGCTGTTACTTTAGGATGAGAGCAGCAGGGAGGGGAGAGTAATTGCATCCTTTGTCACGCAAAGCACACGCCAGGATTCCGGAGAAATTCATTTGAACGGTGGAAATAAGGTGACCTCAGAAGATGGGGCTGGATCTTAGGAACATACCAGGCCTGTCTAAATAAAAAAGAATGGTCACACACACCCTGCCCCATGACAACGTAAGTCCTTGCATGGAGAAAACTAGCACTTCAGGGTTCTGCAGTGGCGATCTCTTTGGTGTGCCATTTTCGACACGTAGCAAGTTTTGTTTCTGAAAGGGAGGAGGGAATCAAATACATGAAGACAGTAACATAGGAAGCGGCCTATACCGAGTCAGACAGTGGGTCCATCTAGCTCAGTATTGTCTGCGCTGACTGGCAGCCATTCTCCAGTGTTTTAGGCCGAGGCCTCTCTCAGCCCTACCTGAGAGTCAGCCTGCGATCATCATTTGCATGTAGAGCATATGCTCTAACTCAGGACCTCGCCTACAACACAGGTGCTTAACTTCTGGGGAAGTGGGGGATGCTGGCTCATCTTCAGTGGCCTAGTCGCTCCCCACCCCCCAACCTGCGAACCTTAGACAAGAACAGCTCACAGGCTGCTGTGGGGACAACAGCTCAGAGGCCTAAACTACCTCACATTGCTGTTGTCAGGACAGCATGATCCTACTCAGAGTAGACCCACTGGAATAAATGGACGTGACTAATCCTGGTCCATTGATTTCAATGGGTCTGCTCCTGAGCAAAACTAAGCCGGATGAGTGTGTGTGTGTTTCTGTGTGTGTGTGTGTGTGTGTCTATATATTGTTGTTTAGTCGTTTAGTTGTGTCCGACTCTTCGTGACCCCATGGACCAGAGCATGCCAGGCACTCCTGTCTTCCACTGCCTCCCGCACCTTGGTCAAACTCATGTTTGTAGCTTCAAGAACACTGTCCAACCATCTATATTTATATATCTACCTATCTATATCTCTATCTATCTTCTCACAAAAATACTGGAACCAGAAGATTGAAAGGAAGTTCCGCATTTTGAGAAGCTTATTCCCACACAAACTTCCTTCTTATAAAGGGGCTGCTTGTCTTCGGTGAAGAGTCATGAACCAAGATCTTCCCAACGCAGGCACTCAGTCCGTGTGCGCCGTCCCCACCCGCCGTGGGCGAGCTGCCTGTTGCATGAGCCCAGCGCCATCGGATGTGGTCGCTGGCGGAAGCCAGGAGGAAAAGCACGCTGAGACCACGGGGGCGGCTGGGCTGATATATGTGGCTTGCCACGAGGGAGGAGGCGTCGCCGCTGGGACCCTGTTATCTACCGGAGGTTGAGGGCTGGGAGCTCAGCAGCGCAGCGGGGAGCGAGAAGGAGGAAGGAAACAGATGCACGGAGGGGAACAGCCAAGAAGCCGCAAGGGGTCCGGGAGAGAGAGAGAGAGAGAAAGAGGGAGAGGAAGAGTGCGGAGGGGGGCCTTCGCTGGCTGCTGCAGGCGGAAAGGATGTGGTTAACAAACGGACGTTTGCAACGACATAAAAAAAATAACCACAGGAGGGTTCTCGCTTACCAGCAAACCACGGTGGCTTGGCTAATTCCCAGGCAACGGCCTCTCCCCAAACCACCACCCCTCCCCGCCCCAAACTTCGCACCGTCTGCCATTTCTCCTTTTCCTTCCCACCCTCCCCTTTCAAAGAGCACAAATAGCCAGATGCCGGGGGAATAGTTAAGCAGGACAGTGTGTGGAGGGGGCCCCATAATGAATGCAAGCAACAGATCCTGCACAGAGGTTGCTACACAGCTGAGTTACGCTGTAGGATTTGCTCCCAAGTCCGCATTCGCAACCCATGCTTAAATCACTGCGATACCACTTGTGACAGTTGTGGCTTCTTCCCACCCCCCAAATAATTCTGGGAACTGTAGCTTGTTAAGGGTGCAGAGGGTTGTTGGAAGATTCTCTACTCCCACCCACACACACAAACTCTGCAGTTTTCACAGGGAATTCTGGGAACTATAGTTCTGTGGGTGGGGATTGGGGGGGAGGTCGTCTAACTACTCGCAGAACCTTTTAATGTTCTACAGCTCCCATAGTTCTTTGGGGCAAGCATTGGCTGCTTAAAATGGTATCACAGCACTTTTTATATATGGTGTAAATGTGGCCCCACACGATGCAGTTCTCAAGAGGCAGCTTGCAGCTCAAATTTGGGGAAGGGGGCAGATTCCTAGGGGATGCGCAAAATTTGTCCCAAATGTGGAGGGCAGCATAGCAGCCGCCTTCAGCACAACCCCTTGGGTCCGGTTACCAAGCCCAACTAACTGAAATAACTGCAAAGCAAAACTTATGAGAGGGAGCCATTCTGGACCTGTAAGAATCGACATTACAGCTAAACCTTTATCAGGCCAACAACATTTCAAAACAGTGTGCAAGCTTTGGAGTCCTCCAGAACTCTTCATCGCCGGGCCAGATGGCTGCTGCTTTGGTACCAAGCCAAGTTTAAGCTTTTGCTGTTAACATAGAAAACCCTAAACAAGACTGTTCTATGCATTTAAAGCTGTATCATACCACTTTGAACAGTCACAGCGTCCTCCCAAAAGATTCTGGGGACTGCGATTTGTTAAGAGTGCTGAGAGTTGCTAGGAGACTCCTATTCCCCTGGCAGAGCTTCAATTCCCCGAGTGGTTTTCTCAGTCAGTCCCTCTCTTCCCAGGGAATTGCAGCTCTGTGAGAGGAACGGGGTCTCCCAACAACTCTCAGTACCTCCTTTACAAGATTACAGTTCCCATGATCCTTTGGGGGAAAACATAATGGTTTAAAGATTACACTTCCCATGATCCTTTGGGGGAAGACATAACAGTTGAAAGATTACAGTTCCCATGATCCTTTGGGGGGAGCCATAATGGTTTAAAGCGGTGCGATGCCGATTTAAGTGGATATTGCAGGCGGAGCCCAACTTGGGAGCAGTTTGTCCGAAAGACCAGCCTGCACACTGAAATCCACGGAGGACGCTGTCTTGGTAGCAGAGCCGCTGGTGGTCCACCCTGTGCCCACCTGGAAGAGGTCCTGAACACACAGGAAGCTCCTTTAGATTTTATTACTGCGCCATGCACACTGATGAAAAGAGCACTCACCTCCAAGATAAAGGGCAAGACAGGAATGAATGTCTGAGTGCTCTCCGACAGCAGGGTCAGGGCCCGGGCGCAGTGCATGCGCAGGGGGTAGAAGCGAGCTGTGGGCACCAGCCTTGCAGGGAGAGAAAGAGGAGAACGGTCGTCAGCCACAGAATCAAAACTCTAAATCGTGCTATAGAGGTTTCTGCCATGAGAGCCAAACCTGAGAACTGATTTGTTGGCAGAACAGCTTCACATGTATTTCTACAGGCCTTCTAATGCACACTTTGTCCACCAGCAGCAGCAGGACAAGGCAAAGGAACAGCAAGAATGGATGAACATAAGCAAAATGCAGTTTTGCATTTACTTTGGTTTGATTTGAGCCAGGGATGAACACTAAGGAGTTGAAAGCATGGCTTGAAAGTCCATGAGACAGAAACTAAGCTAATAAGGCCTCAGCCACTGATTTTTATTTCTTTACAGCAAGGGTGGGTAGAGAGCCTTTAGCTCTCCAGAAGTTGTCGGGACTCCCACATCCCTTCAACCCCAGGCAATATGGCCAACAGTCAGGGATGATGGGAGATGGGGTCCAACAGCATTAGGAGGACCAGAAGTTCCCCACACCTGGACTAGAGGCTTCTGGGAGTGGGAAGTATTGCTCAGAAAGGTGGCTCCCTGTTACGTCTCTGCATGAGTTTCTGCCCTGGATTTTATTAAACTGGAAATGCAACATTTCCTTTTTATTATTATGACATCTATATATAGCAGTTACGTATATAAAAACAGCTGAAATTACTGCATAGATAAAAGTAGTGTTTAAAAAACAATTATAAATATTAAAACTGATTAAAAACTACACCAGCCTATAAAGTAAAATCCATGCAAGTCCAAAGCAGATTTCAAAAAAGTTTTTAGAAGATGGGTTGAAATACAAATGTCCTTAGCAGGCAACAGAAAAGGCAACAGAGAAGGTGCCTCCCTGTAGTCTCTCTGCACGAGTGGCTGATCTGAAGACTTGTCAAAACAGGGATGGGGGAACCTGTGGCTCTCCAAGCATTACTGGACTTCAACTCCCATCAACCCCAAGTAGCATGGCCAATGGCCAGGGATGATGGGAACTGGGAGCCTAACAACATCTGGAATGTCAAGAGCAGGCATTAGGCAAACTACAACTCCCATCATCCCTGACCACTGGTCCTGTTGGCTAGGGATGATGGGAGTTGTAGTCCCAAAACATCTGGAGGGCTGAGTTTGCCTATGCCTGGTCAAGAGGTTCCCCATTCCTGGTACAATCAGGGACAGAGTTCAAGGGTCGCCATCCCAGAACAACTGCTCCGCTTAAAAAAACGGAGAGATCTACAGGAACTCACACCTTTCTTCCTGCTTCTACACCCTCTGCAAGTCCTTCCCACTTTTCAAAGTCATTCCCTGATCACAGCTCTTGTTCTGAGAAGCAAATCACATCACACTGCTCCCCACTCCCACCCCCACAAAACGGCAACGGCGACTGCTGAGATTGTAAAAACCAATGAGGGCGAGAAACTGCATCAGCCGCACCATATAAATCACACACCACCCCTTCACCCTCACCCCCACCCACCCACCCGCCAAATAGTGAAATAATTATCACTGGATCCATTATGGAAATAAATCTACTTTCCCGCCCCCGGAGACCTGGCAACCGGCGAAAGCGATGACGAAAACCTTCTACAGGAATTAATTGATTGGGGGATAAACCTGTTAAAAGGTATAGATTTACTGTAAACCAAGGCCATTAATTTCAGAGAGCGAGGCAAGGCGACAGCCAGCTTAAAAACTTCCCAGCGGCGAGGGACAGGCCTGGAATGAAGTATGTGCCAGGAGAGTTTGTCGCCGGACCAGCTGACCGGTGAGCCGCGAGACAGGAAAAGGCTGGAGTACAAGATAGGTGGTTGCCTGAGGAACACAGAAGCTGCCTTCTATCGACTTGGACGACTAGCTAGTATTGCCCACACTGACTGGCAGCTGCTCTCCAGGGTTTCCGGCCTGGAATCTTTTGTAGCCCAATCTAGAGATGAAGGGGGTTGAACCTGGAACCTTCGCCTTACAAGGCAGATGCTCTTCCACTGAGCTACAGTCCTTCTTTTAATACATGGGAAGCTGTCATCTACTCAAACCATTGATCCATCTAGCCCAGTGCTTTCCAAACCTGGGTCTCCAGCTGTTGTCGGACTACAACTCACATCAGCCCTAGCTAGAAGACCAGTGGTCAGGGATGATGGGAATTGTAATCCAAAAGCAGCTGAAGACCCAAGTTTGGGAAACACTGGGCTAGCCTACTGTGACTCACAGAGACAGTGTGGCATAGTGGTTAAGAGTGTCGGACTAGGACATGGGTAGGCAAACTAAGGCCCAGGGGCCGGATCTGGCCCAATCGCCTTCTAAATCCGGCCTGCGGACAGTATGGGAATCAGCATGTTTTTACACGAGTAGAATATGTCCTTTCATTTAAAATGCATCTCTGGGTTATTTGTGGGGCATAGGAATTCGTTCATTTCCTCCCCCCTTCAAAATATAGTCTGGCCCCCCACAAGGCCTGAGGGACAGTAGACCGCCGCCCCCCTGCTGAAAACGTTTGCTGACTCCTGGGCCAGGACCTGGGTTCAAATCCCCACTCAGTCTTGAAGCTCACTGGCTGGCCTTGGGCCAGTCACAATCTCTCAGCTGAACCTACCTCACAGGGTAGTTGTGAGGGAGAGAACCTTGTAAACCACTTTCGAGCTCTTTGAGAAAAAGGTGGGCTAAAAATGCAAATAAATAAATAAATAAATGTCTAGGTAGGGATGGCAATGGCTGCTGTCTAAAACCCTGGAGAGCCTGTCCATGTCGACAGCACTGAGCTAGCTAGACCAGTGGTCTGGCACAGTATAAAAGGAGCTTCCTGTGTTCCTGGTTGGCAAATGAGACACCTTCTCTAGACACAGAACCCGCAAAGCATAAATGTTTATCTGCTGCCAGCCAGTGTAGGCAACACTAAGCTCCCTACATTACTCTCAACCAAGAAAATTACCAAGAGGAGCAGTAGCCGCAGTTATATTTGTGGGGCAAAACCTTATTAAAACATTCTGGAATTCTGCGAAGACAGTAGGGGTGTGCAGTTGTGTACCTCAGGACACAAAACAGTTGAACTGCACACTCGTGCAGTAAGTTACACGCAGTGTTCAACCAGTGTCTTGCCTGTTTACATTTGAGAACAAGTGCTGCATAGTGATTAGGGTGCTGGAGTAGGACTAGGGAAATTTGGGTTCCAATCCCCACTCAGCCACGAAGATCAGTGGGTGGCTTTGGGCCAGTCGCTGCCTCTCAACCTAAATCTACCTTACAGGGTTGGGGGGGGGAGGTGTATGCCACCTTGAGCTCTTTGTAGAAAATATTAACAGTGGCAACACCTGAGCTAGGCAAGTGTGCCCACTTCCACACAAAGGCCTGTATATGTAGCGACAGCTTGTACCTGTGTTCAGGGTAATGTGTGAACAAGCCTAGCATCATGTCTGAATGTGGTTGCGGTGCGGTTGGTGCCAACGACAAATGAACCACGTTCAAACTGCCTGCCCGGTGGGTATCTTTGGGCAAAGTATTTGCAGCAAGAGGCACCTCAGAAATAATTACATTTTAAAAGAAAAAAAGATGGAACATTTGAAGAGAAAAGAAGAAGGGTGGTTCTGGGTATATGTGATTAACTTGGAGAGACAACCCCCCCACCCCGGCCGCCCTTATATTCTTCTCAGTCCTAACTACACACACACACACACACACACACACACACACACACGTTCTTGGCAAAGCATTGTTTTTTTAACACAGCAACAGCCAAAATCCATTCTGGCAGCCGCACACAGCACTCTTGAACCCCCAGGCCCACATTCCTGCCCCACAACTCTTCCCTCAAATCTCTGTCAAACCGCAGGAAACGAAGCCCGACGAGCCCCCCCCCATGCGCCAGAGGGTGGGGGGGCCTTCGGAGGCAGCGGGCGAAAGGAGTCAATTCCAGCTTCTGTCGGCAACCCCTGTGCTGCCTAGTTATCTTGTTTAAGCACATTTAAAATTCTGCCCTGGTTCCTGCCTGAAGCAAGAGAGCTCCCGCGGACGGCATTAGCTTCCACTCTCGTTTCTTCCGCGGCTCCGTTTCTCGAGGGCAAAGCGCCACCTTCTGGGCAAAAAAGTAACCAGCACGGTGCGCTTCTCAACCACCCGATGTTTAGAATTAAAACAAGCCAAAAGCGTTCCTTCTAAAATCTGTTGCCATTTTCTTTTCTTTTCCACCCCTCTCCTCACATTTAAAGTCAATAACTTGTGAAAAGCCACTGTGGTGTAGAGGGGGGTAAGGATTGAAAGGCATTAAGAAATCGATCTTTATCAAATACAGTGGTACCACGGGTTACATACGCTTCAGGTTACAGACTCCGCTAACCCATAAATAGTGCTTCAGGTTAAGAACTTTGCTTCAGGAACAGAAACCATGCTCCGGCGGCGCAGCGGCAGCAGGAGGCCCCATTAGCTAAAGTGGTGCTACAGGTTAAGAACAGTTTCAGGTTAAGAACGGACCTCTGGAATGAATTAAGTACTTAACCCGAGGTACCACAGTGGTACCTCAGAAGTCGAATGGAATCCGTTCCGGAAGTCCATTTGTCTTCCAAAACGTTCGGAAACTAAGGCACGGCTTCGGATTGGCTGCAGGAAGCTCCTGCGGCCAATCAGAAGCAGTGTCAGACATTTGGGTTCCAAAGAACATTCGCAAACCGGAACACTCACTTCCGTGTTTGCAGCATTTGGGAGCTAAAACGTTCGAGTCACAAGGCATTTGTCAACCAAGGTACGACACTATTGTTTTTTCATGGTCGATGGCCAGGACTGATGGGAGGTGCAGTTCAAAAACATCTGTAGGGTCAAACCTTACCCTCATGTGTTGACAGGTGATGAACCAAATTTCCAGAGCTCCACTGGAAGGCTGTTTTCAGCTGAAAACTCATGGTGCTTTTTAGCATTTTGCAGGAGCTATATCTGAAAACTATTCGATTTCTTAGTGCCATTTTGAGGCTCGGCAGATGGCTGCAAGTTCAGCCCTTTGTATTTTCCAGGTAGGGCTGGGAGAGAACCCAGCTTGGATCTCTGGAGAGCTGCTGCCTTCATTGTAAACAATACCAAGATAGATGGACCAATGTATATTGAGATGGGCTCAATATAAGGCAGCTTCCTCCGTTCATATGTCTTAAGAGAAAAGCTTAATGAGTCAAAGCACTGGTCCACCCAACTCAGTACTGTCTACACTGACTGGCAGTGGCTCTCCCCAGGGATTCAGACAGGGTTCTCTCTCAAGTCTACCTGGAGATGCCAGAGACTGAAGCTGGGGGTCTTCTGCATGCAAGACAAATGCTCTAACTGACTGAGATACAGCCCTTTTAAACATTCGTAAGAGACCAGTTTGAATTTTTAAAAAGTTTGTACAAATGCGAACAACCGATCTGCACAGGTTACTCTAGATGCAGAATATGGATGGAACAAGGACCTCTTCATGCTCCATCCATATTCTGCATCTAGAATAAACAGCATACCTGATTTCTAACGTTTGTGCGAACTTTTAAAAATTCAAGCTGCTCTCTCTAGATACAAACACCCTCCATTTTCAAAGCTTTTAGGGCCTGTTTAAAAAAAACAACTTTTGCACACCATCCCAAGAGCCGTCCTCTTTTGTGACAGTCACCAGCAAAATTCCGCTCCTCTCCTCCCAGGGACCTGCTGAGCTCACCTTTCCGGGAGGCCTCAGAGGCAGCTGATTTATCTGCTTAGACAGGTGGAAAACTGCCTCAGCTCGTCCGCAGGACAATTAAAAGCCCCGCTTAAGTGACGGAAAGACATCTCGGGGGGTGAGGGAAAGAGAGAGATTGAATGGGGGAGAGAGGCGAGCTCTGGAAATCGTTTAAACCTGTTTATCTTCATCAACACTCAGAGGAGCCCGGAAACGCAAGCAACGTAGGTGTTTTTTTTTTTAAACCAACCGTGCAATCTGGACACGGCATTAACAGGATTTCTGGAGATTGCTGGAGTTTTAGAAAATTTACTGCACACCCATTAGCCTCCAAGTGTGGTCCCAAAGCTCGGAATCAGCTGGTGTGGGCCTGAGTGTGTTACGTGTGTGTTTCAAATAACAAAAACATTCAGGGTTCTTCATACACGTATAGGTTTGCAGAAATATGTCAAGAGCATCAACAAATCTCAAGCGGCTCCTTTTCAGGGGCCATCACTCATTCTGGATACTTTGTGCTTATGCTGGTTTATGATGTTCTAACCCAGGGAGAGCTGCCAACATGGTGCCCATGGGCACCAGTGTGCCCGCTGGTATGTCCTATAATGCCCACAAAAAGCCTCAGTAAATTAACCCTCAAAATTTCAGCAAGGGCTCAGCCTCTCCAACACTGAACATGCCCCCTTAAACATGCCCACATCTCACCGGTGCCAGGATTAGACGCCTGCCCTCTTTTTCGTTGCAGGTGCAAAGAGCTTCCTTTTTACCCTGTCTGCAATACGGGCTGAAAGCCATATGATACCACTTTAAACACTCATCGCTTCTCCCAAAGCATTCAGGGAACCATGATCTGTTAAAGGAGCCAAGAGTTGTTAGGAGACTCCTATTCCCTCTCACAGAGCAAGAATTCCAGGGAAAAGGGACTGCTAAACCACTCTGGAAATTGTATCCCTGGGAGGGGAATAGGGGGTCTCCTAACGACTCTGGGCACCCTTAACAAACTACACTTCTCAGGATTTTTTCGAGGAAACCGTGACTCTTGAAAGTGGCATGATACTGCTTTAAATGCATAGTGCAGATGTGGCCTCAGTGAGTGGCTGATGGAGATTTCTCCCCCTCCCATAGGGCAGCTGTGCAGGATTGGGATTGCCCACCCTATTTTTGTTGGTCCTGTCTCCTCCCCCCCCCCTTCTTTCAACGTGGTGGCCATTTTGCAACATGCCACCCACCTCCCGGCAGACATTTTGAGACTGGCACCTACGTCACTTTCTCAAAACTCCAAATGAAGCCCAGAAGGCAGGCCAATTTCCATGAACAGGTAAACCAGGAGATGTCATTGCCTTGGGAGTTGGAAGAGGAGGGAGCCCAGCTGAGACAGAGACTAGAGTGCCAGCGGCAGATGAGTTGACCAGTTCCTGGTTCTCAGCTAATTGACCCAGATAGAGGAGCCTGGGTCCGAGGGCCCATTGAAGCAGATGCCATGACCACCACAGGTGCTGTTCCTGAATCCAAGGGACTGGGGGTCCCATCGCCATTCCTCCACCCGCTTTTCCTAAATTAATATATTTTGAGAGTGGACTTGTATGTTTTGAGAGCCATACAGCATAGCACTAAGAGCGTCAGACTAGGACCTGAAAGACCAGGATTTAATTTCCCCATTAGACCAGAAAGCTCACTGGGTGCGACTCACAGCCTGACCTACCTCACAAGGTTGCTGTGAGAATAAAAGTGGAAACAGGGAACAGGATAAAACCGAAGACATAAGAGAGAACTTTCTTCGCCAGCTTGAGCTCCTCGGAGGAAAGGTGGGATATGAACACATGGGTTTCGAAAGGCAAACAAGCGAAAGGCAAGCCTGACACAGAGGAAACGAAAGACTTACTTAATGCAGCCTATGATGACTTGGGTCAACGGGTAGATCAAAGGCTCCATGATGTCGTTCGGATGGATGGTGCTCAGGACCCGACACCAGAAGTACAGGCAATGGACATACTGCCAGTTGTAAACAGACTGGTAGTTTTCCTGAAGGGTGAGGAAAGAGGTAAATAGAGAGATCTTCTAACAGAGGTCACTGAAGAAACATAATTTATACAGTTGGGGGGGGGGGGGAGGATCTTATTCATTGTCAGGGAACTGCCATCGGACGGAAGGGAGGTGAAAGGGCTCACACAGGTTGGGAGAGACGCAGCAGCTGAAGAGGGAACCAGCAGGGAGGTGAAAGGGCTCACACAGGTTGGGAGAGACGCAGCAGCTGAAGAGGGAACCAACAGGGAGGTGAAAGGGCTCACACAGGTTGGGAGAGACGCAGCAGCTGAAGAGGGAACCAGCAGGGGAGAGGAGCTGAGCTGGAGGGATGGCTCAGAGACACTTCCAGCGAAAACAGTGGGGAGGTTTCAGGACCTCCTGTAAGAACACCCACTCCTCGCCGGAAACTGTCACGCAGAGATTCCAGAAGACGTGTTTCCGTTAAGGAGCTTTTATGTTGGAAGCGATTACGAAAGCAACCACTGTCGGAATCTGCTAGTGACTAGAGTAGCCATGTCTGAGGGGCTCCGTCACAGACAGAGGTTTGTGGACTTGAACAAACTCTGAGGGGATACGATTTTACGCACAAGCAGTTAATCATCCCATATCAGCATTCCGACAGTCTTTGAAAGCAGCTTGTGCAGGAGAAGGCATCATGAGCAACCCAGCCGGAACCGGAGAAGCAGGAGCTGGAGCGGGTCCAAGCCTGGAAGAAAGGTACCAGATGTTGGAGGTCCAGCTAGCGATGCAGACGGCGAGGCTTGAGGAGAGGAGGGCTCAGGATGCAGACAAAGGGGAAAGCCACCCAGTTCGCCAGAAAGGTACCAGGATTGGTGCAGAAGTTTGGGGGAGCCCAAAACTATCATGGTTTTCGGACAGAAATGCAATATGCACTCAATCTGCAGTTTGATGAATTCCCTGACGAGGAATCACGAGTGGCTTTCGTGATTGAGCATCTTGAAAAGGGGCGAGAGACTGGGTTAGACCCCTGATGGCAGCGAATAATGACGTCTTAAAGGACACGATGAAGTTCTTTCGCGCCATGGATCTGATGTTTTCCAGCGATATTGAAAAGGGAGTGGTGCGCAGACAGTTAATGGGTTGCAAACAGGGAGCCGATCTGTCCGTGAGTACTGGACTGAGTTCACCATGCTTGTTCACAGATTGGGGTGGGACTTATCGGCGGAACCCATTCAAATGCTCTTTGAAGAAGGGCTTTCTTCGGCTGTGAAAGACGAACTTTCCCGGGCGCCCAGGGCGGAGTCTATGGACCAGCTGACCAAATCAGCGCTGGCCATAGGAGCGCGCCAGGAGGCGAGAGCATTGGAGAGGCGGGAAGGGGAAGGGGAACGTTGGAAGGAGTTCCGCATTCCAGACATTCCAGAGCCAACTTTCCCACCGGCAGAGCCGATGGAAATCGGAACAGCGCGCGCGCGCAGTTTCAAAGCCCAGTGAGGGGGCAAAGAAGGAGGGAAAAGGCGCCCGGAAATGCTATCTCTGCCAACAGCCAGGTCACTTTGCCAGAGTCTGCCCCCAGAGGAAAGAATGGCAAGGGATGGTAGGAGCTGTGGATGGAAGAGAGGAAAATATACCGGAGCAAGTAAAGCCAACGCCTGGCTGCCACTGTCAGGGCACAGCAGCCAGGCCAAAGAGCAGTGAGAGTGCCCACGCCAGAACCTCCTAAACCCGCCCTAGTGATAGAAGTGACGCTAGAGCTGCCAAACGGACACCCTCTAAAGATAAAGGCGCTGTTGGACTCAGGCAGCTCCTGCAATTTCATGAGCAAGGAGTTTGCAGCTGAACACCAGATACAGACAATCCCTTTAAGCAGCCCCTGCAGGTGACCACGATCGATGGCAGGGAGCTGTTGGGTGGAGAAGTCAGCTTGCAGACCGTCCCAATGATAATGAAGGTAGCAAGACACACCGAACTGATAGCTTTTAATGTGGCCACCTTGGGAGGAGCTCCCATTATATTAGGGATGAGCTGGCTAGCGTTACATGATCCGCTGGTGGGCTGGCATCAGAGAGTGGTTTCTTTTGGTTCAGCACATTGCTTAGAACACTGCAAGGAGGGAAAGGGTTTGGCAGGGGTCCAAGCCACCCTAGCAGGGACTGAAGTAACAGAGAACGTGAAGGTACCACGACAATATGCAGATCTCCGTGACGTCTTCAGCGAAAGGGAAGCTGACCAACTACCCCGCATAGACCCTTTGACTGTCAAATCAACTTACTCCCTGGAGCACAGCTCCCTGTAGGCAAGCTGTATGCCATGTCAGACAGAGAGATGCAGGAGTTAAGAGAGTTCATTGACAAGAACCTGAAGAGAGGGTTCATCAGAGAGTCCAGGGCGGTGGGGGGCAGCCCAGTGTTTTTGTGGATAAGAAAAACACGAACAAGCCGAGGCTGGTGTGTGACTTCAGGGCCTTAAATGCAGTGTCAGAACCAGTAGCCTTCCCTATGCCCAGGATTGACGACATTTTGACAAGGGTGCGGAAGGGAAAGATTTTCACAAAGCTGGACCTAAGGGGGGCGTACAACCTGGTACGAATAAGGAAGGGGATGAATGGAAAACCACTATGTTCACCCCTTTAGGGGCATTTGAATATTTGGTTATGCCCTTCGGCCTACAAGCAGGCTCCGCAACATTTCAATCGTTTATGAACCACGTCCTGGGGCCTTTGCTTTACAAGAATTGTGTGGCCTTTTTAGACGACGTGTTGGTGTATTCTGAGAATGAGGAGCAGCATGTGAGAGACGTCAGAGAAGTGTTGAGCAGGCTGCCAGCCAGCCTGCTGTGGGTGAAACTGGAGAAGTGTCAGTTTCATACCAAGGAGGTGGAATTCCTGGGGTATCGCCTGTCAGACAAGGGATTGGCCATGGATCCCGGCAAGGTCCAGGCGGTGCTGGAATGGAAAACACCCAAAACAAAGAAGGATGTGCAGAGGTTCCTAGGATTTGGGAACTTCTATCGTAAGTTCATCCGAAGCTTTGCCCACCTGACGGCGCCCATTACGGACTGTCTCAGCAGTAAGAAGAAGTTCGTGTGGACTGAGGAGGCGGAGCGAGCATTTGAGGAACTAAAAGGGCCTTCGCCTCGGAACAACAACTCCTGCATGTGGATTTACAAAAACCGATGAGAGTGGAAACTGACGCATCAGACAGAGCGATTGGGGCGGTGCTTCTGCAGCCAGGCAAGAAGGGGTCAGAGTGGAGACCGTGTGCCTTTTTTTTCGCGAAAGCTGAACAAATCCGAGAGGAACTACACGGTGTATGACCGAGAACTACTAGCCATTCATGAGGCGTTCCGGAGGTGGAGGCACCTGCTAATTGGCGCACAACATAAGGTGCAAGTGTGCACTGGCCACTCGGGGACCGGTCGTAGAAGAAAGAGAATGCAGCAGCCGTGTGGCAGAAATCCTCGACGCCAGGTGGAAGGGGGATCAGGTGGAGTATTTGGTAGCGTGGGAAGGAGAACCGGAGTCAGAAAACACTTGGGTAATGGCTGAAGATATCAATGACGAGGTATTGATAGAAACGTTCCATCAAAGGTTCCCAAGGAAACCTCAGCCTGTGGAGAGGTTCCGGTGATGAAGGGAGGAGTTGGAAGGATTCCCGGACTCGGAAGGGGAGATGGACTCTGAGGAGGAGGTGTACTTCGAGACCAGGAACCGCAACAGGTTGAGAGAAGTGTTCGAGACATCGGAAGATGAAGGAAGTTCATTCCGAGGTTTTGCCTCCTCACCGCCCGTAGAGGAGGGGGCGAGAGGGGGTGAAGGGGGCCCTGGAGGGGAGGTGGATGTCAGGGAACTGCCATCGGACGGAAGGGAGGTGAAAGGGCTCACACAGGTTGGGAGAGACGCAGCAGCTGAAGAGGGAACCAACAGGGAGGTGAAAGGGCTCACACAGGTTGGGCGTGGCGCAGCAGCGGAAGAGGGAACCAACAGGGAGGTGAAAGGGCTCACACAGGTTGGGAGAGACGCAGCAGCTGAAGAGGGAACCAGCAGGGGAGAGGAGCTGAGCTGGAGGGATGGCTCAGAGACACTTCCAGCGAAAACAGTGGGGAGGTTTCAGGACCTCCTGTAAGAACACCCACTCCTCGCCGGAAACTGTCACGCAGAGATTCCAGAAGACGTGTTTCCGTTAAGGAGCTTTTATGTTGGAAGCGATTACGAAAGCAACCACTGTCGGAATCTGCTAGTGACTAGAGTAGCCATGTCTGAGGGGCTCCGTCACAGACAGAGGTTTGTGGACTTGAACAAACTCTGAGGGGATACGATTTTACGCACAAGCAGCTAATCATCCCATATCATTCATATTATTTATTTATTTACCATTTATCCTCATTTACAAATCACATTCCTATAAAAACATATTGAATTTGTTGGATGATAGAAATATATATACCATAGATATCGAGGAAACTCCCGATTGACGCGCACCCAACTGCACGGCACCGAACCTGGAAGTGACTGTAATGTCACTAAAACAGCAGAACACGGGAGGGGCAGAATGCCTTTTGCAGGCCCCAATGTAACAATTTCAAATGCAATGCAGAATCAATGCAAATATGAATTGCATATCCTGCTTACTGACCATCAGGCTCTCAAAGCTGTTTACAAAGTTAAAAAAGCACAATTGTCACTTCTTATCATCTCCTTGTCTTGCTCCCAATACGTTATTCAGTGTTTCCCAAACTTGGGTCTCCAGCTGTTCTTAGACTACAACTTGCGGTATCCCTGACCACTGGTCCTGCTAGCTAGGGATGATGGGAGTTGTAGTCCAACATCAGCTGAAGTTTGAGAAACACTGCCTTAAGTCAATGATTTGATGGGAGCTGGGAGTCCAACGACATCTGGAGGAGCAGTTTCCACTTCCCCACTGTAACCAGTCTTAATGAGAGCCAGAGCAGGCACTCATGCAGAGACACAGCATGGAACCTCCTTCCTGCATGGTGCTCCTAGCTCCCATGAACCTTTAGATAGGGAACCTGTGGCCCTCCAGATGTCACTGAATTATAACATAATCCCTGACTACTGAACATCCCCACATCTGCCTTAGGCCTGACTATGGAGGCTGGCACCCATTGCCATTTTTGTGACTGATTAAAGCAGCACCACTAGAAGAAAAAAATTAAAAATCCTAGGCATTTTTAAACTCTGCCTGAACCATCTCACTTTTTCTGCCACTTGGGGGTGCTGGTTCTTCCACTGATAACTTTTTCTTTTTTAAAATTGACCAGATTGGAGAGGAATCCCCTAAACATATTTTAAAGTAGCCTATGCCTCTCACATTGCCACACTTCCCAGAGTGATTTAACAGTCAATCCCTCTTCCCAGGGAACTCAGGAAATTGTAGCTCTGTGAGGGGGAATAGAAGTCTCTTTAGAACTCTCAGCACCCTTAAACTACGGGCCCCAAAATTCTTTGGGCGAAGCCATGGATCTTTAAAGTGGTATAATACTGCTTTAAAGATATGGGGTTGATGGAGACAAGATGTGACTGCAGGTGTGTGCAAGAGCTTGGGGGAGGGTAGGTTTTGCATTCCCATTTCTTTTTGCAATACATCCTTTGCTTGGTTATTCAATTGTTAAGACTTCTAGAACTGGAATTGTAATGCGGGGATCACAGCAAAAGAATCCCTGACAGACAACCACCGAACTTCTGCTTAGAACTTTCATTGAAAGAGAGTCCACCGCCTTCCAAGGCAGGCCACCCGACTGCCAAACAGCTCCTCTGTCAGAAAGTTAATATCTCACATTCACATTCCTTTAGACTCGAAACACACCAAAAACTTTTGTTATGTTTCTGGCATTCATAGAAAACATTTTCTTTCCTCCCACACCTTCCCAAATTGGTCTATTTATTATCTCTCAGCAGTTTTTAATTCCTGTTGGGTTTTCATGCTTTAATACTGTTTTAAGATCTGTATTATTATATTCCATTTCTGCTTCTTTATCGTTCAGCTGTGCTGTATTTACTTCTTTTATTGTCAAGCAAAACGCCACCTTGAGCTCCTTTGAGGAAAGGTGGGATACAAATGTAGTAAACATATAGGTAAATAAATATTGCATTGCACTGTTAAAATCCATTTTAACAATGTTTTCGTGATTTTCATTGTCTTGTTTTCTTACTTTAGCTGTAAATTGCTTTGTGGTTTTTGGTTTTTTAAGAGGGATATATTGAATAAACCTAAGCATAAAAACATAATGTGGTTGTCACCATAAGATCATAATATTGCAGGAAAGGCTATGAACACTCAAAATGCGCTGCACAAGTGCAAAAAAACCCAGTTACTTTTGCATGGGGAAAAAGGCCATAGCTCATGTTCAGAGCATCCATTTTGCATGCAAAAATCCCAGGTTCCCTCTTGAATGTCATCTCTAAGTACGGCTGGGAGAGACTTCTGCCTGAGACCCTAGAGAGCCTCAGTCAGTCAGAGTAGACTAGTGTTACTCAAAGTTGGGTCTCCAGCTGTTGTTGGACTACAACTCCCATCATCCCTAGCTAGCAGGACCAGTGGTTAGGGATGATGGAAGTTGTAGTTCCAAAACAGCTGGAGACCCAACTTTAAGAAACACTGGCGTAGCCCATACTAAGAACTAGAGGAACAAGTGATCTAACTTAGCCTAAGACAGCTCCCTATGTCTTAAGGCAGGCATTCCCAAACTCGGCCCTCCAGATGTTTTGGGACTACAACTCCCATCATCCCTAGCTAACAGGACCACTGATCAGGGATGATGGGAATTCTAGTCTGAAAAAATCTGGAGGGCCAAGTTTGCGGGTATAGGGCATAGGGCATAGGGATATAGGGCTTAAGGCATAGGGATGCAGCTTAGTGGCAGAGCACCTGCTTCTTATGCAGAAGGTCCCAGGTTCAATCCTTAGCAGCTCCAGGTACAGCTGGGAGAGACTACTGCCTGAAATCCTGAAACTCTGTTGCCAATTATGGAACCATAGAGTTGAAAGGGATCCCAAGGGTCATCTAGTCCAACCCCCTGCAATGCAGGAATCTCAATACTGAGCTGGAAGGACCAGTGGCCCGACTCAGGATAAAGGCAGCTTCCTATGCTTCTGTCTTTCCCCTTCATTTACCTATTTGCCACTTGCATTGTAAAATGGATGCATTATCAAGATGGGGAGTAACAATAACTCGGGACCGACAGAAATTTAATCTGCGCCTCCCTCGCTCTGAACTGCCTCTCCCACCGTGGAACTAACTGGATTTGGGTCCTGTCTGGCTCACGGCTGAGGGTCTGAGAAGCCAAACAGATCCAATTAAGGTCCTAGACTTTGGTTATCTCTCCTCAGCTTATCTGCCATGTCTGAGCATCTTTTGGGAAGGGGGGGAGAGAGAAGGCTTAACATGGTAACCAACCCCTGCAAGCACCAGGGGTGTAAATCAACCCACTAATCTGTGTCGGTATTGTTTACTTTAAAACACCAATAAAGAGGGGATTAGCAATTTGCTTTGCATTAAGTCCACGTCAGACTGGATGAGACCCCAATCTGGGGATGGAAAGGGATAGGGAGGGTGGAATTACCTGCTCTCTCCCACCCTATCTTACTTTTCCTCTGGTGGCTGAGTGGCGGGGGGAGAACAGGAGACACACAGCTCTAATAGGGTCTAGGAGGACCCAGGCTGCAACAGATACAAAAATGGGGGCAAATGACAGGTTGCCAAAAAGAAGATGGGGTTTTTTTGGGGGGGAGGACAAAGTGGGGAGACTCTATAATCTTCTTTGCTACTTGGTGGGGCTTTCGGTTAATGCGATGAAATGCAGATTTCATATATCAACAGAAGACACGCCAGAGCAGAAGACAGCTGATAAAGCCAGGCTGTTGTTGTGAGGGATATCTTTTTTTATTCACACCCCACCCTCAATAAAGACCAAGCGACAGATAAACAAAAAATATCAGCACCTCTCTAAGGCTGCGTACACACTGTAACTTTAAAGCACATTTGAGGAGCATCCTTTTTTCTGAAAGAAATATGAGCACTGTAGTTTGTTAAGGAGAATTGCAACTCTGCAATTCCTGCTAGGTGAAACTATAGTGCCCAGAATTCCTTGAGGGTAAGAAAGTGCTTTAAAGGTATGGTGTGTAGATAGTCGATAAGTTATACTCCAGGTGTATCTTGAGCAATGGAACTAAATGGGAAGATTCAAGACCTAGACAGGAAACAGGAAGTGCTGGGACAGGAAGTTAGGGAATGCGACCCTCCCATGATCTCTCTGCAGCTTGACCAGAGTGGACTGGTGTGTGAGTCCACACAGAACTGAACAAAGATATCTCACCTAGTGCTATGAGACAGGAAGAAAAAAGTCTCCCTATTCACTTACCATGTCACCTCTTACTTATGTTTTCACAAAAGTATAAAGCCCCAAATGCTACAACCTTTCCTCACAGAAAGTTACTCCATCCCTGTGGCACCCTGGTGTGCCTTGAATTATGATTGGGGTGCCATAGGCAACACTGGCCTCTGTATCTCTTTCCCTCCCTCCTCTGATGCCCTCTCACGTCTCTGCCTCCCAAAGGCTTGCACAGCTGTTGGTTGCAGCAGCCTTGGCTACAAACTCCATGGGCGAATGTTGCCTCTGGGGCTGGCCAAGAGGTGCTGGTTGCCAGGAGCTGAGGCAGCCTCAGATTAAGCAAGCAAGCAGGCGAGGGAGCCCAGCCAGCCCTTGCTGTTGGGAATGGACAGGCAAGTCCCAGGCCCCTGAGGGGCGGTGTGAGGAGGCACCTCTCTTTGGGGCAAGGGGGGCAGCTCAGAGACCAGGGACGGCATCAGCAGCTGCCCAGAGGACTCCCAAGGAGAGGGAATAGAAGAGGAGGTTGACGGAACACTCAACAAGGGAGGAGTGAGAGGCTGCCAGCTCTGCAGGCAAGGGGCGACATAACTGGGCTCCTGAGCCCCACAGGGGTGCCGCAGAAGCTGGTCAAGGAAGCCGTGGACTCAAAAAGGTTTAAAACCTCTCCCCTGGATCATTCTGGTTGCCCTTTCCTGAACCTTTTCAAAACTCTACGATACCCTTTTTGAGCTGAGGCAACCAGAACGGTGCACAGTATTCCAAATGCGGTCACACCAGAGATTTGGAAAGCAGCATTGTAACTTGCCTTCTTCTTCATGGCCATGGCACTGCGCAAATGGATGGCCAGCTGGCGGATGTAGACGAAGGCATGCTGGTATGAGACGGAGGTGTCGAGGGAGTACATCTCCGTCAAAGTCCGTTGCATGAAGTTGATCATAGGGAGGACATTGGGGGAGGTGAACCTGGAGTTCTTCACGTAGGAAATATACATTTGCTATAAAGAAAAAGGTGGAGTTTGCGGGGGGAGGGGGTTGGAGGAAACCAGAACAAAGTTTATTTAATTTTAACAAAAAGTATATCGGCCACTTGACTGTAATATAAAACCTCTGAGCCTCTGGCAAGAATACATTAAAGCCATTCAATAAAAGGCTGTTAAAAACAAGCTTTAAAAACCATTCAAAAGATAATTCAAATCAGCAGTAGTCCCTAAAAATGCATTGTGCCTTAAACGTAAATGTAGAAAAAGAATTTCAAATCCAATACGGTTGCCGAATGAAATAAAAAAAAAGATCCTCTACTTAGAAGGCTTCTTGGAAAAAAATAGTTTTCTTTTATTTCTTTTTTACACTGCTGGGCTTCGAGAGGTAACCCGGAAGGCAGACTTGCCATGGTTTTAAAAAGCAGCAGCAAGGTATATGGAGGCCCATATCTGACTGTGGCCACTGTTTGAGGCTGTCATCAGATCTAAAGGAGGGGCAGGTGGGAGCTTTTATCCTGCTCTACTTTATAGGCCTCTGACCATCGAAAAACATCCATCCATTCATTCATATATATATATCCTGTTCTAGCAGGGCTTGGTGCTAGCCAGGTAAGTGAAGGCAATAAACAGATTAAGAAGGGCAAATCCGAGCAGGCAAAGAGGAAGTCCAGGGCAGTGTAGGGAAGAGGAATCAAGGCAGTTCAGGACCAAGGACAGCTCCCAGTGGGCCCTGGTGACTGAACTATGGAAAGACATTGTTTCAGCCAAGGCCCTGAGTGTATGGTGGCAAGGCCTCTAAAGTCGTACCTTGTTTTGCGGCCGGGATCTGTTCTGGAGCCCTGGCCGCTAGCTGAAAAGGACGCAGGGCAAAGTGCCACGTTTGCACACGCTCACAGAGCGGTTTGCGCTTCTGCGCATATACGAAGCGTGATTTAGCGCTTCTGCGCATGCGCGAGCAGCAAACCCGTAAGTAACCCGTTCCGGTACTTCCGGGGTTGCCGCAGACGGTCGCCAGAATGGACGCTAGACAAGGCGGACGTTTGTGGAGGTATTACTGTACTACTGCTGGACCAACCTCCTTGTGAACTCTGAAGCTGGCTTAAAGATCTGATTCTGCAGGCACTGACTTCTACGCTACGGAAAGGACAGGGATGTTATTGGGGGGCACGCATAGGAGTCTGAGGAAGGTAGGAGTGCTCTATCCTCAGGCCACAGCAGGGGCATGAAGGGGTGTGGAGCACAGGCATAGCCAGGATTAGGGTGGTGGTGGGGAGAGACTTTACGTAGGGAGAGCAGAACCAAGTTACCTGCGACACAATCGGTCAGTTAGTTAAGTATTTTTATTTATTTACTTGATATCTGGGGGGGGGGGTGTAGTTGCACCTCCCTGGCTACGCCCATGGTGTGCAGCACCGTGTATTTCCTCCTCATCCATGTCTTCTTTAGGGGAGTAAGAGGGGCCAGCTTCTGGGGCCATGACACCTGTGGCCCTCCAGGTATCACTGGACTACAACTCCCATCATTCCTGAGCACTAACCATGCTGTTTGGGGCTGGTGGGAATCCATGATCATCTTCAGGGCTGCAGGTTCCCCCGTCATGATCCTGAGCCTTTGGACTCACAGTAGACAATAGGGGACCAATGCCTTCCCATCAATAGTATGGCATGCATATGTTGAGGTGGCTTTTCTCCACCACCTTACCTTAAGAACTGGGTTCAAGTAGACATCTTTTTTATGTCGGCAGATTTTGTTGAGCACCAGGAAAGCCAGCACCCGAACGGTTTCCTCGCCTGTGCTCCAGAGACGGGTAGCTTGCTGGAAATAAAGAAAAGAAGAATCAAGAAAATGCACACACAGACCAGCAGACAGGTTCCCAGTCCGCTAGCTTCCACCCAATCTCAAAACACAGACCACCTCTGTTATCCATACAACCTGTCCTGGAAGCTTAGGGTGACAATCAGTTGTAGGTGTGTATCAACTGATAATATTCTGATAACTGGGGGCACATTTTTAATCTAATTATTGACTCATGTTTATTTTCTTACAAAACAATAGTTGGTAAGAAGCTTCTGAGGAACACTACCATCTCCTCGCTCACACAGGAGTGAGCGCCTCTTCTAATGCTACTTTCAGAGGGTATTTCTTCCTTTTCTAAAAGAACTTAAGATCAAAGTTGCCAATGTGGTGCCCTCCAGGAATTTCTGGACTACAACTCCCATCATCCCTGACCACTGACCAGAAGGGCTGGAGTTGTTAGTTCAACAATATCCAAAGGCTGCCTCTGAGTTAAGAAATTCTGCCCGGGTTTACTTTATTCCTCCTCCCTCCCAATCACCTTTCCTTTTTTGCCGTGTCTTTTTAGATTAGAAGGGACTGTCTTACCACTTATCACTGACATTTGTAAGCCGCTATGGGAGTATTTTTTCTGCTTTTTTGGCTGAAGAGCGGCATTAAAACTAGATAAATAAATAAAGCACCAGCTGCCGAACTCACCTTGAGCAGCATCCGAGTTTGTTTTGGAAAAGTCAAGAAATAAGGCACGATGGAGCTGACGTGCTGGAGGACAGCTGCTCCCACAGAGGCTTCTGTCAAACATGAGAGGAGCTGCAGAAATGGGCAGAATGTGCGGGAAACATTAAAACCTGGGTGAGACTCACAAGCTGCAATCTCACCAAATTGTACATCTATCTCTTAAGCTGGTCAGAGGCACACAAGTGCCCCTCCTTCCACAATGTTCAACCGAGGGACCAAGCCAAACATTGGATTCCACTAACTGCAATTGAGGACCTCCACCCACCCACCCCAAACCAAGGTTTGAGCTTCCAAGAGTAAAGCAGCCAAACCACAATTGCAGGCCTGATTTGCTTTCCCCTGGAGGCAACAACTATAGTTTATCTGTTCCAGAGCTCACTCCATCCTCTGCCCATTGGTCACAACAGACACAACTGCCCTGGGACAGAGCTCAGAGCCTGCTTCCTGATGTAACTTGTGGAAGGGCATCACTCAGTGGTGGAGTATCTGCTTTGCACACAAGAGACCCCAGGTTCAATCCCCAACATCCGCAGGTGCGGCTGGGAGAGGCTCCCTCTCTGCAACCCTGCAGAGCCGCTGCCAGCCAAGAGTCAACAAAGCATGATTGTGTAATGGGCTCAGTGCAAAGCAGCTTCCTACATCACTATCTCTTAAGGGCAGGGGCATATCGCAGCGGTACATCATCTGCCTTGAATGCAGAAGGTCCTAGGTTCAATCCCCGACATCTCCAGCTAGGGCTGGGAATGTCCCCTGTCGGCCACCCTGGAGAGAGCTGCTATCAATCAGTGCAAACAATACTAAGCTAGATGGCATCAGTGGTCTGACTCCATATAAGGCACTGTCACAGGGCTGAGGAGTGACGGATGCAGGTTTTGAACCAGTCCATCAACTCCCCCGCACCTTTTACCTGGATGGTACAGCCAAGGTGAGTTTTGATGTCTAAGCGAAGCTTTCCCCAAAGTGGACTGGAAGAGGGAAGGACCATCCTAAAGAACAAAAGAAATATATTGTGTGTTATTTAGGCATAGCAGCGCAAGATGAAAATTGGTGGCAGCCTTCCTGTGTGTTTATATGCGGAGGTGAGTCCATCATGGACTTGGGACACAGAGGGTGTTACTCAACTCAGAACAGACCTATTGAAATTAACGGACCTCACTTAGTGGTGCTCATTCTACTCGAGTAAAACTTAATTGACCATCTCAAAGAATTCGGTGCAGAAATCAGTATCCTGAGAACCACAACCTTCCATCCACCCCTCCCAGAGTTTCATTTTAAAACAAGCTTCTAGCCCTCGTCGCTAGAAAGGTTGACTTCAAAGTGTCTGGACAATGGCCACTGAAATTTAGCATAAAATGTGCTAAATCTGCAAAGTTTAGCTGAAGTCTTAAGACCTAAAAAAGTCTTGAGACCTAAAAAAAAAAAAAAAAAGCAGCACAGACTATGCACACAACCGTGTAGATAAAATATGCCATCTATAGCATGCTGTCGTGGTGAACGTTGTTACCTCGATTTCACTACAGGCCTTGGAGACAGGGAGATGCCACATCTATTTTACAGAAAGGGAGCAGAGGCAGAGAGGGTGTGACTAACTTGCTCAGCACCATCCAGCAAATCCATGGCTAACCTGACAATTGAACTCAGGTCCTTTTAAGTCCTAGCAGAATTTAACTGGTTAGCCCAGGTTGCATCCAAATAATTTCTACTCAGAGCAGACCCACTGGAATAATTAAATCATGCTCAACACTCTCAATTAGTCTACTCTGAGTAGAACCAACTTTGGAACTCCCTGCCTATTGACCATAGGAAGGCACCTTCACTGTACTCTTTCTGGTACCTGCTAAAAACATTTTTATTTAGGCACAACCATCCAGACATGTAGAATGTTGGCAGGCATTTTAATTATGTTTTTATGTTTTAAATAGTTGTTTTCGCCGATTATTCCATTGTTTCATTCTTTCTATAAACAGCTTTTGAGGTTCAATTGCTTCTTACAATTAAGCATTATATGAATTCTATGAAATAAAATTTTAAAATGCTCTTGAGTGGGAGGCCTCTTTTCATCTAACCTGGTCTGACCTTGTTTAGTTCAGGACTGCTGCCAAGTATACCCAGAAGCCAAGTTCATGTGCAGAAAAGCATACATGCAACACTAATCCCACACACCCAACCCCAAAAACCCAGCCAGATCAGATGGCAGCGCCAAAGAATGCAGGAGAATCAAATGCCCGCGGCAAGCAATAAAGGATTAATTGTACCCTCCACTAACCCAGCTGTTTGCATTCATTCCCTGTTGGAGCTAGAAAATCCAACCCCGACTCCCAGACAAACCTTCAGCCACGTCTCTCACTCTGAGTGCACCATGATCCTTGAGCTCTGATGACATGAGGGTTTCTTGGGGATAGCCAGAACATTTGAGAAGAGAAGTAACAGATTGCAAGGGGACGGAAAGGTGCCTGGAACAGGGCACCCAGCCACTGGCAGATGGTACAGCACCTCACGTGCCCCCAGCGCTCTGACAGCAACATAGGAAGGTGGCTTAGACAGAGCCAGACCATTTTTGGGCTACAACTCCTATCAGCATCAGCCAAAGCATACTGGCAGGAGCCAAGGACAGTTGTAGTCCAAGACAATCGGAGGGCACCAGGTTGGGCAAGGCTGCCATAAACTAACTTTCATTTCTATGAAATTCTCTCCATAATTTCTGTGCTCTCTTCTTTTCCAAGTACAGTTTTGATTACTGTTTTATGGTTGCTACAAATCCATAAAATGAGTGAACACCAATACAGTGGTACTTCAGTTTAAGAACAGCCCTGTTTACAAACAACTCAGGTTATGAACTTCCGCTAAACCAGTAGTTTACCTCAGTCTACAAACTTTACCTCAGTCTAAGAACAGAAACTGAATGGTGGAAGGGCACCAGCGGCGGGAGGCCTCATTAGGGAAAGCGTGCCTCGGTTTAAGAATGGTTTCGGTTTAAGAACGGACTTCCATAACAGATTAAGTTCGTAAACCAAGGTACGAGGAGACGATGGGAAGAGTCAAGGGCAATCAAAGGAAAAAACACACACACATAGACAGACAGAGAGAAAGATAATATAGATGTGTTTTCAAAATGAGAGCAAGAGCATCAAGTGATACCGAGGACAATCCTAGTTGTGATCCAAAAATTACCATTTGAACAGAGTGCTGGAGAAGATGCATTTGACAGCAGCAGCAGACCAAAGAAATCGCCAAAACATTAAGTTTGTCGCCAATTATGTGGATAGCTATCCAAGTCCCTTTCTGGATGTCCCACAATCATATTATAAAGCAGTTGTGCTCTATGCCATGACAAGAATCTGGGAAGTCAGACATCCAAAGATCTGTAGCATTCTTTAAAAAAAACCATGGGGTGGGGGTTAAACAGAGACTTGCTGGATCAGGCCAATGGCCTATTTAGTCCAAAATCCTCACCAGCTGCTCCATGGGCTTCAAGTGACAAGAAATGAGATTCCGACTAAACATCAGGAAGAACTTTCTGACAGCAAGAGCTGTGCGACAGTGGAACGGTCTCCCCTGGGAGGTTGTGGACTTTCCCTTCCTTGGAGGCTTTTAAGCAGAGGTTGGATGGCCATCTGTCACGGATGCTTCAGCTGAGATTCCTGCATTGCAGGGGGTTGGAATAGATGGGCCTTGGGGTCCCTTCCAATGCTAAAATTCTATGATTTTATTGAGCAGACTACATCCATGCTGGAGGAGACTCTAGAGAGTCCCATGGTCTGCAAAAAGATCAAACCTATCAATTCTGAAGGAAATCAGCCCTGAGTGCTCACTGGAAGGACAGATCCTGAAGCTGAGGCTCCAATACTTTGGCCACCTCATGAGAAGAGAAGACTCTCCCTGGAAAAGACCCTGATGTTGGGAAAGATGGAGGGCACAAGGAGAAGGGGATGACAGAGGATGAGATGGTTGGACAGTGTTCTCGAAGCTACCAGCATGAGTTTGACCAAACTGCGGGAGGCAGTAGAAGACAGGAGTGCCTGGAGTGCTCTGGTCCATGGGGTTACGAAGAGTCGGACATGACTGAACGACTAAACAACAACATCCATGATCTGAAAGCAACAGCAACTCTCCCCAGTTGCAATTCCCAGCAACTGGCATTCAGAGGCATTCTGCCTCCAACAGTGGAGATGAGACATAGCCATGGTTTTTAGTAGTCACTGACAAGATTTATCCTCCAATTAAAAAAAAACAAAACTTACTTGGATTTGTTTTTTGCAGCTTTCACCTGAAGCAATTTCTGCAGCAGTTTAAAAAGATCGCGAATGCAGAAGGACACCAGGGTATTGAACACTAAACAGGACAGAAAACAAACCTATGTAACCAGACATAACACTTCCTTTGCAGTAAGGAACAAAGCAGTTCTAGATCACACACAGGGCTGTGTATGTGTGTTTGTGCGCACACGCATGTGTGTTTTACCTCTAAACATCTGCAATTAGGATTAATTTGGCATCAACCCTCCTAGGAATCTCAGTGAGAACTTATTCTGCTTAAAAAGCAACATCCTAGTCCTCAAGGCGATGAGGATCTTGACAATACAAATTTTGGTAAAAAGGGGGGAATGGGTAGATGAGAACAGGACTTAAATTGATCAAGGAGCTTTAAAGGGGGGGTTAAAAAAAGTGGGGCAGCACTATTAAATAGAGTGAACTGGAAGGTCAGCAGCATCTGACACTTAAGAATCACACAAAAGAGGTAAAATCCCAATTTGCATACGAGTCGGAAAACATTTGCATCTTTTATCTCAAGACCTACCTGACTGCCCTGTTATAAACAAACAAACAAATCATTTTGCAAAATGCCCAGCTGCCTAAATGAATGCATGCACCTACTGGGCCAATTATTAACTGTCATGAATTCAGCACCCTTGAGCACAACTCAGAGGTGTGTGTGTGTGTGTGTGTACACGCAGAGATACACAAGGAGTATATCAGAATGTGTGGGGCACCCCCTGCAGAACCATTTGGGTAGGTGAAGTAGCACTATAAAGTTTTAGCAATAACTGATGCTCCTTTGGCTCCCCCTGCTGGAATGGCTCCTGTATAGCCAGAGGGGTAGCTCTTAAATACCCTTCTTTATACAGTCATACCTCGTGTTGTGTTAGGTTCATGTTGCGTCTTTTCAGCTTGCAAATGTGGCAAACCCGGAAGTATATACTTCCAGGTTTCGCCACGTGCGCGTGCGCAGAAGCACTCTATCGTGCCGCGCATGCGCACAGAAGTGGTGCTCTAATTACGGACTTTTCTGGGTGCAAACAGCACCCTGGAATGGATCGAGTCCGTAACCAGATGTACCACTGTACAGGATAATATGGTAACTATACAGGCCTCTCTGGCAGTGCTCATCTTTTTGTGGGGTGGACATGCCCTTATTATTTCTATTTTTAGTATATTACTAGATAAGCATTTTGTATTATACACTGTTTTATATTTTCCAGCTTTTAACATAGGAAGTTGCCTTATATGGTGCCAGGTAATTTGTCCACCCGGCTGAGAACTCTTTGCACTGATTAGCAGCCGCACTCCTGAGTTTCAAAGAGGGATCTTTTCCCAGCTCTGCTTGGGAGATGCCCCTGAACCTGAGACCTTCTCCCAAAGCAGGTGCTTTGCCCCTTAACTTCAGCACTTCCCCTGGGGCAGAGGGAACTGACTACAGGCACCTTTACAGAAAGGTAGTGCACTCTCAATGGACACCCTGCCGGCACAAGGGAATATGGGGGTCCTCCTACTTAATCTCACCTTAGAGGCAAAGTTTGAGAGGCAGCAGTTAAGCCTCCTCTGACACTGGTAGAGTGCACAGCACAAAATAAACAAAGGAAGAATGTTCCTGGTGATGCTACTTTGAGCTGCACTTGCAGCAGCAGAATCACATGACACAGGATCTTTTCGGACTATGCTGTCCAAACCGCAGAAGGGACAACTTCAGGTTTTATTTTTATTTTTTTTAAATGATATTTATTACTTTTTCAGGTTTTAATGACTTGCATGGATTTTGGTTTGGGAAGGCTTTCCCCAAAGGGTGACCCAGCCCTTTTATATAGTACCAGCTGTGCAACTGCAGAAATGTTTGTCATTGCTCTTCTACTGCTTATTTAAGCCACCCCTTTTCCTGTTTCATCTTACTGTAGCTCCAAAGCATTTTAGGAATCTTCAAATAAAGGAATAAAAATAATGACACCCACACACCCCGACACCAGACATTATAGTCCTTGCATGGAGAACACTAGCAGTTTAGGGTTCTGGATCAGCCGTCTCTTTGATATGCCACTTTCTAGATGTAACAGGTTTGTTTCCTGATGGATTTCAAATACATGAACACAGGTAGCTGCCTTACGCAGTCAGACCACTGGCCGATTCAGCTCAGTACTGTCTATCCTCACTGGCAGCAGCTCTCCAGGGTTTCAGGAAGGGAGTCTCTCCCAGGCCCATCTGGAGATGCAGGGATGAAACCTGGGACCTTTTGCAAGCAAATCAGATGCTCTGCCACTGAGCTATGACCGCTCCCCATTCATCCTCCTATATTGTGAATGGTAGGTAAAGGTAAAGGGACCCCTGACCATTAGATCCAGTCATGACCGACTCTGGGGTTGCGGCACTCATCTCACTTTACTGGCCGAGGGAGCCGGTGTACAGCTTCTGGATCATGTGGCCAGCATGACTAAGCCGCTTCTGGCAAACCAGAGCAGCACACGGAAACGCTGTTTACCTTCCCGCTGGAGTGGTACCTATTTATCTACTTGCACTTTGATGTGCTTTTGAACTGCTACGTTGGCAGGAGCAGGGACCGAGCAACGGGAGCTCACCCCATCGCGGGGATTCGAACCGCTGACCTTCTGATCGGCAAGTCCTAGGCTCTGTGGTTTAACTCACAGCACCACCCGCATTGTGAATGGTACAGTCCAATAAACCCATGTGTCACAAAATTCCGCTGCATGAGTAGGTTCTCTATCACCACTAGGGGCAAAAGGCAAGCATGAGAAGTGCTGGAAGCTCACCTGTGCCATCAGTGACTTTGTACTTGCCAGGTTCCAGCCCCGAGGCATCCCCCTTGGCTGTTACCACGCAGGCTTTGAAAGCCTGGGTGATCTCGTGGAAGAGCTTTGCTGTGAGCTGCTTCTGTAGAAAAGAGGACAGAGCAATGGGAAGATGATTAAGGAGAGACAGACAGATACAGCTTTCTTCGCGTCATTAAAAATTAAGACGAGGAATGTGGAAACCGACAGTCCCAGGGTGTAACAGTTCAGCCACCTTTGATATTAACACCAAAGGGAGCGTGCCGCATGTTTTCTTAGGATACTTGCTATAGGATGGGCACAAGGACAGGTGATCAGCACCCCAATTTAACCAGCGCTACCCTTAAAAAACGGAGTGGGAAGGAAATCAAACGGCCTCATCTCTTGCCTCTGCAGCTGCTTTCCAATGCTCCACCATCTTCAAATTTACATTGATGAAGTCCACTTTTTTCCGTTTGCTGGTTTGCTCTTCTTCATCATCTTCATCATCACTGGCTTCCTGCAAAAGATTTTACAATGGTGCCGAGAGGTTATCATAAAGACGTAAAAAGCAGTCACCAGCAGGTTTTTCAGATACCTGGAAGGCAGATTTGGAAGAGGACTCTCTGCCTGTGTACTCACCCCTCAAATGCCAGGGGAAGCTCAATGGTTACAGCACATGCTTCGCTAAAAATAAAAAGAGCACATGCTTTGTGTGTAAAAGGTCCCAGAGTTTCAATCACTGGCATGCTTATGTAGGGCTGGAAAAGCCCAGCCCCATCCAAAACCTTGGAGACCTGATGGTAATCTCCACAGTCCTTTTCCCCACCTGGTGCTCTTCAAGAGGTTTTGGGCTACAACTCCCACACACACCCCAAAATCATAGTGGGCAGTCAGGGACGGAGAAAATAGTGGTCTTAAAGCCTCTGGAGTTCAGTAAAAGTGCCAAGGGGTCACAGCACAGAATGGCTGCCATGGGCAGCCAAAGTGTTATTTTAAAAAGGCAACAGTACTCCATAGTAATGAGTACTGTCAGAACAGAATCAGGGCTTCTGTCATGGTTTCCTCCAACGAATCCTGGGAAGTGCCACTTGTTTTTGTTTTAATTGGTATTTAATTGAAAGGCTTTCATTTCTACAGAAATGTGATAAAAGGAATTTTTTTAAAATGTGGAAGAGAAAAAACGTGCCAGAAGTACAGTGTAATACAGGCTTCCTCAACCTCAGCCCTCCAGATGTTTTGAGACTACAATTCCCATCTTCCCTGACCACTAGTCCTGCTAGCTAGGGATCATGGGAGTTGTAGGCCAAAAACATCTGGAGGGCCGAGGTTGAGGAAGCCTGGTGTAATACATTTTGGAAATTCAATTTCATTTCTACAGCTTATGGTATAGATATAAGTGATATTATTATCCTTACATATGGCTGCTAATAACCTACTGCCTTCTGCATAAACCTGTTACAGATATCAATATATTTGTCCGAAATCTATGTCTATAAGCAATCCATTCATACGTTGCAAGTGTTATCATGTTGTCAATCCATTGATTGGGAAGTGACGTTTATGAAGGGTGGTGAAAGTTGTTAGGAGACCCCCATTCCTCTGACGGTACTACTATCCCCAAGAGTGATTTAACAAGCAATCTTCTTTCCTGAAATTCTGGGAATCGAAGCTCTGTGAGAGGAATAGGGGTCTCTTAACAACTTTCACCACCCTTCATAAACGTCACTTCCCAAAATTCTTTGGGGTAAGCAATGACTGTTTAAACTGGCATAATAGTGCTTTAAATGTGGGCCTAACAAGTCTATCAATTTCAGTGTGTTTACTCTGAGTAAAACTTAGTTGGCTAGAACCCTCCAGACTTAATCTCTGGCCCAGTAATACTCTGGAGTAATACAAACAAAAAATAACCATGATACAAATTTAGGGTACCTGGAGAAAAAACATTCTGGAAAACCCACATCATTACTCTTAAGCTTTTTCCTAGAGCTCATGACAGCAGCTAAAATTTTCACTAGGATACTTAGAACTCCAGAGGGTGACCTCTGTAAGGAATTTTATCCAGGATATATATAGCCATCGTAAACCCTTGTACAATCTAACAGTACTCATGTGCCAACCAATTCAACCACTGAAGCACATTTATGGGCTGAATCTATCAACCAACAGCACTCTATTGTAGATGAGGTAAGATAATTTTGCTTTCAAGAGATTATGAAGCACAAGCTAGCTACCGCACGACCCACCAGTGATGGCCACCAATGAGAATGGCTTCAGAAAAAGACTATATAGAGTAATTCATGGAGAGAGCTATTAAGGGCTGCTAGGCCACAATGACTATGTTAGGCCTCCACCGATGGGGAACGTTATGCGTCTTAATGAAGACCAGATGCTGGGAATCACAAAGGGGGAGAATCCTGCTGTGCTCAGATCCTGCTTTCAAGCTTTCAAAGAAGTATCAGGTTGCCCACTATGAAAGCAGGATGCTGAACTAGTAGGGCAACAGGCCTGATCCAGCCCATTCCAAGAATAATCTTCCCAGGAGCTCTGGGAGGCTTTGCTCTTGGGTCTACTGAGACATGACAGTGAGGCCACTCTGGGCAGCTTCCAACAAACTGAAACACAGCAAGACATCAAACATCAAAATATTCCCTAGCCTTCAGATGTCTTCTAAAGGCCTTTGGTCGAGGTTCAGTCTGACTCCCTCTCCCCTTTCATAAGAACTTGCATGAAAGTGGCCTCCTAATTTTTTTCACAGGCCCATATAAGTTCACCACAAACAGTTGGGCTTGGTGAGCAGTTTAAGGTCCCCAACCCTAATCTGCGGGTTGCCATCTGATTGGATTTTATTCTGATCCTGATCTGATTTTAGGATGTATTTTAATTGACTGCCTGATTTTATGTTAATGTGTTATACATTTGATGTTAGCCACTGAGCCCAGTTTTGGCTGGGGTATTAATAATAATAATAATAATAATAATAATTACTCATCTCCTTGACATCTGATGGGAGGGCATCCCACAGGGCAGGTGCCACTGCTGAGAAGGCCCTCTGCCTAGTTCCATGTAACCTCTCCACGTGCAGGCTGAATGATGGGGGTGGAAAAGCTCCTGGTGCCGCTCTTTTATCTTATCTTGTTGCTCCGTGGTGCATTGTTTTATTGGTGTAGTTTTATTTTAAGGATTCAGTTATTTTTTAAAAATTGGCTACCACTAAATGTTAAAATGACAACTACATGCTACTCAGAGAACACCCAGTGAAAAAAATGGGCATAAGACAGCCAGCCTCATTCATTCCAGTATTCAGCTATATTTTATTCAGTGTAGACCTACTGAAATTAATGGACACAGCTTACTCATTTTTATTAATTTCAGTGGGCCTATTCCAAGTAACATTTAGTTGACCAACACCCTATCAATGTTAAAAACTCAAATATATAAGCCAGTTGCTAAAAGCACCTCTAACTTAGGTTACGGTCAACACAATGGAATGTCTATCCCCCCTCTCTTTTTATTACAATTACAAAGCAAAAATTGAATTGTATACATTGTCAATGTCAATATATTTAATTATTCAGTTGCACATTTTACCAATTCCAGTCATCTTTTTTCAAAACATGCAAACTAATACACAATTCACACCAGTGACACATTTTCAATATCACATTTTTAATAGCAATTGCTACTGGGACACTATAAACCTATATGGGGCTTATATTTATAAATACCAGTATATGTATGTGTGTGTGCATTATATAAAATATTGTGCTACACTTGTATGTAACACAGCTTTGTATGTCAGTAATATTTTATGTAGTGCTAGTGCTAAATCCATAAACCAATTATAAGTGGCATCATGATCGTTACAATAGCGTAACACTAATTCATTTGCTAAGATTACTGCACAATTTATTAAGAGTACTATGACAAGGACAAAAAACTGCAAAGTTTGTTACAAAAGGTGAATGAATAAATTGAATTAGATGTTTAATTTTGCTTCTACAATAGAAAATATTGCTACCACACTTCAGTTTCGAAAATAGTTTTTCTTTTTAGAAGTCTGGTCTTCCAATATGCTCTATAGCAACATCCTTCCACCACAAATTAATTGCATTTTCAGGATTGAAAACCTCCAGGTTGGGGCCATTCATCTGGATCATTAGTAAGTCGTCAACGGTAGTCACAAGCCGACTATTCCAAATGTCTGTTTCAATCAGATTTAACTGGTTAAAGCCCCTCTCACATTCTGCAGTACTAAGTGGGAGAACCTGCAAAAAGTTCAAAACTTTACATATATTAATATATGAATCAGAAGCTGTTGACTCTGCTTGAAGACGCTGCCAAGCTTCTTCACATGTGATGACTCTCTTATTCCGAGCCCACACTTTAAAATCCTGATATTCCTCCATGATGGCTTCCTTGTCGACTTTTACATTGATAGGCAATGCTTGCATCAGTTCACTCAATTCTCTTTCTCCATGGTTACTTGTAGACAAGTCCCTTTCACCGACTGGCTCGGGTACGTTGCATGGGTCAAATATTTCCACATTTCGTAGAACTTTGTCGTTTCTGATACTGTCCAACCGTTTGTCTATTCCTTCCACAATTGAACTCAGCAAGACACGTCGATCTTCCTCAAAGCACTCCATTTCACTTGCACTACAAGCAATTTTCACACCTCTGTACACTAACACGCCGTCTTCCAATTGCACGGTACTTTCAAATTTTCGCAGCTGAGGGCCACTTTCTTTCACCATCCTCCGCAGCCTTTCTCTTGCCGAAGCCAAACTGATTTCAACTTCATTAACCGACACACACTTCCTCTGAAACGCCTCAGATAGTCTCGCAAGTGTGTTCGAAACATCGTGCATGAGAAACAAAAACCTTACAAACCGTTCCGACTTCAAACGCTCCAAGTACTCCTTCAGTTCTGACTCTGCACCAGAACCACTCACAATCTGCTCCAAATCTGCCACCACTAGTGGGAGATTGTTTGCCAATGCCTTCACAACACGGTTCTTTGACTGCAACCAGCTGGTTCTGCGAATACCTATGTGGCGAAGTGCTTTTTCGCTCAGTACTTCATCAATATCTTTCAGCACGTTCGCTCTTTCAGGACGACTGTAGTAAAATGTGTATATACCACACACAACATCTTCGGCGACCCTAGCAAATTTTACACACTTGAAGGCATCACCTATCGCAAGCTCCAGTCGGTGAGCTACACAATGAACTGCCACTAAACCTGGACAGTTGTCCTGGAACTGTTTTGCTACGCCAGACACAGTCCCCATATTAGCACCGGTCCCATCGAAACTTATCGCCGTTAGCTTGCTTTTCCAGTCGGGTACGTAATCACGGAGAACTGACTCAATTGTAGATGTCCCATCTACTGCATTCTCACTAGTACATTGCCTAACAGCTCCATAACTACACTTCAGTCCGCCTTCAAATATATAATAAAAGTAAATTATGTCAGCTGCGACAGCCAACCTATCTGTTGAGCCATCAGCCAAAATCCCAAAGAACTCTGCTTTACTCAATTTGTCCCTGAGGTCCAGACGCAGGCTTTCAGCAATGTAATGCACGATCTGTTTTGCCGCCTCGTCATCCGTGTGCGCCTCGCCTAGTCTTATACCAATCTTCCTCAGGAGCGCACATATCATTGGGAAGAGCTCAAATGAAAGGTTCTCCTTTGCAACGAAGTATGCAATGTTGAACAGCTTCTCCACCTTCATGCGCAAATCACTGTCCATTGTTTTTAATGTCTGTGCCATTGGGCTTGACTTGGAAGATTCATCTGCTTGGTAAGTAGCAGATGCACCATGTTTTCTTATCTGAAAAAGTGAAGGAAAATGAAATTATTATTATTATTCATTTCATTCCTAAACCGCTTTGTATTTTAAATTTAAAAAAATCTCAAAGTGGTTTACACCACTCTAAAACATCAAACAAAACAATCCAGGATAAAACATTACTGAACAGCACTTGTTTGCCTTTCTGCCGTCTATCTCTGCTCATGGTAGTAGGAGGAATGGTAATTCAATTCCAACAGCAAGTGAGGCTTGATGTGCAGCATTTGGACAACCAGCCTTGGGGCTCCATGGGCTCTGAAATATCAGCCATGGGAGCCTGGTCCAATTACCCTGCTGGTGGTATGACAGCCCCATCTCAGCCAGCTCCTCCTCTGCCAACTCTCTGAGCACAAGGAAGACTCTCTAGGTCTTTCATGAGAGAGAGAATGAAGAGTCCTGCCAGCCCCACACAGACTTTGTAAGAGTTTGTGGCATTATTAATTACAGATAAGAGCATGCTGCAATTTTTAAAACAGGAACAGATGAGAGCATATGGACAAAAAACAAATGAACAACACCCGCCACAAAAAAAACCCCACCCTAGAGCATTCACCACTTTTGTTTCATCAAAGAGATAGTAAAGCAGCAGGCTATTTGCCTGAATGCATGGAGTCTTGCAAGGATAATGTCACACGAAAAACAGAAAGACAAAGAACAGAGGAGCTGTGCAGATGTAGCACCCACCTCGGGCTATAATTCTTCATAGGTTTCCATAACTTTTGATGTGGTAGTAGAGCAGCAAGTTAAGACTTATGCAAGATAGGAAGTGTTTGTGCCTATGTCTGGTTTTAGCTGCAAAAGTAACTTGCAGCCTAATAATAACAAGGAAAAAATGGTCATATTAAAATCTGCCACTGTTAATGGCTGGTTTCCTCCGAACTTTCCTGCAGCTGGAAGTTCGGCCATTAGGCACAACTTGCCACCACCAGATGGTTGCTAGCACAACTTGAAACCACCGACAGGTTACTAACAAAGCTGCAGCCTTCTGCGTGATTGTACACTTGCAATTAGCATGCCCAAAGTGAATACTCATGAATGTAGAAAGCGCTTTTATTTGCAGAACCTTCCTTAACATTGCAAACTGGTGTAAATGTCCAAAACTGGTGTGACGCTGCTCTTAGTAGACTTGAAATTATATTATGAAGCATCTTGCCAGACTTGAAATTATATTATGAAGCGTCATGTCTCTGTTGGTTGAAAGAATGGGTAAAATTAGAAAATAAAGAGTTACTAGACTTGGAAGGATTTTATAACAGATTTGGATGGCACGCGTATCTATGGTGTGAGAAGAAGATGATCCATAAAGGTTTTGAGAACCACATCTTCCGGAGATCTTTAATTGAAATATGGGATAGGTATAAAAACCTATTAGAACCAAGAGTTCCACACTGGTTATCTCCGTTAGAGGTTATGAGTGTAAAGAAAATCAATATGAGAGGGAGTTGGATTACCTATGGAGAATTGATAGTTAAAGAAGGAGGAAAATGGAAAATGAAATCTTATGAGGTTAAAAAATATGTATATGATTGGTTGCATTACTTTCAAGTAAATGAAATGTTTAAAAAGGATCTTAAAGAAAAGGGATATGTAGAAAAAGACTCAATATTTCAAACAGAGATAATAAACAATGATTATAAAAGTTTGTCAAAAATGTATAAAATACTGTTGGAATGGTATACGAAGGACGAGGAAGTTAAGTCGGTCATGATACATTGGGCCAGAGACTTGGGATATAATATACAATTTGATGATTGGGTAAAAGTATGGAAAGAAAATATAAAATTTACAGCATGTACTGCATTAAAGGAAAATGTAATGAAAATGGTATATAGATGGTATATTACACCGGTTAAATTAGCGAAAATGTTCAAAAAATGTAACTAGTGTTGGAAATGTAAAGAAAAAGAAGGGACATTTTACCATATGTGGTGGGACTGTAAGAAAGTGAAAGGTTTCTGGGATATGATATATAATGAATTGAAAAAGATGTTGAAATATACATTTGTAAAAAAACCGTAAGCGTTTCTTTTAGGAATAATGGGAAACAAAATAAATAGAAAAGACTGTAAACTTTTTCAATATGCAGTAACAGCGGCAAGAATACTATTGGCCCAAAAATGGAAACAAGAGGAACTACCGACGTTGGAAGATTGGAGAATGAAGCTGATGGACTATGCAGAATTGGATAAATTAACCGGGAAGATTAGATATTCACGGGACCATAAGTTCATCGAAGACTGGGGGAAATTTGTGGAGTATCTGAAAAGCATATGTGATGAGCAAACAACGCTTGTGGGGTTTCAAGAAGCTCTGTGAAAGTTTGAGGAGTACTGTTAAAAAGAAAACAAAAGGGAGAGGGTATATTAAAAGGCAATATTAAAATTAGGAAATGCGAAACAAAAATTCAACTACGGATGATTGTCAGAGATGCTGAAGGAAGTCCAAAAGTGTAAAAGTGTGATAAATTTGGATGTGATGTGATATATATATCTGTATTGAAAATTAATAAAAATTACAAAAGATGGAAGATTACCAAGGACATTTTTTGAAATGACTGACAATATGGATCTTGTGGATATTTGGCGAATAAAGAACCCCTTGGAAAGAGAGGGAACCTTCTTCTCTGAAGCAAATATGACATGGACAAGAATAGACCAAATCTGGATAACTAGAGGACTGGCCCCTAAGATTAAAAAGCGGTGATTTGCCCGAAAATTTGCTCTGATCACAACCCGGTAAAGATTGAAATGATACCAACGCCAATTGGAGCTTTTAGATGGAGGATGAATGACACCTTATTTAGGAATGAGGAAATTATTAAAAAGGCTCAGAAGAATTTGAGAGACTATTTTGAGATAAATTTGAATACCACGACAGAAAAAGAGTGATTTGGGATGCCAGCAAAGCGGTGATGAGAGGATTTTGATACAACAAAACGCAATTAGGAAAAGATATCAAAATGAGAAGAGAGAAAAATCTTGGAGAAAATTAAGGATGGAGAAAAAGACTGAGGGCGAAACCGAACTCACAGGAGATTCTAAAAGAGATAAAGCTATACCAAGTACAATATATGAAATTGATGAACCAGGAGATAGAATGGAAGGTCAAACAGATGAAACAAAAGACTTTCGAATCAGCAAATAAATGTGGGAAATTACTGGCCTGGCCTGGCAAATGAAAAAAAGACAAAAGCTGAATATGATTACGAACTTGGTAGTAGAAGGGAAGAACATACAGAATCCTGGAGAGATTCGGAAGTGCTTTCAGAACTATTTTAAACAGTTATATACGCAGGAGACTCAGAAAGAATTAGACATTGACCGATTTTTGAAAAATGATGGATTACAAAAAGTATCTCAAGAGAGTAAATCAATATTAAACTCTACAATATCTGATCAAGAGGTGGAAGGAGCCATTCAGAATATGAAATTGGGCAAATCTCCAGGACCGGATGGACTAACTGCAAAGTACTACAAAACTTTGAAAGAATGGTTATTGCAACCGCTGAAAGAACTTTGCAATGAAATACTACGGGGAGGAAAAGCACCCGAGTCGTGGAAAGAAGCATACATTACACTTATACCAAAAACCGAAGTGGAGAAGACACAGTTGAAGAACTACCGTCCCATATCCCTACTTAATGTGGATTACAAAATTTTTGCGGAAATTATGGCTAAAAGATTAAAAATGTATTGGTAAAAGAGATTCATAAAGACCAGGCGGGCTTTCTCCCTGGGAGACATTTGTCAGATAATACTAGGAATATTATTAATATTTTGGAAAAATTGCAAGTTAATATCAATACTAAAGCTGTCTTAATATTTGTAGATGCAGAGAAAGCGTTTGACAATATTTCTTGGAGTTTTATGAAGAAAAATTTGCAGGGGATGGGGTAGGTCAAAGTTTTGAAAATGGTATAGGTGCAATTTATTCGGAACAAAAAGCCAAGCTTATTGTGAACAATGTAGTTACAGAAGAATTTAAGATAGAGAAAGGAACAAGACAGGGTTGCCCAATCTCCCCATTGCTTTTTATATCGGTCCTGGAGGTTTTGCTCAATATGATTAGAAAAGACCAATTGGTTAAAGGTATACAACTCGGAGCTAAACAGTACAAATTGAAAGCTTTTGCTGATGATTTAGTTTTGACATTACAGGAGCCAGAAGCTAGCACAAAAAGAGTATTACAATTAATCCAAGAATTTGGTCAAGTAGCAGGTTTCAAATTAAACAAGACGAAAACTAAGGTATTAGAGAAAACCTTATAGAGATTGAGAAGGAGAGGTTTCAGAAAGAGACAGGATTAACAATAGTTAATAAAGTGAAATATCTAGGGGTGAATATGACTGCCAAAAATGTGAATCTGTTTAAAGATAATTATGAAAAATGTTGGTCAGAAGTGAAGAAGGATTTAGAAATATGGTCAAAATTGAAGTTATCATTGTTAGGCCGAATTGCAGCGATAAAGATGAATGTATTGCCTAGAATGTTGTTTTTGTTTCAAACATTGCAAATTGTGGACAAAATGGACTGTTTCAAGAGGTGGCAAAGAGATATTTCCAAATTTATCTGGCAGGGCAAAAAGCCTAGAATAAAATTTAAGATATTAACAGATGCGAAGGAAAGAGGGGATTTGCCCTGCCAGATCTTAAACTTTACTATGAATCAGCCGCTTTTTGTTGGCTGAAAGATTGGCTACTTCTTGAAAATGTGGACATTTTAGATCTAGAAGGTTTTGATAATGTGTTTGGATGGCATGCATATTTATGGTATGACAAAGTTAAAGCGCATAAGGCCTTTAAGAATCATATTGTCAGGAAAGCATTGTTTAATGTTTGGGTGAGATATAAGGATTTGTTGGAAAGTAAAACACCAAGGTGGCTGTCACCAATGGAGGCAAAGGCATTGAAAAAAACAAATATGGAGACAAACTGGCCAAAATATTGTGAAATTTTAGAACAAGTTGGAGATAAATTAAAATTGCAGAGCTTTGATAAATTAAAAACTAAAGTTCGAGATTGGCTTCACTACTATCAAATAAGGGAGGTTTTTAACGTAGATAATAAGATTGGTTTCCAGGAGGAAAAATCTAAACTGGAAACGGAATTGTTAGAACCTAAAACTAAAAATCTGTCAAGAATGTATAATCTGCTGTTGAAATGGAATACACAGGATGAAATGGTTAAGTCTGCTATGATTAAATGGGCACAAGATGTTGGGCATAATATTATGTTTGCTGACTGGGAACGGTTATGGACCACAGGTATGAAGTTTACGGCTTGCAATGTATTAAGAGAAAATATAATGAAAATGATCTATAGGTGGTACTTAACCCCAGTCAAGCTAGCCAAAATCTATCACTTGCCCGATAATAAATGTTGGAAATGGAAAGAAAATGAAGGAACCTTTTTTCACCTTTGGTGGATGTGCCCAAAGATCAAGGCCTTCTGGGAAATGATATATAATGAATTAAAAAAGGTATTGAAATACACTTTTGTGAAGAAACCAGAGGCTTTCCTCTTGGGCATGGTCGGCCAATTGGTGCGAAGGGAAGACAGGAATTTTTTTATGTATGCGACAGCAGCGGCAAGAATACTTATTGGGAAATACTGGAAGACACAAGAATTGCCTACCCGAGAAGAATGGCAGAGGAAAGTGATGGACTATATGGAACTGGCTGAGATGACCGGCAGAATTCGAGATCAGGAAGAAGGGTTGATGGAAGAAGACTGGAAAAAATTTAAAATATATCTTCAGAAACACTGTAATATAAAAGAATGTTAGAAAAGGTTGGAGAAGAATATTAGACCGTATTGGCAGACAGGGTATAATGGAATAAGTAAATATGAAGTGTAAAATGAGGATAGAGGAGAATTAAATACTTTCGAATGTTAAAATAAGTAAAAGAAAAGGTTAGAAGGATTTGCTGGAGATACGATTTAAACTAGAATACAAAGCAGGGAGGTGAGAGGAAGTCATGGAAATAAGTAAATGGGAAGACGGTTGTAATGGTCTAATTTGATTTTTGTTATTTTCTATTGTGATTTTTTGTCTTTTTATTTTCTTTTTTACTGACTGTTTTTTGTAAGATGTATGTGGTTTGTTTTTTTTTCTATATATTTTTTTGTAATTTTAAAATTGGAATAAATATTCTTTAAAAAAAAAAAAGAATTAATAAAAATTATTTAAAAAAAAGAAGCAGCAGCAGCTGCTCTTAGTAGGGCGCATCCACAATATTATGGCCACAATTGCAAGTTTAGCTCTAGGGCTTTACTGGATAGTGTATTAAAAGTTTTGGATTTTTTACTTGCACAAAAGAGAGTAATGTGCCCAAAAGCAAACGTTTTAAGCCTAATCCTTATTCATGCCACAATGCATCCATAGCGATTCCACAAGTGCATCACTGTGCTAGTGGTAGCTTGGAAGGTGGAAACATAGGAGAATGCAAATGACAACCGAATCAGTCCCATAGTTATGCCAAACAAGGATCCCTTCTCAGGAAAATTAAATAAAAAACCTTGTGCACCTTAAGTCAAATTTAAATATACATTTGTTATACAAAAACATGGGGTTGACTTTAAAGTCCAACTTCCCATCAAGGGACCTAGCATCCCCTAAGTTCATTTTTTGGTCAGAGAATGAGCGGAGGGCAGGAACCCGGAGGCAAATGCAAGGCTGATCTTTATTGTTCTGTTTGCAAGTGCAGGGAGGTGGGGAAGGAAGCCCAGAGCAAAAGTTTCTAACCAGTTCAAAGACACATGGAAATTGCCCAGCCCTTTAGCCAGGGACCACCCAAAAGCATCATGCAAAAGTCACACAAATGGGTTGTGCATGTAAATCAGACCAAGCTCAGAGATCAAATTTCTCATCCCAAACATCCTTAAAAGTCTGTCAATCATAGATTAGGATACATGTTAATTGCTTTCCTGGAGAATTCTATTTAAATGCTGTTCTCATTTATCCATAGAGTCTATGGACAAAGAACTGTCTCCATTTACATAGCAGATATCCCTCTGTCAGGTCCATTTTTTATTTTATTTTTTTGCAGAAGGCTAGCAGAAGTTAAACCATTTACAGGTTTGAGGTATTTGCAAGTGAAAAGAACTCAGCCAGTCTATATTGGGAAAGTTCTTATCAAGACCTTCCTGTTACCTATTTGGGACATAGCTGTCAACTTACAGATTTGAAAATAAGGGACCAGCAGCCTTGAAAATAAGGGACCTGCACCCTCACCTGTTCCAGGCACTCCAGTCTTCCTGTCCTCCTGCAGTCTGGTCAAACTCATGCTGGTAGCTTCGAGAACACTGTCCAACCAACTTTGTAACCAGAGGTTCAACTGAATAGAATCTGAATCACATGCACCACAAGGCCTATGCAGCCTCAACTTAAGATGGCTCCCGGCCTGGTTTTGCACTGCAAAGTTTGCAGCAGCACGTGCAACAAAATGGCGTCCAGCATTCAAAAACCCCCTCAGCTTGCATTAACTAGCCACACACAAGGCATGCAAGCTCCACCCCCCAGTCATTCTTAGACTTCTTATTGGGTGAGAACACAGCCAAGCAACACAGTTGGAGCCTCCCTCCTCCCTGGCCGGCAGGGAGGGAGGGAGGGAGAGGAGCTGCTTCCTTTGAAATTTAAGGGACATCATTTAAGGGACATTCATCAATAAGGGACAGCAGCGGGACATGGCGCTGGAATAAGGGACACTTGACAGCTATGATTTGGAAGGGAGTCTCACAGTTCAACTGGAGGCTAAAAATACCCCTGCTTTTGCCCTGTCTAAGTTATATCCACTAAAATAAATTGTCTCTTTTTCAAAGGGATATTTCCTAAATTGTTGAAGATTGAAGGATTGGTATTTGCGGGGGGGGAGGAGAGGCTGCTAGGTGTTTGCGCCTTAAAATCCGTGTAACACATTCAAAGCACCACAATTAACAGGAAACTAAAGTACTTTCTTAAAGATTTCAAAATATAGTTACAAAGATTTGAAAATATAGTTACAAAGGAGGTAACTATAAAATGCGCATTTAATAACGCAGAACAGCTAACAAAAAAAACTTAGACATCTCAAAAGGAAACATTGCTCAAGGATATTATAATAGCACAGAATATATCCCGCTTTTCACAGCATCTGGATCTTAAAGCAGCTTCTGGGCTCCCCATCCCTGAGAATTTAAATCACTTAGTCCTCTGAAGTCAGATGCCACTCACTTCCTTCCGTATCACAAAACTGTCACATTTAGCAAATGTAGAAAATTGTATATGCAGAATAGAACTATAAACTCACCGTTTCATTATGAAATGTTGCACGGTCTTTCACAAAACTTGCGTCCTCAGCCTGGGAAAACTCTTTGCAGACACAGCATATCATAACATCCATAAAACATCTCCAGCTATGGATTTTCTTGCTCGCCTCCAAGGTCTTCCTCTTGGGTCCCACTGCCTTCCGAGGCCAGACAGGTGACAAGAGACAAGGCCTTTTCTGTCATGGCCTGTCTCCCATAATTCTCTGCCTCAAGAGGTGCAAATGGTGACACCGTGTTTTCTTCATAGAATCAAGAGTTCCTCTCCCTCCCCGCCGGAGACTGAGGCTTCCTGCCGCCATTTTATTTTATTGTTGTGTGGTGTATTGTTTTATTGTGATCTGTTTTTAAGGAATCAATGCTTTTTAAATTGCCATTTTAAAATGTAGTTGTAGCCAACCAAATCCTACTCAGAGAACACCGGCTGAAATACAAGGGCCTAAGACAGACAGCCCCATTCATTCCAGTGGGTGGTATTCAGCTAAGTTTTATTCAGCATAGACATACTGTAGCAAGAAGGCTTCAATACTGAAATTAACTGACATAGCTTACACATTTTCATTAATTTCAATGGGACTATTCCAAGTAACATTTAGCTGAGCACCACCCAATGGGTCTAACCTAAGTAAGGACTAACAGTGCATCAGTATTTTATTTTTTTACTTGTGGAAGGAAGAGTTATTGTTTTGTTGTGTTTTAACTATTTATTTTTGCTTTTACCTTGTATTTTTATATTGTGAACCACCCTGCAATCTTATGATGAAGGGCAGTATAGAAGTCAAATAAATAAAATGATTAGTCTCTTGTTACAAAAATCAAGCAAACCTGTATCCAAGCAACTCATGAAAAATAAAGAGTCAAGATGAAGCAAAAAACATAGAATGGCTTAAAACAAAGCCATTACAAAGACCTGTAAACAGACCCAATGAAGCAGCAAAACCTCAGCAGCAGAAAGCAGGAATAAACTGAAATATTCACCATAATCTGTCAAATACCATGGGGAAGAGAGAGGTATTCAATGGGCACTAAAATGATGTTAAGGTCGGCACTAGGTGGACCTTATGCAACTGTCCAAGAGCATCACTGAAAATCAGTTTATATATCTTTTTTTAAAACAGAAACAAATCACCTCTAGCTTTTCAGGCAACACGTGAAGCCCATCCTCTTCATCAGAGCTATCGGAGGCATCGAAATTCAGCAGCGTGCGGTCGTTTTCTTCCAAGAATTTGTAAAATTCCGGATCCCGTTCCTTCAACCGGGAGAGCTGGTCTTTGTGTTGGGAAGCCCTCCCTGTCTTCAGTTTCCTGATCAGAGGAGATGAATTGTGGTTTCTTTAAAATAAAATAAAAATCAAGAGCTGACTTTGAAAGTACAGAGATTTAGAAACAATTGCTTATAACTTGGATGTACAGTGGTACCTCGGGTTAAGAACTCAATTCGCTCTGGAGGTCCATTCTTACCCTGAAACTGTTCTTAACCTTAGATTAGCTTCAACCAGAGCCAGGGCCTTTTCAACACTGGCTCCGGCCTGGTGGAACGCTCTGCCTCATGAGACCAGGGCCCTGCAGGATCTGATTTCTTTCCGCAAGGCCTGTAAGACAGAGTTGTTCTGCCTGGCCTTTGGCTTGGAGCCAATTTGATTCCCTCCCCCTCTTTCTTTTTCCTTTCTCCTCCTGTGATGAGGCTGCATTTTAATGTTTCAATATTTTAATCTTGTTTTTAAGTTGTATTCATTCAACTTGTTTTTATTATTGCTTGTTAGCCACCCTGAGCCCGGCCTTGGCTGGAGAGGGCAGGGTATAAATTATTATTATTATTATTATTATTATTATTATTATTATTATTAATCTGAGGCACCACTTTAGCTAATGGGGCCTCCCGCTGCTGCTGCGCGATTTCTGTTCTCATCCTGAAGCAAAGTTCTTAACTCAAGGTACTATTTCTGGGTTAGCGGAGTCTGTAACCTGAAGCGTCTGTACCCCGAGGTACCACTGTACATTTCAGGGGTTTGGCACACAACCGTTTGAAATTGTAACTAATTTAAGAAGAGCCTGGCTGCTGATCAGGCCAAAGGCCCATCTAGTCCAGCATCCTGTTCTCACAGCAGCCAACCAGAGGCTTATAGGAAACTTGCAAGCAAGACCCAAACACAGCAGTATTCTCCTGCCTCTAACTGCGCAGAAAGAGCACAGTCATTGTGGCTAGAAGCCAACGACAGCCTCAATCTCCATGACTTTCTCTAATCCTCTTTTAAAGTTGGAGACCATCATCGCCTCCAGGGAGATCAAGTTCCATAGTCTATGTGCTGCATGGAGTACTTTTTAAAAATCTGCCCTGAACCTTCCAGGATTCAGCTTCACTGCATGTCCACGAGTTCTACTGTTATGGGAGAGGCAGAAAGTATTTCCTCTACCCACTTTCTCCATGCCATGCATAATTTTATAATCTTGTCATGTCACCTCTTATTCGTCTTTTCTCTATCTTTTTTTAATTTCAATGGGTCCCCTCTAAGTACATTTGAATATAGTCGTACCTTGGTTTTCAAACAGCTTAGTTCTCGAACGCTTTGGCTTCCAAACGCCGCAAACCCAGAAGTGAGTGTTCCGGTTTGTGAACTATTTTTGGAAGCCAAACGTCCAATGGGGATTCCACAGCTTCCAATTGGATGCAGGAGCTTCCTGCAGCCAATCAGAAGCCACACTTTGGTTTCCAAACGTTTTGGAAGTCGAATGGACTTCTGGAACGGATTCTGTTTGACTTCCAAGGTATAGTTATAATGGAGAAAATTATGCATAATTTTCTCCATTATAACAAGGGCTAGAACCACCAGACACTTTTTATGACTTGGTGTTCTTTCATTACATATACAGCAGAACCATCATTTTCAAGACGACTCTTCTCACAAGGCTGGCAAATCTGGAACTATATTTGATAAATTGATAACGCTGGTAAGTCTTTACTTGGGCTTTTTTTTTTTTTACCCATGTGCAACTGCACTCATTCTACATGCCTATTTTATAGATTTGTTTTTCATCTTCTAATTTTCATCTGTTGCTGTATTTGCTCTCTGTTTTACAGTGGTACCTCGGGTTACATACGCTTCAGGTTACAGACTCCGCTAACCCAGAAATAGTACCTCGGGTTAAGAACTTTGCTTCAGGATGAGAACAGAAATCGTGCTCTGGCGGCGCGGCAGCAGCAGGAGGCCCCATTAGCTAAAGTGGTGCTTCAGGTTAAGAACAGTTTCAAGTTAAGAACGGACCTCCGGAACGAATTAAGTACTTAACCCGAGGTACCACTGTATATACATTATAAAATGAAAAAACAAAACATTATGGGGGGGAAGCTCTGAGTAAACCGTAGTTGGATATCATTTATTTTATTTTTTATTTGAACAACTCATATACCCTCAAACTACAAGAGTCTCCAAGCGCTTTACAAAGATGAAATATATAAAATAAAAATTAGCTAAAACTATTACTCTAATGCACTGTACTTCACTGTATTTCAAATGTTTTTAAAACAAAAAAAGTATTTTCTGCGGTTTGTTTTGTACATTTCAAAATGTTATGAAAAGCATTTTAGAAAATTCTAAAAACAAGGAATGTTTTCCTCTCTTACTTTTCCACAGCTTTCAATTTTAGCCCCCCTTTCTTCTTGACGGGGGCCTTCCCATTCTGGCTGAGCTTTTTATGAACCCCATCCTCTCTGGAATTCAAGGCTTCCTCCTGCAACTCGTCATCCGCGTCAGAATCAAATCCGGAAGTCAAGAACTCATCCACACTCAGCTCAGCGAGTTTTCTGTTCCCAGGGAGGCAAGGGACAAAATGGGTAAACAAAAGACAAAGAACAGAGTTTCAAAAAACAAGAGAGGTGTGAACATCGCTGGAAAAATCTGCCTTTCAGACGTCAAGAGCATCAACCAAGGACCATAGCTCAGGATTGAATGGCCACAAGCCTGGGCAAACAGAGGACTTTCTTACCCCCATTCTTTCAGTTGTAATGGTCTGACTGCACTGACTACTGATCATTATTTATTAATTAAACGTATTTGTTTAAATTATGTATATAACAACAATTGGTTTCAATGCATCTATAGGGGTTTTTTTTCTGTCTGTTTGTTTGGTTGTAAGTCACTTTGGGTTGCTTTGGGCAAGAGAAAGCAACTAACAAATTTAAAGAACTGTGAGGGGAGAGAGACATTCTGCTGTTCATCAGGCAATGGCTTTTTCCACCTGCCCTGCCCCACCTTTCAGCCCTAGCTAGAAGCCTTTCCCAAACCATGACTTTTGAGTACAGCAGAAGCAGCTGGGAAGAGAGAAATTCAAGGATATTTCAAAACAATAATTTTATAAGTTATGAATCCTTGTTTCTCAATTTGATCCTTCTACATGGTTTTGCATGTTTTGTGGTGTTTTATGCATTGTGACTTGAAGTTATTTTTATTATCGTTTAGCAATTGTATCAGATTAGTTTCTGGGTTCAATTCAAAGGGCTGGTTTTGACCTATAAAACCTTACGTGGCCCAGGACCCTGAATACCTCAAGGTGATTGTAAGTTGTTTTAAACCGTTTTTAACATTGTGTGTTAATTGCTGTAACCCACCATGAAACCTAGTAAGAAGTCTGCTGGGTCAGGCCAATGGCCCATATACTTCAGTACTGTTTCTCAGGAAAAAAAGAAAATAATTCCTACTGTGTTCAATGAAATGAATTCCCCACTTAAAAAAAAAAAGTATATTACTTGTATTATTATTATTGTTGTTGTTGTTATTGTTGTTATTAATTTATCTGTACAGTATATCTACTTAAGGCCAAAGCAGATTCCTAAGCGAAGTATAAAAACCCAATTACATAAAGATTAAAATATGAGCACCTATAATTAAAACACACGATATAAACAACCCCATAAACACTGATCATGAAGACACGCAAGTAACCAATTCCAATAAAAACAGATCCAGGGATTAGAAGATGAGAAATTGTTCCATTAACTTCCCAGGTGTTCCTTGCACCCCCCACGATTTAGGGAAATCCGCAAACACGCGCAGGGGAAATGAATGAGAACTTCCATTACTCTCTTTCTCCATAGCCCGAATTACCGCAAGCCATGCAAACCCTCCAAGGGGACAGCTGGGAGGTATCTTTGGAGCAAAGCTAAGGTGGGACCGGTCCGGTTTCAAAATGGAGGCGGGACCGCGTGATGAGATTCCTGCATTGCTTAAGGATTTGGGCTCGATGACCCTCGGGGATCCCTTCCAACTCTACCATTCTATGATATCATGCATCTTCTAGAAAAAGAGCTAGCTCTGTTAAGCGCCTGCGAGGCTACCTGGCTGCCAAGCCACACTCACCTCTTGCTGGAAGCGGCCATGCTTTGCGCTCGCGCCTCCGTCCGCTCCCAGCGGCAGCAACGTGGTCCGGGCACTTCCTCTCCCAAAATGCAACAGTAGCAAAGAGGAGGAGGAAGAAAGAGGAGGAGGAGACTGGAAGGGAAGCCGGCCCCGGTTGATGTTTAGGTTCACGGGCCCGGCGAGCAGAGGGAAAGAAACGGAATCAGGCTTTGAACAGGGCACGAAGCGGGCGGGCGGGCGCGCGCGCGCACACACACACACACACACACACACACAAAAAACCGATTCCGGGGAAATGTTGCACCGTTGAATTTCACAGCTTGGAGTTATGTGCGCGCGCGCGGATGTGTCTTTTCTCGCACCCACCGCAGGCTGTCTGAGATATTTAGAGGTCCCAAGGGACTGTTGCACGAGTGATAGGGAACGGTGGGGACTCGCCCAAAGTAGAGCTTGAGAGACGTAGTGACTGCTGTGCACAACACGCATTCAAAGCACATCCCTTCCATACCCAAAGAATCCCGGGAACTGTTTACCCCTTGCAGAGCTACAGTTCCCAGCACCCTTAAGAAACTACAGTTCCCAGGGCTTGTGTGGGGCTAAGACGTGGATCTTCTAAAAGGCATGGGTAGGCAAGCTAAGGCCCGAGGGCCGGATCTAGCCCAATCGCCTTCTAAATCCGGCCCGCGATTTCACATGAGTAGAATGTGTGCTTTTATTTAAAATGAATCTCTGGATTATTTGTGGGGCCTGTCTGGTGTTTTTACATGAGTAGAATGTGTGCTTTTATTTAAAATGCATCTCTGGGTTATTTGTGGGGCATAGGAATTCGTTCATTTCCCCCCACAAAATATAGTCCAGCCTCACCAAGGTCTGAGGGACAGTGGACCGGCCCCCTGCTGAAAAAGCTTTCTGACCCCTGTTCTAAGGAAACTGTAGCCCCCCCCCCCGAATGTAGAAGTGATCAATTTCTCCCTTTGAGAGTGGAAAAGGAAGTTGAGACTAAAATATATGGGAGATCTTGCTGCACTGGAAAAAGAAGCCCTTTTCCGGAGGAAGGACAGACATAGGAACATAGGAAGGCACCTTATACCAGCTCAGACCATTACGGCCATCTAGCTATGTTTTGTATTGTAAATACTGACTGGCAGTGGCTCTCCAGGGCTTAAAACAGACAGGAAGTCTCTCCCAGCCCTACCTGCAGATGAACCTGGGATCTTCTGCATGCAAAACAGAGGCTCTGCCACTGAGCTATGGCTCTACCCAGTGGGAGCACAGAGCAGTTGGCAATACTGTATCTCATGATACAGAAAAAAGGGGTTAACAACACTGAAACTACATATACAAAGCAACAGTGCTGGCAAGAAGGCTGGTTACATTTCAAAGGTATATAGGTGAAAAGATAATATGTTCACCTTGCTTGTGCCTAAGTGACGCCAACATGGGGGGCAGCAAAAGGATGTGATTTAGGAGAGAGTTTTGTAATCAGAGGGGCCACTGCTGAGAATGCCCTGCCTTTCATCATCGCTTACCCAGCAGAAGCTAAATGGAGAATAACAACCAGGGCATCCCTTAGTGGATCTTAAATGACTGATAGGGCAGTACTGGGGGATATTTTTGTCCTTCTGCAAAACCTTGTGGTCTCCCTTGTGGCCTGCTGATATGTTCCACTTGTATCTGGGTTGGTGCTGTTTTTGCTACATAAGGCTTGGCACTCACCATCTGGACATCAGAAATAGAGGGAATGGTGATACAGTACTTGGCATTTACATTTTGTCCACAAATGCTTATGCCACAATAAATCTTTTTAAAAGTGCCCCAAGACACTATTATCTTCCTGCTTTATTCCCCCCCCCCCAATACTTACAACAACCCTGCAAACTATTTATATTGCAGATATGGGATAGTGAAGCTGTGTATACACTGCACCTTTAAAGCACATCCGAAGGACATTATTTCCCTCAAAGAATTCTGGGGACTGTAGTTTGTTAAGGGTTGCTGGGTATTGTAGTTTAGCGAGGAGTGAACTACAGTGCCCAGAATTCATTGAAGGAAAGAATATGCTCCGAATGTACTTTAAAGTTATAGTGTGTACACAGCATGAGAGACAGTAGCCTACAGTCCAATCTTATGCATGCTTGTTTTGCAAATCTGTAGAGAAGAGGATTTATTGTACCTGTTTTTTAATCTGGAGAGAAGGTAGTGTAATATTTATGCATGGAATTCTCTCACAATAGATATTGCCTTAGATCCCTCTTTGTTATCCTTCCACCAGCAAGTGAAGATCTTCCTGTTCAGACAGGCCTTTAAAAACTAAGGTGCAGATGATGCTGATCACATTTCTGGTTCTGAATGTGTTCTGATATATTTTAATTATTTATTTTTAGCATGTTTGTGTTTCTTACTTTGTATTTTATCATGTTTTTAAATGTTTTTAGCCACTTTGAATCTCAGATTAGGATAAAAGTGGGGTATAAATATGTATAATAATAATAATAATAATAAATAATAATAATAATAATTTGTTTATATCTTTTGGATGGATATGTAACTTTGGACCCTATTGGGTTTTGGCTAGAAGCAATAAAGTTGGCAGCGAATTTGATATCTAGAGTTAAACATTTTGGGTTGTATCCAGTTAAATTTTACTGTACCCATTGAAATGAATGGATACAGGTCTTTTATGACACTGAATAAGACTGGTGTTGAGTACAACCCCATTATGTGTCTTTTCATAGCATCATAGAATTGTAGAATTTCATAGAATTATGGAACTGTAGACCTAAATGCAGAAATATTTCCCCCAACATGGGTCTTGAACCCACAACCCTGAGATTAAGAATCTTGTACTCTACCAACAGAGCTTTTGCCTGCTTATGTTCAATAGCAATCATTGCATGACAAGTGCTCAATGCAAAGGAGGCATTTTACCAGTGTGGAGTAGCCATAAAGCTCTCTAAGTGACCTCTCTCTCTCAGCCTAACCTACCTCACAGGATTGTTGTGAGGATAAAATGGGGAGGGGGAGAAGTGTGTTCAGATCCTTTGGAGAAAAGGTGGGATACAAATGTAATAATAAATAAGTTGTTTTGAACCGTTTAAAATAATGTTTAATATTGTGTTTTAGTGTTAATATTGTATTTTAATTATTGTAGGGGACCTTAGAGTGAAGGGCAGGTATTAAAATGTAATAATAAACAAACAAACATGGGGGGTGTCCAAAGATGGGCTTCAGGGGGGACAAAAATGGGTTTGTTTTGTCCCCGACGCAATAAAATTAAGTGTATGCTTTCCCCCCCCTTTCTGTCTTTTTGCATTTTTAATGCATTTTGTTTCCTTTTTATTGTTTCACTTAATTTTGTTCAATAAAAATATTTTCCATAAAATGTATGCAAAATGTGCGTATTTGCTTTAAGTGATTTTTTTTTCTGGGGAGGGGGTCCATAGCTTTCCTCAGATCCTCCAAGGGGTCTGTGACCTCAAAAAAAAGGTTGAGAACAGCTGATGTAAAGACACTGTTCCCCAAGGAACAGTCTACACAGCACGACCCACCGTTGCAAAACTGCAGAGCGGGCGGCGACTTTACACACACACCAGCACAGACACACAAATCTAACAAGCCTTCCTTTTGATTATTGCTGTAGAGCCCAGGGTGGGGGAAAGTGCTGGTGTTTTTTCCACTGTGAAGGGAAGCAAAGAAAGACGGACCTGATGTGCAAAGAGAAGAGAGAGTAAGGAAGGAGAGAGGAGTATAATCCAGCGGGAGGCTTTTGCCGCTGTTAGCAATCGCCCCATCAGTTGGGAAAAGCAATTTTTGCACCGGCTAACTTTTTAAAAAATCCATCAATCTGGAGAGCAAAGTGCCTGACCACGGAAAGCACCTTTGCTTTCTAGCCCTGGAGGTGTCAACTGGGTGAGTGCGGTCTTTTATTCACAATTCTCTGCATTATTATTATTATTTCTAACGGGGGAAATTCATAATAGAAGAAAGCACCGGTTCTGAACAAGAGAGGCAGATTATTTACAGGATTGCAGCCTAAACGTGGGTCCATTGCAGATGTGTGTGTCTCATTTATTGTATAATTTTATGTGCTACCTGCAATGGCTCCACTTGGAATTCTCACGCAGCCTGGGTACCGCATTTTGCAGGACCGGGAAGGTTGGCGGTGCATCTCAAACGCACACTTTTGCACGCAGCCTGCCCGTGCGCTTCCTCGAGAGTAAACCCCAGGGTCCTCAGCCGGGTTTTACTCCCAGGAAAGTGTGCCTAAAGCTTGCAGCCTCGCCCCCGTTTCCCCCGCCTCTTCTCTCTCTCTTCCCCAGTGAAATGGGCTGGCTTTCATTTCTCCTTTGTTACTCTTTTTGAGTTTTCCTTGCACACACACAAACCCAGCCTGGCTTGTTTGATGGAAATAGGATGGCTGCGTGCGATTGCAAGCGATTGCCTCGCTTTGCGCTAGGCGCTGTACGATTTGAGACGACAGCGAACAACAATGCAGCCACCACAAAAACCTTCATCTGTTGTGGCAGGGGAGGAGGATCTCGTTATGGGCTGCACGTTTCCAAGAAACTGCGGCTCAAATAATCTGCTGCAAGGCGTCGATCGGATGGGGCAAAGCACGGGCCCCGATCCCGCTGCTCGTGAGGGTGATCGTGTTGCGGTTGGAAGCTTTTGAAGACACGCGCTGGTGTACCGGCGAGGGGGGTTATCTGAGGTGACTGCTGTATTTCAGACAACTGCAGTCTAGCTCTCGCTCCTTTAATTTAATGTTTTTGAAAAGAGCCGGATTTGTCATTGTGGGGTGCAGCGGGTGCACAACCCTTTAAAGGAAGTGAGTGGCTACGGGGGGGGGGATGGGATGCAGGTTTTGCGTGTGCGCGCCTTCCCCCCACCCCCGCCCCGTTCCCAAATGCTCCAGTTGCAGTATCAGAAGCCTGCATTGCTGCTACCCCGATCAGTTTTGTATGTGTGTATTTTTTTTTTTAATTTAAGGAGGCTATCCGAGTTTGCATATCCTGGCAGGATCCCGCTGCTGCAAATATATACAGTGTGTGTATGTATATCAAAGCAAAACTAATTCTTCCACCAGCCCCATCTGAAAACTAACCTACTGCCTATTTGCTTTGCGTTTTCAAAGAAAAATATGACCATTTATAAAACCGGGACTATCAAAAGATCATGGATGGTGACGAAAAAATCTAGCTCCTCCTTAACTTTTTTTTTTGTTAAATCGCCTTCCACCTGGTCCGTTTACATTTGCGTCAATTTTAGCCCTATGGAAAGTGGGGGGCGGGCAGTGGAATATGGACACAAAGGAATCTGTTTCTTAGGCCATCCGGAATATGTTTGCACTTTCTTCCTGACTGCACCCTCCTCTCTAGGCTGGGAATGCAAGGGAGAGATGTAATAATGCAAATCATGAGAAAGTATTAGCTGGGGAAGCACTAAATTGCATACTCTCCCCCCCCCCTTAAAATTTGACATTTTGTAAGTCTTTGTTTTGGCCTGGCTCTTTGCAGAAAAAACTCCTAGTATATAAGAGCACTGAGAAGGGAAGGGGGCACCCAGCCAATCCCACTCCCTTTGTGAATGTACCTGCATGGCAACATGTGTTGATCGCATTCACATGTTAGCATTTGAGTCAGATATTAAGCATACCGTAAGTGGGGGAGAGAGATTACCCCCTCTAGAGGGAGGGTGTAAACTGCAATGCAAAACTGACCTTTTTGTGCATGGAGGGGGGTGTTCCTAATTGTTTAATGCATTCCACCCACCTTATTTGCTTCTGTTTTTAAATGATAATAATAATTATTATAAAAATAAATTATGTGCATCTTCCTTTCCTGTGCTACATTTAAGAAAGCATAACTCAGTCTTTCAGAAGCAATGGTTTTGTAACTCTCCAGCAATTTCTTTCTTAAAAAATCATTGTAATAAAAGAGTCATACCCAGTGTCCTGTGAGAGAGCTGTTAGTCTACTATTGAGAATGAAATTTTAGCCCAGTGCACCCACGCACACAGGTGATGGCCCATTGCATCTCTGCATGAATAGCTGTTCTGGGCTTCATTTTATTCCAGTCGGCCTACACTGAATGCAGGTAATTTTTATTTTCATCACAAGGTGTAATTTGAGCATTCAGTCACCCACACTACAAATATAACAGAATTACCTGCCTTCAGAGGAGGATCCCATTTGTGTCCCTGTGTGAGTCTCTGGTCTGAAGTTGCCTTCTTCCAGTCAATCTTCCCTGTTACAGATCCTTCTGCCACATCTCATGATCAAATGAGACTGGTTCATTTACTCTCTTTCAAGTAGTGATTCAGGAAAATTACCTGCCCTGAAAAAGCTGACTGTTGTATTTCTGCATGACTGCCTGTTCTGACCTTGCCTCCTTCCAGTCCATCTCTCCTGACAGACAGGTAACTTTGTGGCCTCTCTGAAATCAAGTGCAGCTGGCAAATTCACTGGGGCATTAAAATATCCTTAATTAAAATAAACAATAAAACAAAAAATTAAAAAGCGTAACAATTAAAAAAAAGTTAAAAAGGAATCAGAAGTTCAGTTCAGTGGAATGCTTGCCTTAACAGGTATTTATTCAGTTACTCTCATGGTAGGAAGGCTAAGATGAATTGCCTCTGCTTTTAGGAGGCTGCCTGCTGAGTCTCTGTATGAGTCACTGCTTTCGCTCTGCTTCCTTCTAATTAGAGGGCTCAGTCTGAAACATATGGAGTAGACATTCTTGCACAATCCAAAACTAAATTGCTGGTCATTTTAATTCAGACTTTGTGGGATGAAAAATGAAATGAAGGGTATCTTTCCCCAGGTGGGGATAACATTTCATTTCTTGGTATCCTAGGCGAGATGCCTACTGACAGTGCTTCAGAACCCATGCATACCTTTTGCAGCATAACTTTACCACACTGTTCAACAGTGGAACAGACTCCATAGGGAGATGGTGGACTCTCCTATCTTGGAGGTTTTTGGGTAGAGGTTGGATGGCCACCTGTCATGTATGCTTTAATTGAGATTCCTGCATTGCAGGGGGTTGGACTCACTAGACAATCCTCGGGACCCCTTTCAACGCTACAGTTCTCTGATTCTATTACATCATGGTAGAAGCCCCATTGTCAGAGCACCACACAAGAATGAGTTGCTCTTTCTGAGCCTCATCTAGCAATACTTGGATGTGGTACAGAGGTTCTTGGCTCCAGACCAGACTTCACCAATCTGGTGCCCCCCAGATGTTCTAGACTCCAGCTGTCACCAGCTCAGCCATGCTGGCCAGGGCTCATAGACATTTCAGTCCTAACCATCTGGAGGGTGCCAGGCTGGTTGAGAACCACAGAATTTTAGAGCTGGAAGGAACCCCATCAAACTGCCTGCCCAACGCCAACCCTGCTGGGTGCAGGCTTTCTTTCACTGTTAGGATGACAGATGGTGGGGGGATGCAGGTTGGAGCATGACCCCGGAACTGGGCCCATTTTGCTCAGCACAAGACTCGTAATCTTAGGGTTGTGCGTTTGAGTCCCATGTTCAAGTTCCCATGCATTCCTGCATTGCAAGAGGTTGAACTAGATCAGGCATAGGCAAACCCGGCCCTCCAGATGTTTTAGGACTACAACTCCCATGATCCCTAGCTAACAGGACTAGTGGTCAGGGATGATGGGAATTGTAGTCTCAAAACATCTGGAGGGCCGAGTTTGCCTATGCCTGAACTAGATGACGCTTGTGGTCCCTTCTAACTCTATGATTCCTCTAAGAGAGGAGGGATGTTTAGGCACCAATGCAGGCACCTCTTTTTGTCGAATTTCCTGCAGCATCTGTGAATTCCTGATTTTATTTTATTTTTGTTGTGCTATTGATGTAGTTGCCACACAGCAGGAAGAGAAAGCAAGGCATTGCCTAGCCTCCGAGGAGCTTAGAACACAAAGAGAGTTCATTCCAAGCCAACTCAACTTAGTAAACAGAGTCTAACACAGGAGCATAGGAAGCTCCTTATACCAGAGCAATCTATCCTAGCTCAGTATTGTTGACATGGGGGTGTGTGTGCTTGTGGCCCTCCAGGTGTTGTTGGATTGCTAATCCCATCAATGCCAACCATTGATCATGTTGGCTGGGGCTAGTGGGAATCCAACACCATCTGAAGGGCCACAGGTTCCATGTCTCTATTTTTAATCCATCTTAGTAAAAGCCAGAATTTTAATACAGGGATGAGGAACCTCCCATCATCCCTGGACTGTTGGCCATGCTGGCTTAGGCTGATGGGATTTGGGGTCTAACAACATGGTCTACGTCTACTGGCAGGAGTTATCCAGAGGTTTCTGAGCAGAGGTTTCTGTGGGCAAAGTATGTGCCCTACCACAGGGGTGGGAAACCAACTCCAGCCTGATTGCCACATTGCCTGATCGACAACCTTCAAGGGATGTGTGCAGGACACTGGCAGGTGGGACCAGGGACAAAAGCAGTTGGGCCAACAGTGAGGTGTCTTACCTTTGCAGAGGAGACTCCATTCCAACCTCTCATAAGGTAGAAGTTTAGAACATAAGACGAGCCTGCAGGATCAGGCCAGTGGCCCATCTAGTCCAGCATCCTGTTCTCATAGAGACCAACCATTGTGGCTTGTAGCCATGGAGAGCCTTCTCTGTGAATATATCTAATCCTCTTCTAGAGCCATCCAAGTTGGTAGCCGTTCCTGCCTTCTATGGGAGCAAGTTCTATACTTTTAACTCTGAAGAAAGACTTCCCTTTCTCTGTCCCAACTCTTCAAACATTCAGCTTTCTAGCATTACAAGAGAGGGAGAAGAATTTTCCTCTATTCACTTTCCATGCCATGCAGGATTTTATAATACTTATACAAACAAATCTCTCTCTTTCTCCATCCAGGCAATGCAAGAGGCACCAGAGTTTAGGGACTCTATTCCAGCCACGCAAAAGCCCTTAAGGAAGGTGTAAATTAGGGCTGGGAAAGCGTGTCACCTGGGGAGTCCCGAGGGCCAGACTGAGAGAGCTAGGGGGCCACATTTGGGCCCTGCGCCTCAGCTCCACTATTCCTGCTCTATACCACAAAGCTGCAGGCCCTTCCTTAAGCTCCATCAACGTTGCCCACAAGCCAGTGGGAGGCAGCCTGTAGGATTGAGGAACTGGATCCGTGTCTTACAGCAAAAGCAGAGAAAGGGTTTTGCAGCACCTGAAAAGTGTTGCTTGCTTTCGTTATTAAAATGTTTGCATCTCACCTTCCCATCAGTACCCCTTACGGCACCAAATTAAAAATCTAAAAGCAAGCTAAGGAAAACAAAAAACAAAAAAACCCACACAAATTAAAGCAATTAAGAAGACAGCCAACAACAGATGGGATTAAAGCAAACAATAACTCAGCGGAAAGAACAATGGGGTTGCAATCTTATGCACACTTGTCTGGAAGCAAGTCCTGTTGAGCTCAGCTGGGTTTCCAGACGTGCATAAGAGCCCTGAGGCTAGATCAGGCCAAAGGCCCACTTGATCCTGTGTCTTGTTCTCGCAGTGGCCTTCCAGATGCCTATCAGAAACTTGTAAGCGGGTCCTGAGCACAAGAGCAGCACTCTCTGCACTCGAGACTCCGAGGCTGCCACTGAGAGTGGGAGTAATACATAGCCATCCTAGCTAGTAGCCATTAATAGCCTATCCCTCATGAATTTGTCTAATTTTAAAGTTATCTAAGTTAGTGGCCGTCACTGACTCCTCCTAACTATGCAGTACTTCATTTCATCTGGCTTGAATCTTACAACATTCAGCTTTTCTGGACATCCCTGAGTTCTAGTATCACAAGAGAGAGAGAGAAAACTTCTCTTCTGTCCACTTTCTCCACCACCCCTATCGTGTCCTCTCTTGCTCACCTTATCTCTAAGCTAAGAAGCCCCAAACATTGTGACCATGCCCCATAGAGGTGTTGCTCCACCCCCCTAGAACATTTTGGTGGCTCTCCATGCTCTTTTCTTAACTTTTTATTGGTCTGTATGTGGGTGGCGCTGTGGGTTAAACTACAGAGCCTAGGACTTGCCGATCAGAAGGTCGGCAGTTCAAATCCCCACGACAGGGTGAGCTCCCATTGCTCGGTCCCTGCTCCTGCCAACGTAGCAGTTCGAAAGCACGTCAAAGTGCAAGTAGATAAATAGGTACTGCTCCGGCGGGAAGGTAAACGGCGTTTACATGCGCTGCTCTGGTTCGCCAGAAGCGGCTTAGTCATGCTGGCCACATGACCCGGAAGCTGTACGCCGGCTCCCTCGGCCAGTAAAGCGAGATGAGCGCCACAACCCCAGAGTTGGCCATGACTGGACCTAATGGTCAGGGGTCCCTTTACCTTTTTATGCATCCGCTTGCAACCCACAGGCATTCTTAGAAAGCTGCATTCTGGGTATTCAAAATGCGAGCAGCGAGTTTGAACAACTGGGCCTCTCTAGGGCAGGTGTCCCACATTTCTGGTGACTCAAAATACTGGGGAAAGTTCAATTATCTTTATTTTGTCTCCCCTGTTTATACCTGGCTCCTTTCCCTTCTGGTGTTACCCTGTGTCAAAACTTAGGCTCTAAACCTTTCAATGCAGGAGCTGACCTCTTATATTTTGTAAAGTGGCACACACAATAAATAAAGTAATCACAATGCGGAGTTTTGTTGACTTGCTAGAACCCAAAGCAGCCTGCTCTGTAGGCCTGCCAACGCCTTGATCCTCCCTGTGCATGGCTTAGGGCACCTGTTGCCTTTGCCCGATTATGTGGACTGATTTTAAGCACCAGTTTGGATTTGAAGGCCTTTGGTTCCATGAAATGCCACACTGAACCCAACGGCTGGCACTGGAAGCTACCTGTGTTAGCAACAGAGAGGGTGATTAATTTTGTGGCTTGCGTCATGTCCTTTGAAACAACCAGGACTATTTTTAGGACGGCTTGGTTTGAGGGCTGCAAAAAAGAGATAGCGGATTTGCTTCCATAGTACACTATAGACTCGAGCTCTCAACCAAGATGGAAGGCTTAGCTGTTCAACACTACCTAAACCAAACAAGCAGACCTGATGGGTAATATTAGGACTGTGGGGCTAGAACATGCTGAATAACAGAATAATAAACTGCCTCTGAGCGTATACAGAATATATTTCCATTGTTAATGACTGTGCACGGTAAAGCTAAACTATGGTTTTAGATAGACCACAGTTTGGTGTGACATCTGAACCCAGACAAACAGTGATTACGGTAATCTTAATTGTAGATTACAAAGATGGCTTGTTTCAACAATGCATATTTAAGATTAGCCACAGTTTAGAGCTCAGAGGACACACTAAACTGTGGCCCATTTAAAATAGAAATGGAAGCTTCCAATCTCTTCCTTGCAGTCGAACTGAAGAAGGGGAAGCCCAAGTCTTGCTGCAGCTTCTAATGCTAATTCATAGTTTAGCACAATCTTGCATTTAACAGCTCACCTAGTACTACAGACAACCAGGAATGTCATGCAGGTGAGTGAGGAGGCACAGACAGATCAAGCCATCCACCAGTCTGCTTGACTTCCCTGCTAGACACAGTGGACGGAAAGCATCTTAATACACAACACACCTGGAAATACAGTGGGCTAGTGGAAGAAGCATGGGTTGCTTTCTCTCTTTTCCACTAGCTCCCTTGCAAAATGGTTGTTTTGTTTGTTTTTAAGTAGCCTAAGAGTAGCTATGTTTACTGACCAAAGAGTTCAGAAGTAATTTCTAGGTTGTTCCCCACTTCCCAGGCTATAAAGTAGATGAGGGTTAAAAACCAACGAACAAGAAAAGGTGTACTAAGTGTGACGTGTTGAGTGTTTTGTTTTTTTTAAAGAGAGAGTTCTGTATCTCTGCATGAGTTGCCATTCTGGATACTAGATTCCTGCTTGAAAATGTTACTCATACAAAGGTGCTGTGGGCAGCCTCGTCTGAGAGCAGGTCAGTCCATAGCATCTCTGCTTTGGCAGTGATCGAATAGTGCCTAGACAGAGCCAAAGGATGCCCCGAGGAGGAGGGTTGGAAAGAGGTTCAGAACAGTGACTCTCCAGAGGCACCCAGCGTTGGAAACACAGGCTTTATATGCAAGACTAATTTAATGTTAACATGCTAACACAGCCATTGAGTAATCACAATATTTAGTCGTGCTGGGTACAGTGGGCAGGATTTTCAGGTCAAAAGGTCTGCTTTGCAGCAGATCTTAGCCTGTGCACCTGTTGGTTATAGAAATAGTCCCTTAGGAGGACCTGTTAATAGAGGATGAACAGCTTCTAGCCTAACTCTGTCCAATATATGCCACTTTAGAAGCTTGCTAGCCAAGTTTAGATGGCTTTAAAAGGGGATTAGATAAAATAATTTAGTACAGATCTGCTCTTTGTTGTTATATCAACAAAGTTTAGATCCCCCTCCTAGCAATAAAAGATTCATATATGCTAGAACATTAATCCAAAGTGAATTCTCCTGGAACATAAGTTTTTGCATTGGTGGCTATGAAGTTGTTATCAACCTTTTAAAAAGCCAAAAGGCTTTAATTTAAGAAGGGATGGGGGAAGGGATTGAGGACTTTAAAGCATTCATATGTTACCCTTAAGCCAAATAGTTCCCAGGGCACTTCACCGGAAAAAAAAATCAATACAAAATTGCATGTAAACGGACATGAAACAACTAGCTGTTAATGACAGCAAATTAATATGGTTTAAAAGTCATTCCCGAGTTGCTCCTAGGCAACCCACTATGTCCCACCTCCTTAACTATTATTAGTTGAAAAAATGTTTGCTTAGGACAATAACTGTTTTGCGTCTTACATTCTTGAATAGAAGAGTTCCTTGTTCAGAGTTGCCATGGGCAGGCTTGCTTGAAAGCATGCCACTCCATAGCATCTCTGCTTTGGCAGTGAATGAATGAGCCAAGGCAGAACCCAATGGTGCCCAGAGGAGACAGATTCAAAAAAAGTGTGCTCAGAACAGTGACTCTCTCAGAGCCACAACGGTTACTTTCTTGGGGTATAGGTTCATTAGGGCTCTCAGAATCCTTTAATTGTTGCTTTGATTTATTTCTCACGGAAAGCTAGGCACTTCTCTTGTAGCAAACAACTGTGCTCAGGCATAGGCACAGGAAATGTGGACGATGGGTAAGGGTGAGGAATCCTTTTCACTCTTTTCACTCTTAGGGCCTCTAGGAAGACAAGGAAGAAATGTCTGAAAAGATGCTACCTCCAACAGAGCTTGGATTTTCATGAACAGAACTGGGATCTCAAAGCAAAATCTGTTCCTAGTGAGGCTATAGGCTTCACACAGAGGGTAAGGAACAGGAACTAAGTTGGACCCGTCTAGTTCAATATTGTTAACACTGACTGGTAGCTGCTCTTCAGGGTTTCAGGCAGGGAGTCTTCTTTCCTAGCCCTACCAGGAGATGCCAAGGATTGAACCGGGGACCTTCTGCATGCAAAACTGCTGTACCATTGATCCACGGCCCTTCCCTTAAGACACAGGAACATAGGAAGCTGCCTTATACTGAATCATACCATTGGCCCATCAGCCTTAGTATTATCTGCACTGACTGGCAGCTGCTCTCCAGGGTTTCAGGCAGGGCATCTTTCCCAGCCAGTGCTCCCAGAGATACCATTGGGGATTGAACCTGAGACCTTCTGCATTCAAAGCAGATGCTCTGCTTCCGAGCTATGACCTTTTCTCTTGATTTGTGCCCAGAGACAAGTCGGTTATGTTCTGCATTCTCAGGATTGCTGAACACATTGTCTTAAAAGATCCTGCGTATATGTGACTGTGCAGTGTGGCAGCCTTCCCTTCAACTTGAATAACTGTGGTCCTATCAGCCAGCCCTTGGGTCTGCGACTGCTGCTGTTGAATGCCAGATTGGCTGTGAATCCATGACTTGATTGTAGATGGGAAGGCCGATCTGGCCTGCATCACTGAGACCTGGGTGGGTGAACAGGGAGGAGTTGGTCTCACCCAGTTGTGCCCACCTGGCTACTCAGTACAGCATCAGGGCAGACTTGAGGACCAGGGAGGGGGTTGCTGTGGTCTATAGAGATTCTTTCTGTGTGTCTCTAGCCAGGCTTTCTGTCCAGCTGAATAGGGATCTTGAGTGTGTGTTCCTGGTGTTGGGTATTCGGGACAGATTAGAGATTCTCCTGGTTTACTGGCCACCTCGCTGTCCTTCAGTCTCCCTGACGGAGCTGACAGAGTTGATCTTGGAGGCAGTGCTGAAGACTCCTAGACTGATGGTTCTGGGGGCTTCAACATCCATGCTGGCTCTGGGGTGGCTCAGGACTTCATGGCTGTCATGACAACCATTGAATCCTCACTATACCATCTGGCAGAGCTTTTCCAGGTCTTCAGCACACTGGCCCAAAAGTGGTGGCAGAATGCTAGGCATTTTGAGGATAAAATTCCTAGCATCCATCAGGACCTTAGCTCTACTGTTACAGCAATTGACTCTCAAGAGATACACAGAGCACTGTCTAATCCTGTTTTGTTGGATGAATTTCATTTGATCCGGCTCGAGGATGTGGGGACCCTTACCCTTCTTGGCTGATAAAATCCAGCGGGAAGGAGACAGCTGTCAGGGCTAGGGAGGTGGTCAGTACCTCTTTACAAGGGAGGGTACTATAGTTCCTGCCTGTTTCAAGGGGGCAGTGACCACTTCTTAAGAAACCATCCCTAGATTCTGAGAACTTTGGGAATTACCAGCCAGTTGCCAACCTCCCTTTCTTGGACAAGGTTCTTGAGCGGGTGGCTGCTAACCAGATCCAGGTGTTCTTGGAGGAGACTGATTTTCTCCTTGATCTGTTGGTGGCTTTTGATGCCATCAACCACTGTATCCTCCTGGAGAGGCTATCTGAGTTGGGGGTTGAGTGGCAGTGGTGGGTGTTATTATAATTAAATATACAAATAGACCATGCAAATGCTAGGGTGTTTCAGGACCCAGGATAGCTCCTGCACATGAAAGAGGTTGTCCCTATGAAAGTCTAAGCCCAGTTGAGAGTCCTTCCACTGTTATGCACACCCTTATGATTTGACCAGTTCCTGGGCCCTCAATCAAAGCTTTGCTACAACGCTATTGAATGGTTGAAACTACTGTAATTGTCCCATCCAGCTTGTACCGTAGGACCTTTGGGAGAGTGCACTGCTTAGGATGGTTGCTCCTTGCCCCCAAGTCTTACACTACGCCCTGCATGGCTGAAAGGTGGGAACTACTCTGAGGGGTCTGCAGGAAGGCCAGCACATGGGGGCTGTGAAACCTCCTAGCCAGATGACTGCGAGTCAGTGATGTTGCCATAGTGGAATCTTTTGGAAAGGCTAGGATGGGGATGGGGAACCTTTTCCAGTCTAGGGGCCATATTCCCTTCTGAGGGACTTTCCAGGAGCCGGTGGTGGGTGGAGCCAGAGGCAAAAGTGGGTGCAGCAACAGATGTGGGGTTTACCTTCATATAGGAGGCTACTTTCTTCACCCACACCTCTTTGTCCTCCATCCAGACAAAAGACAGGAACAGAGTTCAATAACACATTCTAGCTGGGCAAAAACAAAGAGGGTGCAAAGTCAGGCTGGTGAGGGATGTGGCCTGGGGACAATTTTAAGGGCCAGTTAGAGAGGTCTGGAGGACTGCATTTGGCCCCCAGGCCTAAGGTTCCGCACCCAGGGGGCTAGGCTGAAACATTTAGGGAGCAGAAAAATACATTTTATCCCCCACCCTGAAAAAGTCTCACCTGCTGAAATCAGGCTGCTGGAGGGGAGCACATGGCCCACCTTCCACCCGTCATAATTATACGTTGTGCTTCCGCCACTGCACACTTTGCAAATGTTAATTCACCCGCCCGCTGCGCATCATGCATTTGGCAGCTCCTTAGCTTCACGAGATCTCTCTCTTCCCATTTGCCTTTAGCTTGCACAATCAGCTGTATGTGGGCGGCTCTCAGGAGTCACATCCGTTCAGTCGCCGCTCGATGTCTCCCCTCGTTCCAGACGAGGACGGGAGTTCCCTCTCCTCCATCACAGGAAGCGCTCTGTATGCTTTGGTGCTCCTCCCCCTCCCTTCTCTTCCGAGGCTGCAGGAAGCTTGGTATCTCACTGCGTCTGCACCCATCTGTCCATCTGGCTTGTAGGGTGTGCATGTGTGCGCTGCTTCGTGGTCTGATTCTCTTTGTCCCCATTGCCGTCTTCGTCATCGCTGCCGCCGCCTCCCTCTCCTTGGCATATGCGTCTCCCGCTTTTGGCAAGAATGAATTAAAACTGCTTCCTCTTCCTAGCTGAGGACCAGTTATTTTTAGGCACGCTCACACATACTCATAAGCCCTCGCAGCCGGCAGTGTGGAGGTGTTTGTGATGAATATCAAGGCCCGGATAAACATGCGTGTGACTTACTGCCGGTGGGCGGATCTGATGTGAGGCTGCTGAGTGGTTTTTAATTATTCCTTTTCATGATTATTACCGGCGAGGCGCCTGTGGTTATCACAATGCATGGTGCTCAGAGGCAGGGGCAGGGAGGCTTGTGCTGTGGAAGGAGCCTTGGGCAAAACTGTATGCCTTCCCCCCACACCATGCAGGATTTGAATGGATGAAGTCCAGTTCCACCCAGCATCCAAGGTAGAACATAAGAGCAGCTCTGCTGGATCAGGCCAGTGGCCTATCTAGTCCAGTATGCTGTTCTCACAGTGGGCGGCCAGCTGCCCTTTCTGGAAAGTGAACAAGCAGGACCTGAGCATAACAGCAACTATTCCCACTTGTGGTTCCCAGCAAACCAGCATTCAGAAGCCTACGGCCTCTGACAATGGAGGTAGAACATAGCCATACTGGCTAGTAGGCACTGATAGCCTTCTCTTCCATGAATTTGCCTGATCTAAATCATCTCAGCATAATGCAATGACGAATAACATAAGGAGTTCCCTGCTGGATTAGGCCAGGGGAGCATCATAGTCCCGCATCTGGTTTTCATAGTGAATGGAGGTAAAAGAGGATTGGACGAACTCATGGCAGGTATCAGTGGCTGGTAGCCATGAGAGCTGTGTTCTGCCTTCATTGCCAGAGGCAGTATGTACTCAGGTCCTGCTTTCCTTTGGGGCTTCTGGTTGGCCACAGGGAGAACAGGATGCTGGACTAGCTGGGCCTTTGGCCCAATCAAGCAGAGGTCTTCTTATGCTCTTGTTCATCATGCTCCCCTTGGATTGCTTTAGAAGGGGATTCGATAGAGGGCAAGGCTGGCAATGGCTGTTCCCTCCGTTGTTGGAGGTAGCATGTCTCTGAACGCCAGTTGCTGGGAATTGCAAGCAGTGAGAGTTGCTGTTGGGCTCAGGGCCTTCTTTGGGGCTTCCCAGAGGCATCTGATTGGTCACTGTCCAAACAGGATGCTGGTGCCTTGATCCAGCTGCCAGGCTCTTCTTACCTTCTTATTTTCCACTTTTGCATTCATATAGGGTGCTTCCGGTTGGGTAGCTGAAATGTTGCAAGGAGGTAGTCGGCAGCAGAGTGTTGTTGTTTAAACCAAGGAGCAGCGTTTAGGACCCAAAACTGTGATTAATCTGCTTCTTGTCCTTCCCTAAAATGTTTCTCCAGAGAGGCTGAGAGGGCGCTGCCACGAGCCAGGAACGACCCGCCTGCAGCCATGGAAAATGGAATGCAGCTCCTAAACCGGGATGGGCACAGCATCTCCCACAACTCGAAACGGCACTACCACGACGCCTTCGTCTGCATGAACCGCATGCGGCAGCGATCCTTGCTCTGCGACATTGTGCTGCATGTGGCCACCAAGGAGATCAAGGCCCACAAAGTGGTGCTGGCTTCCTGCAGCCCTTACTTCCACGCCATGTTCACAAGCAAGTATCTCTACCCAAATCCTCTTCCTCTTGCAGCTTGCCTCAGTTGCCTTGAAAGTCTGCACCCAGATGGTTCATGTTCTGCTCCAGTTGAGGCAAAAATTCTGCAACCTGTAGAAATTCTGCAAGTCGAGTAGACTTTTAATTGGTGCCATTCCTCTTGCTGCACATAATTCATTAACCCTGAAATTCTTTCTGCTTTGAGACTTTCCCTTTCAGGTGAGCTGCAGAGCAGAGTTTCTCGAAGGGTGCATTAGATAACTTGCAAATGAACTTTAATAGGTGCATAATTTAATCTGGTGTTACTACTCATGGAGAAGGGGAAAGGGGCTACGTGGGGCACTGACGCCCCATATTTAATTTTTTAAAATATTTATATCCTGCCCTTCTTTGTAAAGGAGTCAAGGGTGGCAATCACTTTAATAATAATAATAATAATAATAATAATAATAATAATAATATATTCCTTAATCGTGACATATATATAGCAGACATTTTGGGTTCTACCCAAATAAATCCTACTCAGAGCAGATCTATTGAAATTAACAGGTATAAGTTAGTCAAGTCCACCCAGTATAAACCATCATGGGTCTCTAAGTGAGGGGGGGAGCTATTAGTAGTGTTGTCTCTGGCTTTTTTAAAGAATCAATCCGTCTTCCCAGAGAACTCTGGGAAATGTAGCTGTGAGGGGAACAGGAGGGAGTCTCCTAACAACTCTCAGCACTCTTAAAAGACTACAGCTCCCAGGAGTCTTAGATGAAACCATGACAGTTTAACATTACAGTGGTAATGTTGCGGTTGTGGACGGGATCCGTTCTGGAGCTTCGGTCGGATTCCGAGGTTTCAGCAACCGGAGGGACCACTTTTGCGCATGCACACACGGTGGTAGAGCGCTTCTGCGCATGCGCACGTGGCAAAAACCCAGAAATATACTTCTGAGTTTGCCACTTATGTATCCCGAAGTTTACGTAAGTAGAGGGATACGTAAGCGTATAGTGCAGATGGGGCCAAGTCTGAAGCAAGGGTTTCCCTCAGACCTCTAGGACTTGTGATTGTTGCTACCCAGAGATGAATTTGGGACTTTTTGCAAAGAAAGCATCTGTTCTGCCACTGATCTGCGGCTCCTCCTCCTCCAAAGGGCTGGATGGGTCTTGGCTTTTGCTGGGCACAGTGACCACAATAAAGCCCCTAGGGGTTTCTGCTTAAGATACCCATGGCGTCCTCACAGAGTTCCCTTGTGTTTCCTTGCCACCGCAGATGAGATGAGTGAAAGCCGACAGACCCACATAACACTCCATGATATCGACCCGCAGGCGCTGGAGCAGCTGGTTCAATATGCCTACACGGCTGAGATTGTGGTGGGAGAAGGGAACGTACAGGTAAGATGGACCAGAAGGACCAGCATCTTTTCTATGGTTTCTTTGGGAACTGTCCTCACTGCTGCCTCACCTGCACCCTCTGCTGTTAAGCGGCAACAGCACTGCTGTGGCATTCTGGTCTGATGCCCACGGACAAAAGTGGCAGGACCACGGACAGCTCCGAGGGAGCAACTTGCTCAACAAAGGCTTGGAGCAGGCTGAGGCCTTTGGGGTCTCCAGACTTCCTCCTCCTGGCTCTGCCCACCTTGAGGGAACTTCAGAACCTTTGGCCTGAAAACAGGCATGGATCCTCCATTCCATAGTTTCCCTTCTGGTGGGCTCTTGGCCCAGCCAGACTAGAGACATGTGGTTCTTCAAGTAAAGGCATCAATGAGGGTCCAGGCTTGGTGGTCTGGAAGTTCTTGCCCAGCCACCTGAGGTGTGATGGTCTGCATACCTTCATGTAGTCAGGTCTGAGCCCTGACCCAAACTAGCTCCCCACTTGGTGCCTCTGCAGCCTCCAACTCTTTGTCCAGATCAGCGCTGGGTGCAAGGGCCATGAAAGCTGCTGCTGCGCTGCCCCACCAGGCGAGCCGTTCCTTTATATTTCCTTCTGTTTCCAGCGTTCAGGGATGGGTGTTGACATTTTTGTAGTCAAAATCGCACATGTACACAGAGGTCGGTATCAGTAGGCTTGGAGAAATCCCCCTGCAGAGAACCCTCTATTCTTGCAGTTGTACAAAAATAAACTTGAGTGGGGGCGGGAATCCTAACAGAAGATCCCCTAGACCCCACATCACCCCACCTCACCCCAGAAAAGCCCCACCCCAATGAGGACTGAGCCAGGGGACCTTTGGAGAAATGGGTGAGAGAAGGAATGGAATGGAGCATCTTGGATATGGGCAAGGAGCACTCCACATGGCCATATGAGGTTCCTGGGTCCGTCTTGTTTAATGTCTATTTATGTATCAAAACCAAATTGCAGTGGCACCTCCAGGCCCCTGAACCACAGATGCCTGTAATCTTATCACATTGCCCTCCCTGCAATTCCCGATGATGTCACATGATGGCTGGCCGGGGCTTTGTTTGCTGCTGGTCTTGCAGTGCTTCCAACAAGGCTGGCTCAGCTGGCCTGGAGCAACCCCTTCTCTCTTCCCATCTGTGGATCTCTCTTGGGTTTTTGTAGGTTCCTACCAGAAGGTGATGGCTGAAAGACTGCTGAGCGCAAAACCAGGATAATTGAGGGAAGCCTTGGTCCAAAGTAGAAGCTTCCCTGCTATGTTTGCGCTTACTGCACAGCTTTCCATTTTAAAAAATGGAAAGAAAAATGATGACACACAACTTATTAAAATGCAAGAAGCAGAAGTGTTCTTAGTGCTATGGGGCTGGGGCACTCTTCTCTCCTCTAGCTTCCAGGACCTGGTATTCAGGAGCATTGCTTCCTCTGGCTGTGGAGGCAGTGCAGAACCATCAGGGATAGAAGCCATTGATAGCCTTGCTTCCATGAATTTGTCCAATCCTCTTTGAAAGACATCCACGTTGGTGGCCATCACTGCCTCCAGTGGGAATGAGTTCTAGCAAGATCGGACCCTGCCCATCAGCTGGTGACACCTAAAGATGTTAGCTGATTGGCAGGTGGGTGTGCTTTTGGGAGGAAATGACTTCACAGGCCAATTTAGACCCCCTGGTGGGCCAAGATCGTTTCCTTGTGTGTGTTTTTCCCCTTTGGAAGATTTCTTAAATATGTTTTCCAAAATTTCACACATACATTTCAATACATAATAAAAACTTTTTTTTTTTTACTTCCCACTCCCTTTGCTTCCCCTTTTTCTCCCTCTGCTACATCCTGTCTTCTATCTCTTAAACCTTAACAAAACTACTATAATCTTTAATCCATTCTGTTGTTCATAATTCAAATCCTACTCGTGTGTTCGCCATACGATAATATTTCTCTAAATAATCCGAAAAGGGTTTCCATTCTTCCACAAAACCTTCATTGTTAGGTTCTCTTATTTTAGCTATTAAATTTGCCAATTCTGCATAATCCATTACCTCACTTATCCATTCTTCTTTAGTGGGTATTTCTGCTGCTTTCCATTTTTGTGCATGGAGAACCCTAGCTGCAGTTGTTTCCTTGTTACATATATTGTACATGTCACTTTGTAAACAGCTTAGCAACTGTCTTTAAGTACATAGTAGTATATAAGGAGGCAGTGATGGTCACCAAGTTGGATAGCTTTAAAAGAGGATTAGACGCATTGATGGAGGAGAGGGCTAACGATGTCTACCAGCCGCAATGGCTATGATCTGACTCCATAGTCAGCGGCAGCAGTGCTTCTTAATAGCAATTGTTGGAAACATCAGGAGGGGAGACTGCTCTTGCGCTTGAATACTGCTCACTGGTTTCCCACATGCATCTGGCCGGCCGCTGTGAGAACAGGATGCTAGACCAGGTGGGCTATCGGCCTGACCCAGCAGGGCTCTTCTTAAATATATTAAATAAAAATGGCCTGCAGCCTAAAGGCTCCCCACCCCTAGCGTCCTGGTTCAAGAACATGTTTGGAAAGTCCTTCTCTGTAGGTCTCAGCTTTTAAGATTGTTTCTTGCTGTCTGGAGAAGGATGGAAGAGGATGTTCCACGGTGGCATTAGGAGCAGGAGTGTCAGGACCGGTGAGGGTTGGGGGGAATGAGATACCTACCTGTGACAGGCTTTTTTGCCTTGCAGACACTGCTTCCTGCCGCCAGCCTCCTCCAGCTGAACGGGGTGCGGGATGCTTGCTGCAAGTTCCTGTTGAGCCAGCTGGACCCCTCCAACTGCCTGGGCATCCGGGGCTTCGCAGACACACACTCCTGCAGCGACCTGTTGAAGTCGGCCCACAAATATGTCCTGCAGCACTTTGTGGATGTCTCCAAGACAGAAGAGTTCATGCTTCTGCCTCTCAAGCAGGTAAGAGATTGCACAGCCCTTTTCCCCCCTTGTGTGTCAGGTTTTGCGAATGGTACGAAGCAGCACCAGGGTTCGCTCACCTGCTTGAGATTGAGGCTGCAATCTAGCTTTGCAAATGAAATCCACAAAACGTTTTAGTAGCACAAACTAAAGGTATAATGCAGGCTTCCTCAACCTTGGCCCTCCAGATGTTTTTGGCCTACAACTCCCATGATCCCTAGCTAGCAGGACCAGTGGTCAGGGATGATGGAAATTGTTGTCTCAAAACATCTGGAGGGCTGAGGTTGAGGAAGCCTGGTATAATGAGTGATCGATTCCCCCATCCCCCATGTTTGGTTTTGCACACAGACACTCAGTCCCATCAGTTTATGCAAATGTCTGGATTCAGTGGGAAACCAACACCATGAATGCTGTCCAAACACCCTGGTAAATAAATATGGCTAGAGTGAGTCTGGCTCAGGATAGCACAGCTTCCTGTGTAGTCCTAAAGGGTTAAAAAATTGAGGGAGGTACCTCCCTCCTAGCAACTTCAGTGCCTCCAATCGCTTTTCCAAACCGCAGGCCAAGCTTTGCAGCTGGTATAGGAAGAATGCATGTAAATACGTGCTGACCTAATGTGCTTCTTATGCAGTAAGAAAACACCAGTGTGCCTTCTCATTAAAACTCCTCCTGCGTTTCCATGAGGCCATTCCTGCCTTTGCTGGTGGCATCATGCCAGCTTCTCCTTGGACACTGTTGCCTATGCTTGGCAGGCACCACTGTGATGCCCTTTGTAGATGGGAAGCATTGGGAAGGGCTGTGTTTTTTGTTTTTAGTGGGGGGGAGGCGTGCTTTGCATGCAGAAGGTCCCAGGTTTAATATCCCCCAATCTGAAGTTCTGGAAAGCCACTGCCTGTCAGTGTAGACACTACTGAGCTAGATGGACCAATGGTCTGAGTATAAGGCAACTTCCTATGTCCCTATGGTTTATGTAGCTTAGTGGTAGAGCATCTGCTTTGCACGCAGAACCTCGATCCTTGGCACCTCCAGTTAAAAAGGCTCTCAAGTAGCAGTGAAGACCACTAGCTGAATCCTTGGGCAGCTGCTACCAGCAAAAGGGACCATTAGTGAGTTTAGATGAGGGATCAGTAACCTGCTAGGTGGTTTTCAAATATAAAACCAAGCACTAACCTATAAAGACCCATCATTAGCACACACAATAAAAGAACCCCATCCAAACACAAAAAATGGAACGTTCACGATTAGAATAACCAACAAGCAATCCCATTAAAACAGCAACATAGTTAAAGCAGTCTGCTGAGGTCCCAGTGAGCCTCTTCTAATGTTCTCATGTTGTTCTTATCTCAATCTCTTGATCTGGATCCTGCTGGCGGTTCTTGGGATCAACTTTGTTCAATTCCATTTTTCCAGTGCAGTCTGAAATAATCCAAATTTTCTATTCTTTTCGCCCCCCTCCACCCACCCCGGTCCTCCTCTACAGGTGCTAGATCTCATCTCCAGTGACAGCCTCAATGTGCCCTCAGAGGAGGAAGTCTATCGAGCTGTCTTGAGCTGGGTGAAGCATGATGTGGACAGTCGAAGGCAGCATATCCCTAGGGTACGTTGCTGTGCGGGTTTCGGTGCTGTTTGGGATGAATGTGGGAGGGAGGCTGCATGCTACATAGCCAAGTCTGCTATTTTCAGCTGACCCCCCAAATGGTGGTTGCTGGGTCTCCAGGCTCTCCTCCGTCCCTTCCTTGACCTCAGGCTGTGCTTCTGTGCAAGGTCAGGGACAAATCACTGCTTCCCTCCGCAAAGTTTGGAGAGGGGTGGGGTGGCTCATCCCTGCAGCTGCACCAGAGTGCCTCAGTAGCCCAGCAACAAGGCCACCATTTCCAGGCTTTCTTTGCTAACTGCAAGCTGGAGCAGGTGCCAAGGATTCTCCCACAGTTGCACTGTTGGTTTAGAGCACTGTACAATGACGCGGTTGGCGCTGTGGGTTAAACCACAGAGCCTAGGGCTTGCTAATCAGAAGGTCGGCGGTTCGAATCCCCACAATGGGGTGAGCTCCCGTTGCTCGGTCCCTGCTCCTGCCAACCTAGCAGTTCGAAAGCACGTCAAAGTGCAAGTAGATAAATAGGTACCGCTCCAGCGGGAAGGTAAACGGCATTTCGGTGTACTGCTCTGGTTCGCCAGAAGCAGCTTAGTCATGCTGGCCACATGACCTGGAAGCTGTACGCCAGCTCCCTCAGCCGATAAAGCGAGATGAGCGCCGCAACCCCAGAGTCGGTCACGACTGGACCTAATGGTCAGGGATCCCTTTACCTTTACCTTACAATGACAAAAGTGATTATTCCTCCTAGCTGTCCAGCTCCAAGCTAGAGAAGAAGGCTCTTATTTTACTCACCAAAAGAAACACTCGTTGCGAAAAACAGAATTATTGACCCCTCTGTATGACATAACCGCACAACTGATTTCAAAAACAGGACAGCCTTCTTTTTCCCCTACCGATGGATGCCATTCTAGAGACAGAGAGAAATAATGAATGGGTCATCTGATTTTATTCCGCTGTAGTTAAGAACGGGAAGGAATTCGTTTCAGTTGACATTTAAAAGCAAATCTATCTAATTTGCACTTTCTGAAACGATGCAGAAAGCAAAGCACAATCGTCCTCCGAAATGTGCAAATCTCTGAATTTCTCAGTGCAGTTCCCCTCACAGAGCAACATTTCTTAACAGTCAATCCTACTTTCTGGGGGACTCTGGAAATTGTAGCTAATAAGGGTTGCCTAACAACTCTCAGCGTTCTTAACAAACTACAGTTCCCAGGATGCTTTGCAGGGAGCCATGGCCATTTCAACTGGGGTAGCGGTTAGAGAGTTGGCCTTGGACCTGGATCAGCAGAGTTCAAATGGAGGGAAAAGGTGGGATATAAATACAATGAATAACTTGATACTGCTTTAATATATAGTGCAAATGAAGCCTTAGTTGGATGCAACCCTTAGTGCAAACAAGTTTGGGTAGATGCCCAAAGAACAGGTTGTCTGAAAGTGACCCTGTTCTTGCATGATTCCAGTTCTAGACTCTTCCTTTTATTTTGTTCATGTCCCCCCTCACACCCCGCCCCAACCCTCTTCTTTTTTCTCCCCAGCTCATGAAGTGTGTCCGGCTTCCCCTCCTAAGCCGTGACTTCTTGATGAGCAACGTCGACACAGAGCTGCTTGTGCGGCACCAGTCAGAATGCAAGGACCTTCTCATCGAAGCCCTCAAGTACCATCTCATGCCTGAGCAGAGAGGCGTCCTTAGTAACAGCCGAACGCGCCCCCGGCGTTGTGAGGGGGCCAGCACTGTGCTCTTTGCCGTGGGTAAGGAGGCTTGGCCACGACCAAGGAACTGGATGTTGGGGGTTGTGGGGAGAGGGGGGACTTCTGGAGGTTGGACAAAGGAAGGACTAGATGAGGGGAATGATTGTGCAGGTGGCACAACTTCCTGGCCTGTCATAACTGTTAAGCAAATTCACATAAGTACAGCAAGCTGGAACACACAGAGAAAAATCCTGGTAACACTTTTTCTGAGCCAATTAGACAAAATCAGTGTATAATTTGAGAAGAAAGAAACAGAGAGGTTTTTGTCTTTTCTTAGTTCAGGCCTTATACAGAGCAAGGTTAGATATTCAACCAAACACAGGGAAAACTGCCTCACAACTGCACAGCCAGTCACAGCACATGCTACCTCATGAAAGCACATGCTAAAGATCATGCTGCTCTGCCAGGTTGCTAAGCAAAACCTCCACCTATTCCCCCTTCCTTGGCTAGTTGATTAACACTTAACAGAATTTACCCTTAAGTTGTACACTGAATGATCTCTGCTGTTGCACTTGCCACAATAACTGGCCGGCACGTCCAACTCAAAAGAGGCTGCGAGGGGTGAGGCCAAAGTTGTCAAGCTTTTTTTGGAGAGGGGAAGATCTAACTATATTTTAGTTTCCTAACTTGTCAGCTACATACAACATACAATTAAATACCACCCATTTGACACAATGGAGGAACAGAGCGATGGAGGAGGGAGGCAGGGATTTTCACTGCATTGCTTTTCACAACTGCCAATCGAGAGGGATCCCGTGATCAACCAAGATCAGCCGGGGATCGACCTGTCGATCAGTTGACCAGTTGGACATCACTGATGTAGATGATGGAGAATGATGATGGGAGTTAAGAGTCCCAACAACATATGAAGGATGACAGATTCCTCATTCTCTCTGTAGAACCAGAGCCTACCTGTTGGATGCTATTACTTGCTTCCATTGGGATCCTCCCCGCTACCCTGCTGGGGCTTGTTCAGCACCCCCTGGTCACCTCCTACCATCCCTCCATGTTTCCTCACAACTTTAATGGGACTTTACATCATGTCTGGATGATAGTACATTGTACAGTCTCTGGGGAGCCAAATCCAGTCCTTCAGATTCTCTGTGTGGCCCTCTCCCCAGGCTGTACCCCTAATTTGGCCTGCTTTGCACCCCAAGCATTTTTGCAGCCCACCTAAGCAGCAGCTTATCAGGTGGCTGGAGTCAAAGGCTAAGAGCCAGACATTTGCAAACCACCGACTTGCAGGGGGCAGCCTTCAGGCCTCAGGCTCACCTATAGGACTGCCTATAGCCCAGTCCTGACAGGAGGTTGCCTCAGAAACAGCTGTGTGAACTGAGCCCCGAGATGAGCTTGCAGAGAGCCCCTTGGCCTTACCCCCCTGGCCTTCCAGCTTGTCACTTTCTCCCCGCTTTCTGTTTTCGTGCAGGTGGCGGCAGCCTCTTTGCCATCCATGGTGACTGTGAGGCCTACGACACCAGGACAGACCGCTGGCACATGGTGGCTTCGATGTCCACTCGCCGGGCCAGGGTGGGCGTTGCTGCCATCGGGAACAAGCTGTATGCCGTGGGCGGGTAAGGAGGAATTCTCGGCCACTCTCACCTGCCCCCCACCCCCATGGCTGTCATCACATAATTTAAAGGGAGCAATAGATGTCAGGGAGGGAGAATTTCGTATTTATGGAACCCGGCCTGGTGATTATCAGCTAGTGGTAACGCAGAAGCAGACGTTTTCATTGGTAGCTCCAGTGTTGTGGAATGCATTCCCTGTTGCATCTGCCAGCTTTTGAAGACACACCTGTTTACACAGGCATTAGTCTGATTTCTTGACCAGAGTGCCCTGTTTTAATTGCTGTTTTGGTTTAATTGTTTATTTTGATTGTGGATGTTTGTTTTTTAAAATATATTTTTCATTGAAAATTTTCAACATAAAATACAATAAGAATCAAACTAATATACAGAACAATAATATTTTAGAAACCAGAAGGGAAAAAAGAAAGGAAAGAAAGAAAAAAGAAATACAGTGGTACCTTGGTTTAAGAAAGCTTAGTTTATTAACAACTTGGATTAAGAATGCTGCAAACCCAGAAGTAGGTGTTTTGGTTTGTGAACTTTGCCTTGGAAGCAGAACATGTTTCGCTTCCTGTTGAGTGTGTTCCATTTGTAAATTGAGTCCCCCCCTACTACGGGAAAGCGCACCTTGGTTTAAGAATGCTTTGGTTTAAGAACGGACTTCCGGAACAGATTAAGTTCATAAACCAAGGTACCACTGTACTTATAAGGCCAATGACGGTATTTATATAATAAATATCCTGTCATTTATCCACAGGCAGAGAGGTAAACCCTTGTTTTGATTGTGAATGTTTAGGTTTTTAATGTTTTAATGGGATTATTTTACTGTGCATTTTAGTTGTGGATGTTGATATGTTTGTGTAGTTGTCTTTTTTATAACTTGTAAACCCCTTAGAAGCCCATTTTGGTATGAAGTGATAAATATGTATTATTCTTATTCTTATTAGCATTTGGTTGTCTCCAATGTTAGATCTAATCAGAGTAGACCCATTGAAGTTAAGGGACATGACTAACTTGGATTTGTTCATTTCAGTGGGTCTACTCTGAGTAGCACTTAGTTGGATGCAACCCATGTATCCTGATTTAGGAGCTAGCAGCAAAAGGCAGAGATGATTGGGAGGGGTGTCATTATTCAGACTGCATTTTCCTAATGTCTCCATTTTAAAAGATCTCATGTCTGAGAACTTGGACAGCTGCTACCAGTTACAGGTAGGTAGCCGTGTTGGTCTGCCGTAGTCGAAACAAAACAAAAAAATTCCTTCCAGTAGCACCTTAGAGACCAACTAAGTTAGTTATTGGTATGAGCTTTCGTGTGCACGCACACTTCTTCAGATACCTCTTCAGCTGCTGCCAGTCAGAGCATAAGAACATAGAACTAGCCAGCTGCTGTTATTTATTTCCCACCCTTTACTCTAAAGTCCTAGGGCATGTCACAACAATTTACCGTATTTTTCGCTCTATAACACGCACCCAACCATAACACGCATGTAGTTTTTAGAGGAGGAAAACAAGGAAAAAATATTCTAAACGAAACAGTGGATGTATGATTTTTGTGGTTCATGCTGTGGCCACAGACATGTGATCTGACGGTGAGTTTGGAGTAGCCCAATGCAAAAATCCATGTGGATCCATGCTTTGTAACCACGTTTTTGCACCACTGTGGCCCCAGGCAACAGTGGGTGCGGTTTTTTTTTTTGGTGCAAGATGTAGCCATGGACATGCTATGTGATCTGATGGTGAATTTGGGGTGACCCAGTGCAAAAATCCTGAGGATCCATGTGTATCCATGCTTTGTAACCACGTTTTAAGTGGGGAGGGAAGGAAAAGCACTCAAGGGACAAGGAGCACGCGTGGGGTGTGTGGAGAAGGATGCTGCTAATAATGCAGAAGAGGAGTTTAAGGGGAGAAGGAACATGCGTGGGGTGGGTGGAGAAGGATGCTGCTAATAATGAAGAAGAGGGATATAAGGGGAGAAGGCTCCTCTCCTCTCCCACTTTGCTCCTTTAAAGCAAGCAGGCTCTGCTTTTCTCCCTCCTCCCCGCTCACCCCCGGCTTAGCGAGCTGAAAAACTTTGCTGCTATGTAGCGAGCTGAGTGGGGAGGAGAGAGGGACAGAGAGCCTGCTTGCTTTAAAGGAGCCAACCGGACTCCTCTCCCTATTTGCTCCTTTAAAGAAGCAGTCTCTCTGTCCCTCTCTTCTCCCCACTCAGCAGCTCTTCTCCCACTTTGCTGTTTCAAAGCGAGCCACGGAGGAGGGAAGGAAGGGGAACCATGGATCCTCTGCTCACGACTGCAGCAGATCCCCCCGCCACCCGTAGGCATTCCCTCCATAACACGCACAGACATTTCTCCTTACTTTCTAGGAGGAAAAAATTGAATGTTATGGTGCAAAAAATAGGGTAAAACAACAACATTAAAAACAGTTTAAAACCAGAAGAACAGGGTAGGTCCTAAATATATACATCTCAATAGTATATTTTTTATGCTGGAAAATGTTTGTAGTATTTTTTATAATTTTATCAAATGATATTTTACAGAAAATTATTTTAAAATTCTAAAACTATAAATATGTTAATATATTCAATAGTAACGCTAGCTCTGTTTCACTGCAGCTACGATGGGACCTCTGACTTGGCCACAGTGGAGTCTTACGATCCCGTCACCAACTCGTGGCAGACAGAGGTTTCCATGGGGACCAGGCGGAGCTGTTTAGGGGTGGCAGCACTGCATGGACTCCTCTACGCTGCTGGAGGGTATGATGGAGCCTCGTGCCTCAACAGGTAAGAGGGCTTATTGGCTTATTTGCCATTCACCTTGCCCCCCTCATTCCCAGAGTGGTTTAACAATCAATCACTCTTCTTAGGGAACTCTGGGAGTTGTAGCTTTGTTGGGGGGAATAGAGGGTCTCCTGACAACTCTCAGCACCCTTAAACAAACTACAGCACCCATAATTCTTTTGGGGGGAAGCCATGGCTGTTTAAAGTGGTATCACAGCACTTTAAATGTATGGTGTGAATGTGGCCCCGGTGTGATGCAAACCCGTTGAAATTCACAAACAAGGCTAATTTCAGGGGTTCCACTCTTGAGTAAAACCTAGTTGGATACAACTGAAAACAATTGAAATTACAAGTTTCTTATAGCTAGGAAAAATGCCATCTGACCATATTTCTTAAATAAGAGAATATATGCAGGCAACTCCAACTTATGCACCTTTAACTTCTGCGCATTCAGCTTTATGCGCATGACAAGAAGATAACAAAAGATTTTAAAGGGGGGGGGACCCTCTGGCAATCCCACCCACCATTGCCCCCAATGTAGTTTGGCTTTACAAACTATCCCCAGAACATAACCTCTGTGTAAGTTGAGAGTTGCCTGTGGGTGGATGGTTGTGTTGCATCCAATACTAGTCCTACTCAGAGCCAACCCGTTGAAGTTAATGGACTTGACCAATAAGTCCATTAATTTCCACAGATCTACTTTGAGTATGACTTGTATACATATTATCTTAAAAGTTCACATTCAAGTAATTAATGGGTAAAGATCCAGTTCTCCAAAAACTTGTCTACTGCTATTCCACCCCTCTCTCGGTTTTTTTGTTTTACAATGCATCTGTTTGGTCACCATAACTATTAACCATATTCTACTTATTCCTCTCTCTTGACCTGCCTCAGTGCTGAAAGATATGACCCCCTAACAGGCACCTGGACATCCATCGCAGCTATGAGCACCAGAAGGAGATACGTCCGTGTGGCAACTCTTGGTAAGTCTGGCTTATAAATTAGAGAGAGAGAGAGAGAGAGAGAGAGAGAGAGAACACTTGCTGTTCTAAGAACATACCAGAATAACAGGCTTGGCACTTTCCCAAAGCAATTGTGTGAAATAGTTTTATCCAGTATGCTGGCCCACTTTTGTCCTTGGCTCCGCCTTCCAATGGGATGTGGCCCCTGAAAGGCTGCCCAGAAGGGATTGTGGCTCTCGGGTTGAAACCAACCCCTGCTTTGAAGCACTAAGCACCACAGTAAGTTCCATAGCTGCTTGACGGAGAACCTCAGCTGTGGAATGGCTCCTTTTGGGCTTTCTGTACAGATTTTTTTTGCGTGTGCCATGCGTTCTTCCTTCCGCTCCAGTTTGCTGACCTCCAAGCCCCAGGGACTTCTTAGTCATTCCCCTTCCACTCATGCGTGCTGCCTGCTGTCGTCATGGCACCGCATGCCTGGCCTGCCACTTGCTCTGCACCTGTCCAAAAAGCAAACTTAATCCTAACAGCAGGCGGCCTTGTTTAGGCTGCTGCCTCGCTCTCACGGAACAGTTCAGAAGCTGCCTTGTGAATGTTTAATGTCCCCTTGCACCAGATGAAGCCTCTGCAAAGTGGCCGGAAGGAACGTCTGTGTCTGTGTCTGTGTCTGTGTCTGTGTCTGTGTGTGTGTTTTCACGCTCCATGAGGTAATCTCTCCCCAGAGGAGCCTGCCTTGGCTGCTCAGTCCTTGTGGCCTGGTGTTTTTCTGTACACTCATCTTTTTATTGGGCCTAGCACCCATTCCAAGGCTTTAAACTGTCGTTTACCCCTCACAGAGCTACCACTCCCAGCACCCTTGTCAAACTACAGTTCCCAGGTTTCTTTTGGGAAAGGCAAGTGCTTCAAATGTATGGATTGAATGTGTGTTTTGCTGCATATTTATGCATGGGTTGTATGTGTGTGTGTTTTTCATCTTCTTCTTCTTCTGCAGATGGCAACCTCTATGCTGTTGGGGGATATGATAGTTCATCACACCTGGCAACTGTGGAAAAATATGAGCCACAGGTAAACAGGAAGGGGCAAAGCACTGCGGGTTATCGGGAGAAGAATGGGAAGTTTTGGATATACCGTAGCTGGGGTGGTGATGGAGCCACTGAGAGTGGGCCGGAAGGAAAATCGGGGGGGGGGGGCAGGCTGCAAAGATGAATTGCAATGAGAACTTATGAGCAGCAGGTGACAGAAAGCCCTGCAGGACTTCTGCCTTCCAGTGTGTGCCTTTACTACTACTACTACTAATAATAATAATAAATTTTATTTATACCCCGCTCTCCCCAGCCAAGGCCAGGCTCAGGACGGCTAACAAGCAATAATAAAAACAAGTTGAATGAATACAACTTAAAAAACAAGATTAAAATACAACATTAAAACGTTAAAATGCAGCCTCATCACAGGAGGAGAAAGGAAAAAGAAAGAGGGGGATGGAATCAAATTGACTCCAAGCCAAAGGCCAGGCGGAACAACTCTGTCTTACAGGCCCTGCGGAAAGAAATCAGATCCTGCAGGGCCCTGGTCTCATGAGACAGAGCGTTCCACCAGGCCGGAGCCAGTGTTGAAAAAGCCCTGGCTCTGGTTGAGTCTAATCTAACTTCCTTAGGGCCCGGGACCTCTAGGGTGTTGCTATTTATGGACCTTAAGGTCCTCCGTGGGGCATACTACACCCAAAAGGAGAAAATAACCTAGCCATATACTGTACTGTATTTGTGCAAGGCCATCACCATGCTGGCGATGGGCTGAGCATGCTCCAGGTTGTGGGAAAGATTGGAGACAATGGGTGATGGGGTGAGTGAGCTGGGCTTGTGATGGGAGGAGGCCTGCAAGAAGGGGGGGCAGGTGGCGTGAGAGCAAGAGGGGCAGCGGCCGAGCAAGCAGGGCTTGCAGCAGTGAGCTGAAGAAGGCAAGTGAGCCATGGGCATAATAGCCCAGCAACTTGGGTTTGCAGCAGCAGATCAGGTCAAGCGAGAGGGGCAGCACATGGAGTGGGGGTAGGGGGTTTGGCGAGCAAAGCAAGCAGGGGAGTCAGCCCCTCATGTGGCTCATAAGAGCATAAGAAGAACAGTGTCCTAGGCCCATGTAGTCTTGCATCCTGTTAACCCAGTGGCCAGCCAAATGCCTCTGCGATATCCGAAAGCAGGACCTGAGCGCGGCAGCATTTCCCCAATTGTGGCTCCTAGCAGTTGGTATCAGGTGCACCCTGCCTCTGATAGTGGAGATAGAGCATAGCCGTTGTTGCTCCAGGTATCTATGTAGTGTGGCTGAGTTATACTTTTAAGTTTTATATTATTGCTCTTTTTAATCTATAGATATGTATGTATGTATATGTTTCCTTTGCTGTTTCCTGCCAGATCAATACATGGACTCCGATTGCCAACATGCTGAGCCGCCGCAGCAGTGCCGGTGTGGCTGTTTTGGAAGGGATGCTTTACGTGGCAGGAGGCAATGACGGGACAAGTTGCCTTAACTCGGTGGAGCGCTACAATCCAAAAACGAACACTTGGGAAAGTGTGGCACCCATGAACATCCGGAGGTAGGGAGCAGCATATCCCAAAGAGAGGCTGCGGATGGGCTGCAGTGTCACAAGCCACCCTTCAGGGCAGGGATTCCCAAACTGAATGAAGGTTCATGCACTTCATTCAGGTGGTAGGCAACATGCCTGTAAAAAAATGCAATTAAAAATCATCTTGAGCAGCGTACTGCAGTCGCTACGGCAGGCGGAAAAAGGCAGTAAGTGGTCTGTCAAGACCCTCAACCATGTTCAAGTGAACGTAATAACAGCTCGCTGGCTCAGGCCAATCTAGTCTTTTATGCAATCCTCAAGGTGGCCAACCAGGTGCCTGTTATGTGAAACCTGCAAGCAGGACCAGAGCCCTCTCCCCTCCTGCGGTTTCTGGCATCTGGTACAGTGGTACCTCAGGTTTCATATGCTTCAGGTTACATACGTTTCAGGTTACAGACTCCGCTATCCCAGAAATAGTGTTTCAGGTTAAGAACTTTGCTTCAGGACGAGAACAGAAATTGTGCTCCGGCAGCACGGCGGCAGCAGGAGGCCCCATTAGCTAAAGTGGTGCTTCAGGTTAAGAACAGTTTCAGGTTAAGAACGGACCTCCGGAACGAATTAAGTACTTAACCCGAGGTACCACTGTATTCAGAAGCATCACTGCATCTCACCGTTGAGGCAGACCACAGTCATCAGCAATTGCAGCCATTGACTGCCCTCTCCTCTGTGCATTTGTCTAATCCTCTTTAAAAGCCATCATTGACTCCTGTGCCATAGTTTAACCATGAGCTGTGTGACAAAATGCTTTTTTTATCTGTCCTGAAACTTCCAACATTCAGCTTCATTGGAAGTCCACAAGTTCTAGTGTGATGAGAGAGGGCGGAAAACATTTCCCTGTGCCCCTTCTCCACGCCATGTGTCATTTCACAAGCTTCTATCACTTCTCCTCTTGCTCACCATTTTATAAAAACTAAAAAGTTCCAGCAGCTGCGACCTTTCTTCATACGGGAGTCGCTCCACTCCTTTGATCATTTCAGTCACCCTTTTCTGAATATTTTGCAACTCTACAAGTGGTCCATGGGAAAAAAAGTCAGGGGACGTGATGACCACATTCCTCGTTGCGAGCCGTAGCGTAAAACAAGAAGAGTGGCAAGCCATGTTTGGTCATCTGCTGCTTGTTTCCTGTGTACAAATTAAATCCAGTGCCACCTAGTGGCCAAATTGCAGAATGACACTATCCACGCAGCTGGTAACCTCTTGGTTTGACTTTCTCTCCTCAGGAGCACCCATGACTTGGTGGCTATGGACGGGTGGCTATATGCAGTGGGAGGCAACGATGGCAGCTCCAGCCTCAACTCCATCGAGAAGTACAACCCGCGCACCAACAAGTGGGTGGCGGCTTCATGCATGTTCACCCGCCGCAGCAGCGTGGGCGTGGCTGTGCTGGAACTCCTCAACTTCCCGCCCCCTTCCTCCCCTACCCTATCGGTGTCCTCGACGAGTCTTTGACAAAGAGTCCGGTCGCACCTTGCCTCGAGGGGACTGCAGCATCTGTCGGAGTGCAAAGCCAGCCTGGCCTGACCCCTGCGGCAGCCATTCTTTGTGAAGAAAGAGAGTGATGAAGGCGTTGATGCTGCGTCCATACATTTTTAGTAATAACTTTCTGAGGGGGCCATTTCTGGTTCTTGTGGCGGAGCTCCAAATGGGGATTTAGACCACACTTCTTTAAGAAAGAAAAGAGAAAGAAAGAAACACCAAGAGCCCCTCCTGGTTTTCACCATCTCTTTCATCATCACCTGACTGGTTCTGCCTGGTCTTGTCAAGACCGGACTCAATAATCTCCTACTTCCATGTTTGGACATGACTTCTGGTTCCACCTCCTGCAATGGAGCTTAAACAACGAGAAGGAAGGAAAGAAAGAAAGAAAGAAAGAAAGAAAGAAAGAAAGAAAGAAAGAAAGATTGAGAAACAAACAAAGCCCATCTAAGGCAGGCAGGAGGATCACTTGTTTCGGTTACACCAACAGCTGAATGTAAGCTGTGAATGTCACAATTAGCCAAAACTTCTTACCAAGCCTATAGCGTACTCTTACAGATTCGTGAGGTGATGCACTTCTTTCTCTCACACTGGTGTCTATTGAAAGGGATGCCTTAAAATTAAAAAAATAAAACAGGGCTGGAGGGAAGATGGCTGCAACACAAGCCCTCTTAACATGTTCAGTGGCCCCTCGCTCTGTCAGCCCGGTTATGTGCCACCAATTCTGACGTTCTCCTGCCCTCTTCAGCGGCATGGGTTTTGGGGCATCCGCCAATGTGCTGGCTCTGCTGTTTTGATTCCCCAACCCCACTTCCCAAAAATAATTAGGAAGAAGCTAGCCCGACGACGGTGCTCTGGGATTGTACTTAGGGGAGAACGAAGGAACTTTTAACAGGGTGGAGCAAGGTTACGAGACTGTGTTCATATTATTTTATATTTGTTAACTTTCAATTTTTGACGCTTGCGTTTCTAAAGTTCTTTAGGATTTTTTTTATTGTTTCATTTCCCGCACATCTGGTTTTCTGCACTCCATGTTATTTATTTATTTATTTATTTATTTGCCCTATTCTTTCTTCCTTTTTTTAAAACAAAGTTGGACAGTTGCCAAAAGGGAGGAGGAGGAGCCAGGTGATGATAACGTATGTTTTTTGTCAAATAGAGAGTAAGTGCAATCTGTGGGATGGAGGAGGCAGCTAAAGGATGGGTTAGTATAAAGATATCATTGAAATGAATGGGAGCTGCCCAGCCTTCCCATTGAAAGGGCAGAGAGATGTTCAATTGCCCTCTCTTCGAACACCTCCCATGCATTGAAGAGCGGCATTGCCCAAGTCCCTCCCGCTTCAGGATGGTACCTCTTCAAATTCTGCTCATTTCAGGGTGGTGTTGGACAACCGCCATTCATTCCACACGCTCAGTGTGCAATAGCTCTTCAAATTCTGCTCATTTCTGGGTACTATGGTGCAACGGTCATTCATTTCAGACTGGCATGTGGCAATAGCCACTCATTTCACAGTATGGTTGTACAGTTCATGTTCAGATCCTGCTCATTTCAGAGCGCTATTGTACACTGCTCAGTTAATTTCAGTTGAAGTCCCTACAGTCGTCACCTAACTTCATTTCTGTTTTTGCTTGAGCAGTGCTAAACGTAGGAAGAATTCCTTATAGACTGTGATTTGTGTGATGTGACTTGGAAGGATTGCCTTTGGAACAGCTTGCATCGACTACATGTGTGTGACAGAGAAAGCGTGCAATTATTTTCTTTATTTTTTTAATGCCGCATTCATATATGAAGAACTTGCACTGAAAAGGCCAAGGTCCCTCCACTGACATACCACTGGAGCATAACGAACATTTTGAGTAGCATCTGTACTGTAAACTTGAACAGTGCCCTTGTTTGGAGACCCACCTACACCATGAAAACATCCCTTATGGAGGAAAGGGTTTGCTTTTAAGATAACGTTTCACTGCATTATACACTATCCTCTTAATGCGATTTGTGTGCAACTCAAGAGCTTGGGAACAGGGTGAGACTGGAGCTTCGAGACGACCCATCCCAAGACATCCATTGCAACGGATGAAGTTCTTGTACCTCAGTAACCTCTGGACTCTATTCTGCAACTGTGGCCTAACTGATCTCGCTAAAGACTTCTGGTTTTAGTTTTAATTTATATACCCTCCTATCTAATCTCTTGTTCATTTGCCCCCCCCCATTTTTTCCTTTTCTCTCTCTCCATATCCTTCCACCAGGTCAATCTGCCGTGGCAATAACAGGCTAGGCCTTTACAAAGACAACTGGTGGGCTCTTGGCTGGCTCACGTTATGATAGGCCTGCCCTGCTCCTTGCACAGTGTGTGGCTGCATTGAAGGGTTAATTAATCTATGATAGACATTTAGACTTGGTTTCTTTGGCCACTGGAGTGGGCTTCTGAACCTTTCTAGGGTAACAGGGAGTTGTATCTTAGATAAGAGTGGGTATTTCCCTTGGTCTAGTGTTGGTAATGGGAGACAGGAACTTTTGCAGAGAGTGGAACCTGAGTCATATTTGTGCCATACATTTAAAGTGGATTTAATGCACATTTAAACCTCATGGTTTATCCCTTCCGAAAGAATCCTAGTAATGGTAGTTTAGGGGTGCTGGGACTTCTAGCTCTGTAAACTGCAGTTCCATGGATTCTTTAAGGAAACACCATGTGCTTTAAATGTGCATTTAAACATGCTTTAACCAAAGAGCACCCAGCCTGGCTTAGTGAGCTCATGCCAAACCTTTTTGTCCAGGGATGGGACCAGCTCATGGTCCTATTGCTTACTAATAGCACTGCATAGGTAACTTAATGGGAACATTTATGTCCATAAAGTTGCATGTGCTATTGTTTTTCCTGGAAAGCGCAGCTTCTGATACACTTAGCCCTTCATACAGACATACCAGTTGCATGGAACAGCAAGTGGGGAGCATGTTTTGAACGGGGTGGGGGTGGGGAGTTACTTCTAAAAGTACCTTTTCAAAATAAAATAAAGTTGAGCGCTCAGAATAAACAATCTCTCCACCAGTAAGCTTTGTCAGGGCTTTGCCAGTTGCAATACATTTTAGGGCAGGAATGGGGAAGCTTTGGTGCTCCAGATGTTGCTGTGAACTACGACTCCCATCAGCCCCAGCAAGCATGGCCATCAGCTGAGGATGGTGGGAGTTGTAGCTCAGCAACATCTGCAGGATCAAAGGTTTTCCACGCCTGTTTTAGGACAAGTTACACAATTGTTATCATTTTTCTATCAGTGCCTTCAGTTCCTTTTTGGTTGTTGGTGGTTGGGGCAAGTTGTTTGCAACAACCAGTGCCTGTTTGGTCACCTTCTGTCATCATCTGCTTGTTTTTTATGTGTATATACTTTGCTTGCCTCTGGTGGCATGGGACACATGACATGCCTTTGCTGGAAGAGGTAGGTAACACTTGTTGCTCTTGGGTGACAGATTGCAAAGGGGTGGTTCTGATGTGATATTCAAGGTTTCTCCTTGCAGTCCAAAGATCTAGAGTTCTTCATCAGTCTGTACTACTGGCAGGGACCAGCCTAGTCCACAGTTTGTCTTTTTTTAGGGAAGGTGTACCTGTCTTTTACTCTGGCCGTTTCCTGTATTCCTGGTTGTGAGCCACAGCATAATGCAAGAAGAGTGGCAAGCCATCATCTAGATCCACAAAGCATCTGTTTTGAAGAAACTTCTCCTGTAGCCTAGGGGTGCATCCCCTTGGAACAATGTTCTGTTGAAATGTGTTATCTGCACACCTCACTTGTGGAAGATGCTCTTTTGGGGTTGCCTATGAGCAACACTGATGGATGCCCCATTTTGACGAAAAAGTTTTTGCAGGAGAATTGCTCCTCGAGTTACCCTGCTAATGCACATCCTGTTGTATTGGAACTAGGCTGGACATCTTGATTTGCACGGGTGACGGGGAGAGAGACTGACGTCCACTTCTTGATGTCCTTGAGTTTAAAAGGAGCCACTGATCATTGGAAGAGAGCATCTGAATCCATCTGGCCCAAAGTGACACCGGAGATGGAAGAAAGAAGCTTAGGCAATTGTGAACTCAGAACAATGGAGAGAGAGAGTGACTGTGGGCTTGATAAGCAGAACTGTGAATCAGAAGTACCTTTTACGGCCAACGGGGGGGGGGGGGGAGTCATCCATCGCCTCTCTTATGTCTGTGTGCTTTTCTTTAGCCATTTCTTAATCCAACTCCACAACTGACTAACCCAAAATGACTAATCTTAACATGACTTTTGAAGTGCTTTTCGTCCAGAGTATGTTATTGTCCAGCATAGGCCTGCTGCCTTTTGAGGACGTTTCTTTATCCAGAGTTGAGCATGTATTGTCCAAAGACCGTAGCAACTGACTTGAGGAGGCAGGGAGGAGATGAAACCTGGCACTCCTCTGCTCCCTAATAACAATCTGGAAATACTGGGTTGTGTCCAGTGCTAGTCCTGCTCAGAGTTAGACCTGTCGAAATTAAAGGGCATGGCAAACTTCAGTGTGTTAATTCCAGTGGGTCTGTTGCGAGCAAAACTTCGCTGGCCACAACCCAAAAGCTCTCTGGCTTACCCATGGTGCAAACCCCTAGCTCAATCAGCCAATGTCAGAGGAGCCTTCTATTTTTGTTTTAAATGTATCTGTAAATGTGTGTCAATTTATTTATGTGCATTTAAACTTTTCTTTTTCTTTTGTGTTTTTGAATTTTTGCACTATAACAGGGGCGGGGCAGGAATATGAGCAATACAAGCCAGTGTGTAAAATTAAAAAAAAAAGTTTTTTTCTTGAGTACTGCATTTTAAAAATTATTTTAACCTCCTGGATGTTGCAACATTGTGGATATACCGTACGTGGCTTTGTTTGAAATGAGCCTTAATTCACATACACACAGCCAGGTATGTACACACATACACACACACAGGGGGCAAAACCAATCCTGGACTATACCACTATGGCTACGTAAACACCATACATTTAAAGCACATGGCTTCCTCCAAAGAATCCTGAGAACTGCAGTTTGGTAAGGGTGCTGGGAGCTGTAGCTCTGCGAGGGGTAAATTGTAATGGCCAGGATTCTTCGTGGGCAGTCATGTGCTTTAAACAGAATTTATGGTGTGTACATAAGCTATGCGTCCAGTGAGGATCAGGAAGACCTGGATTCAAATTTGTCCTTCCTGGGTGGCGTTGGGCCAGTGGCTATAGGACTGTACACACAATCCTCCTTATACATTCACAAAATGTGTTCCTCACTAAACTGATCTTTGGCGAATATGTGAGGGGTGTGAGAGAGAGAGTTGCCAGGGAACAGTGCAAGATATTTTGCCACCTGAGGTAGAACATCATGCCCCCTCCTATGTCAAGGCGCGTAGTACTGAAGCCCAACCAAGTTATTTGGCATCTGGGGTCACCGCCGTATTACACATTTAAAACACAGGGCTTTCCCCCAAAGAATCCTGGGAGCTGTTGTTGGTTAAGGGTGCTGGAAATTATAGTTCCGCAAGGGGTAAACTGCGATTTCCAAGATTCCTTGGCCTGTGGGGAAAGACAATCAAATGCACCAACATAATACAAAGGCTAATAACTGGGATAGAATGGGCCAGGAGAGGGCGCCCTCAGACTCCCAATTTAAGCTCCTAGGGTTAGCAGAAACGAGATGTGCAATCTGTGTGCCTTTGAATACATTCAAACAACCTTACCTTGATTGAATGGTGTGTTTGTGTGGCCACTTACAGGGGGTGGGGGTGGTCAAAGAATGAATGTAATCCCTGTATATGTGTGTTGCAGGTGAGAGCAAATGTGAGCTCATCCCATGGAAAGTGCTCTCTGGAGACCAGTGCTAAAGTGTTCAGCACTTAGCACTGGTCTTTGAGTAAAAGCTCAGGATTCGGCAGTGCCTTGGTTGCAAAGCAGTGTGTGAAAGAACTGGGTGTTAAGAACATAGAAAGAGACTGCCAACAATCCCATCTTGTCCAGCAACCTACTATCACATTGGCCAGCCGGATGCTTATTATGGGAAGCCCACAGGCAACACCTGAGTGCAGCAGGAAAGGTGTGCCTGCAAAGTAAGGAATGCACACCACTTCTTGCACTCACCACCCTTCCGTGGGCAAGACTGGAAGTGTGCACAGTTGAGCATTTGTATCTTACCTGGCAAGTTCACACCTGCTGTGACCTGCTTTGCATCTGTTTTGGATGCAGCAGGTCCCAGATTCAATCCCTGACATTGCCAGGCAAGGTAGGGCTGGGGAGGAGACCCTGTCTGAAACTCTGGAGAGCTGCAGCCAGTTTGTGTGGACCAAGGGTGGGCTTGAGGGCCGCATTCCCTTCTGGACAATCTTCCGAGGGCCACATGCCAGTGGTGGGTGGGGCCAAGACAAAAGTGAATACAATGGAAAGCATTCCTGTTCACTTGGGCATTGGGTGGCTGAAGAATCCTGTTCCTGGGAACCCCGTGATCACTGGAGGGAAGAATGTTTTAAATTGTAGCTGCTTTTAGAAGTTTTTAGATGCAGCCGTCTTTAGAATGTTTTAAACCGTCTTGGGACCTTTTTGTGATTATGTGCTGCTCTGAGCTTCTTGGGGACAAAGGATGGGATATACATTCAACAACAATTAGAATAAGGAGGAGCGCAAGAGGCATAATCAGACTTCAAGGATATGTTCTGGCCTGGCAAAAACATTCAAGATGGTGAAGCCAGTGAGGGGTGCGGTCTGGGGAGAGGAGGAGGTACCAGATGAGGGACAGGTACCAACACTTGAAAGACCACATTTGGCCTCCAGGCTTGAAGTTCCCCATCCCTGGTGTAGACAATATGTGAACCGCTCTGAGGGTATAGGGCGGTATGTAAATTCAATAAATAATAATAATAATAGGCCAATTGTCTGGCTCAGTACATAAGCCTGTTTCCTACATTCCTAGCCGACAGGAGGACTCTGAACTTGTGCTATATGTACCTCACAGTCCTGGTCTGGCAGGAAGAGGGAGTAGACTGGGGGGGGGGGGGGCGAGAACAATCAGGTTGCAGACAGACTTCCTCCCTCCTCTAAATAATCAGCAATACTTTCATGAGAGAATGTCCTGGCTGTTTTGCCACTGTGATACCTCTGGTTTAGGAAAGCCCTGAAACGAGTTACCTGAAGCGGCAGCTTTGTGAGCATACCTATTACTTCATCTACTTCATCTATTACTTCATTTCATGAAACATATATACTGCTTGATTATTTCTGAAGAAAACCTTCAAAGGACCAAACAATGAAATCACCAATAAAAAAACCCAGTTAAAAACAACTATTTAAAACGTTCAGAAAATAATTAAAATCAACGATGAGCTAAAAACCAGATTAAAAGACATATCAGCAGTCTGTGTGTCCGGATAGGCTGGCCTATACAGAAATGTTTTGAGCAGGTGTTGAAAAGAGTACTGTGAAGGTGCCTTCCTGATGTCAACAGGCAGGGAGTTACAAATTATGGCTGCTGCCACACAAAAGGATCGATTTCTTACTAATGCAGAACATATCTACAGGCTGTGCTCATATGGAACTGTGGGGGGGGGATTACTTGGTGCCTCTTCATAAGGAGGAGGTTAGGAGCACTGGTGCCCTGGTAAAGGAGCACCCATAAAATATTTTGCTACAGTGCCAAAAAGCAATGTGGTAGCCTGGCAGCAGGAAAATACCCCTCTCGAAAACTTGTGTGCTGCCTTTTTGAAATGCCCTTTTCTCTAAACAAAGGCATTGTGCCAATCAGAGTTTCCTAGAAAGGTCATAGTTTCTTTTTAAGAAACGGAGAGAGGTTTTCAGCCAGGACTGAAAAGATTTCCCCTTAGCAAACTGATCTGAGCAAGCGGCTCACTCCCCTTGTCTCAAACCAACTGCTCCCCTTTGGAATTAATAAGCTCCAGCCTTCCATGGAAGGAAGCAGCCTTGACTGACAGCAGCTGCTGAAGGTCCAGATGAGCTGATCTGGGGACTCTCTTTCCCTGCTGTCAAACAGAGGCAACCAGGACGGCTCCTGCCTTAGGGCGGGTATGTGGGCTGCAAGGCCCCAAGGTGAAAAGGAGGAAATTTTTCAAATGCATTTTCATTCCCACCTGAGGCAAAAAGCTGTCAGCGCAAAGCAGAACCCCACATGCCATCGTTGCAATGCTGGAGGGAGCTGCAGATGCTGGAGTGAGTGCGTTTTGAAAACAGGAGCCAGTGCTCAGTACATCCCAAGTCCAGACTGTAAAATAAGCTCCAGTGGTGTGCACAAAGAAATTGTTTGGTAAGGTTGCTGGTTTAAAGGATATAGAAAACTCACTGTTTATTACTCTCTGGCAAACAAGCCTAAGGAAGGGTTTGACATGTGGCCAAGCTGGAGGCAAAAAGTTAACACTAGCGCAGGATAGCTCAACACTTGGGGACTAACTTGGAGAAGCAGCAGAATGTAAAGCTTGGGAGGCAGTGATCTACATCACCAAAAAGTAGCTAACAAAGAGGAGGAATCAGTAAGGAGGAAGAACAGGTTGCCTTTCTGTCTATTGCTTGCCAACTAGTTCAGATAACTTATTGAAAGTGTTGTTGCTTTGCTCCCCACACAGACAAACAAAAGACAGCAAAGCTGGCACAGGGAAAGTGTGGTCCTCAACATGGTGTTGGACTGCAATCCCTCTCCATCCCTAACCATTGGACATGATGGCTAGAGTTGAGGGGAGCTGGAGTCAAACAACCTCCGGAGGCTACAAGTTCTACAGCCCTGCGGTAAATTCACAAGGTTGGGCGTTGCTTCTGCAATGCTAGTCCTCTAAGGTCATGACAAGTAAATATTTCTGGCATCGTCTACTGTTGTTACACGAAGATGGTGAGCAAAGCAATTAATCCTGATGGGCTGCAATTTCTGCCAAGCCACCAGTCCATCAGACAGCACCCGTCTGATTTGCACCCTTGGGCCAGGTCTGCAGACAGTTGTCTAAGTAGGGCAGGCAATAGAGGCTGGTCCATAAGGCAAATTTGTTCTATTTTTGCATTTGGTTCCCCCCCCCCCACATCCATAATGTTAAATACACACTTAAAGCAGCAGGTATTATTTTCCTGTTAATTATGCTGTTTTAGATGTGTATTCTATATTTGATCTTAATCCGGAATGTTTTATTTCAACATTTTGTTATTTTCAATATTTGGTGCTTAGGCTGCAGCCCACTTTGAGAAGCAATTAAAAGAAAATAATATGTGCAAAAACCCCAGACAGGGGCCTTGCCAAGCCTACCTGGAGATGCTGGGGATTGAAGCTGGGGCCTTCTGCATGCAAGGCAGGTGTTCTGCCACTGATGTACAGCCTTTCCCCTTTCTGAAGATGGAGAGAAGAAAGCATAATTAAAAAGAAGTATGTCTCTTGCCCAGAGATATATTTGGGTATGTCCATACCTTGACTTAAGGTGGGCTGTGAACCCCATGTGGCAGTATCTACTGCCTTCTCCTTCCTAAATGTGGATATTCCCTATGCAGTCGTTGTAGCTCTTCTATTTGGATTTTCAAAACGTAGGGCGTCTCCAGATTTAGGGAGGAGAAAGTGTGGGACAGCAGTTGTTGAAAGGGAGTGGCGCATGGGCAAGGGGGAATTAAAGGAGGTACAAGAGGTTCACAATTCACACTGAAGTATAGAGAGGCACTTTGCTCCCCCCCCAACACCTCCCCCACTACCTTTCACTGAACATCTAACCTGAGGAACAGTTCTGTGTGACCTGAAAGCTTGCATCCCGATCCCTCCTGGAAATGCCAGGGTTGATTTTTGTGTAACTAACACCGGAGTAGGTATGTGAGATCAGCCAGTGAGATTCTTTTTCTGCACTCCCTCCCACCTGCTCCACATTGCTCTCCAGCCCCTTAATCCAGACTCAAATTTCTATAAATAAAACACCAGTTGCATACAGTTTTTCCAAGCACGGAGCCTGTCTGCTCACCAATCCTGTTTAAAAATAAAATTAAATTGAAGGGGTAAAGGAGACCAGGAGCAGGATCCCATGATATAGCAGGGTTGTTGTTGTTTTTTGCTTTTCGCTTTTTAAAAAGGTACTGTTTTAAGAAGTTGAAGCTGAGTTTAGTTTGGGTTCAAATGTGCAAAAAATAAGTCAAAAGCTAGATATTTGGCAACAGGTGTAAATCCTGTTTTTGACACTGATGTCAAACTGGGGTGGGAGGAGAGGAGGTTTTGCAAGGGAGAATTAGCAGCACGAGTGCTCAAACCTCCCCCTCCGTGACCTCTCGCCACAGGTGCTCTCCTCCACTTTGTGTCAATAACTCCATACCTCCTCTAAAGCGCAGATTATGTAGGAGCACTTTGATCTGCAGAACTTGTGCTTCTACAAGTGCCACTCAGTGCTCCTACCACATTTGTAAGGAGTCGTTTCTTCAGTATGGAAGCCAGTGGTCTTTGGCAAGTTCAGGGTCCCTTTGTGATAGTCACAGCCATGCCCGCTCAAAGCCACGCCCCCTTCTAAGATTATACAATGAACTTATAATTATGCAATAATTATCATTAGGGAACTCATTGCTACTGTCAACTCAGATCTCCCTAAGATGCATTTCAGCTAAATCTATTATTTTCTGTGCACAAACATAGGCAAATGATTTGGAGTGTTCCAATATCTTCTGTGAGTGACTTAATCTTGCAGAAATGGCACCCCATATTTATATATTCAAATATTTATTCCACTTATTATCCCACCTTGCCAAGTTCCAAGTAAGAATACGGAGATCTTTCTGGGAGCTTCCCAGTCAATGACAAAGCCTCTCTGGGGGTCTCAAAGTAGTGCCATTATACCTGTGTTACCCAGGTTTTGACCGAGAGAATACCTTAACTGCAGAATTATTAAGGGAGTGACCAAATCTCAGCTCCCCTTCCCTAGGTAAGCACTTTCTGCAGTCAGTGAACTTCTTAGAGTGGATCTGGGTGCTATTGGGGAAGGTGATAAATGCCAGTCAATCCTTTACTGTTCTGTCTCACATTTCCAGGCCTCGCAGCCCAACTTCCGTTATTCGCTGGGGAACTTGTGTTCTCCTGTCTACACCCAGCATTACTATGGACCCCTTTTAACTCAAATGTGTATATCAGATGTCAGGACTGGTTGTTGTCCTCTTCAGATCACCCCCAAACGCTTCTTGTTCTTTTATAAAACTTTTTATTGCGTATTAACAAAACACTCTTATAAACGGTTCTTAACTATTATTCCTCAGAGTCACTTCTTTCAGATACCTTCTGAGCTCTGCTTCTCCGTGACCAGCCACTCTCAAAATGGCGAAGGCGCCCTTCCCTTCGCTTTCCCGCTCTTTTTTCTAACCTCCTGGCTAGAGCTGGCTTGTATCTCCCCTCCTCCGAATCTGAGCTAGAACTTAACCCTTGCCTTTCCTGGGAACAGCTGGTCCCTCCCTGTTGTTCCTCTTGCTCTCTTCTATTAGATTCACTGCTCCCCTTCCCCCCTTGGGGAATGCTTTCTCCCTCTGAGAAACTGGAAACTTCTAACTCTTCCCTGACATCAGAGACCAGATGTTATATATCTGCTAAGTCATGGAAACCATGACTCAATGCTGCCCCTGATCATACATGTCCACTCAGTTGCAGCGGGGGTCATTGTCTAGTTCTGTAGATGGTCCTAAGATGTCCTGAATGTCTGCTAACAGTTGAGTCTCGTATCTCACCAGTCCACTGGAATTTGGAACAGGCCAGTTATGTATGATCATCTGCAAGATGACCTTCGACCTTGAGCCCTGGGCAGTACCATGAGGTTTTGAGCTAGCTCGCTTAAGATTCCCCATTCTCTTGCAGATGGAAGCACCTTGTGGTTTCAGTGTTCCTTTGGAGCATACAGAGATAAATCCCCTTTGGTTTTCCTCCCACATGCCTTCTCCAGAGTGACCTTAGGAGCCAATCCCCACTGGCTGACTCATCTCCTTTCACTTGGATTGGTTCCAATCAGCACAAAGGGTGAGAAGACTTTCTTCTCAGGGGCTAAAAAGCTCCCCTTTCATGTTGACTGGGTAGCTCTGGGACTCTGGAGAGAGACACTGCTGCATAAATGAAAACAACACCCCGTCCATGACCCTGGACCACTGTACTTCTGGTGGCAGCACCTATGCTTTGGAACTCCATGCCTATTAACATCAGACAGCCATCACTATACTTTTTTATGCCTGCTGAAAAGTTTTCTGCTTCAATGGGCCTATCTAGGCTGTGTGTACACTATACCTTCAAAGCACACTCTTTCCCCCCAAATAATTCTGGGCACTGTAGTTTGTTAAGAGTTGCTGGGAATTGTAATTCTATCAGGGCTAAACTGGTGGCTGCACAGAAGGGGCATGTATCAGTGGTTGAGCATCTGCTTTGCATGAAGAAGGTGCCAGGCTCATTCCCCAGTATCTCCAGGTAAGGCTGGAGGAGAATCTTGCCTGAGACCCTGAAGAGCCACTGCCAGTCAGTGTTGACAATACAGAGCTAGATGGACCAATGGTCAGACTTGGTATATAAGACAACTTCCTGTGTTCATATGCCCAGAGCAGCTAATGGGGTAATTGCCCCACGGCTGAAATCCTTCTCTTCATATGCCATTTTCCTAATTAAAATTGCCACCCCGCAACAAATGAGTTAATATATATATATATATTACAGGTACTATATTTTACTTGTAAGCTTTTACATTTTGCAGGGGGAAAGCAGCTTGGGAGGGAGGGAATTAAAATCAGAAAAAAACAGCATGAGCCAAAGATTAGGAACCTCCTCAATTCCCCCACAACATTTGCTTTTTCCAACCATAAGCTCCCTCTTCTAAATTCAATTTCTGTGCTGGGTCACTCTAATGTATTTATCATAATCAGCATCACATTTATAGCCCCCCTTTCCTCCACGGATCTCAAGGTGGCATATATAGTGTCCCAGATTATCCTCACAACAACCCTGTTAAATACTACTCTCTTTCTCCTTCCTTTGACAGCATGCATTTCTGTTGACATGCTGAAGCATTCCACTTATGATAGTCTTCCCCCTATCAGCTTTAAACTTGTTTTATGCTTTATTACTTCTCTATTCCACCTTTTCCTCCAAGGAGCTCAAGGTGGCATGCATGGTTCTCCCCTCTTCATACTATACTCACAACAACCCTACGAGGTAGGTTAGCCTGAGAGACTGTGGTTGGCCCAAAGTTACCCAGCAAGCATCATGGCTGAGTGGGGATTTGAACCCTGGTCTCCCAAGTCCAGGTCCAAAACTCTAGCCATACACTGGCTCAGCTGTCCCTACTGATGTTTCCATTCTACAGAAATTCCTTTGAAAATTGAATCACACAACCTTTTGGCCAAGTGTTTGATTCACATCTGTTGGCTTCTCTAAAGCTTCCCCCTTTCCCCCCTGTTCAGTTATGAAAGCAGCTGTTGCTAGTTCACACAGCAGGACTGAGACACTTTTGTAGACCTAATGGATTCTATGAAGTGAGGCGCAGCAGATTGAGATACTGGCGTGAGTCAGCCAGAGAGGGGTAGGCTGCCAGTGCTTTGATTCGTGTCTCTATTTGGGGGGACCTAATATTTGAGGGGAAGGAGATGAAAATTCCTGGAGAAGCCTAGAAGTCATTGATGACCATGTACACCCTCCGCTGGCGATGGCAGTATGCCTCTGAATACCAGCTGCTAGGAGTCACAGGTAGGGAGATTGGCTGTTGCACTCGGGTCCTGCTGTCCAGCTTCCCATCTTCTTTCTTCTTTGTCCAGCTTCCCATTCTTCTTTCTTCTTACTCCTCATAGCCGAGTAAGATTGCCTTCCATGAACACAGTCTTAACAGCGAGTCCGTAAGTGAATGTGGAGGCCAATTCTGGATCCATACATCCTTCCACAAGTGGAGGCATAGGTTTCCGGGCAGGAGTTGATCACGGTGACATTTTGCCAAACGTGCCTTTCTCTTAGCTCGTTTCTCCCTTTTGTCCTGAGTTTGTGCTTCTTCAAAGTCTGTCGGAGCACGCGCAGGCCAGTGTTTCCCAGTTATCAGTGCTTATACTACATTTAAGTAAATAAAACAGACAAATCCCCCAACAATTTGTTTCAAAACTACCCAAATTCTTGTATTATGGATGAGGGAAGTGTGGGGACCTTATCTCAAATCCACGTTATTTATGTCTTTGTTTGTTTATTTATAATAAAAAATATTAGGTATACTGCTGTATCATTTAAAAAACAACCCCAGTGGTTTGCAGCAATAAAACCATGCAGAAAATGAATTAAGAACTTTAAAACAATTTTAAAACAAAAAAGGGAAAAACAAACATCAGTACTTTTAATTGCCTGCATAGGCCTGGTAGAATAGAAAGGCTTTCAGCAGGTGTTTAAAAGCTGGCATAGAAGGCACCTGCTGAATCTCTACTGGCAGAATATTGCAAAGACAGTTTCTCATTGTTGTCAAATTAGACTGACCAACTTGGGAATGACCAGCAACACACATGCAGGTGACCTTAGTGATTGAGCTGGAATATAAGGGTTCAGGCGACTCCTGAGGTACCCTGGACCTAAGTTGTTCAGGACTTTGTCAGTTAATACAAGGACCATGAACCTGGCTTGGTAGCAGAGGAGCAGCCAGTGCAGCCATTTTACCAATGGTGTCACATGTTCTCAACCAGAACATCAGCAATCTGTCTGCTGCATTCTCTACAGCAGGCATCCTCAACCTCGGCCCTCCAGATGTTTTGAGGCTACAATTCCCATCATCCCTGACCACTGGTCCTGCTAGCTCATGGGAGCTGTAGGCCAAAAACATCGGGAGGGCCAAGGTTGAGGAAGCCTGCTCTACAGTATACCTAATTTACCTACCCAGTCACGAAGCTTGTTGGATGATCTTGGGCCGGTCACAGTTTCACATGGCTTGACCTACCTCACAGGGGTGTTGTTGTGAGGAAGAAATGGGGAGAAGTGTCTATGCCATCTCGAGCTCCTTGAAGGAAAGATGAGAGATAAATGTAATAAATAAACTTGCAGGAGAAACTCTGCAACTCAATTAACTTTTACTCAGAGTAGACCAATTAATGGACAGGACTAACTGAAATCTATTCATTTCATGAGGTCTTTCTACTCTGAATAAAAGTTCACTGCAATCCTAAATAAAGAAAAGCAGACTTGTGCTTCCAGTTTTATTAAAGGCAGACCAAAAACAAATGAACCAGAAATTTAAAAAATTTTGGCGGAACATTTCAGCAGGCCTAGCTGTCTACAGGAGAAAACTAGTAATGGTAACACACACCTCTAGTTTTTCATGGAGGGGGGTGATGATTAAAATTTGTATACCACTTATCATCTGCGGATCTTAGGGCGGTTCACAAGATAAAATTACAATTTTAAAAACACAAAAGACATTGTAAGAAATAAGAACAAACACAAACCAATAATCCTAGGCTTGCTAAATGTCAGGAAACGTCAGGAAAATGGTTTCTGCGTGTCAGGGGGGAATATTCGGCAAAATGTCAGGGAAAATCTTGATGTATAGTAATGCAATGGAAAAAGCAGTGGAAACAGCTAAAAAGAAGATTAAAATTACTATTTTTGGGAAAAGCTCAACAATTTGGGTGGTTTCCTTTAAAAAAAGCTTTGCGGGTGTCAGGAATTTTACTTTTTGAAATATGGCAACCCTACAATAATCCCCTCTCTCACAACACATGGCAAGAGTTTCTCCCAATTGCCTCTTTAAAAGTTCCTTCATTAGTTTCACCTGCAAAGACGCAGCAGCAGCAACAATCAACAAAGAATTCCTTTCTGGACTCCCCACTTCATGCTGTGTGTGTGATCAGATCCACTAGGAGGGGAAGTGAACCCAGCAACAAAGCAGCCCTTGGCCAAATGGCTGAGAGTTCCCAGCTCACACCCATAAGAGTCACCGCTGCAGACGGAAGTGTCTGCATGACACACTCAGAGAGCACACACCTCCTCGCTGGCTTCACACGCTCCGACGCCTGGGCTCCCCGAGCCTGCCTGCCTTTTTGCTCCTCTCTTCCCCCCTCCTCTCAACTCTTTCTTGGATTATACAAGTCGCTCTCAAACATGGGGAACATGGCTTGCGTCCCCCAGGCACCTGGCAGGTTCCGATACTCCTTCTCCAGGAAACCGTCGCTTCGGAAAGAGTGAGTACGCCGCAATCTTTCCTTTTAAGTTTTCTGTGCTGCTGCTGCTGCTGCTGTCTGCGTGTTTTGTTCTCTTAAAAAGAAAGCCTCATTGGGAATAAAATTCCCTTGCTGGGTCTCGCTTTCTCCAAGAAAAGTCAGGCACTGTGTGCATGTCCGTTTCCTTGAGATTTATCATGACAAGTGTTACAGTACCTCCACACTTCTCATATCGCACGCAAAGAATTTGGTGGAGTTCTTGGAATAAAGGACGGTGTCTGGTGTGTGTCTGTGTGTGTGGAGAGACAACAGTTCCTTTATTTTAAATGGGTGTGTGTGTTTTTTTTGTTTCCTTTGGAGTAGCACCCCTGACAGGTTCAGTTTAATTGAATTGTTTTAAAAATTATATCCCACTTGAGAATTAAAAGATTCGAGTTAGATTGCAAAAGGTTAATGTGCTGGGCAGTCCTATGCAGAATAATTCATAATAACACAGAGCATAAATTTAAAGCAACCCCCCCCCCAGTAATTTACCTTTCACAGAACTACATTTTCCAGCACTGTTAAACTACAGTTCCCAGGATTCTTCAGGGAGGACAATCAGCTTTAAATACATGGTGTGTACGCAATCTTTGCTCTCCAGTAAGTGTGTTTTTGTCTAGTTAAAATAACAATAGCCATTTAACAGAAGTTTAAGATACAATCTCTAGGAAGACGAGCATTTCAAATGAACTTTTAATTCAAAGTCTCACTCGATAAAACTTTCCCTCGCTTATAGGCAGTGTTAGAAAGTTATCCCTTTCCTCAGGACTCACTTAGGAATTATAATCCTAAATATTTACTGCTATTTTGGGGGCGTATTTCTATGTTCGAAACAGGGTGAGCCCCCAAACTGGCAAATGGCGTGTAATCAAGGGAACTAATAAAAGTTTTGAACAAGACAAGGGTGTTTAATTTTTTATATATCTTTTACTTCACTACATAATTGAAATCGGTTTCAGAATTCCAGTGAAATAGTAACTTGCTTCACCATAGTTTCCCTACATGGATAGCACTGCATGTAGATTGTGGCACACAACTGATTTCACTGTGTGCTATGTACAGTGTACCCAGTGAAATTAGAGCCTTGTGGCACATTTAATGGCTCGCAAATTTATAGTAGTGTGAGATGTTGTGGACTACAGCCCACATCATCAAGTGAAGTGGGCATGAATTCTGAGAACATATGCCCCAATAAATCTGTGAGTCTTCAAGGTGCCCAAGTCTTTGTGTCTGCTGTGGCTACCCCTCTAGAAGTTGTCCCAGCAAAATGGACAACATGCACATTATGCGATCATTGCTGATAAGCCCTGTGTGCTATTTCCTACACAGAACCACCCTCTGTGTAGGAATGTCATGCTATTTGAAGTGTGGGCTTTACGTGGATTAGTCTATCTGAACACCAGAACCTCCTGTTGTAGGCTTTCTGCTCCTGTTCTACCTTCGATACCGATCGAGTTTGAAAACTTCATGGCAGCAGAAGGGCTTCACAACAGCACTTTAAAAAGGGAGATTTCATAATGCGTTCACAAAACTAGCTCAGCTTTGCAATGGAAAGGACAACAAAAAAGGGATGTGGTTGAGCCCCCTGCCATTCTCATGGTTTTCCCACCTCACAGTTCCCACCAGACAAAATCTAGCCTTACACAGAACCAGCACAGTAAAACTAAGTGACTGTTTGTATATGTGGAGGAGGAATGGGAAACTAGGCCAAATTCCTTGGTGCCAACATGGTTGGAATTACAATCCAGGGATAATGTGCCTTTTTCGGATTTTTAAGTGCCCAAATGACCAGGCACCTGGGCTTTCTTTCTTTAGGTGTCTATGTGGGTGTAAACATACAGGCAGGAACCCTGAAACTGATGCTGGTAATTGTGTAAAGGACTGTGGCTCCGTGGTGGAGCATCTATTTTGTGCTAGTTTCAATCCCCAACATCTCTAGGTAGGACAGGGAATATCCCTCCTGAAACCCTGGTGAGCCACTGACGGTCAGTGCAGACGATACTGAGCTAGATGGATCAAGGGTCTTAGTATAAGGCAACTTCCTATACACAAAATCCAGACTTAAACATGTTACTGATTGCACGAAAAATCAGGGGATTTGTGGGCAAATGCAAAATCACATTGCATGTTGAAAATGCTGTGTGTCCAGGCAGTGTCCCCAATGCCCTTCAAGCCATTTGGGTGGAAAATGCCAATATGATTGCACATTGTATCCACTTGACGTTGTTAGGTTTTGGTGGCGCCGAGATGAGTGGTTGTGAATTAGTGGAGCAACACACTTCCCTCTTCCCTCTCCAGAAGAGAATTAAAGCATCATCAACAAAAGAGTTCATAGACTTCCGTAGAATTCATAGAACTCTTTTGTTGATGTGGCTTTAATTCCCTTCTGGAGAGGGAAGAGGGAAGTGCATGATGGGATATCACAGGAAGTAAGAGCACTTCATGGGCATCCCTGGCAAGAGGTGTGACATTGCAAACCACAAGTTCTGACACATCAAAGAAAACTAACACATACTGCAAAATGGAACAAATGGAACATATGCTAAGGTGGTTTTGTATTTGTAACCATATTTTGGGGCATCAGTGTCTGCCCTTAAGATCAATAGGCCTCATTTCCAATCACTTGAGTTTCTTTTTCTTTCTAAAATTTCTGTCTGCTTCTTTGCTTTACCAAGAGATGTTTGGGGATGGGGGCTTTGCAAAAATTCAAGGTTAGCAACAGATGCTGGGCCTGTCTGTTTTGTTTAGGGTTGCAAGTAACGCTACTCAGGTTAGCTGATCAGTGCTACCAGACGGTATGTGAAGACAAGGGGTCCCCAGCTGAATATTTTTTGGGTGTGTGTGGAGGTTTGCAACCTGTGGCACTCAAGTGAAAGTACAGTAGTAATATGGAGAGCAAATGGATGGTTTGAATGTTCTTTACAGGACAGAATTCTCTAATAGAATACACTTCAAGTATAGGGAATGGCACAAAATTTACATGCACACACCGTGGTGTGACTGCAAGAGATGCATTGAATGGTGCATTAACAACCTATGGAACTCACTGCCTCAGGATGCTGCAGTTGACACTAGGTTGAAAAGCTTTAAAAAGATATTGACAAATGAATGGAGCAGGATAGGTCAATTGACAGCTATTGCTCACATTAGTGAAATAATATCTGTGTACACAAACACTCACACATGGGGTTTGCAGTAGTCTTTGGGGTTTTTTTCAATTAAAAATATATATGTTGGGGGAGTGGCAACTGTCTTTCCACATCACATATTTCACTGGAATTTGTTGCTACGAGAGTAGTGATAGCCACCAACTTGGATGAGGATTAGATAACTTCATGGAGGATAACGCTCTCAGGGCTACTAGCCACAATGGCTATGTTGCCTCTAGTACTAGAGATGGCATATTGCTGGGGAAGAAGGGTGGAAGGTCACAGGGCGGATTACAGCATAAAAATACTAAATTGAAAAACTAAATACATAACATAATAATAAATAATAATAAGCAAAAAACCAATAACCCCGCCTCCTACAAACACGTTTAAAAGGCCATAGATGGTTTAATTAGCCAATGGCCTGGTTATAGAGAAACGTTTTTGCCTGGCATCTAAAGATATGTAATGAAGGCGCCAGGCGAGCCTTCCTGGGGAGAGCACTCCACAAGTGGGGAGCCACCACAGAAAAGGCCCATTCCTGTGGTGCCGCTCTCTGGACCTTTCAAGGAGGAGGCACACTGAGAAGGGCTTCAGATGATGATCTCAGGGTCTGGGTTGGTTCATGGGGGGGGTAGTCCTTGAGGTTTTGTGGTCCTGAGCCGCTCAAGGCCTTATAAGTCAAAACCAGTACAGTACATTGAATTGGGGGGGCCTCCAGAAGTTGCCGGTCTCCAACTCCCATCAGCCCCAGCCAGCATGGCCATTGGTTAGGGAAGATGGGAGTTGTAGTCCAACAACATCTGGAGTTCAGCAGTTTCCTCACCCCTGGTTTAAATATGCTGAGTGGCAAGCAATCAGTGTTAAGTGATCTGGAGTCTGTACCCATAAGATGTGTCTGGCTGCATACGTGTGTGTGTGTTTGTGTGTGTGTGTGTGTGTGTGTGTGTGTGTGTGTGTGTTTAAGAATACAATCTCCTGTTTGCAAATGAGGAATGCAACAGCCCCTTACAGAGAAGCATTTGCTTCTACTGTGTGGAGTAGCATGAAGGATGCATGTGAATAAAACAAGAACAACAAAACAAAAAACACCAATCATCATGCAGCAAAAATGTTGTAATTTGCTTTCAAGAGCCGAAACTATGTTGACTGAGAGTGATGGTGGGTGGGGAAAGGGGAATACCTCCATGACATCAGCTGGCACCTGGGCACCAACAATGCCTTTTAATGGGGTCTGAGTCACTGCTGGTGTCACCTTGAAGGGAGAATCAGGGATAGCAGGAATCGTTATTTAAATGGTGCAATAAGACTGTTGGTTTTAGCCAGGGGGAATGCTATGTGGAGCCCTAATCAGGGAGCAAAAATGACTTAGGATTGTTTCTAAAGCTATGCCTTTACTCAGAGTAGTCCTGCTGAAGTTAGTGAATATGACTAAGGCCGTGAACACACTGGGCAGAACCACGATACTTTCGAAGCACACCCATTTCAAGTACACGACAGTCACCCCTCAAACCCTGATAACTGTAATTTCCTCCTAACAGAACTACAATTCCCCACACCCATAACAAACTACGGTTCCCAGGATTCCTTTAAGAAAACTATGTGCACTGACCTTTATGGTGGCTAACACCATATGTACACTACTTCCCAAATCAGTGGTAGCAGCACACTGGAAGTAATTGGAGTGTGGAGGTCAATTAATTTCAATGGGTCTGCTCTGTGTAAGACATGGTTGGTTACAACCTTTAGGGCTGCACTGATTTGCTTGTTGGTGTAGTGTGTGGGAGAGAAATCACTTTTACTGATTTAGCTATCGTAGGTAACTTTTACGAACCAGTGCTGTTGTGCTCAGATCCTGCTTTTGGACTTCCCATAGGCATCTGGTTGGCCTCTGTGAGAACAGGATGCTGGACTAGATAGGCCTCTTGCCTGATGCAGCAGATTCTTATTTGTTTTTGGGTACTGTATCCATGTGTGGGTGTGGGTGTTTTCACCCTGCAGCAATAGTTGCAACAGTGGCCTTGAGAAAGAGATTCTGAGGCAGAACATGGGGCCTGTTTCAATCCCCATCATCTCCAGGTAAGGCTGGGGGGGAAATGTCTGAAAACCCTGGAGAGCTGCTGCCACTTAGTGTAGACGATATTGAGCTTCCATACTACTTACGTTAAAGTTGCATCATCTTCAAACTCATGTGTTCTGAGAGAGCGTGCATGCCTCATCTTTCTTTTAGAGAACTGTGAAGAAGAAAAAGGATTACCTTAACACTCTCCTTGGGAAAGACAGAATCCTTTGACCATCCATGATGAGGAATGAGACCGAACGAAGCATTCCTTTGTGGAAGGACAAATGAAACAAAGCCCCCCCCCCCAAAAAAAAAACCCAAGGAGAAATTCACTAAGCCTAAATGTTATTGATGGCCAGCTGTTCATTAGGTCCGGACACTTAAAAGCCTTGTGATAAAAGTTGCTAATTCCACCCTGATGCGTTGCTGATTTGATTTGTTTGCTTGCTTTGATCTCGCCTGACTCTTTTTTTTTTTTTTAATTGCTTTTCAGACAAGAGAGCAAAAAAAAGCTAGCCAGCCTTTTTGGTTTTGAACCAGGACAAGAGAGGGATGTTACCTCAGACAAGATACTCCAATATATTCCTGGCCAGGTAAGTGCTCTGAGATCTATAGTGATCTTAATTTGAATAATGGTGGTGACATTTCTGCTATCCAATGTTTTGTGTGTCTTCAGGCCCTCTTTTAATCTTGGACATCCTGAGATGACATAAGTGACTATTGTATTCCGTTTACAAACGAGAAACCGAGGTTGTGATAGGGACTTGAGCAAGGCCACTCACTGAGTTTGTGGCTGAGGAGATGCAATTTGTAAGCACAAATCCTCAACCCGCAAATAAAATTGCTTTTGCGCGCTCTAACGCGGTCTGGTTTAAACTAGTTAAGCCAGCCTGGTTTAAACAGATTTTCATGCTGTGCCCCAATGAGTTTTTGGAAATGGAAGGATTGGCATGCCTGTTATAGGGAGAGTTAACAGCTTTGTCAAACTACAGTTCCCAGAGGTCTTAAGGAGGAAAGCCACAGCTGACTTTTAGGAAATCTAAAAACATCATCATCATCATCACCTTTATTTTAATTATCAGGGTTCTTCTATGGATGACAGTCTTTAGAATTGTTTCACTGTGAAAGTCGCAGCATGACTTCTGGCCAACCAGTGGGTCTGCTATTGTCATCATGACGCACAAGAGCTTTTAATTACCCATGATTAAAAAATAAAACAAATTAGCCAGCCCACAGTCAATATTTCCCTGCCCTGAGACTTTTTAAACAAGAATTCAGAATGGGGATCAGGGCTGTATATATACCTTGACACATTTAAAGCAAACTCCCCCTCACCCAGACAAAAGAATCCTGGGAACCATAGTTTACCTTCACAAAGTTACAATTCCCAGCACCTTTAACAAACTGCAGTTCCTAGTATCTGAGGGTGTGCTTTAAATGTGTAAAGGTGTGTGTGCAGCCCAGATCCCTTCTCCATTGAGGAATGTTTGCTTGTTCTCATGCTGTATTTCCCTGGGTGGAGATGGTGACAGAGCCCTGTCACCAACCTGTATATCTGGAGTTATGACTACAAAAAGGTGGGGAGGAAGGGATTGTGCTGCTCTCCCTGTTCTTTTGAGAAAGCAGGAAGCTAGTTGATGGATTAGGCTGATTCATCCTTCCCAGGGTGCAAAAGTTGGTAATTCTGTAACGCACACAGATGGCTCCACATGAAACGTACCTAGGGTCCCTTGTGCCCTTGGCCAAGGAGCTGTATCAGCGGCAGTGCCCCAACCCCCCAAAAAATCACTTTACTGCAATGGCCAAGAATCCAAGGCAGACTCAGAGAGGGCTTCTGGAAATGTTGGATCAAACCCACAAGTAGATTTTACTGCCACCTTTTCCCTCACCCTCGGATTTGTGCCGGGAGCAGTTTTGTTTGTCCTCCCTTAATGTTCTCTTTCCACCTTGACTGTAAATGCTGCACTTGCAAAAATATTACCAATGTCTGTTTTGTTAGGGGAAACATTGAGCTAGGCCTTGTAGGATGCACACAAGAGACAACCACTCCATGCAGTTAGAGCACATTCAAAGAACATGGCTTCCTCCCCACAGAATCATGGGTGATGTATTTTATTAAGGGTGATGGGAACTGTAGTTCTGTGAGAGATGAACTTCGGTTCCCAGCATTCTTTGGGGGAAATCATGCACTTGAAACATGTGATGTGGATGTTAATCTACTAGGTGAACTACTTTTCCTACACGCATGAGGCAGATGTGTCCAGCCTCCTCTCCTGCCCCACTGAAGTGCTTTTTTCTGTGACACGGTGACGCTGCCATCACAATGAAATAGCCTTTTGCCTGGAGTCTTTAATTTCCATGTTTTGTAGGCCATAGTCAACGTCTTCAAAGGGGTGAGACCCACCCCAAGCTAAGAGATGGCTTGAGCTGAAAGCCCCATCAATTTGCTGTGTGGGGATATGCTTACATGTTTGGAAAGGAGTAGAATTTATATGCAGTAATTAGCATCTATAGTGCTTTAGAGAGTTTAAAGAGCTTTACATACTATAGATTGCTCAGGAATTCCACAACAACATTCTAAATGAGGTGCCTGTACTCTGCCTATAATGCAAATGGAAGTGGGGCTCGAGGTGGACATTTATTTATTGCATTTATATCCCATCTTTCCTCCAAGGAGCTCAAGGTGGTATAGATGGTTCTGCCTCTCTTTCATTTTATCCTCACAGTGACTCTGTGAGGTAAGTTAGGCTTAGAAACAACTACAGGCCCAGGGAGTTTCATGACTGGGATTTGAACTGTGGTCTCCCGGGTCCTGATTGAACACTCCCAACTACTGTACCACACTGGCTCTCAAAATGAGTGAGAGACCCTGTTGGCATATTATACCCGTGTTCCAAGATCTCCACTGGTTGCCAATTTGTTACCGGGCCAAATTCAATGTGCTGCTCTTGAAATATTTATGTTTGTTTTATTTATTTATTAAATTTGTACGCCACCTTTCATCCATAGATCTCTGAGTGGTTTGTGACATTAAAAATACAAGATAAAAGCACAAAATATATAATAAAAAAGGGGGGAAGGGAGGAAAACCCACAAACCAATAACCCACCTCCCCTCAACACTTCAGGAACAGTTTTACTTGAAGGCTTGCCTTATTCCATGGGTGCCTGCTTGCACAGCCACAAATGCTGTATAATGTTACAGGGTATATAACATTATACAGCATGGGGGGGGTGCACCTAGTCTGTGGTGCTCCTTGCCCATTAACATACCGTACTGTGTTTGACGCCTGCTAAAAACGTTTAGGCAAACCTACCCAGATATGTACATTTTCTGTTTTGAAATTGGTTGGCTTTATTTATATTTTGACCATGTTAATATGTCTACTTGTTTTGACATTTTATCTATATTTTCTTATGGATATTTTATATTGTTTTATGCAAACTGCTTAGAGGGTTTATTATTATTATTATTAAGCAATATATACATCTTATTAAATAAAAATAAATAAGTGTGCATTGAATAGGAACTTCAGTCTTTTAAATACTGTTATGAGATCTTTAAGGATTCTGCCTTGCATCCTTTAACCTTAATCTGTAGAGTGTTGCGGCTGGTTGTTGTTACATGCGCATGCATGCACGCATAAACACACATGTGCACACTGTTAAGAACATAAGACCCTCCTGGATTATGCCAATGGCCCATCTAGTCCAGCATCCTATTCTCACAGTGGCCAGCCAGATGCTTATTGCCCAGAGTAGGGTGGTAATTTATATTGAATAACTCACATGGAGTATCATGATGGGTCAAATGGTGTGTTTACATCAGGCATAGGCAAACTCAGTCCTCCAGATGTTTTGGGACTACAACTCCCATTATCCCTAGCTAACAGGACCAGTGGTCAGGGATGATGGGAGTTGTAGTCCCAAAACATCTGGAGAGCCGAGTTTGCCTATGCCTGGTTTACATTGCCTATAGCTGCAATCTTCTGTGCATTTACCCTGTAAAGGCTCATTCAGGCATCCTTTTTATTCTGTGTTTATGATGATTTGTGCTCACGAGGCTATTGGGGCAGTCCTACACTATCCCACATTAAATACTGCTTCTGTCTGTAAAAGGTTTGGGGGCAGGCATAGTGCTTCATTTCCACTCCTGTACCTTTCTGCTGAAATCCTGTAACTTTTAACTCCACAAATGTTCTGTATGAGTTTTCATCACACTTCTGTTGCACTATAGCCCCTCTAGACAGCAATAATGTTGTAGTGTTGCAGAACAACTGATAAATTGGGATAAATACACCACTGACACATTGCAGAATTCACCCGCAATAAAATATCAGTCTGGAGTTGCCCCAAGGCCCTCGAAAATAGTGGAACTTGCTTCTGGAGAAAAATCGATACGATTGTGCTGTAATGGAGGAGTTAATGTTGGTGCTCATGTCAACTCTATCATGCCACACATTAGCTACAGCAGTTGTAGTAAACCTGCAACTCCACCAGTAACAAACAATTGCGTATATGAGGGTTATATATACTATCAGTGAGATTGTGAAAGGATGACAGGGTCCTTAATACCAGGTGATATTGTGTGTGCCTGAGGCAGAGAAAAGATAGAGTGAATTACCTTTGGCAAAGGCGGAAATTCGGGCCCATAGCAGTTGGGGCCTTGACCGATGTCAACCACTTCCTGTCTTGCTGCATTTCCCAAGCACAGTGGCACATGCCCTGGGGCAAAAACAACATTGACTCTGTGAGGAAGGAAGAGAAGTTTAGATAACAAATATTATCTCCACCACACTTTTTTTTAATATGTCTTCAAGGAGACGCTTAATTCAGAGCCGCCCCCCCTTGTGACGCAATAGCCTGTCCAAAGTTGACATGGTGGCCATCCGTGGTGATTAAAGTATAAGTCACTGGATTCTCCGTTCTAGCTAAGGTCTGAGGGAGTTTAATTTTTAACTAGCCTCACCTATAGCTGAGGCGGAGCAAAGCGAGACATGTCGGTGCGTGTCTTGCTTGATCAACCTCCAGCTAGGAACTGGGCTTCAAAATCCTCTCTCTCTCTTTCTCTTGTGAGGTGCTGAGAGAAACCCAAAATGATCAAAACCTCCGCTTGGAGCAGTGGGGGGGGGGCATGAATGAGTGTCTGTGAGAAATACAAACAGCCCAGAGGGGTGGAAATACTGCTGAGTGATGATAAAGGGAGTGAAAAAACCCCAAACTCTGGTTTCTTCCTATTTAGGCCACCAGCCAAATGTCTTCTGCCTGAAGGCCCTTGATAATATTCCATTAGTGTGTGTAGGAGGTTAGTGCTTTGTACATTTTTGGTACGGTGAGCAGGTTCTGCATGCATTGTATCCAGTGCTAGTCCTATTCAGAAGTGAAACCACTGAAATGAATTTCAATAGGTCTACTCTGAGTAGGACTTTAGGCCCCATCTGTGCCATACACATGTGCCCACTCAACCACTTCAGTTGTCTATAGGTGCCACATACGGTAATACCCATTTTGCATTTGTAAGAACTTGATTGTTTAGTCAATCAAGCAGCAGCACATGGGCATAGCCAGGGGAGGATGTTGCAGCTCCCCCCCCCCCCGAATCAGTAAAAATCAATAAAAATACATAGCTAACTGAGGTTCTGCCCCCCCCCCCAAAATCTTGGCTATGCCCTACACTTTGGAACTCCCTGCTTATTGAGATCAAACGGGCGTCTCCACTGTACTCTTTTTGGCACCTGCTGCAAACATTCCTGTTTCGATGAGCCCGCCCAAATGCTTAGAAGGTTGAGGTAATTTTAATCTGTTTTAGCGTTTTAACTTTTGCACTTTAAAAAGTATGCCTGTGGTTTCCCCCCCCCATTGTTTTTATTGTTTTATTACTTCGAAAACAGCTTTGAGGGGTTTTTTTTTACACTCAAGCGGTGCATACATGAAATAAATTTTTAAAAAGATTTTAACTGCTCTTATACCGCTTAAAGTAATTATGTCTTCCCCAAGAACCATAGTGTGCTGAGAGTTGTGAGGAGACCGCCTGTTTCCCTCACAGAGCTACAATTCCCAGAGTTCCATGGGAAGAGGGATCAATTGTTAAGCCACTCTGGGAACTGTAGTTCTGTGAGGGCAATGGGGGGTTTCCTCACAACTCTCAGTGTCCTTAACAGTTCCCAGGCTTCTTGGACGGAAGGGCAATGCCTGTTTAAAGAGTTATGGGGCCTTAGTCGGGTACAACCTATTAGTAGAAGAATTCTGGAAGATTCAGCACAGACAGAAGTGCTTCTTCACACAGCATGTAGTTAAATAATGGAACTACAGTGGTACCTCGGGTTAAGTACTTAATTCGTTCCGGAGGTCTGTACTTAACCTGAAACTGTTCTTAACCTGAAGCACCACTTTAGCTAATGGGGCCTCCCGCTGCTGTCGCGCCGCCAGAGCACGATTTCTGTTCTCATCCTGAAGCAAAGTTCTTAACCTGAAGCACTATTTCTGGTCTGTAACCTGAAGCGTATGTAACCTGAGGTACCACTGTACCGGTATATACCCTGCGATAAGGCAGGAGTGGCCAGTCTGTGACCCTCCAGATGGGCAGCATATAATAATAATATTTTTTTTGCTGGAGTATGCCTTCCATCGGCCCTAACCATTGGCGCTGCTGGCTGAGGCTGATGGGAGTTTTGCAGCCCAACAACACCTGGAGGGCCACACAGGTTCCCCATCCCTGCCTTCACACATTAACATTAAGAGCTTGAGGTTATTCATCTGTTTCCCACATACCTTTGGCGTCCATTTGCTATTGTCTTTCTTTACCCCCTGCTTGGGTTATTCTGATAAGTGATGGAGCAGGAAATGACCTCAGATTTCCACTGATGGTGTTATGATTCACCAGTTAAGACACTACCTAGTGTGAAGGTGCCTCTGTGTGTGTGTGAATAATATATTGCTGCGATCAATTTGCATTAGGCAAATTGAGATAAATTATCTCAACTGATATTGGAATTTCCCCCCTCTTTCCTCTGTTTATTTACCCATTTGTGATGCAAACTGCTAGAAGTAGTGCTATTATGAGAAGATTTCCAGAGGGTTAACTGCGTAAGTGTCCTGCAGTGAAAACAATCAAGAGTATCGTGGCACCTTTTAACAAAGGTATTGTGGCATAAGCTTTTGTGGTCTGAGCATCTAACAAAACTGTTTGAATGCACAAAAGTACGTGTTTTAATATATTTATGAAGTCTCTTTAAGGTGCCATAAGACTCCTTGGTGTTTTTACTGATGTGAGGTTTCAGCTTGACTGGAATTTTGTGAGAATTCCAGAACCATTTATTATTTCATTTTTAAGAACACTTCACATCTCTCACTTTTGTATTTTTTGTATATATTGTAAGCTGCCTTGAGAACTTTCCAGTTGGTAAAGATAGATAGGCAGCATTTCAAGCACTTGACTTCCCTAAAGAATCCTGGGAATTGTAGTTTGTTAAGGGTACTGGAAACAGTAGTTCTGGGCAGGCGGGTAAATTAGTTTCCAGTATTTTCTGGGGGGATGCCATGTGCTTTTAATGTATTGTGTGGATCTGATCTGACCTGATGATGGGTACATCTAGCTCTGACTGGCAACAGTTGTCTGGGATACTCGACTGGGTGCCTTCTCAGCCGTAACTGGGTACACTGGGGATTGAGCCTGAGACATTCAAATATTTTAAACAAATGTCATTTTTTATCTCCCCTAATAGTATATCTTGGACTGATTGTGAGGGGAGGGCCCTGCCACCCTTGATTCTTGAGTATGTCAGTGATACTAAGCCACTTACTTGCCTATAGTATTCACAGTTCTTTTTGCCTGTTGAATCATTGAAAAACAAAAATGAGCCTTTCAGGGGATGAAGGATTTGTACTGTGAAACTAGACGCAGAAACGACGTGCAGAACCGGCTGACAAAGCAAAAGATATTTCTGGAATGAATCACAATTATTTCATCATCCCATGTGAACAAGATTGTATAGTATCTGTGCAATTTGCCCAGTACAATTATTCTACACCTCAGGAGTTCTTGAACAAAGGAGACATTAAAGGGCAAAGGCCAGCCCATTGCGGGAATAATTCCTGACACCCCTACATTTTCATTGGCACACTATTCTTGCCATTGCCTGCTTAAATGTGGCAACGGAGCTTCTAGGATGCACCAATCCAGGAACTTAAGTTTACAGACCCATTCGCACCAACCACCCTTACTTGGATTTCTGCTATTCCAATTGAGACATAATCTGAAGCTGCAATCAGGTTTAGTGAGTTAGTAGGATGTTGCTGGTAGTTTGCGTAAAGCGAGTGAGTTCCTATTGGCTTGGAAAGCCTGGGAACGTGGGGGAAGATGAAAATCTGGGTTGCCACTTAATGCCCAGAAGGGCGTCTAATTAAATTTGGGTGTGTGGCTGATTGTAGTAACACACAAAATAAGTAGCATGCTGGGGTGTGTGGGAGCAGGTGGAAGGGGCCGTTTTAAAATATGAATCCAAGTTATTCTCTTGAAAGAGAGCGAGATGTTTTCTCACTTCTTTTGCCAGCGCTGTATATGGTGCCTTCAGCAAAGTGCTGCCCTGCAGATGTTTTGGACTCCAAAACATCTATATCGCGATATGTCAGTTTATACTGTAATCCTATATACCCACTTAAGTGCTACAAAGCCCCATTGAACTCAGTGGGGTTTTCTTTTGAGTAGACTTGCATAGGATTATGTGTGATTAATTATAAAAAGATCCACCAACAGAGGAAGTTACTTGCTGTGTCTCTGTGTGATTTACTGCAGTGGCCTTTTCTCCTCCTAATCAGCTTTCACTGCGGATATGTGATAACTGCTCTGTTTCGGGTGTGATTGTGGTCATTTGGTCACTCCTGACACAGCAGAATTGTTTGCCTTCACAGGAGACCCTGCCAGAACCATACAGAAGCCCAGTCGTTCATACTGTTACACAAATCTTTTCAGGTATACGAGTGGAGACATGTGCCTCCACATATAACCCAGAATTGTGAATTTAATGAAGAAACACTGCGGTATACTTTTGTGGCCACATGTATCTGAACCTCAGAGTATACATGATGTTCTAATTATGGGTTCTGACCCTTTTGGACAGCTTTGTTCTTCTACAGCGGAGAAAGTGGAACACATCAGCCTGTGACTGTGCTAATGAAAGGTTACCCTTGATAATTAAGCACTAAGAAACTTTAGTTTAAATGCTTCTGTCTGAGGCTTGCATGTGCAATAAATTCCATTCTTGGTCCTGCCTTTGCTCTTCCCTGATCTCTGGGCCCACCGAGAGCCTAAAATGATAAGATGGTTCTCAGTTGCTGTTGCTTTTGAAGTTACGTTTGTGCCTCCTCAGGCCACAGCTCTGATATGGTAGCAGGAACTTATGTGCACCCCAGCATTGTTTTGGCATTTTTAAACAGGAAAAAAGTACAAATGGTATCACTTGGGAGAGTCCTGAAAATCACAGCTGTAGATCTGTAATCAGCCCTCCTACACATGACGAGTGAACATCTGCAGCTTTGACACAGTGTGAAAAGCAGTAACTGATATAACTCTAGAACTTAGCAGACATCCAATGAAGCCGAATGTTGAAAGTTTCAGGACAGGCAAAAGAAAGCACTTCTTTACGCAGTGTGTAGTTTAACTATGGAATTCACTGCCACAAGAATAGTGATGGACACCAATTTGGGTGGCTTTAAAAGAGGATAATATGTGCATGCACCATACATTTAAAGCATGCACACTCCTGTAAAGAATCTTTGGAACTGTAGTTTACCACTCAAAAGCTATAGTTCCCAGCACCCTTGACAAACTACATTTCCTGGGATTATTTGAGTGGGAGGGGGACTGCTTTAAATGCATGGCATGCATGCAGCCTTGGACAAATACACAGAGAACAAGGCTATCTGTTGCCACTAGACACGATGGCTGTGTTCTGCTTCTGCTTTCAGAGGCAATATGCTAGGACTCACAGTATGCTAGGACTCGCAAGTGAAGAGTGTGTTGTTACACTCTGGTCCTGCATCTGACTGGCCTCGTTGAGAACAGGTTGTGGGACTAGATGGGCCACTGGCCTGATTCAGCAGGCTGTTTCTTCAGGGCTCCTCTTATGTTCTTAATTTGGATAATCAGACATACTAATTATAACCTTAAGGCTGGGGACAGTACAGCACAGGACAATAGGATGCCAGTGGTGGTTGCGCAAGTGGTGCAGATTGCAGGGTGCTATGCCTCTGTTTCAGTGTTGAACCATGGAAAATACTCGAATGAAAAGCACATCCTCGGTGACGAGGAGATGGGCATTACCATAACTGTTCATCTTTAGGATGAGTGCACTGTGCGTGTGGCAGGAGAGCATTCAGAGTGCAAAGACCCCTGGGGGAGAACGCAGCTCGTCTCTGCAGAGAGTGGGGAGCGCATTGCATTCTCCTCTGTGGAATTTCAAGTCTGTGAGGGCTGAGCCCCTGAGAGGTCAATAGAGGGTGAGTTTCGCTCTCACAGTGCAGATCAGGATGGAATGTTAGAAGCTACATTAGATGTCCACCTTCTTCTCCCTCAGGTGGTTAACCTCTGTCTCAGCTCTACCGCTTCAGGTTGCTAGTGGGGGATTTCCTTCACAATAATAATTTCCCTGCACATAGAAAATGAGTCCTTGAAAGAAGGGTCCCAGTGCAAGATTTTCTCTGACATTCCAGGGTTTGCTGAAGTTTTCTGTATCGAACATCGTTCAGTCATGGGAAGCCTGACCTCCAGTCTGTTACCTCAGTAAGAATTAGGCAATTCATCTAGATAAGGGATGGAGAACCTCATTCCCAGAGTTCAAATGTAGCCTTCCTACCTTCTCTATCCGTCCCTTGGAACTTTACCCAGGCTTTCCTTGGGTTGCATCCCTCACTGGCCTTGCTTTGCACTCTCCCTGAGTGTTTTTGCCTGGCTGCAATGCACCCTTGAACTCTGATCAGGCATCTTGCATGCCTGGAATGAGGATAGAGAGGGTTGTGTGAGTATGCATGGGAACTGCACAAAGGTGAAATTTGCATTCATTGCTCCACCTACTTTTGACTCTGACCCCTCCCACCACTTTCAAGTGGCCCCAAAAAGGTTGCCCCAGAGGGGAATGTGGCTCTTAGTGTGAAAAGGGTTCCCCATGCCTGTTATAAATATGTCAGTTTAGCTGCTGTTCAGTGTATTAGAATCTCTTCTGTTGAGATTCCTTGCAATTCAGGGGGTTGGACTAGATGACCCTCGGGGTGCCTTCCAACTCAACAATTCTGTGATTCTGGATTTGCTCCTTCATGTTTTTCTCCTGCCTTTCCTGGGATATCTGGATAGCACCATCCTCTGAGGTAACTTAGGGTGAGAGAGGGTGACTCACCTAAGCCGAATGAGAGCTCATCCACACTTCATTTTGTGCCACATTTCTAGACACAGGTCTGGGCTTTCCAGCTCTGTGTTTGAGCTTTTATTTTTGTCCTGGCACTTCCCCCAGGAAAGGCCATGTTTTACCTCTCAATTGGAGCAAACAGCAATCCACGGAAAACCAATTGCCGTTTGCTCTGATTTAGCAGTAAAATGTGGTTTTCCCTGGAGAAAACGCCAGGACCAAAACAAAACAAAAAATGCCTAGAAAGTGCAAAGCAAAGGTGAGTGTGGATGAGCCTAGAGTGAACTTTGAGACTCAGCAAAGATTTGAAGCTCGATTTCCTACAACCAAACAGTTCCCCAAAATTGCAGTTGGCAGCGGTTGCCCCAATATCTCTTTTATCTGGGAAAACCTCCCTGCCAGTTGAGCCTTTGTGTTCACAACAGCTTTGTCCTGACTGGCTTGCATTTCCCCCCCTTTTATCTGTCTCAGAGTTGGCAGGTGATCAATAACCCAGCAGCAAAATATTTAATCTCTTTCTCCTCACTTTAATTGCCCCTCGGTGAAATCGTTAATTGTCACTTAGCAGTTCCCACCTCCAGATACATGCTCACTGATGCCCTGTAGATTCTAATCTGTCCCCCACAGGACAGCTTGAACGAAAGGTAGCTAACTAACTCTATCTCGCTCTGGTTATAAGGGCAGATATTCCTGGAGAAGCATTCAGTGTGATTCCAAAGCTTGCAGTCCTTTCAGCAACAGAGGGCTGTTATACATTACTTCTAACGTTTATATTTTGAATGGCTTTGGGGCAGCTGCCAGGCCTCAGTGTCTGACAAAGCCTACCGCTGATGCTGTCCGAGCCTTTCTTCAAATCCCGCCACTCTCACTGTTGACTGGTCACCATTTTAAATTTCCCACAATCCCTTTCATGAGCTTTAGGGCATTTCAGGATGTATAAAAGGTAGTTGCCTGGTGCTGATCAGAGGAGCCACAGTTCCAGTAACCACTACTAAGGAAGCCCAGTAGACCCTCAAGTATGCAGCAGTCCTGACCCTGGCTCTTACTTCCAAGTAAATATGACCAGGATTGCACTATTTGTTTTTGCTTTGAGTTCTACCACCCACAGCAGTGGTAAATGTAAATTATGAATCAGTGGAAACTTGGTGTAGCAGAGATGCATAAGCTTCTGGTTTTCATCTACTGTATATTTTGGAAATACTGTATATCTTTGTTTGTTGTGCATTTGGACACCTCTTAAGATATTGTAACCAGATTTTGCATTATGGCTCCTGAGGTCAAGGAGCAGATTTTCATCTGTGTTTGGACACAGTTGGATGACATTAAAGTGCACCTCTGAACATGTCCAGATTCTCTTACCACTTAGTACAAGAAGCACCTCCCTGGCAGCTTGAGTGAGGAGCAAGGCCCTTGAAATTAAGAGATGCTTGCAGCCGCCTCTCTTCTAGTAACATGTGAGCTGACCCTTAGAAAGCTTCCAATTGTATGAGGAGAAGCTCTGGCTCCACATCTAGACGTGTTCATTGTGGATTTATCTTGGTTTGCTTGCACAAAGTCTTCAGGGAGGTTAGACACATTCATTCCAATTTGTTTGTGCAGAGGTTAGACAACACTACATAAAGCAAATGTTATCCCACACCTCCTCATCACTTTCCTCATTGGGAGGGATTGTATCCAGCCTAAAAGCAATAACTGTCTGGAAGCACTCAGTGATGCTCAAAGGCCAGCAACCTTCAGCATTGATGGAAGTTGACCTAGTAGCAAAAGATAACGTATGCATCTTGCATTCTTGCTTGAGCTACCTTCCATACCTTAGGAGGTCCTAAGGTATAGATATGTTTTCTACCATACCACCAAATCCTGCAGCCCAAAGGGTGTTATCTGTCCGTAGGCTTTGAGATGTCTTGATCCAATTAGGTCCAGCTAATGTCAGAGAAACCCAAGATAAAAAGGGCTTGTGGGTAATTAGCACCTTGTCACCAGTTAACTGGTTCCTCTCTAGCTGTTGACGGGTCTCTGAAGTGGCTGTTGCAGAGAGGTGAAGGCCCATTCCTGAGAAGTGAGCTAACCAAAGCACCACCCAGGGCAATGTTGGTCTGGCTAATAACTGCTGAGCCTTCATCTATCAAGGGGGCTCATGCAGCTGTCTCTGTTGGCACCAGTTATTAGAAAGCAGGCATATATGGATTAGGACTGGCTAACTTCAGCGGAACCCTGCCCTGGCTGGATTGTGCTATCTGCCTGCCACTTGATCCCACGCTCTCCTTCAGGCTGCAAAAGACTTTTTCCTTTTTGAAGCTAGGACTTTAGTTGGTTCTTTTACTTAGCTTCACTGCATGCGTTTGACGGAGGGGAAGGGAGTACAGTGCTGATGTTTTCTGACAAAGGAAGAAGGACGACAGCTGAAAGCTGTACAACAAGAGGCATCTTTGTCCTTGGTCCTGGATAAACAGGTTTTGCCGGCTCTTCAAAAACCTCCCCAACCTGTTTGATCAGTCACCTGTGGGTCAAAAATGAATGTGTATGTATGCTGAAGAAAAGAATGACTTATTAAAAACCATCCATTTCCCCACAGGCCTCTTTTGGTTACTGGGAGAAGAGAATGATAGACTAAACGAGCCATTGGCTTGACCCAGCAGGGCTTTTCTTGTGTTCCGCTTCTGTTCTTGGAAACAAAACAAAAAGCTGCTAATTGAGTCTGCATTTGCCCAAACAGTGGCCATCAGCACTGAGTGTCTGTGCAAACATTACTCAAGGAGGGATTTAAATTCTGAGTTGTTCGTAACCTTGGTAAAGCTCTATCTGGACTGTACCATGTTAGACTGGTGGGGCCCCCCATGATCAAATGCCACACATAGTCAGAGGTAAGAGTACCTGCTTTTTATGCAAAAGGTCCCAGGTTCAGTCCTTGACATCTTCAGGTAGGACTGGGAATGTCCCCCGCTAGAAACGCTGGAGAGCTGCTGCCAGTCAGTGTAGAATGTGTGAGCTAGATGGACCAGCGGCCTGATAACACAACTCCTTAATGGTCATCCACATGATACAAATCCCAATACGAATCCCAATATATTAGGGCAATATTCCTCCAGGAATTTTAAAAGTTGCATTGTTTTTATATAGGGCTGCTTCCAGGCTGTCTGTAGTTTGCGGGAGTGATTGAGTCACATACCAGAACTTCAGGTTTGCACATTCAACGTGGATTAAAGAGCTCTGGTGCTCTAGCACAACAAATAAACTTTTAAAAATTGCAACTCTTTTTGCTGTTTGAAAAGTGATGGAGAAATGCTTTGAAAAGAGTGGATGAATAACTAATGGCAAGGCATATAAATACCCAGCAAATAAATCAGGATGAACATGGGGTGAATGCTGCTTGCCGTATAACATCCCTGTAGACAAATCACCAGTAAGCACCATATGTACATGTGTACACATTACTGGCTTAAAGGGCAGCAAAATCATTGCCCCCTCAGTGTGTTTCACATTGCATTTGCATGTTGTCAAATGCATCAGTGCAGTTGAATGTTTTTCAAAGTCACCCAATTTTTGCCCATACCAGTGGGTGGAGAGATGGTGTGGATGTCTTCATATGGCTTCTGTTTTCAAATTGGATCAAGTATGGTTGTGGGGGCATGTAAAGATTTAGCATATAAAGGCTAATGGGCATGTAAAGATTTGTGTCCAGGTTGAGAAGGAAAAGCAAGAGCTGTACAAGCAGCTGAGTTCAAAGAATTAGGAAGGGGGGGGTGTACTTGCAGCTCAGCTGCAGGACTTGACTTTCACCCAAGTCTGGTAACCTCTACTTTTGGGGCTCAAATTAAGTTAGCACCTTCTTAAGCCACTTAGCTGGGTTAATCACAATGCTGGATGTGGAGGAGATTAGCCATAGTTTGTTTTTAAGCCCCCTCATTGACTCCTCTCCAGGGTTGTAAGCAGAGAGTCTGGGTTGCAGTAATCAAACCTTAAATCCTTGGCTGGCATGGAGACTGTACAACAAACACACACCCCAGACCACTTGTCCTTTAGGAAAGGCATCTGTGATGAATTTAGGGTTGCCAGCTTTTTGGTTTTGAGACTGTTACCTCTCCCTTGATCTGAGCTGGCTCTTGGTTTTAGGGGGCTTGAGAAAATTGGAACATAGGAAGTTGCCTTATTGGTCCATCTAGCTCAATGCTTCCCAGTCAGGGGCTATATGGCACTTGGGGGGGCCCAGGATATGCCAAGGGGGCCCCAGGTGAAAATCACATAAATAGGGGGCCACAGCACAAGGCTAGGTGGCGTCAGAGGGAAGTGAGAAGGGGAAAGGGAAAAAGCATTTTTTTTAAAAATCCTGATTGGCTGGCTATGGGGGGGTGGGTCACCAGGGCCTAGTGCTCCTTTCTGCCATGTGCATTTTCTTGGAGCAGTTTGTTTCCAGCGGGAAACGGTGATCGCTGAGGCTCCAGTTCTGACTGGTAGAGTCCGCGATCCAGAACCCCCAGGTCAGGTAAGTGTAGTGGTAGGGTAGCAATGGGTAGGGCTGGGTGAGCCAGAGCTGCTTGTTACTGCTGCCAGTGCTGGGCCCGTTGGCAGAGTCTGCCCGGCTCTGCAAGGCGTGGGGTGAAATCCACCCCAGTACTCAGCCAAGTGGGTTTGTCTGGTGCTGCTGACTTGCATCTAGTAAATAGCTGTCTACTCAGAAGAAAGCAGCACTGAGGTCAGTGGGCCTTACTCCCAGGTAAGGGTGTGTGGGGCTATAGTGTTTTATCTAGGAAGCCAGGGCTCCTCCACATGACAATATCTTTTCGCACCAGGTCGGTGAGGACCATTTGCTTTTTAAAATTCTCCCAGAGATACAGAACTCCGTGTGTACCTTTTGGACTATATCTGGAGGTTTACTATATCTGTGTCAAATAACTGGGGTCAAATAAGTGTTGTTTAATTTTTATAATACATGGAAGATGGATCTCTCTCGCAAGGTTTTAGACTCTCCTTCCTTGGAGGTTTCTAAGCAGAGGTTGGATGGCCATCTGTCATGGATGCTTTAGCTGAGTTTCCTACATTGCAGGAGGTTGTACTAGAAAGATCACCCTTGGTGTCCCTTCTAGCTCCATGATTCTGTTTTTCTGCTTCAGCAATATTTCATTATGTTCCTATCATTTTATGTAATTATATTTTGTATAAATTATAAAAATTATAAATAAAACATCTATTTACAAACAGAACATTTAAATAGCTACCTTTCTACTGGTAGGACGGGGTTGCATGGGTGTAGCCAGGATTTTTGTTAGGGGGCAGAACCTCAGATTTGTATTGATTTTTACTTATGGGGGGGCAGCTTCTCCCCTGCCCCCAGGCTACGCCCATGGGGGACCACAGGAAGGAAACAAGGTCGGAAGGGGGCCACGGTCAGGAAAAGGTTGGGGAACGGTGATCTAGCTCACTATGATCTGCACTGACTGACATCACATGAAAGTAGCACCACGTGTGAAATTCAGTACAGTGGAACCTTGGGTTGCGGACGTAATCCGTGACGGAGGCACGTCCGCACCCTGCAGCATTCGTAACCTGCAGCACTGCGTCTGCACATGCGCGTGACGCGATTTGGTGTTTCTGCGCATGCGTGAAGCATGATTTAGCATTTCTGCACATGCATGACTGGAGAAACCCAGACGTAACCCTTTCAGGTACTTCTGGGTTCCCCGCGGTCCGCAACCTGAAAACACGTAACCTGAAGCGTTTGTAACCCGAGGTGCCACTGTAATTGCAGTTCAGCAGGCAACACATTAATGAATGGAGTCCAGTGGTGTTTGGCTTTTAGACTCCTAACTGAAGGCCACATTCACACCACTTTAAGCAGTCATGGCTTCCCTCAAAGAATCCTTGTCAAGGGTACTGAGAGTTGCTGGGGGGGTTGCCGTTCCCGTCCCAAAGCTACAATTCCCAGAGTGGTTTAACAATCAGTCCCTCTTCATAGAGGACTCGGGGATGTAGCTCTGTGAGCGATGTAGCTCTGTGAGCGGAATAGGGAATCTCCGAACAACTCTCAGCACCCTTGGCAAGCTGTATTTCCCAGGATACTTCGGGGGAAGCCATGACTGTTTAAAATGGGATCATTTTAAATGTACAGTTAGTTCTAAACTCAGTTTTACCAGTTGGGAAGCCAGTACAAAAAAGAAAAAGATTGCTGGTTCTTTTGGCCCCCTTCTTCCGTTTTCAAAAGCTTTTCATTAAATTAAATCACCAAAAGAACTTATGCAACCCAAATGAGAAATGACTTGAAATTACATGGCAATTAACCAAAATAAAGTCATTATAAAAATAACAACCAAACATACATTTATTACATGCCGTTAGTCTTATTATTTCATATGATTTACATACCGCTTGACTGTAGAAAAAAGCCTCAGTGCAGTTTACAGAAAGGATAAAGCAGTAAAAGTGTCACTAAAAGTTTACAACCATAATTTAAAACATGCAGAAAGTTAAAACCACCGTAGATTAGAATAAAACAAATTAAAGCTCATATGAACTTTCTAAATATATGGGTAGGCTTGTCTAAATAAGAATGTCTGTGCCATGTGCCGAAAAGAATACAGTGAAGGCACCTGCCTGATATCAATACGCAGGGAGTTCCAAAGGGTTGGTGCTGTCACACTAAAAAATAAATTCTTACAATGAACTGAAAAAGGTATTTAAATATACCTTCTTGAAGAAACCAGAGGCCTTTCTCCTGGGCATAGTCGGCCAATTGGTGTTAAAAAAGGATGGAACTTTCTTTATGTACACAACAACAGCAGCAAGAATACTCATCGCAAAGTATTGGAAGACACAAGAGCTACCCACACTGGAGGAATGGCAGACGAAACTGATGGACTATATGGAACTGGTGGAAATGACTGGTAGAATCCGTGACCAGGGAGAAGAGTCGGTGGAAGAAGATTGGAAGAAATTCAAAGATTATCTGCAGAAACATTGCAAAATTAAAGAATGTTAGAGTGATGTTGGATTGAAATTAAGTGGCTTCTAGCTGTACAGGCTTTAAAGTTATATATAGATCAAGATTAAGGATTAGGATTAAAAAAAAAGTTAAAAGAAATGGAAAATTGGTTTTTAATAGGTAAAAATTTAATGTTATATTATATTAAGATTAAAGATTGGGATTAAAAAAAGGGGGAAAGAAATTGCTGGACAAACAAATTGAACTGGAATACAAAAGAGGGAGATGAGGAGGTCCAGAAAATAAGTAAATTTAAAAGTGGCGATGAAAAGGTGATATTGTTCTTAACTGTTTTTTTTTTTGTTTTTTGTACTGTGTATTGTGTATTTTTGTATTGTGTATTTTTCTTTTTTACTTTTAATTCTTTTTTATTGATGTGTCCTTTTTTATTGGAAACTTTAATAAATATCATTTAAAAAAAATAAAAATAAATTCTTACAGATGAGGTGCAAGTATTATGTGGCGCTTATAAACATACTGATTCCTTCAGTACAGCATATTCCAGGGCAGCATACAACGATTTAAAATACAGTATTAAAATTAGTTAAAACAAATTACATTCATAGCAAATAGTCACAAAAGAAAAAAATTGTGTCAAAACACATTGGGTCCTATTCCACTAACTTTTACTCACAGCAGGCCCATTAAAATTAATGGATCTCACTTTGTCATGTTCATTAATTTCAATGAGCCTACTCTGAGTAAACGTTTGTTGAATGCCATTTTAAAAAAAACAAAACACCTGGCTGGTTCTGAAGGATTTGATCTCCTGTTGTGATGAGCCATTTTTGACTTTTTAGTTATTATTATTATCTTAATAAAAATGCTATATTTCTAACCTTTTTTTTTTTTTTGCAGAACCTCACCAACCAGGAAAATGAGAAGGAAAATTTTGACCAGCGTTTCCCAAACCTGTTCAAGAAGGGAAGGAGGAAGACTGTGGTGCGGAACCTGGGGAAGATTATCTATTACTCCAAGGTCAAGTTTAAATTTCAGCAGTGTCAGGTGAGCTCGCAGAGGAGGAAAGGCAGATGCCAAAAGTTGCTTTGAGAGAAGGAACGTCAGGGCGCCGTAGATACAAAATTCTAAACTATACATTTACAGCACTATCATGCCATTTTAAACAGCCATGGCTTCTTCCAAAGAATGATGGGAACTATAGCTTGTGCTGAGAGTGGTTAGGGTGCCCTTATTCTTATCACAGAGCTACAATTCTGAGTTGCCTGGGAAGAAGGATTGATTACTAAACCACTCTGGGAGAGGAATGGAGTCTCCTAACAACTCTCAGCACCCTTAGCAAATGACAGTTCCCAGAATACTTTGGAGGAAGCTATGATTGTTCAAGACAGCATGGTACCACTTTCAGCATATAGCACAGATGGAGCTTAAATTTCTGAATGGCCAGTCTAGTGCCTGTTAGTTTATTATATTCTTGCAAAGGATGCAGGACTGTGTGGGCTTTGAATCTGATCCAGCAAGGCATTGCTTAAGCAGTGGTGCAGAATCAGGATCACTTAATCAACTAGGATGTCCTGAGCTTGACCCTCTTGCCCTGTATGTTTAATACACAACATTGGGCCATGGAGACTAATGTATTAAGGCCACACCATACATTTTAAACACTGCCCTTTTCTCCTCCTTTCTGTTGAATTCTGTATAGTTTCTTCCTTCTCTTTATGCTATTAGAGCGTTAAATTTTTACTAATTTTAAGTCTCCTTCAGTCCCAGAAGGCATTTTTGAAGTACATAATGTTAAAGATCTCTGTCCCCTGGAAATACATTTTTTTAATGTGTTCATTCTGTTGTAGGAGATGAACGACTGCTACCTGGAGCTCTTTCAAGCATACCTCTATTTTCAATCCCTCGGTCCAAATGGACTCACCTATCAGGTAAAGGATGGCAGACTCTTAACACATCATAAGAATGCAAGATGAGCCTGCTGGATCAGGCCAGCGGCCCTTCTAGCGCAGCATCCTGTTCTCACAGTGGCTGACCTTTGGGAAGTTTTGCAAGCTGGACATGAGCGCAGCAACACTCTGCCCACCAGCAATTCACAGCAACTGGTATTCAGAGGCATAAATCTGAATAAATAAATCATTTCTGAGTTCCCTCTGCCAGAGATGCAGATAAACAATTCCTGCAATGACTTACTCTTTCCCTTGGTTATCCAAGGCAAATGAGTTTGTCACTGCATGCTTGTGAATCATGCAGCAAACCAAGACAAGGGAAAAAGCACTTTTGGATCTCAAAGCCTCTTGCCTTTGCGGGTGCATTCAGGGCGTGAAACCTCCCCAGACCTCTCTTGACATTGCTGAATCATGCCTTTTCCATTCTGTCTGGTCCTGGCCTTCCAAATAACCACTGTAAAGTGGATTGACCTGTCTTTGCACAGAGGGTAGCTGTTTTGAGAATTATTTCTTCTGTGAACCCATGGGAGAGCAATCCCAGTGTATTGTGGGGAATTTACTTGAGAATTAATTTTTTGTATCCTGTGCTTTCATTTGAAATTGCCATTAGGGTTATTTCTGTTTATATTGACCCACAGACCATAAACATCAAATGACAGCATAGGTGGCGAACCTCATGCCCAAGCTTCAAAAGGGCCTCTCTATCTGACCCTCAGAATTCTTCCACACCATATCGCTCAGTGGCCCTGCTTAGCAGCCCAAGTATTTTTGCCTGGCTAAAATGTGTGCTTGAACTCTGATAAGGTGGAGGATAGAGAACCTACTTTGCAAAAGTAGCATTTACAGGCTACTATTTTTGCTTCTGGCCCCACCCACCATTGGACCAGTCCCTTGGAAGGTTGCCCCAAACAGAATGTGGCCCTCAGGCTGAAAATGGGTCTCCACCCCCTCCCACCCAGTGCAGCCAACATTGAGCTAGACAGACCAGTGGTCTGACTCTGTATAAGGTAGCTTTCAATGTCCTCCAGGCTGAATCACAATGAGTCACCTGTTGCAAAGAGTCCATAACAGTTTTATTTGCTCCCCTACTGTTTGTGTCAATTAGGCCTCCTTCTTGGGTAGCATCAGGTCATTATTCAAATAGATACCATCGTGGGAATAACTCATGTGTCTGGTTTGCACAGAATGGCCTGGTTTGCACAGAACACTAGCCAGACCATGGCTAAGCATGAGTGAGCAAGCGTGCAGGTACTCAAAGCTAAAAATCGCAGCCGCTTTGCTCCTGCCTCTGACTTGATTGGTATAGTTAATCTGGCTTCACAAAGGCAGGTCCCTGTCTCCAGCATCTTAGAGCTGTGTTAGAAAAATGGTATACAGAACCCTAGAGATGCCCGATCAGCACGGAAGGGGAGCTTTTCAGCCCCTGTGTTCTCCAAAGCTAAGCTTTTGGGAAAACTGAAAGCGGCCAGGTGCTTCAGTTTCAAGATAATTGTATCCTAATTCTGTTAACATGCAGTGGAATATATTGGAGCACTCCAAATCATTTGCTCATACACATGAAAATAATAGATCTAGCAGAATGGCAACACTTGGAGATCTGCATTGATTGTTGCATAGCATCCCTAATTGTATAATTGTAAGATTTATTGTATAATCCAAGAAGGGGTGTGGCTGCGTCTATCATGAAAGGGATTGTGTACTTCTGAATTTGCCACTACACTACTGCCCACTGTGCTGCTTAGCTTGCCTGCAGTTTTGCTCCAGGCAAGCTATGAACTGTAACCAGAGTTTTTCTTGGTTTGCTGCTTATGGTTTGTCTGGAGAAGATAAAAAACTATGAGCCCAGTTTGGGATGTAATACTAAGCCAAATCATTGTTTAGCTCCAGGTAGCAAGGCAGCAGCAGGACTGGGGAAGGAGTAAGGCAGTCACAGTTTTTGCTCTGACTACACGCCGCCCCCCACTTGTTCACACCTAGCTGTGATTTGGGCTAGAGTTACACAGGAACTGGGCCAGTCGTTACATCTGTACCATATATTTAAAGCATCCTATGCCACTTCAACAGTCCTGGCTTCCCCCAAAGAATGCTGGGAACTGTAGTTTGTTCAGGATCTCCTAACAACCCTCAGCACCCTTAGTAAAGGTAAAGGGACCCCTGACCATTAGGTCCAGTCGTGGCCGACTCTGGGGTTGCGGCGCTCATCTTGCTTTATTGGCCGAAGGAGCTGGCGTTTGTCCACAGACAGCTTCCAGGTCATGTGGCCACCATGACTAAGCTGCTTCTGGCGAACCAGAGCAGCGCACGGAAATGCCGTTTACCTTCCCGCCGGAGCGGTACCTATTTATCTACTTGCACTTTGACGTGCTTTCAAACTGCTAGGTTGGCAGGAGCTGGGACCCAGCAACGGGAGCTCACCCCGTCGTGGGGATTCGAACTGCTGACCTTCTGATCGGCAAGTTCTAGGCTCTGTGGTTTAACCCACAGTGCCACCCTCAGCACCCTTAATATGCTGCAATTGCCAGGATGCTTTGTTGGAAATTGTTGTTGTTAGCACCCATCTGTTTCGAGAGACAATGGAGTACACCTCTGGGGGTGAAGTCAAACCGCTGCATCAGCAGCACTGAAGTGCCCTTTCCGGGGAGGGGGGCAAGCCTGGGCAGTGTGTATGGAGGCCTTGGGCTGCCCAGACAACAAGACCCCCCTCTCGGTCTCACTGATGGCGGCCCAAAGGAAAGCAGAGCATATGTTTAGCACCAGCTTGTGCTGCAGGAGTTGCTGGAAGGAGGTGTACAAGGCGCCATCCAACCAAAGCCTGAATCCATTCTGATACACTTCTGGATTTAAAAGGGGAGTTTTGGTAAACACAGTTGGGTTGACAGATATAAGATTGTTACATTCTCTTTTCACAGGGCTTGGTGCCTCTGAGAGAAATTCAGCTGAACGAGCTTGAAAACCCAAAGGGCGCCCAACAGGAGATGCATGCCTTTCAAATTACAGGTGAGAGCAAGCCACTCTTTGACGTACCTATTTTTGGGATGACGTCATTTTCTGTGGTGACTGTGGGATGAATGCTTTCCTTAGGAGGTGCTTTTTCTTAAGTGGGAGGGAATAGATGGTGGTGGTGAAATGCTTTTGCAGTGCAAAGTGGGAACCTGCAGAATAGCTGATGTCAGTAGGGCTGAAAAGGGTGTGTGTCGGGGCAATTTGGGGTTGTGCTGCAAAACTTTTGCAATTGTGAAACGAGCCAAACCAAAAATAGCTTACCACCCAAGGACTGTAGGGAAGGAGATGTATTTCTGATATTTGGGGCCTAAGTCATTTAGGGCTTTAAACACTTACATGAGCACCTTAAATTGGTCCCGGCAGGTTCTTTCTAACTGCCTTATGTTCCTAGCCAACCTTTTAACTTTGACCCCCACCGGCCACTTTTAAACTATGCTATATCTCCTCTAAACCCCACAAATTGAGAGCTACTATTTTAGGGCTTATTCACACTTCCTTTTTACCCCGTCCTTTCTAGGCACAGGTCCACCCAAATGCTGCTTTGTTGTTTTTTTGCCCTGCCCCTTTTCCCAGAAAAACCACTCTTTGATGCTGAATCAGAACAAATGGCAATTTGGGTTTTCTGCTGGCTGTCGTTTGCTTCGATTCAGTGGCAAAGAATGGGTTTTCACAGGAAAGCATTGGGGCAAAAATAAAAGTGTTGAAACGTGGAGCTTTACAGAGCAGGCCTGTGCCTAGAAATGCGGCAGAAAAGGAAGTCTGGATGGGCCTTTAGTTTGGACATGTTGGCCCTCTCCAAAGACATAGGCATTGAATTCCAGCTGCTGTTGCCAAAACACATCTGGCCTGGAAGCACGTAGGCAGGCAGTGCCAAGACACCCACTCATCGGCCTTTGTCTGAGTCCACAATCTTTATCGGGTTCTCTTTCTCTGACTACCTCCTGCTTTTAAACAATCATTCTTGGTAGCTGAGCAGCAGTTGCTGCAATTCAGGAATGACTAAGCCCTTGGAGCCACTGAACAGACAGGTTGCTGTCCCAGGAAGGGTTGGCTGACTGACACGGCCACATAACTTGGCTGTCCTGATAGCATCTGCTTGTAGTCTTGTTAGTCTAGGGGTATGATTCTTGCTTTGGGTATGAGAGCTCCTGGGTTCAAATCCCAGGTGAGCCCCTGGGAAAGGGAAGTCACGCTTCTTGGGGAGGGAACATAGCTCAGTGGTAGAGCATCTGCCTTGCATGCAAAAGGTCCGAGGTTCAGTCCCCAGCAACTCCAGGTAGGCAGGGAATGCCCCTTGCCTGAAAACGTGGAGAGTTGCTGCCGATCTACACTGAGAATACTAAGGCAAGCTGGTGCAGAATGTGGCAGCCAGACTGCTGATGGGGGCACCTGGCTGACAAGGGAGACACCATTGTTAAATAACTTCACTGACTATCCATCTACCCAGTTAGGTTCAAAGCCCTCACATTAATAAACAAAGCCCTGAGTAGCTCAGGTCTAGGGTACCTTAAAGACCACCTGAGCTCTTATATCCCAGCTTGATCACTGAGGTCATTGGTTGTTCCCTGAGTTGGTGAGGCTCATTTGACAACAACAAATAATTGAGCCTTTACTGTCATCAGCCCAGTATTATGAAACACTCTGCCAATAAATATTCAGCAGGCGTCCTCTGTTTCAACATTTAAATGCCTGCTGAATTTTTTTTTTATTCCATCAGGCTTATGCAGTCAATTAAGTACACATATTTCCATAATGGTTAGCTGATTTCTGAGTTTTAACTTTTTTGTGTAGCTTTTATTTTATGGCTTCATATATAATTCTTTAACCACTCTGATTATTATTTTTTAAATGAATAGTGGAATATAAATACTTTTAAACAAACAAACAAACTGTAGTTTACCCCTCACAGATCTACAGTTCCCCAATGCTCTTAGCAAACTACATTTCCCAAGATTATTTGGGAGAAGTCATGTGCTTTTAAATTGTATGGTCTGTATGCAGCCTCTGTCTTATTTCCAAATTCAAACAGGTCATGGAGAGACTCTACTACATGTTAAGGCAGGGAGAAGAATCCATTTTTGAGCTTTGGGAGGGAGGAGCAGGGGTGGAGAGATGACGTCACACTACCTACATAGGTTTTGAGTCACTAGGCTGCAGCAGCTTGCCCAAATTCAGGAATCATCTTGATATGCAAAATGGGCTTGAGAAACTGGGTACAGTCTGAGGTTTTGCAGGCACTGTGTTAATAAGCATCTGGGCTCATCGAGAGGGTGTGAACTTTTCCCCTCTGCAATCTAAAAAATCACAAGGCATACCTCCTCCTCCTCCCCTTAAGGGCAATTCAATTGAAAAAGAAAGTTAGAAAATGAAAATGAAGGGGGGGGCGGGGCACTGTTCTCATTTCCCTAGCAGAAAAAGAAAAGTTCACCTGAGAAGTTCCAGGGATGAAAGGAGAATAGTTCTATTCTGCTAGCCTTGAGGTAGGTTGGGAAGATGAGCAGACAACTGCAGTAGCTCAGTCAGTAGAGCATGAGACTCTTAATCTCAGGATTATGGGTTCAAGCCCCACGTTGAGCAGAAAGATTCCTGCATTGCAGTGGGTTGGACTAGATGACCCCCTTGGTCCCCTTCCATCTCTAATATTCCATAACTATTATCTCCAGGTGAAGCAGGAAAAATCTCACAACAAACCTGTGAAATAGGCTAGGCGGTGAGAAAGCAGCTGACCCAAGAGCACACAGTGAGCTTAATGGTTGAGTGAGGATTTGCACCCAGGTCTTGCCAGAAGGAGAGCAGATCTATGACTGGGAGTTATTTTTACCATGGCCTTGTTATGGTATAATACCATAATGTTGTGTTGTGCTGTAGTGTAACAAAAATCATAATAAAAACGCTTAAGGAAAATAAGGCTAACGGGACAACTCCCCACTGAAAAAATAACCAAAACAAAACCCTAAGTAGCTCAGTGATGGCTCAGCATGTTCAGTTGCCACAGAATACTGAGCATCTGTTAGGTGGAGAATGGAATGGAGTATATTGGAAAGAGCACAACTAGTTGGTGGGCTGGAACACTGAACGGGAACACTATGCCGCAACATTTTGCTGAAGTTCTCACATTTCTAACCGGTGCCGATACATCGAGAGAATTTATATACTCTTGTAAGGCAAAGCATTGCAGCAGTACAGCAGACACATACCCCCACTTCTCTCTGCTTCAATTCCCCAGTTGGCACCACATAAAGTGAATTGTTTTTTTCCCCTGACTCCCAAAGATATTGCAAAGCCAAATTAATCAGTGTTTTCGCTGAGCACGCTGCCACAGAAACCTCCCCAGAAGGCCAAAGTACTCATTCTGCTGATAATGATTTGTTATGACGGCTTGCTGAGTGTCAGCTTATCGCAAGGCTCCAAGCACTGCCATTCAGGTCGTTTCAAAGCGTGCCTGGTATTTGTTTTAACAAGAGGCGGGGCAATGAATGAAGGGTAGCTGAGCATCGGTCAGACTGGAAGTGGGAGGTTAATATTGCTCTGGTGCTTATCGTAATGACCGGACAAGGGTGTGTGAGCGGCTGCAGCAGGCAGAGGCAGCTGGGAGGATAGGATCCAACTCCAGCCAGGCATTTAGTGGTGGATTTATACTGGATCACCCACGCATCATTTGATTCTTACCCAATGCTACCACATTACTGCCACATGGAAGAGCATACTTAGGCTATAATTCAACAAAGGCTGCTGCATACTCTTGTTTACTGTGTACAAACACATTAGCCACAGTCCACATCTACCCTATAGTTTCTTGAGAAATACTGTGTTTTGGTGCGTTTCTCCCTCCCCCTCCCCCAAACCAGTTTTCATCCAGTTTGGAAAAATAAGCCATATGGAGACATCCTTGGCCCCCTTTTCACCTGCCGGTGTGGACCAACAGTGGACAACATGGAAATGTAGCAGACCGTACCGAGGTGTTCAAAGGGCATGCAAATGCTATGTGAAAGGCAGCATTAAAAAGAAACCTTGCTGTGTTTTAAACCAGTTATGTGTGCTCAGCTAAAAACAAATGTGGTGTGAAAGTTGTGGTATGGAAATGTTACAGGCTTTCAGCAGGAAGCTACAGATATGCCATGACTTGTTTATAAAGTGGTATCACAGTGTTTTGCATGCATGGTTATGAATGTGGCCCGGTCCTGATTCTCAGTATGCAGGGAGATTGGAATGTGATGGATCCTGCAGTTATGCAACTTGTGCAGATGTAATGGTAATAGTGCAAGCCAGGAAGTGCTCTACCATGTAATTTCCTGAGTTTATTATCTCAGTGGGCGCCTCTGGACAACCTGATTATTGAACCTTAATCCTGATTTGTTTGCAGAGAGGCTTGACAACTTGGGCTACCTAATGAGCAATCTTATTCTGATTTGCTGGTGGGGAGGTTAGACAGCATTGCAGCAAAGCAAGAGTTACCCTTAGTTACCATTACACTTTCCAGTCTGTAAGAACATAAGAAGAGCCTGTCGGATCAGTTGGCCACTGTGGAAAAAGGATGCTGGGCTAGGTGATCCACTGGCCCGATCAGGCAGGCTCTTCTTAGGTTCTCAAGTCCAGCATCCTGTTCTCACAGTGGCCAGCCAGGTGCCCCAATGTGAAACCCAAATGCAGGACCTGAGTGCAACAACCACTTCCCCCTCCTGTGCTTTCCAGCTACTGATATTCAGAAGCATTGCTGCCTCCACCAGAGAGATAGAACATAGCCACCAGGGCTGGCAGCCATTGCTAGCCTTTTCCTCCCATGAAATTTGTCTAATCCCCTTTTAAAGCCATCCAAGTTGCAATTTTCTGTCACTTCTCTTATCGTAAAAAGTCTGATTTTTCTGCGGGGTGGGCTCCCAACCAGCTGTAATTTGCAGCCTAAATTTTCATTATTATTTTCAAATTTTATTTATTTATTTATTTTGTTTAAGTAAGTAATACAGAAAAAACTGTAGGGATGCAGGTGGCGCTGTGGGTTAAACCACAGAGCCTAGAGTCAGTCACGACTGGACCTAATGGTCCTTTACCTTTTACAGAAAAAAACAACAACAAAAAAGAAAGAAAAATAGAGAATTTTCTGGTACATGATTGAACCCCGCTCAGAAATAGTAACCGCCTGGAAGTGCCACACCTTATCATCAAGCTTAGCTTCTCCCCAAGGTCCCTCGGAAGGGTTTTTTAAGACCATCCTGCCCGCGTCTTGCATTGTATGTTCAACCTGTTAACGTGCCTTCCTTGTGTCCTTTGCCTTTCTAGGTCCCTTGCTGAACCCCCTGACAGTCTACTGCCCCAACAGGTCTGAGTTGAAGCGCTGGCTCTACCACTTGGAGAAGCAGATCCATCTAAATGGAGGGAGCTTCGACATGCCTTTCCTTGCTCAGGTGAGTGCTTTGGGGATGGCCTGCATGCCAGCAGGGTGAACATGTAAAAATCGGAGTGACGGCCGGAGATTATAATTCCTGTTCTAATCCAACCTCTCCTCCCTTGCCCTGACATTGATCTGACTGTAGAATCTCACAAACAGCAAGATGAGTTTGATGGGTTGCTGAATTACACACCCAGATAACAAGATCTCTGCTTAGGTGTAAGTTTGTTGCTAGGTACGTAGAGGACTTTTGGCACAAATTTATATACAGTCTGTATATGTTAATTTATACATGTAAATGCAATTTTGTGTGTGTGTGTGTGTGTGTGTGTGTGTTGGGGGGGAGACCTCTAGTTCTTTCTGTCAGGGCTCACTCCAAGCTATGGGGTGCCAGCAGAATTTTCTGGGCCCAGTATTTATGTACACATTAAAATCAAAGCAAGTCTTGTCCAACGTCTAACATGGCCTAAGCCACAAAGGGCTGTAGCTCTGTGGCAGAGCATCTGCTTTGCATGCAGAAGGTCCCTGGTTCAGTCTCCAACATCTCCAAGTAGGGATAGGAATGTCCCCTGCTTGAAAACCCTGGAGAGCTGCTGCCAGTCAGTGTATACAATACTGAACCAGAGGGACCAGTGATCTCTTTTCTCTTTCTCTCTTTTCTGCCTTTCTCCATCAATCTATTATGTGCACCTACAACCCCCCTGTCATCAGTCAATAACATCCACAGGAGATCTGGGTTCTGACACAAAAGAGTTGGGGCTAGCCCCCACAATGCCCATGTTCTGCAGGAACAGTGGAATAAGAAACAGGCTTATCAGTGCTGCTCCCAGTCTGTATTGTAGGGTTGGGGAGTCTCTGGCTTGTGGGCCAGTCTTGGTCTGCTAGTGGGTGCAGTTTGGCTTGCAAGGGCATTTCCCCAAACCATGCCCAAGAGTGGACATCAAAGTTGGCTGCAGGTTGTGTGGGGGCTGATAAAGATCTAGCCCACTAAGCCAAAAAAAAAAAGTTGCTGTATTGGATTTGTAATTGATTTTTTAAATGAAATGGGGTTTTTTAAACTGTGGTTATATATGGAATTGCTTTTATGTTTCTGTGTACATTGAATTGTTCAACCACAGGGAACTGTTTTTAAACTGTTCCCACATATGGAATTGCTTTTAATTGTTTGTTGTGGGTGTCTTTACTGTGACATTGCTTTGGGATATTTTATGGGAAGTGATTCATAAAACAGAATCAAATAAATAAACAAATACTTCCTAGTAAAGCTAACAAAGTGCTGAAAATGTCTGTCTGGAACACCCAAGGCAGCTCATTCCGCACCCGATTTGAAACCCCTTGCAACTCCCTTACCCCCCTGCTGCCCCGCTGCCTCCTGTGCCACAAGCACAGCCCTTTTCTGGGTGGGGATCCGAGGGGTTTTTATCTTTTCCTGAAACAAAGGCTTAGTCAGCGTGGGAAATGATGAGTTAGCAAGGCAAACTGGAAACCAGCCCGGAACCAGCAGCTGTGAGGTGCGGGTGGTGAGGGAGGAAAGACTCAAACACAGGTGAGGCCTGATGGTTTTGTTTTTGCCCCTGTAAATACCTTAGCAGAAAAACTCTTCTGTGCTGTGAAACTGGCTTCTTTCGGTCTGTTTCCCAGGGTGAGCAATCCTTTCCCGGATAGTATCTGGGGAGGGAGAGAAAGAGAGAGGGAGCAGGTTAATGGGGGGGGGGTTGGTTTCCCCCCATTCCTCACTATTTCCAGTCTGGCTCTGGACAGCTCAGTCTTTGTTGCAGTTGCTGCTTCCGTAGCTGTATAAAGGGGGAAATGTTCCAGGTTGAAAAGCATTGACAAATAGTTTGTCAAAAGAATTTGAAGCGGAAACCAGGATAACTGGTTTTAGATCCTATTTATTTCTCTCGAGTGTCTTTTTAGGGAAGTCAGTCGACAGTGGGCAGGTAGCGACTGTCTGTGGCATGCTAGCCATACAGTATCTCAAAGTATGTTTCCCCCAAAATGTTCTAACTACAGTGAAACAGAAAATGGAATATATGCTTTTTTTAAAAGAAAGAGCGTAATGCAGTAATAATGGCAGATACACTTGGTCTCGAACGCCTGCCTGGGTATCTCTTAAATAGTGAAACAGCTCAGATGCACAACTCACATCTACCAGAAGCATCTCTGCGTTCAGAATTGTGGGCCCAGTTTTACAGAACACCCTCCTAGTTGAGATCAGACAGACTCCCTCCCTCCCTTTTGAACTTCCGACGCCCACTGAAGATCTTTTTTTGTTGTTACCGTACCAGTAGGCATTTCAACTGAAGTCCAATTTCATCGTTTTAACTTATTTTTACCTTTTCTGTAGTATATTTCTTGTACGCAGCTTAGAGGCGATTGCAGTTTAGCAGAACATATTTTTTTAAAGTAAATAAAAAATGTAAAAACCAATCAGTTCATAATTTCATATCGCTTGACATCTATGATCCCTAAATGGTTTATCTTAACACCAAAATATATTTACCACAAAAAATCAATAAAACAATAAATAAATAACAGAACGGCACATTAAAACTTTACAGTCTGGAGAAATGCTGCAAAAAATGTGGGGCCCCCCCAGTGGTGTTTAAAAGCAACCATTATTTGCGGCTGCCGAGCATGTTCCTGAGGGCAGGTGCCACCACCAAAAAGGCCCCACTTCTGCAGTGCCGTAAGGCCCAGAAGCTACAGCTGGTCAGGGGGGGAAATGCTGCAGCCACATTGTTGCTGGGGACAAACTATTGCCAGCCCAAAGCACCAGTTCTCAAAAGCTTGCCCTGGCTGACTATAATAAATTCTTGTATTAATATGCAATACCCTTAATGGCTTGGGTGCAGGATACCTTAGGGACCACCTGATCCCTTATATCTCTGCCCAATCACCGAGATCTTCTGAGGACCCTCTGTTAGCTATTCTCCATGTCTCAGACACACAGCTTTTACTTCACCAGAAGTCTTGTGGGCCCAACTCTGTGGAGCTCCCTCGCAGCTGAGGTTAGAGATGCCCTCACTTTGCTGAACTTCAGGTGCTGGACAAAGACTTTTCTAGCTCAGCAGGCATTTTAAGGAAGGTTACTGTTTTTAGGGCTGATTTTATCTGTTGTATTGTTATTTTTTAATTGTGTTCACTGCTTAGAGACTTGGTGTGATTAAAGCGGTATATTAATTGCTTAAATAAACAAGTTTTCAAACTAAAAAATATTATTTATTTGAGCTATTAGTATACCACTTAATCATGCCAAGTCTCTAAATGGCAAACTACGGATATAGTAGTCTTGCCGGCAAGCTACCCATTGTGCTCAGCACTGAGCCAAGGCGGACGGTTCTGTGTCCTTCATTGTCATGCTTCCTTCCCCTTTAGAACGAATGTAAGCAGAGCTCCATCAGAAGAGAGCAGCTGAGGTGGTCTGTGCAGAATGCCGCTGTGCAAGAGTGGAGAGGCACCCAGCGGGAGTCTCTAGGCGACATCCTTTGCGTCTCTAAAGTGAAGCTGCAACACTTGCCCTTTCAGGTAGGACCCTCAATGACCAAGGCTTCATCCACACAACACAGAGATTATTTAAGTTTCATCATTTTATTTTATTTTTGCTGCTAGTAAATTCCAGTGATTGACACAGCTGATTGGTATAGGAGCTGTGGTCCTGCAAACTGCTTCCCTTGACAAACGTCAGGAATTTTATTATAATTGAAGAGCAAAGAAGCTGGGATTCTTTTGGCCTAGCAGGTTCAGGTATCACCAGTCTGTTGTTTGTTTTCTTCCCAGAGGAGCCCAGGTCTTTCAGAAACTCCAAAAAAGGATTAAGGTCAGCTCCAGACTTAGGAGTTACATCCACATCATACATTTAGAGCAAGTTTTATACCACTTTAACAGTCATGGCTTCCCCCAAAGAATCGTGGTAGCTGTCATTTACCCGTCACAGAGCTACAGTTCCCAACTTCCTTAACAAACTACAGTTCCCAGGACAGCCACTGCCAATCAATAATAATAATTTATTATTTATACCCCGCCCATCTGGCTGGGCTTCCCCAGCCACTCTGGGCGGCTTCCAAAAAAAATATTATATTCAACATAGACAATACTTATATTCAACATAGACAATACTGAGCTAGGGTCTGACTCTGTGTAAAGCAACTTCTTGTGTTCCTTTGTCGTAAGGGAAGGGCTGTGGCTCCACAGTAGAGCATCAGCTTTCATAAAGACAGTCCCAGTTTTAATCCCCTGCTTCTCCAGGTACGGCTGGGAAAAACTCCCTGGAGAGCCACTGCCAGCCAGTGCTGACAATATAGAGGTAAAAGGATCAATGGTCTGACTCAGTATAAGGCACCTTCCATTGTTCCTAATTCTGTATCTTTTTGGTACCTTCTGCACTTCTGGCTTCATCAAGTAGTTAGGCAGGTTGAATCTTCAATTTCAGCTCCATATGAACCTTGATCTTCTTGGTCTCTTAACAGGAGCAGCATGACCGACTACTGATCCTCTATCCTTCCACCCTGGTCATAGTATCCGAAGAACGCAACGGCCTCTACTTTAAGGTAGGAGCTTCCCCCAACACTCTCCACACCCCTGTACCCTTTATTTAATGTTGCCTATACTGTATAACATCTGTGTTATGTAATTAGGGCTGCAACCTGAGTTTAAAGACCTTTTAATCAATCCATACTGTGAGTTTTAGTCCATCGGTCTGTTGCTTTTAAATTTGTATATGGTTCAAAACAGTATTTCTGAAGCAAGACGCAGGCATCCTAGAAGACATCTTCATTCTATGTGTGAGGAAAGGGAGCATGCCTCTCTGAAGGCTAGAGAAGAGACTCTCTGAATGCTACTCTAGACTGGAGAAGAGACCCTCTGAAGAATATTAGGAGGGTGGACAGGGGAAGGACTAGACCATGTGAAAAATGAACATAATATTTTAGCTGCAGTTCATTCATTTTCAGCTTTGTATTCTTGTTATAAAAAAGCACACGTAGACATTCCGTTGTTGGACCCATAACCTATGTTTAAGGTGCCATTTAGCTCCTAGCTTTCATATCTCAGCTTCTAAAACTGCTCTGAGTAAAACATAATTGAATACCACTTTTTATATCTGACGTATAGTAGAGTTGGAAGGGACCCTGAGGAATATGCAATTCAGGAATATGCAGCTGTCCTATAGGGCTATCCAGGCAGAGCCTTTGCCAATGGCCCCATAAGACAGATCAGCAACTTGAGTCTGTGGCAGAGGTGAAATGTGAACTGAGGACTGCTATGCTCCACCTCTTCTGCTTCTTCTGCCCTGGCCTGTGCTTCCTGTCTGGTGAGCTGGCTTCATCAGCCTCTGCTCGACAAGTCTGCCAGCGTTTGTGTCCTTGGTTGTAAGTGCTCTTGGCAAAGGAAATACTTTGCCGCCACCTCCTTTAAAAAAAAGGGGGGGGGAGACCGAGGGTAAAGTTGGCCAACGTGGAATATATTTCCGTCCACTTGCTTGGAAAGCCGGCTATGGCTTCTGAATATTTGTGGTTAAGCTGTCTCGGAACCAGAAGGGCGGTGGCTCCATTTGCGTTCCTTTGAAGCTGGAGAAGTGACCTCACTCAAGGCTCAAAGGCCAAGCCCATCTGTGGCCTCCTTCTCATGGAGGCAGTGTTGGCCTGGCTGTATCGCTTCATACTCACAGCTGGAGGCTTGTGTTGCTGAATGCTGCTCTGCATACCTACATCTATGTGGAACGAGTGTGGTATAGTGGTTAGAGTGTCAGGCTAATATTTTTGAACTGTGTATTTTTCTTTTTTCATTTTTAATTCTTTTTAATTGATGTGTTCTTTTTATTGGAAACTCTAATAAATATCATTTAAAAAAAAATAGAGTGTCAGGCTACAACCCAAGAGCCCAAGGTTCAAATCCTTACTCACCCATAAAGAACCAGCTACAGGGCTGAGGAAGACCGGGGTAAAGTCCTCTCAGGGGCCCTCTCCTCTGTCAGTGGGCCCTGGTGGACGGACCAGGCTGTGGCAGCAATGCTCGAAGCAGGAATTTCCCACAATTCCTCAGAGCAATGCTAGGCGAGGGGCATTCTGGGAAATTAAGAGTGGCTAGATCTCACTGCCTGGTGCTGCTCAGAGTGCCAGGCCATTTGTGGTGGTGGGGAGGACACACTAAAGGGGGGCACCAGTGGAAGCATCAGCAGTGGGGCCCTGGCAGTGAATTGGCTCTGGGTAACCCAGGGCTTATTTAGAGAGGCTGTACTAGGACCAGAAAGCTTACCGGGTGACTGGGTTGTTCCACCTCTCTTTGATTTTTACACTTTTACCCATGAGCATATTACTTTATATTCTGTAACTTTTAAAAATACATTTTTAGAAGTTTCTAGTATAAATTGCTTTGATTTTAATGGAAAAGTGACTGCAGTTTAGAAACTAAATAAATCTGGAACATGTACCTTTAAAAAAGTAAATTCCTGCCAGGGGTCCTTTTCCCTTTGTTTCAGCAAAGGACCTTTATATGGATTGAATGCAGCTAAGCCCTGCTCTGGGTAGAACAATTGAAATTGATGGGCCTAAATTAGGGCTCATCCAGACTTCAGCTTGTCCCGCCTCTTTCCCCCAGGAAAACCTGTTCTTGGAGCAAGTGTCAATCAGGTTTTCCTCAGTGCTGAAGAGCGTGTTTTCCTGGGAAAACAAATCCGCTTCGATCTGTGCATATAAGGCAGGAAGAAGCCACTTGGTGCAGGACAAGCAGAAGGGTAGATGAGCCCTTAGTCATGTCCATTAACGGCAGCGGGTCTACTCTGAGCTAGACTAGCACTAGATGCCACCCTATGTGCCCACTCCTCACACTTGATCCAAGGCTTGTACATTTTATACTTCGGCATGCAGAACTGAGCTCAGAATGTACACTTGAGAGGATGAGCCCTTGGATTCAATGAAGTCTTCACATTGCGTCTGGTTATAGGAGGCAGAACCAATCTTGAGATTCCTTTTAAAATAGCAAATCCTTACAGCGGTTGGGATTCTCTGATCACATTGCTGGGCAGTTGTTACAGGGGAAAAAATGCCTGTGGTTTTGTGGGGTGTAATGTGCTAGGGTCCAACTGTCACGGACAGCCGGCTGAATTGGGTGGCTTCCCATTCCCTAGAGCCACCTTTGACTGCCTTCAAGGCAAAGCCGAAGACTGCAGGAACAAAGACATGATTTAAGTATTAAGAACATGAGAAGAGCCTGGCTGCTGGATCAGGCCAGAGGCCCATTATTGCCTGTTAATCTGGGTCCTGCTAGGCTTACATATTCATCACAACCCAGCAGTTGTATGTTTCATGCACACCGTAGGGCAGCTATGATGGGTCAGGCTGGATGGCACGATGCCATGTCTGTGTCTGCTCTGAAGAAGCTGCTCAGACCTTTGTGCACATACTTGCTGCTTTAGATGGAGACCTTGGCATCACGATAAGAGGAACAAGAAAAACAGCTGTGACACCAAAACAGAAGTGAAAGCGTAACATGTTTCTCCAAACCAAGTGTGCCAAAGTTCTCCCCATCCTGTTCTCACAGTGGCCAACTAGAGCAGGATAGTGACAGAACACAAATCTCCCCATTTGTGATTCCCAGTAATTGGTACTGAGAGGCGTGCTGCTTCTGACAGTGGTGATAGAAGCCTCCTTTGAAGCTAGCAGTCTGCATTTCCCCTCTTAGGAGCGTAAGAATATAGGAAGCTGCCTTGGTTCATCTGCCTCAGTATGTATTGTCTAAACTGGGAGCAGCTGTCCAGGGTTTCAAACAGGGGTCTTTGTTTCCCTGCTGATCATGGAGGACCAAATCCCCACAGTAGTTGCCATGAGCCTTGTCCTGCTGTCAGGTTTGGGTTTGGGTTGGCAGGCCCAAGGCGGAGGAAGAAACAGAGCAGGACTTGATTGGTCAGAACCAGGGTCTGAGGAGGGGGCTGTTCCTGGTGTGGCAAGACTTCAGACACTTTGAATGGGAGAGCAGGGATACTGACTCCTCCCCCTGCCCTCCCGCAGAGCATCTCCATGGATGCTGGGAAGGGATGTGGGCAGCCATGGGAGGAGGCAGCCGTGTCTGATCAGGCGCCCAAAGAGGGAGGGTGCAGAGGTATTGTCATTTAGGACCAGGTGCCACCTCTACAGATGGGAGCAGGCTCACCCACCCCACAGGAGCACTTGTCTGAAATTGCGCCATTCTTGCAAAGCAAGCATGTTACACCTCCTCTTTGAAAGGTTGGCTGGTTGGTGGGTGGAAACTGTTGGGACACCTTTGTTGCTTCTGTCTGGTTCTGAACATCTTGCCTGATGCCTGAATTGTGTCTGCTGAACTCTGTGTCTGCTGCCTGCCCTGTACCATTGCTTGCTTGATTAAGGATCTCTTTCCTACTTGCGCGTAAGAGCCTCTGTGTGCGTGGGTTGGACATGAGGCCAGACAGTGTGAAGGGAAAGGACTGGAGCTTCTGCTCTGCATGCCAAAGGTTCCAGGTCCAGTCCTTGGCATTAGGAAAAACCCACAGCATGCTAAAATTTCACCGTGGGAATTTTTATCTGTGGCTGAGCAGCTTTGCTTCACTTTAAACTATATGGATTTGGATGTGGGGGAGACCTGGGTGCATCCAGAGCCCATGATGCGACACCCCCAAAACACAAGCAAGCTCACTGTAATGACAGTAGTCATCCAGTGGTAGCTGGTGCCTATGGGGCAGAAGGCAGAGAGACAAACAGTAGGTGGAGCCAGAGCCAATGACAGGGCGAGCCACCCCAATTGATTGTAAGTAAGCTAGCTGGTAGGCGGGGATTGGCGAAAGACCTTATTTGTCCTAAAAGGCCAACTTCCACAGGCAGTCACGTCAGCCCTCTGTACTGTAGGATCTGGCTTTGTAGTGGAGCTTGATGCAGAGGTGCAGCTGTGCAAACTTTCAGCTCTGTGTCACCCAGTACATCATCCACCTGTGATGCCACTTCAGGAACTTGGCTTTCCAGGGGCATGCCTGGGCTTGGCATCGCCCTTCTGCACATGAATTCCTCATTCCTGCCCAACGATGCTGGAATCCGGACCGGCTTTGTGCATTGCCAATTGAACAGAAGAAAGAAAACAAAAAAACTAAATTAGGTCACTTTGGGTTTGGTGCAAGTGATGGTGTGTGCAGCAATGAATGGAGTCCACCCAGTGTGACTAGACACCGAGTACTTAACACTTCCCATAAGCAAACCCCAAGTGCAGGCAGCACCCTCACAAGAATCTAAGGAGAGCCTTAGCACTTTGCAGATGTGTCCATGTCTTTGCAGGCCTCTGCTTCCAGATCTGACACTGCGCTCGGCCTTGCCCTCTTGAGCAGCCATGTCAGGCATCCTATGAATGAGGTTTGCCAGGCTTGCGCCACATCTGCCCTGGGAGCTAGGGCTGTCATCGAGGTTGGAGGGAGGCTCTTGCCTTTGCATGCCATGGCAGAGAACGCCTCTTGCTCAGCAAAACCTGTGCCAGCCAAAGCCTCTTGTGGGGCAGTGAGGAATCGCCAGGGCTTCCTGGATGTTCCTGTCAGAGCAAGCTCCACGGACTGGCTTAATTGAAGTGACACACCTCAGCAGGGAATGGTTTGTTTTCGCAGGGGAGGCAAGGATTCCTTTGAGGTCAGGGGTGGCACCAGAGAGGTGGGTGCAGTTTTGGGAGGGCAGGAGGTGCCCTGTGGACAGATGGGTACCCTCTGCCTCTCCCTAAGACACTAGGCGCTTCCATATGACAGCTTGTTGTGGACTCAATGCTGCTCATGCTTGCAGGTTTTTTCTCAACAATCCACACAATGTAATTTCAGGAAGGGCTGTAATACAGTGGTAGAGCACCTGTGCATGCAAAATGTCTCAGGTTCAATCTCCAGCACCTCTAGGTAGGGTTAGGAAAGACCCCTGCCTCTATTCCTGTATCCCTGCTCAGTTCTGGAATGGCTGTTTTAGTAACTGAGCCACCTCCAGAAATCCCTCTCGCGTATCTTTCTCTGAATATGCCTTCCACCTCTGTCTTCCCCCTGGCTTCTGCCTCTTGCGCAGACACACACGTTTGTTTTGTTCAGTCTTCATGCAGAACTTTGGTCTTTCCAAGATCCTCGTCTTAACTGAGGTCACTTGGAAAGTCAGACTTGAGTCCCCCGCAGCCGTTATCCTGAGCAAACTGTATCGGAGAGTAAACAATGTTTGGGGAGCATCTAAAGCTGGGAAGATGACTCAGGAGTTTCGGAGAACAAAGTGCAGAGAGTCTATCTGTTGCAACTGTTTTTTTAGGTAAACACACTAGCGAGACGTGAAACAAATTGTTGCAGTGTGGGGTGCTTCTGTTAAGTGTGCCAGTCAGACGTGACCTTTTTTTGGATACTAAGAAAGTAAATCAGAAAACCTCCCCACCCCACTGGAGGGCTGTCTAGTCCATGCACCAACAGTTGCATTCTGTAACCTGCATAAATTATGCAAAGTAGTGACCTTGATTTGCCTAATTCTGTTTGTGTTTGTCAAAGGAAACAGCTAAACATTAAAGCCACCTCCCTCCCTAATCCCTCTGAGGCTGCATTATGCATTGTCTAAGTGTCCGCATATTTTCAAGTAAGAAGAGCCAGGCCGTTGGATCAGCCCAGTGGCCCATCCAGTATCCTGTTCTCATGGTGGCCAACCAGATGCCTGTGGGAAACCCACAAACAAGAGCTGAGCAAATACCCCATACCCTTCCCCCTTGCCCACAAACATTCTTTGGCTACTGAGCATGCTCAGTTCTCTTTCAGCTGTTTTGGGGATTCTCTTCGTTTAAAAATACAAATAGATCTGCAAACATTGGCGCTCTCTCGAACGTCCTGATAGGCTCCTCTTGTATGCGCGTGTTTCCTTTTTGACAACATAGAATCAAGACAGAGGCCCAGCTTTTTAAGACTATGCTTCGGAGTAGAAGCATTTAGATTTGTTTTTATTGCCTGTGTTTATTATTAGATAACATGGGCAGATAACTTCCCTAACTGCAAAAAGTCTGGAGTGTTTTTTTTAAAGGTAGATTTGTTGTGCTAGGGAGACAGAGTGCTTCAACTCATAAAATGCCCAAACCAGTATGCACCATAATTCCTCCCATAAAATAGTGACTGGAGGCACTATCATGGTGCTTCTGGATGGCCTGTTTCTTGAACGTTCATCTTGATTTGTTTGCTCAAAGCTTACATGGGGGTTAAACTATATTTGATTTCTATTGAGCATTTGTTCTGATCTGTTTACGGGGCAGTTGTATGAAAATAAAAATTCGTCCTGGGCCCCTTCAGACTGGTGGGGTTGTTTTTTTTGCAGGTGTATTCCATAACACATCATTGATGCAATAATAGCGCATTAGTGGTAGATTTATACAGGACTGCCAACGCATCATTCCACTTTATTAGATTATCTGTGATGCTTCCCCAATGTTAGTGCATTATTGCTCTTGCGCTATAGCACAACAAAAGTAGGACAAAAAACAAAGCAGAACTTTTGTGGTATAAAAAATTACAGGATGCCAGCAGGAAGCTATGGGGCATGCAGTGAGCCCACCCCAAAACTTTAGTAGGCATAAGTAGTGCTGGAAGCAAGGATCGCATATAATCACCAGGTTAACCATGTGCATTCATCACGATTTGTGCTCAATAAAAAGGACCTTGGCAAAGCCCCTTGATTCCTTTGCAGGGTGCTTACACACCTTACTGGTAAGAACATAAGATGAGCCTGCTGGATCAGGCCAGGGGCCCATCTAATCCAGCATCCTGTTCTCACAATGGCCAACCAGAAGCCCGTGAGAAGCTTGCAAGCCGGACATGAGGTCAACAATTTTCTGCCTACTTGTGATTCCTAGCGACTGGCATTCAGTGGAGGGCAAAGCATAGTCATTATGACTAGTAGCTATGGATAGCTTTGTCCTTCCCCACATTTGTCCAATCCTCTTTTAAAGCCATCTAGGTTGGCAGTCAATAGTGCTTCCTGAGGGAGAGAGTTCCACAGTTCAGCTATACACAGCGTGGAAAAGTCATTCACTCATCTCACAGTGTTCCATGTATTTCCCTGTCACTTTCCAAACCACAGTCTGTTGTCCTAGCGCAATTAAATCCAGTTAAACAAAAAACCATGCACACAGGGTGCTTTAATACGCTTTAATTGCTCGATCCTAATGTTCTGGTGTGTGTGCAAATCTCTCCTGTAATATACTGACAGTCTGGAGGCACCCATAGTGAATCTCCTCAATCAATTTTTAATTTGCCATAGGCGAGTAACGTGTTTTCCAGTTTAGTTCAACATCATTTGCTTATTTATTTTAAAATATTTCCAAGGAGGAAACTCGGGCTTGGTGTGTGTTAATTTTTTTTCTTTCAAATTTACTAATCCCCACCTCACCCCCTCTGCCAACAGGGAGAACTGCCTCTGAATGCAATCCAGGTGCAATTTGAAGAAAACGAGAAAACATCTTTCCTAATAGAAGGTATGCCACAAATCACAAGCATAGAAGTGAGAAGGGGATTGTTTGATTCAGGCGGAGGAAGTGGCAGAAATTGTGGTGCCTTAGACCATAATTAGACCAAGTCATTGAAGGGACACTTCTCTACAAGGAAGGATTGGGGAGAAAGCAGCATTCGAAAGAGAATGGAGAAATCATAGGCTCCATTCAGACTGTGGTTAAGGAAGCTTTAACTATGGTTTGTTCTAATGAAGTAGCAATCCAGAGTCAGAAATCATCAAGGAGCCGCTGATCTTGCTCAGCATTAAAGCACATACATACATAAAGCACACGTTACTTTGCATGCAGAAGGCCCCACGTTTAATCCCCAGCGCCATCTCCTGTTAAAAGGATCAAACAGCTGGTGATGGGAAAGGTCCTGGAGGCTGAGAGGTACTGGAGAGCCATTGCCAGTCAGACAGGACTGGGTTAAGTGGGTAAATAAAGCAGAACTTCCCAACAGTGCTTTTTGAAAGGAGCTTGCAAACCATGGTCTGGTGTGACATCCCGAGCGAATCACGTTCAAGGCAATGTAATTTATATTCCTTGTAGGCCGTTTAATCAACTCCATTCGGGTGATTTGCCCCAGCTATGACGATTACCAAGAATGGCTGTACTGCCTTAAGACAGCTCAGTTCCGTAATGCTGATTCCTCCCTTTCTGGATCGGAGAGCTTCTCAGGACCAAAGCCACACCACCTGGCTCAGGTAAGGTTCCACAGACTCCCCGCTTGCTTAAAACAAAACAACCTATGCAGAATACTTAGGAGCTGGCTGTTTCCCCTTCCATTTATTGTGCACTAGCTACTGACCCGCCAAAGTGGGGGCAGAGATGATGTAGTTGTTCCAGTGGTTGTGTCGCTTTTGCATCCTGCAAGTGTCATACCATTCCGTGGGAGTCTTTGAGAGCAAAAGTGGTCCCAGATCTGTGTGGGTTTTATTTCTTCATCATGCCAATGTGTGACAGAATGGGCATATGGGTGGCCGCTGTGAGAACAGGATGCTAGATGGGCCACACTGACCTGATCCAACAGGGTTCTTCTTACATTATTAATTGTGAGAACTGTCTTTCACGTTTATTGTGTACCATTCCTGTTGCACTTTTCAGTTCGTTAATTGCACTTTCCCTTAACAACAGCCCTGAGAGGTAGATTGTGCCAGATAAATCCATAACTGGGTAGGATTTGAACCTGGGTTTTTGTTGCCAGTAGCCAGCACTCTGTCCTTCTGTATCACATTGGCCCAAAGAAAGTCAGCTGTAACTTTGCAATGTTTAATAACCGAGAACCCTATCCTCCTCTTCCTTGTTTGTTGCTTCAGTTCTCAGGAAGCGGGAGAGGCTCACTCACGTCTGATGGCCGAACAAACTCCTGGGCATCAGGAGGGAAGGGGGCAACATCCACACACCACTCCCAGAACAGCGCGGGCTCCCTTTCCGAGAGGCAGTCGTTTGGTGTGATGCCAGAATGCCGACTAGCTGATGACTCCCAGGCTCAACCAGTCCGGGTAGGTAAAAATTTTGGAAATTAGGTGCCCAGATAAGCTGCAACATGAAGTGGTTTTCATGCCACCTCCTTTATGAGCAGGATCCTTGATGTTCAGGATCCTGGTTGAATCCTGACCACCAGGGTTTGTATATATTCTGTGACAGGGGGCAGGATCTCTAACATAGTAATCCTAATTCTGCATCAAGAAACATTAAATTCTGAGAATTCAATAAATTAAACAAATTTGCACGGCTTTCTCTTTTGTTCTGGTTTTTGCTTGGGAGAGTTTGCTGTACCCTTTTTGGAGTCTGCTAACAAGATTTTTGTTTAGGCAAGCCTCTCCAGACATGCAGAATATTGACATGGATTTTAATCGGGCTTTTAGCTTGTTGCTGATTTTAATAACTTTTTTTAAATGTTGGTTGCTTTTAACTATTTTACTGATCATTTCATTGTTGCATTATTGTTGTAAACCACTTGGGGTTTTTTACAATTAAGCGGTGTATAAATCTTTTAAAATAAAAAAACAGGCCAGCATAAATTTAATGAATAAATGTTTAATAAAACTAAACTAAATGACACAGTGAGAGCCAGGACCGAAGAGGAAGTTACAACAAGGAGATATAACTAGGAGACAGGACAGAAGAACGTAATCCATCATCATCATGTTGGAGGAAAATGTACATAACTGGAGCTTGGTTCTCAGATAACCAAATCACATGATTTCTCCTTTTCTTCTCAGTGTCCAGGAAAGCCAGTCTCGACAAGCACAGGGATGCCAAAAGCTGAGCTGAAAAGGAAAGGAAGCTCTCGAAAATCCAAAGGGAAATGTGGGCCACTGGCCCAGCAACCACAACCCCACATCCAGGATGGGGAAAGGAACCATTTCCAGCTCATCCCAGAGCATCCCAGTGGAGAAGTCCTTTCTCCAGTGTACAATGAGCCATACTCCGCCGTGGTGCAGCAACACCACCATCCTGCTCTTCCCCCGTTGCATCTGGATGTGAACAATGTAAGCGACCAGGAGAAGGGACCGATGTTCGAACTTCCTCCATGATGGCTATGCTCTGCCTCCACAGTCAGAGGCAGCAATGCTTCTGAATGCCAGTTGCTGGAAACCACAACAGGGGAGAGTCCCCTTGTGCTTGGGTTCTCTTGAGGCTTCCCCACAGGCATCTGGGTGGACAAGATGGGCCATTGGCCTGATCCAGCAGGCTCTTACTTTGGTAGCAAGGAATTGCAACTCAGAGGCAGGACATGTGCCAAGGTCCAGGCAGGGCTGGGAAAGATGTCTGCCTGAAAACCTGGGGAACTGCTGCTAGTATAAATCAGAGGTTGGGAAGTTCATTTTTAAAAAGGAACTAAGTCTAGTTCAAGGGAGGCTCAGAGGTGCGATAAGGGAGAGGGCTTTACAGTTGTGGCTGTCTGTGGAATGCTGTCCCCAGTGAGGTCCACCTGATGCCTTCATTGACATCTTCTCAGCGCCAGGGAAAGACATAACTTTTTGCCCCAGGCCTTTGATAAACTATGATGATGTTGTTTTGTTAGTGGTGTGCTTCCAACACTTCCTTTCTCTGTTACGAGGGTTGTTTTGTTCTGTTGTTATGGCGTGATACATTTATATTTATGTTTAAAATGCATTGTAAGTCACTTGGAGACTTTCAGGTGACAAGTGACTCGTAAGTCTAATTCAACTCTCAGGCCTGAGGTTCTCCCCTTCTAGTACCAGTAGTAATTTTATACAGCTTCTTCCTGTGTTCCAGTGCTTACATCGTAATTCCCTGCATGCACTGCATTGCATATGATTTTGCAGGTGCACTAACCTTTCCCTGGAACCAATTTCTGCTCAAGTAGTGAGGCATCACATTCATTAACCTTCTTTTCTCTTCCTGTAGCTGCCACCGTGGAACTTGCGAAGAGGAACTTGCCCAGCTCCCACTAACCTGGAGAACGTGCCTCTGCCTTCCTCCCCTATGTACGCTGACCCTTATACACCAAATTCCCCTTCTTCGCACAGAGAAGGAGACCCCAACTTCCTTGAAAAGGTATTGTGCACGTTAAGTTGACAGTAGATCCCTTGAAAAGGTGCCCCAAAGTTTAACAAAGGAACCCCCAAATTGTGTGCTGTGAGGGGAAAGCCACCAGTGTGACATAACTTGAAATAAGTACAAGCTCCTTTGAGCTTAAATAAGTATTTATCCGTAGAAGAGCCATCCCCTCACTTTTCTGCGTTAGTAACTTTTCTCGAAGTTCTGTTGGTAGAGGAATTCCACCTGCATCTGGAGGGCCACAGGTTTCCCACCAGTTCCTTAAACAAAGCTTCATGAGAGGTAGAGTCAGACAGAATCTCCTTGGAATAACCAGCTAAATATAGCCATGTTTCCTTTTCCTTTGAAGTTCATGAAACACCATGGAAAGAGCTCCTTGGAGCAGCAGAATGGCTACCCAGCCATACCTGTGTCTGTCCCTGTCTCCCAAAATCCTCTGGTGCAGAAGAAGAACTCCCAACCTCTGCCTGACAACCATTGGCAAGAGCAAACGCCTCAAAAGAGATGCAACATGCCTGAGTCCATTTTTAATTTCTCAGTGATGCCTTCTCCAGACACTGATTGTTTGACCTCAGTGAGTACAGTCTAAAGGGGAGTACTCCTTAGTGCAGGTGTGGGGAATCTGTGGCCTTCCAGATGTTGCTGAACCACAATGCCCAACTCCCATCACCCTTGGTTTTTGGCTATGATTGCTGGGGCTGATGGGAGTTGTAGTTCAGCAACATCTGGAGGGCCAGAGATTCCTACACACCTCCTTTAGTGTGTTTGGGTTTTGCTAACTCCTGGGTTACAGGTTATTAAGATTTATTTTCTCTCTGGACTCCATCTGCGTTATTTAAGTGACATTGCTAACACCAACTTTATGTTTCTCCTCTCTTCTCCCTCCACCATTCAGAGCACCTTATCACGGGATGAATTTCTGACAACTTCCTTGCTGCATTCAGGTGAGTCCCAGGTTTCTTGGGCTGTCTCACAATACAATCCCAGCTCCAAGTACTCTAAAAAAAAGAATACATTGGGGTGGGGAACTTTTTTTCCTCCCGAGGAGCGCATTCCCACCTGGGCAACCATGTGAGAGCCACATGCCAGTGATGGGTGGGACAGAAGGAGCAAGGGAACAGAGAACGAACGAGCCATATGGTTTCTACGCATAAGAGGCAATTTGTGGAGCTCAAGGTAACATTCAGGCCAGACAAAAGCACATAGGGTGTGAAGCAAGGCCAAGAAGAGGTGTGGCTTATGGCAAGGGGGTGTGGCTCAAGGTTGAGTGTCATGGGGAGTGTTCCGATGGCCAGACACAAGGCTCATCCACACTTCCATTTGCCTGATGCTTTCCCCCAAGAAAACCTGTGGCTTAGCGCTAAATCAGAACAAACCACAAGCAGGTTTTCCAAGTTTGCCAGTTGTTCCGCTTTAATGCTAAACAGTGGGTTTTATGGGAGAAAGCAGTGGGGCAAAGGCAAAACCGCTTGGACCTGTGCCAAGAAAACACAGGATAAGTGGAAAATCACTCAAACAACCTGTGCTTTTTAGTCAAGGGACAAGCAGAAGTGTGGCTGAATCCAGAGTGGCTATTTACGCCCCTGCTTAAAACTCACCTATTTACACGCAGGTTTTACCTAAAGGGTGATCTCTGCTATATTTAATGTATTAAGCTGATCTACTGATTTATTTATTTTTTTACTATATTTTGTTTTATGAATGTAATCTTACTGTGGATCTTGCTGTGACTTTCTCGTGGTGATGGTGGCGTAGAAATCCTTGCAAATAAACAAAACAACATAGTTTAGTTGGGTTTTAGAAAAAGGGCCACGCACCAGTCAGTCCTAAAAAGATTCCACAGAGTAGAAAGGTTTCCAGAGCATGTCTAAAAAGGAGGAGGCAGCTTGGTGCATCTCTCGGGAGGGAATTCCACAATTGTGGGATCTGTATCTGTCAGTCAAACAAACATTTGCTAATGTCAGGCCAGAGGACAAGGTTTCCGATTCCCAGCTTGGGCCTCAAATAGGTGCATTTGCATGCAGGTTTAACTGTGGGTTAAACCACAGAGCCTAGGGCTTGCTGTTCAGAAGGTTGGAGGTTCGAATCCCCGCAACGGGGTGAGTGCCCGTTGTTCGGTCCCAGCTCCTGCCAACCTAGCAGTTCGAAAGCACGTCAAAGTGCAAGTAGATAAATAGGTACCGCTCCGGTGGGAAGGTAAACGGCGTTTCCGTGCGCTGCTCTGGTAGTCATGCTGGCCACATGACCTGGAAGCTGTAAACAGGCTCCCTTGGCCAGTAAAGCGAGATGAGCGCTGTAACCCCAGAGTCGTCCGCGACTGGACCTAATGGTCAGGAGTCCCTTCACCTTTACTTTACTCCTTAATAGGCAGCTCCCCGTGTTTATGTCTAGATATTATGTCTAATTCCTGTGCCTCAATTTATCCACTCCCTCTGTAGATGAAAGCCTCAGAACGTACGACCTGCCCGGCAGCGGACGAGAGCGCCTTGACTCTGCCTACCACGATTATGCCGAGCTCCAGAGTTTCCACAGCGACTTCAGTTACGACAACATATGGGAGACCGAGGCGAAGGGCTCGGGTTTCCGACGGACGGTGCCAGTCTCTGACAACGAGATCTACCATTGCTGAAAGGGGGGAGGAGAGGACTTGAGACCTACCACTGCTTAAAAGGGGGTGGGGGTGATATGAAGCACTGAGGGCAGCAACAAAGAGCTTCAGAAAGAAACATGGCTGCCTGCCTCTCCTCTGCTCCTCTTGCTTTTGTTGCTGGGGCAGTATAAGGATTGGAAAATTGAGCTCAAGGCTAACCGGGCTCCTCTTTTTTTTAAAAAAAAGAAACAAAATGCTCCTCTGGAAGTAAGAAGTTTTTGTATCCTAGAGAAGGCAGTGGCCCTTCCTGTTACTTGTAGGCACACTTTTATGCTTTGATTTGTTCCTTCACTTCCTGTTGTGGTGCTATGAGAAACAGGTCTGGAAAAGGAGCCTGGGCTTTCAGTGAGAGCATTCCACCCCCCCATCCAATCCACTGTGCCTGCATTTGTGGACTTGCAGTTGGGACACTGGACTCTTGATAATGGCTATGAAGAAAAGAATAATAATAATAAAAAACATCAGCCCTGCACTCCTCATTGTTGCAGCTGGTGGAGACCGAAGCCCACATTTTTGCATCTGACCAACGAATCTTGCCATTTTATGCAAGAAGAGGAAGAAGAAAAGTCACTTGCTAGCTACGACAATTTTTTGGAGGGGGAGGGGGATGTGGCAAGAGAAGTATTATGAAAACAAGGGAAATGCTTAGTCTAAAATGAAGGTGTGCTGATGGGTATATATAATTGAAAATGTTAAACTGCAACACCGGCAGATGTGTGCATCAGGGAATGGTACTGACAGCCACTTCCTATCCTCCTGATGCTTTAGTGCTTACCAGGGAAACCCAGACCTCTGCCTTTTTGGAATAGCATGTTCCACAATAAGCAAGGAGGCTGTGCCTCCCTTGATCATGTGCAGAATGTGATTCATTCGCAACGGCCACCTGGGAAAGAAGAGGCAGAGCTAGTTCTTGCCTGCCTAAGACCCATGTGGGTGGAAGACGCCCATCCAATGCCCAGGTGAATATGCCCTGTTCAAATGTTACACAGTTCACTGCTGGGTGTTGCACCTCCTGTGTGCCTGCAGCTTACAACGTTGTGCCAGGACCTCTTGGTTTTTGCAGCACTGCAAGTGAGCAAATTTCAGAATAAAAGGTGGTGGTCATGTCTGGGCCACCAGTGCCAACACTGAGGCAGATAGTCACAGTGGTCATGCAGGGAGAGGAACTGAGAAGGCGGGTGCTCTGGTACTCAGTTGAGAGGTTTGCTGGGCCTGGCGTGGCCCCCTGGAGCCTCGGGGAGGAACCGTGTGTTGAGCAGCGATGGGGGACCACTCTGGCCTTCCTGGTGATGTTGAGATCACTGGGAGTTCTGTTTGCCCAACAGCATTTGGACAGTCCAAGCAGTTCCCCATCCTTGCTTTAGAAAAGAGTGCTTTTGCATCCAAAGGAGCTGGTGTGGGCTTGCATTTATCATTCATCCCAGGCTCCAGTACCAACTTGGTGGGACAGACAAGCTCTGCAAGGCCACAAATCTTCGGGTTCCAAATTCTGAAACCCACAGCAGGGACCTGCAACCAATTAGGTCAAGTCTGCTTATATTATTATTTATTATAAATTGCATTTATACCCCACTGTTCCTTCAGGGAGTTCAAGGCATGCCATGCCTAGCCCCTCCTTTCATTGTCCTAGCAATCCTGAGTTTCAGTGGCCTTTGTGACTGAGTGAGGATTTGATCCTGGAGCTCCCAGACTTTGATCCAGCACTCTTAACAATTAAAACCTCACTGGATGATTTATTATGTTGTGGTGGTACCACATCAGGAAAGGGCCTGGTGTGTCTTCTTTACTTGAACTTTTTATATAAATAAATAAAAATAAATATTACTTTAAACAGACGGCAACCAGCGAAGTTTACATGTAGTTTTTGTTTGTTTGATGTTTTATTTAATATGTAAACACGGGTGCCTTGGGGCAGTGGGAGAGGAAGAAATGCTATTCAATTGTGTGATTGTTGACAAAACTCTGTGGAGTGCTCCTGGAACTGCCTTGCATCTTTCCAGCTGGTCCAGAGTTACACCAACTTGGGGATGCTTGTTTCTGTACAGTATTTGAAACCACAGGTCTTCTTTTTTTTTGTTTTTTTAAAGAAGGGGTAGCTTTAGACCCAGTGAGAGTAGGTTTTTTTCAAAAAAAATAATATTATTTTTACAAAGCAGAAGTAGGAGCACATAAAAATACGGTGGGTGTCAAAACATTCAGGGCTCAGACCACAGCTGCATTAGACCCATTTTCAAAGATTTTGCGGAGAGGTTGCGTTTGTGTGTTTGTATATGTGTGTGCGTGTGTGTATAAGGAGGGGCGAGGTATTGTAGCAAAGTTGCAAACGTAATGGATTTTACATGCTGTACAGTTCTCTTGACACTTTCTTGGAAGACCATACTGCTAATAAAGTTAATATATGTAACAGTTCATAGCTTTTTGCTCCTTAATTTAACTTGATTTCATGGAGAAGGAGACTATTGGTGACTATGAACAGTGGTACCAATTTTATGATGATAAGTCTTAGCCGCTGGACTGGCCCCATTAAAGGACCTTATGGTATATGCTAAAACATTTCAAACCCATGTTGAATCTCAAAGTACAGTACTTCCCAATTCAACACACACCTGCAGTAGAGGCCTAAATTTATGGCATGACATCATTAGAACTGGTTTGAGTTCCATCTCTCACATCTCCTATACAAATAAGTACAGGCAAGGCAATAGATTTCCCCAGAAATCAAAGGTGCACTGACTTGCTGGGGAAACCTAATATGCTGGGATTGTGTTTCCAGGTCACCTAGTTTTAGATTACTATCACTCCTGCAATCTGGCTTTTTGAAGGGTGGAGACAGATCTCAGGCACAGGCTGTAAAATACTGTATTTACTCAAGTCTAATGCGCCATCAAATCTAACACACACCTTAATTTTCACAATGTAATTCAGCCAAAAAAGGGTGAGCATTAGATTCGAGTAAATAAGGTACATCTTGCAGGAGCGTGTATTCAAACTTCAGTGCCCTTGATGTTAATACAGTAGTACAGTGGGATCTGCAACCAAATTTTGAAGTGTGAAGTGCACGCGCGTGTGCGCACACACACACACACACAGGTCAACATCTCATGTTCCCTAGTTCATTTCTCCATTGGGCTATTATTTGAGAGGGGTGTCTTTTTTTTTAAAAGGACCCCCCCTCCCCCAAAAATACATTTTTAATTTTGTACACCTGCAAACCTGGGAATCTCCCAAGCTCAGTGCTACCTTTCTCTTCTGCATGGGTGGTGCTGTTCTGGCTATGTAAGAAACACAGCACTTGCTGCTCCCATCCTGGAAACAAAGGAAATTGCTATCCAAAGGAATGGGTGTGGCTATGCAGATGAGGATCTGCTCAATTCCCAGCTGTTGCCCTGGAGTTCTATGGAGCACAGTAAACAGACTGCAAGGGACGCGGGTGGTGCTGTGGTCTAAACCACAGAGCCTTAGGGCTTGCTGATCAGAAGGCCGGTGGTTCAAATTCCCTCAACGGGGTGAGCTCCCGTTGTTTAGTCCCTGCTCCTGCCAACCTAGCAGTTTGAAAGCACGTCAAAGTGCAAGTATATAAATAGGTACCACTCCGGCGGGAAGGCAAACTGTTTCTGTGCGCTGCTCTGGTTCGCCAGAAGCAGCTTAGTCATGCTGGCCACATGACCCGGAAGCTGTATACTGGCTCCCTCGGCCAGTAAAGCGAGATGAGTACCGCAACCCCAGAGTCATCCATGACTGGACTTAATGGTCAGGGGTCCCTTTACCTTTACCTAAGCAGACTGCAACTTGAGGTTCTTGCAATTTATGAGCCCTTCCACCGTAACTACAGGCATTTTGCTAGTTCTGCCCCCCTCAAAAAAAGTGGCTTATGGAAGCACCAATTAGGTACCCAGTTTTGGATTGGCAACCCAATCCTAAGATCTATGTATGCACCAGGGTCACCCTTTCCCCTACTTCTACTCTCAACTAGGGTTTCTGCTTCCCAAGCACATTTTTTAAAACCCACACACTTCCCTTCAGGCAAAGGTGGTTGTGTGACAAACACAGGGGTGTGTAGCTCTCTGTGGTGGCGAGTGAATACAGGAGCTGGTGAGGTGATGGGCAGGGCAACTAAATGGGAAGCAGAGCCAGGCAGCCACTGAAGGAAGAGCTTTTTCTGGCTTTCTCCCCAAATATAAGCAGAGCATCAGTTTAAGACCCAGCTACTGAAGAGAACAGTTGGACACCTGGAAATTTCACAGTTCCAGGAGCCAGCCTCAAACAGCTAGTTATACCTGTGGCTTTTGAATTCTGGGGAGAGACAGAGAGAGGATATTACAGGGAGTCAAATGAAATGAAGTGAATGAACCTGACTCTATGGGGGTCAGGACTGCTGTGTTCTAGCTCTGGAAGTCATTGGTTTTCCATTGGTGGTCCATACAGTGGTACCTTGGGTTACAGACACTTCAGGTTACAGACTCCACTAACCCAGAAATAGTACCTCAGGTTAAGAACTTTACCTCAGGATGAGAACAGAAATCATGCTGGCGGCACAGCAGCAGCCGGAGGCCCCATTAGCTAAAGTAGTGCTTCAGCTTAAGAATGGTTTCAGGTTAAGAACGGACCTCCGGAAAGAATTAAGTTCTTAACCTGAGGTAACACTGTACTTCTGAGGTAGCGAGCCTGTGTTTGGTCTGGCCTCCTTCAGACAATAGCTGGGGGATCACAGAAGTTGGTGCTTCCAGGGTGGGATGAGGGAATTGCTTCATATAGGTCCATGGGCATAGCCAGATTTCATGTTGTGGGGGGCAGGCTTCATCTTGAGGGGGGACAGAACCTCAGTCAGTTAAGCATTTTTTTTTATTTACTTGATTTAGGGGTGGCAGCTGCCCTCTGCCTCCCCCTCCGGGCTATGCCCATGTATAGGTCGCAGCCACATTTAACACACATGCCTCCCCCCCCCCCGGAATCCTGGGAACTATAGTTTGTTATGGGCACTAGGAATTGCAGCTATGTGAGAGTTAAACTGCAGTTTCTAGGATTCTTTGGGGAATAACCATGCACTTTAAATGTGTGTTGTGGATAGGTGGTCAGCGAAAGATAGCATATCCTGAAGAAGGCTAGATTTGGGCAAGTCATGTGCTCTGCCACTGAGTGATCAGCCTCTCCCCAGACATGCTGTCGGAGGTGCCCTTAGCTTGAGACCTTTTGTATGTTAGATGGGTTGCTTCAGCAGAGAGCCATGGCCCTTCCCTTAAGACACAGGAAAACAGAAGCTGCCTTAAGCTGAATTGGGCTAATGATATTGCCTCAGTATTGTCTACACCAGGCTTCATTAACCTCAGCCCTCCAGATGTTTTTGGCCTACAACCCTAGCTAGCAGGACCAGTGGTCAGAGATGATGGGAATTGTAGTCTCAAAACATCTGGAGGGCCAAGGTTGAGGAAGCCTGGTCTACACTGACTGGCAGCAGCTCTCCAGGGTATCAGGCAGGGGTCTTTCCCAGCTCTACCTGGGAGATGCCACTGCAGATTGAACCTGGATCCTTCTGCGTGCAAAGTAGGCTCTGCCACTGAAGCAATGGTTCTTAAGAAACACATCTCAGCTTTGCCAGTACGCTGTGTTAGCACCGCAAACACATTGAAACACCTCCCACATTTACTGAAGTGGTATTTGCAGCTTTGCCTTTGCAAGTCACAAATGAACTGACATCTCCACCCCACCCCTAAACAGATGAGGATTTAACCTCCAAAATTCAGAAAGGGAGAGACCCAGGGTTTGCTTCATTCTTCATTTTGTTTATGAATTGTTTCCCATAAAGCATCCATAAAAACATCAAAAATGAAAGCATACCCCCCCCAAAAAATGTCCCCAAGGCCAATACAGAAACAAATTGTGGGGGAGGACTTCTGAACTATTAGTGTGTTTTTTTAGTGGGATTCAATCCCATGCTGGCAAATTTAGGTTGTGCAATTAGAGATGCTTTGGAGCTGCTCTTATGCATCAACCTTCTTTGTGCAATAGAACAGACTTTTTGCCATAAGGAAAGTAATGGGGGAAGGCACAGCAAAGTGGGGGAATGGTACTTGCTTTGGCACAACTTCATCTTACATCCCTGCAAACAAATCAGAACGAACACTCACTAAATAGCCAACATTGTCTAACTTCCCTACAAACAAATAAGGATGAATTCTCAGTAAACAGGTTGTCTGGAATCACCCTAGGATTTTTAATTTTTTTTAACCTCCACTTAAAATGCTTCCTTTTTTACATGCATCAGGTTAATTTCAGCTTGAATGCATATATATAGTTAATCCATAGACAGGAAGTGTCCTGGTGGCTCTTTGCATATCACCAACCTTCAGCATTACATTTCAGGGGCTCTTTGCAGAAAGAGGTTGCTGGCATGGTCTGCGAGCTGAAACTTGGAGACTGAAAAAGCACCTGTCTGACTTTTTCATTTGCTTGGCAGTAACGCACGTCAGATGCTGGGTGAGGGCAGAGGCTGTGTAGGGCAGCCCAATACCCCCTTGACAACGGTCTCTAAATGCCGGCCAATTGCACTCATCTTGGCAGGCTTAGCACAGGGGGGAAAAAAGGCTTTCGATAAACTCATCAAGGTCATTGCTGGTACAGCATGAACAAGCTCTTGTTGTCAGTGCATAAGTACTGAAAAGGAAACAAACTGAAGCTAGCAGCAAAGCTGTACCTCGGGAGATGGAGAATTTATTTTATTTTTTTAGCTCAAGGGTCACATTCCTTTTTGTTACCACTTTTAGGGGTGAGGGGGCACATGGCCATGGTGAGTGGACACAGAGGCAAAAGTTGGTGGAGCAACGAAAGTGAATCTCTACACACACTGAACATGTACCCTTCTCCATCCTACATCCAGACAAACACGAGGCATGATGAGAGTTCAAGGACATATTTCAAGCCAGGGAAGAAAGACTATGGAAGGGTTCAAAGCAGAACTATTGAGGGTTGTGGCTTGGGGAAGATCCCAAGGGCCAGATGTGGCCCACCCACATCTAAGGTTCCTCATCCCTGCCCTACCTCTTCAGTCCATTTTTTTTTGGGGGGGGAGATGCGGCTAGTGATTGTGCTGGGACTGTTATGTGCCTGGAAGAACAGCGCTCCACACTAGAAGCTCTTTCAGACCATATGCACATGGGGGGTGGTTCTCAGCAGATCAAGGGGTGGAGCCTAGTGAGGTAACAGTGGAGGCTAGTGACATCTGGTGACAATGGCACTTGGTGGGTCAGGGGTGGAGCCTGTTGGGATGAAAAAGACGCAAATGCCAAGCCACAACCCTTTTAAAATGCAAATAGCAGCTCCAGGGAGAAGATTTAGGAACACAGCTGCCTTAAATAGACCCATTTAGCTCAGTATTGACTGGCAGTAGCTCTCCGGTGTTTCAGACAGAGAGCATTCCCAATCTGGCCTGGGGCTGCTGAGGCTTGAACATGGGACCTTCTTCATGCAAACCATATGCTCTACCACTGAACTATGTCCCTTCCCTTAAGGCACAGGAACAATAAAAGCTGCCTTATACTTAATTAGATCATTGGCCCATCTAGCTCTATAGTTGGCCCTGGTTGGCAGAAGTTTTCCAGGGTTTCAGATGGGAGACAGTCATACCTGGAGATGGATTGAAGCAGGGGTCACTGCCACTGAGCCATGGGCCCTCTTACTGTGGTAGAGGATGAAGGTGTTAAGCACTCCTCGTGTTCTGGGACTGCTCAGGCTCCCCACTGGCTGCAATTTTCATAACATAAAACAGCCACACTGATTGCGTCCGTAAATTAACTTCTCATCTATTTGGGGCCCAATATTTTTTACTTCTCCCCTTCCAGAGACAGAGATTAAAAACTCTGAAATGCCAGAGAATTGCCAACCCTTCTTTGGAAAGTCGAGGGAGATAAAGAAGAAAAGCTATAGCTGCTGCTCCAACAAGCCGAGCAGAAACTCCTGGGTTTTTAATCTCCCATTTTTGGCTGCGGTTTCTGATACTCCGCTCACTCGTTTTTCCCAGGGGCCCACATTTCATCTGGATCTGCTCAAGAGGAGGGCGGCTGCTGCCTCGCCTCTAATGATAGCAATACTTTGCTCGCCTTCACTTCCCCATTGAGAACAAAGCAGCAATCATGCTAACTAAAGGATGCCATTCAGATAAGATCTCCATGAAGACAGCCTTGGCTCTGTCTTCCTGATGCAGCGGGCTGCGTTGGACGCCCTCTGCTGCCTCCCCACCCTGGAGGGCCCAGTTGCAAAAAGAAACTGGAGTAATTCCAGGTGTCTGTAGCAATCTCACTTTAGACAGAGGCTGAGGCAGAGTTACAAGCTTCTTCTTTCTGCCATGATGCCAGTGCTACTGGTGCCTGTTGGGATTGGTAGGGCAGAAGGCAGGGACCCCAACTGTAGGGGGTACCAGAGCCAATGATAGGAGGAGCCAGAGCCAATCAGAGGCTGAGCCAACTAATTCTAGTTTTGCTCCCATCCTCCTCCTCTCTGCTGAGTTCTGCAAGGGGCAACATTGAGACTAAGGAAGAGGAAGATTGGGCATCCAGTTCCACCCACTGGATTGGATGCAAGTAGGAAGGCAGACAGATGGAGGCTGGCTGAGGGCAAACTAAGCTTGGTGGGGCAGTGCCCCAATTGCCCAAATATAGCAGCCTTCACTGCAACACACTAAGTAAAACCTTGCCTTAGCTTTCATTCTCCACTGACCTAAAAAGCCCAGGGAGGAGCACAGAAGATGTGAAGCTGCTCTTTGAAAGCCAGCACATTCATGTGGTCACAACAAGTCATACTTTGGCTTACCATGGCAGGTGAACCAAGTCAGTCAATAGTTCACTCAACCATGTGTTTATCCAGAGAATGCAAAGTTGCCTCTCCGGATTTACTCAGGCTTACCCACGTATGGATTTTAGGCAGGAATGTGCATGAACTGATTTTCTGATGGCCACTTGTACATAGAGCCTAAATGCATATATAACATCCGGTGGCAGAGTTTCATGCTCCGGCACCGGGGGGTGGAGAGCAGGCGGGGCTGTGGCTGGCGCGCGTCCTGTGGGGGTGGGGCGTCCAGCACAGGGGAGGTGCAGCCACAATGGCACCCCACCGGGATCGTGCTACCGGGGGCGGCGTGTTCCCCCTGCCCCTGTCTTCCTCCGACAGTGGTAACATCCACAGGAGTCGCTAGTAAGCTGCAGAGTCCTAAACGGTCACTGACCAGCTCTCAAATTGTTGAAATATACATCTAAAATTACAAAGTTACCCAAGTGAGAGATGAGAGATGGCAGCCAAAGCATGGCATGATTTGAAAAAAATGTCCTTTACCAGGAAACATTTACATGCACGTTCATTTGGCACTTTTTTTGTATGCTGTAAACTTTATTTTGTGTACACATATTTCTATTTTTCTATTTGGATTTTTGTTAACGTTTCACTTGCTGAATTTTTGGTTGATGCATAGAAGTTAAAGGGGCAATGACAAACCTCAGGCCTGACAGTTGAATGTGCACCACCCCCACCCCTGATCTCTCTACTTGACCCTCAGTATTTCCCAAGGCCTCACACTGTCTCCAGCCACATCACTGATTAGTCTTTGTTCCACACCCTCCTTGAATGTTTTTTGCCTGCCTGGAATGTGTCCCTGAACTCTGATCATGCCTCTTGCTTGCCTGGATGGAAGACAGAGAGGGGCTTGTGAGAGCGTGTGTGGAGTCCAGTTTACTACACAAAGGTGAAGTTTACATGTGTTGTTTCTGGCCCCACCAACCTCTGGCATGTGGCCCATGGAAAGTTGATCAAAAGGAAATGTGGCCCTTGGGCTGAATTGGGCTCCTTGTCCTCCTTGCATTGAAGGAATAGAAGCAGAGCCCAAAGCTACCGTATTTTTCGCCCTATAGGACGCACTTTTTCCCCTCCAAAAATGAAGGGGAAATGTGTGTGCGTCCTATGGGGCGAATGCAGGCTTTCGCTGAAGTCTGGAGAGCGAGAGGGGTCGGTGAGCAGGCTTCAGGAAGCTATCCGCAAGCCTTGGGAACCCGCGGGAGTTCCCGCCGGGCTCCCACGGCTTGCGGACAGCAGCCTGCAGCCCGAAACTCAGGGAGCGCAGCGGAGCACGCCCCGGGCTTTGGGCAGCTCTCTGGAAGCCTTGGGAGCCCGGCGGGAACTCCCGCTGGGCTCCCAAGGCTTGCGGATAGCAGCCAGTTCTGGGGGCTGGGGTCGGGAGCTCGGGCTTCCCGCCCCAGCCCCACCCTGGGGGAAATAAAAAAAATATTCTTTATTCCCCCCCCCCAAAACTAGGTGCACCCTATGGGCCAGTGCGCCCTATAGGGCGAAAAATACACAACTCTAGGCAGAGGAGCAGAAAGAAAGCTGTGAAGGAACATCAGCTGAAGACAGAGGTGCCATTTCAGAGTAGCGGCTAAGCATCTGCGAAGGAGCCAATCCCTAATCCAAATCCTGGTAACAATAGGATGGCTTTAGGCAACTCAAACCACCCTCCCAACCTCAGGCCCACCTCATCTCCAATATGGGGACAATAACGGAGAACTACCTTTTAAGATTGCTGTAAGCATTGAAGCAAGGTAATGAATGAGAAGTGCTTTCTACATTCAAAAGTACAATATGCATAAATGTTAAGCATCACGATGAAATCAATAATGCATTTTTTTTTAAGCATAATGGTGATGATTTACTAAGTTTTGGGCATGTGTTGGAATCTTGAAGACGATTAGAGCTTATTCAATCTTTCTTCCAAGCCCTAGAAGGCTGGGGTTAATAATAATAATAATAATAATAATAATAATAACCACCTCAAGACAGGCAAGTAGTGGTATCTTTTATTGGCTCAACTTCTGTTGGCATAGGAATTTGCAAATGTTAAAGGTACACAGAACATTTCACCAGGCAGTATTGTTCCACTGGTAACTTTTCACCTACCCAGCAAGCAAGGCCATCTACTAAGGCAAACATTTTTAGTAACTCCAACAGTAAGAGATTTGTGGCCTTCCACATCAATCACTGAACTCTTCAAAACAGTTTAAGAAAATCACACGCTGCTGTAATGTTCCAAGGATACAGCAGTTCTGCTCAATCTATTGTCTTTTGTAATAACCAAGGCTATAGATTCTGCCAAAAAAAACCCCTGCCCATCATCTACTGCGAAAAGGACAGGAGGCTTAACACTGAAAGGTTGGACAGTGTGAATGTGCTGGTATTTCAAAACATAAAAATGTCAACTTTTTCTCTCCTACTTTGTATGGAAAATGTCTGGATGCCTCCTAGATAAAAGGATGTTGTGTTTAGGACATTCTTCTCATTACTTCAACCTAACCTTTTCCCTTCCTTTTCAGCCTGTTGCTTCTGTCAGCAGATACGGTGAGCCATCTTTTCCTTCACTCTTCTTTTCCCACATTCACTTAAGAATATGTGGAAGCCACCAGTGTGAGCCTCTACCCTTCATCCTAACCTTCATATTCTCTTGATTAAAGGCATCAGTTCATTCAGAAAGACTTTCTAGAAGCGGTGCTGTCAGGGCAGAAATTGGGAGACCTAATTTTCAGTAGAACGTGCTCCAAATGCACCCCTCTGAAGCAATATACATTCATCACAGCTAAAATGATAGAGGTTCTGATGGACCATTCAAGCTAAAATTCCGCAACTGCACCATTATCTCTTACGCCTCTGCCTCCTGGATTTGTTTTGGTAAACCATCCCTGAAACTTGCCTCCTTTCAATATTCTTCTCCAAAAAAGGATTGCACCTTCCAGTGTCTCTTGGCCATCAGGTCTACCTCATGAGCAGCTGCCCAGCTAGCTAGCTAGCTACCAGATGTAGGCTGGGTTATTTATTTATAGCCCTCCTTCTCCCATGAGTTCAAGGTGAGTTACTGGCCAGGGACAGTAAGGTTTCAGTCTGGCACCTCCTTCTAGCACTAACAGTGGAACCAAACTCCAGTTTCTGTGGAAGCCTCCATCTTATCTTTCAAAACTCTTTGCTGTCTTACCAGTTGAGGGGGGTTATACTAGTGAGTCCAACAGTCCAGGATAGATCAAGATGCCCCAAAGGTTGGTTCCCTGTCTCCAAAGAAGAACCGTGATATCCTTTCCAACTCATCTCCAAAGGACCAGCAGGAATTGGATGGAATTGACCTGTGTCCTGTTATGTTCCGTGCTGAGCTTCCGTGATGACCTGCCGCCTGAAGAAGCGGATGGCTGAGAGGGTGCCAAAGTTTGCTAGCAACACTGGAAGAGGAGGGGAAAAGAAGGTGCATCCACAGTGCAGATGGATGTATCAAAGAAAGACAGGTTGTTATGCAAATCATTTCCTTGTCTTCTTAGAATGCATGCACTGAAAGCACCATTATACCACTTTAAGAGTCATAGCTTTTCCAAAGGATCCTGGGAAATGTAGTTTGTTAAAGGTGCTGAGAGTTCCCCTCACACAGCTATACATACCAGAGATCGCGGGGAAGAATCACAGCAAAAGTTAACCCTAAGGTTTGAATCCAATGCTTGTCCTACTCTGAATAGACCCATTGAAGTTAATGACCATGCCTAACTTAGGTCCATTAATTTCAATATCCTTTCTTGACACCATTGTTTGTTTGTTTTTTGCTGTAAGGACAGAGAAACAAAAGAAGCTGCAACTTGTCTATATACCCTAGTGTTATCTACACTGACTGGCAGCTGCTCTCCAGGTTTTCTGACAGAGTTCGCTCCCAGCCTTACCTGGAGATGCCGGGCACTAAAGCTGGGGCCTTCTGCATACAAAGCAGATGTTCTACCATTGAGCTGCCAGGCAGATGCTCTACCACTGAGCTATGGCCAGTGGCACACTCTACCTGGCCTGCTGGCTCTACTGAGCCTCTGGGTAAACCAACAGTCCCGCTTGCTGCTTCTCACCTTGAAAACCTCTCTTTTAATAAAATGCCAACATCTGGGCTGTGCCTAGATGGTTGCCCTCACCTTTTACAGGAGCATAGGAAGCTGTGTTATATCAAATTATACCATTGGTCCATCTAGCTCAGTATTGTCTACACTGAGTGGCAGCATCTCTCCAGGGCTTCAGACATGGAGTCTCTTCCAGCCCTACCTGGATATGCCAAGGACTGAACCTGTGACCTTCTGCAAAGCAGGTGCTCTAACCACCAAGCTACAGCCCTTTCCCACCAGCCTCAAAGGATGTGACTTTCTCCCCAATTACCTGACCATCACCCAGCCCAAGCTCAGGCACAAGTTCAGCCACCTATCTCCCCATCTGCAGTTACCCAGCTCTGCACGCCCTGCACTAGGTGGAGTCATTATCTTCTCCCTTCCTCGGCCATCCCATATTGCCTAATAATGCCTTAAAGTCCTGGAGCTTAATTTTGACAGAGCACAGAATGTGTGTGGGGAGACTCTTGTTTCCAGCCATAGACAAGCAACCCTACTTCCCACCCACCCCATTCCTTGGTCAGGATTCCAGAGCCAGTGGAGAAGGGAAAATGAGAAGTAGTCATCTTTAAGCATAAGGAGGAATTAATTCAAATGAACTTGTGAGTTTGAAGGATGTACCTTCCAAGGAGGTTGCCCATTGTGCCTCTGTATGATGTAACACTCTGCCTTTGTCTCCTTCCAATCAGCCTCTAGGGAGGACAGGCGACTCTGCCATTTATTTTCACTGGATAGGCCCCGAAAAAGCAATCCATCCCAATGCAATGAGACAACAGACCTAGAGGAGCATTGCCATTGTGCCTCTGTAAGAGTCACTGCTCTGTGCCCTCTGCCTTCTAATCACTGTGATCTACCCCCTTCTTTACAGGAAGTGCTGTTGGGTTGTTCAATCACACCCAAATGATTGAATTAAGCAGAACTATCCCATCTCTGAGGAGGCTGCCCCCTGCATTTCTGTATGAGTTACTTCTCTGGGCTGTCCTGTTTTGAATCAGGAGGCTCATTCAGGCCTGTGGCTACCGGAGAAAGTCACAGGTAATTCTCTGGGTAGGTAATTCTTATCTGTACGCACTCTAAAAATGAAGTTTCCTTCAGGTGTTAAGAATGAAGTTTGCCTCCCTTTCTGATGAGAGGAACAACTGGTTTAGAATAAAACGTTGGGCCATTAAGGAAGGAGAAGGGGAGAGTAAAAAATGGTTAAAGAAAAAGAGAGAGAGAGGGAAACATCTCTCAGCATTAGTTCTGCTCTGTTCCAGAGCGGAACCAGTATGTTAACATTCCTGGCCTATCTCTGAGGCTTAAATCCACCCCCTCTCCAAATCCGCTAGGAGTTGTGCTTCTCCCACACAAAGCCCTTGGATACATTACCGATCTTCCAAGCATCCGGGGCCTGCAGATCAGAGCTCTTCACAGCCCACGAAGCAAACGCCATAAAGCCCAAGCACATGTCTCTTTGTGTAAAAACCGGCTGGAGGGGTCTTTCTGTGGCGGGGGAGAAGAAGAAGAACCAATACGGATGTTTCTCCTGGAAATGTTTATCCAGGAATCCTAGAGCATTGCCTCCCCCTATCACACTGGTACCATGAACAATTCAACTTTAAAGCATAAAGGCTTTTGACCTTTCAAATCCCTGCATGCTTTGCCTTTGATCCTCACAAAGGATTTTTCTTCTTTAGAAAAAAACAAATCCCCAGACATTGGCATGATGGTGATAGCAGTGGTGATTATATTTGGACCAGCTTCACAGCTGTCCTGCAACCTGGGGTTTCCATTCCACCTCAGTGATTTTCAAATGGTGCCTTTGGGAATGCCTATCAGTGAGAACTGTGCAACTGGAATACAAGGACTCCAGATGTTGTTGTACTACAACTCCCATGATTCCCAGCCAGCATGGCCAAAGGCCAGGGATGATAGGCACTGTAGTCCAGCAACTTCTGGAGAGCACTGTGTTGGTTGCTCTTGCTATAATGCCTTTAAATTCCCAGGAGTCCATTGCTTTCCATGACCCTTTCTTCCTCTTTTACCTTCTTCCTCCTTTACCTTCCACCTGCCCTAATCTTGCAGCCTGCTCCTTTTGCTTGTGAACACACAGGGATCACACTGTACGGAATGCAATGCTGTATCTCCCTTGTCTGTAACCCCATGCAGAGATGCAATAGGGAGCCTCCTTTCTGGAGGGTGCTCCCAGCTCCCAGGCATCTTTAGTTCAGGGATAAGGGACCTGTGGCCCTCCAGATGTTGCTAGGCTACAACCCCCATCACCCCTGACCATTAGCTATGCTGGCTGGGGCAGAATTGACCTGGAGCACGATAACATCTGGTTTACTCATCCCTACAATAAATGAAAAAAGCGAAGTCATAAAGCAAGTCTGAAAAATCTGAGAAAAAGAGGGAAGTAGTGGAATAACTACAGGCTGGTGAATGTGTCATGTGATTCATAAGAGTCAGCAGTACTAGTAAGCCAACCCTAATGTGCTCCCCCCCCACCCCCGCTTAACCTTGGACATTGGTTTACTCAGCTTCCGCTGAAAAGAATCTTGCAAGAGAGTGCATTGTGTGTCTATATAATCAATATCCACCCCATACAGACAAAGCACATTTATATGGCATTTTAAAGGTCATGGCTTCCTCCCAAAGAACTTCAGTTTACCCCTCATAGAGCTACAATTCCCATCACCCTTAACAAATGACAGTTCTCGGGATTCTTTGGGGTAAGCCCTGTGCTTTAAACGTGCTTTACATTTATGGTCAGAGTAATGCCTGGCTAGCTTTCAAGCAAATAGATCTGAGTTCTAATCTTACCCATCCACTCCTTGCACTCTTTCTGTCTGTCTCCTGCAGAAGACCAAATGTCGCAATAATGCTCAATCTGCTTTGAGGCTCAGGACAAAGAACGACTTTCGAACATTCCAAGGTCAGTCTTTGTTTTACTTCTGAGAGGAGCTACTTTCAATCAGTTATGGGTGCTTGCAGATGACCCTTGAGCATTTTTGGAGCACTGTTTTCCTTTGGGGATGCAGGACCTCTCGACGGCCCAAGGTTGCAAGTCCAGTTTCAATGCACTCTTAGGTTGGGAGTGACTCAGCAGGGCTTATTTCTGAGTAAACACGCCTGAGACAGGGCTGCAAAGGTTTTAACCTCCAGGGTGTGTTGTAAAAAACGTTAACAACAATGTCTTACAGCACTTTAATGAATTTATGATGGCATAAGCTTCCGTGGGCTAGAGTTCACTCCATCAGCCGCAGCCGACTCTCTAGTCCTCAAATGTTTGTGCCAGTGTAAATTTGTTGGTCTTTAAGGTGCTGCAATATTCTTTTACTGTTTTCTCTGCAAGTGGTAAAACTCTCTGTGGGTTGATCTATTCTAGGTCATCAATTAAGGCTGGCTGGCTGATTAGTCACCACCAAGGCAAGAGGGCTTTATTCAAATAATGAGGTCACCATTTGGTTGAGTATATGAAATATCGATAGGTTGATGTATATATGCGACTGTGCATCTGTCTATCATCTATCTCTATCATCTATCTATCTATCTATCATCTATCTATCTATCTATCTATCTATCATCTATCTATCATCTATCTATCTATCATCTATCTATCTATCTATCTATCATCTATCTATCTATCTTCCCGTTTGTAGGGAATTTACATCTCCGCAGGAAAGTTATTTCATGTGTATCCACTATAACAGCCACAATTTAGCTGCTCTTGAACCCACAGCACAAAAGGGTTTTCCATACTTGTTTCCAAATGTTCTCATACTTTGGGCATGGCATGGCGCCTCTGGGTATGTGTGCTGATGCCTTTTCACTTTAAAAAGAATGAAACCAACTTATGTTTCAATAGAAAACATAAGGACAGAGGGCCTCTGAGGACATGCAAAGTGCACCTTCCCTTGAAGCATGTGCTCCATAACAAAATGTTTAGGGTCATGCTGCTGCTGGGAACACATCTGTTTATTAAAAATGAAGGTGCCAAGTGCCCAAATGACATCACCACGGAACTCTGCAACCAGCCCTTAGGTTAGGTCAGGGGTGGGGAATGTTTTTTTCAGACTGAGGGTCATGCTTCTCTCTGGGCTACCTTCGGGGGGCAGGGGGGGTCACCCACCAGTGGTGGGCAGGGGAAGTTTCTATGCACACTTACACACCACCATCCCTCTATCCATCCAGAAAGGAAAGAAGCATGATCAGAATACAAGGGTGCACTCCAGCCAGGCATGAACACACAAAGAAGGGTGCAAAGGAGAGTCAGTAAGGGTGTGGCCTAGGGAGATGGAGTGGGGCTGGGGAGGAGGGTGCTCTGGGGACAGTTCAAAGGTAGGGATGCCATACGTCTGGATTTCCCCGGACATTACCGGGATTTCAAAGGCGGAATTGACATCTGGGGGGAATTTCCAAAAGGATCTTAGGCAAGTCAATCGAAAAATCACTTTTTTGGGGGGGAGTTTTTGTAAAAAAACAACACCACAGCTCAACAACTTTAGGGCTTGTCTAAATAAAGCTCAACAACTTTGGGGGTTTCCTAATAAAATCTCAACAATTTTGAGGTCTTCCTAATAATATGAAATATGGCAACCCTATCTAAGGGCCAGACAAGAGTCCAGGAGGGCCACATATGGCCCCTGGGCCTGAGGTTCCCCGCATCTGCCTTAGATGTACAAAGTGTTGAGCCCTGGCACATTTGTTTAGAAATTAAGCACTGGCAAAACAGTTAAATGGTCAGCGTATCCACTCACATATCAGGACAAAGAAATGGTACCTGGTTGCATCACAGCCATCCCTAGGTCTTCTGGTCTTGGTAGGTTTTCACCCAGGAGCCTTGGAGACACGAGCACCAGCCTTCCTTGAGATCCTTTCCGAAGCAGAGTGCCTTGGCTTGTGGGCCGTGATCTGAGAAGACGTGCAGGTCTGCACAGAAAGGATTTTAAAGCTCTTGCAGCCTTCCTCATCTCTGAGGCTGGGATGCTGAAGAAAAAAACCCTCCAGTTCCTCTTCTTCTTTGCTCTGTTGGCAAAGAAGTGTTCGTACACCTCTGGGGTAGACATTTGCATAGCACCATCACCTATGTCCAAATCCAGGTCCCCCGAGCCACAAGATGGCGCCGACTGATGTCCGGAGCTGAAGACTGTCTCCAGAGCTCCATCTTTGTTTCTCACCTTGGCCTCCCCCATTTCGCTGAAGAAATGTTCGTACATTTCAGGCCCATCCATTTCAGGCAGCTCTTGGTCAATCCCTGAGATCGGTTGCCCCTTCCCAATCCCCAATCCCTTCTCCTGGGTGTCATCACAGAAAAAACAGTCGTACATTTCTGGCCATGTCATGGCAGATAAGCCACTTTCTGGAGAGCCTTCTAATGTCAGACCATAGGGAGCGGACTCCCCTAAGCGGTCTGATGTCTGTTCTCCTTGAAGTTCCTCTTCAAATGATAAAGCCTCTTCAAATGGTAAAGCCATGCCAAGATAGTGGCACGTTTCTCCACTGTCGTTCTTCTCAACCCTTCCTGTTGAAGCAGCTGTTTCTGTGTCTTTGTGCAATAGCCCATCACATATGGAATTGGTTGCTTGGGTTGGGATTGGACCTCTCTTTTCTTCTGGTGCCCTTGGAAATTGTTGTACCCCGCTGTCACATGGAGAGCCCCTGACTTGGTTCGCTGGGCCTCCCTCCTTTAAGGCCTCCCTATGGCTTGCTCCACTCTCAATGTTGACATTTGCAGAAATGTCTTCTTCCTTGCTCGTTCTTCCCGGAATGCTTCCCCCACGACTCGCCGATAGCATGTCGGATGGTGCGGAGACCCTTACGATTGGAACCAAACACCCTTGAGATGGAGATGGATTTTCCTGGAGCGGCGCTGCTGCCTGTGCCTTCAAGGTGACCTGAAGGGGCTTGCCGCCCTTCTCTGGGCGCTCTGCTCCCCCGAGCTCTGCAGAAACTGGAGAAGAAAAGGGCGCAGAGCTTGGATATGGAGCAAGTGGGGGTTCTGGTTCCCAACAAGCTGCTGTGCTCTTCATCGATGCTGGGAGCTGCTTGCCCACACAGGCAGCCAGGGAGGGATTGTCCTTGGAGTGTTGTGATTCCAAGCAGACAGTACTGCTCCCATTGTTGTCTGCCCCCTCTGTGGTCTTCAGGTTTGTAGGCTCAGCACAGGGAGGTCTTTCCATTCTCTCCTGCCCTGGGCTTTTCTCTGTCAAGGCCCTCGCTTGGGTGGCAGTAGCTAGCACCACTGGTAGAGAGCAGTCTGGATTTATGGGCTGGTCTCCTCTCTCTGTTTCCTTGGCGGTAAATGCAGCTTCTGTGACAGTAACTTGCAGCCCACTCCGACTTCCTGATGGCTTCAAAGTGACACAGGGCAGCTGACCTTCCTGGGTCCTCCTGGAAGACTGGGGGCAAGCTGTGCCAAGTTGTTTGCTGTTGCACAGAAACCTGATGACAGAGCCCAGATCTGTTTCGTCGTCGCTGCCAGACAAAACCTCGTCTACAAGCAGGTGCCCATCTGGGGTCCCACGTGGGAGGCAGCTGGCTGACTGGCTGGCTGGGAGAACAGGGCCCACTTTCACTTGGACGGACCCACTCTCTGCGGCCTCCCCTTCCTCAAGGTCGCTGAGGAGCTGCTCGTCAGCTGTGGCCAAGGCTGGCTGGCTCAAACTGCATTCTTCAGACGCCAAATAGAACTCAGCCCAATCCCGGTCGTTCAACAGGATGCTGTACTCAAAATTTTCCATCTGGGAAAGGGACGTGTTGATGGGGTTGTTGGGAGAGGGGAGAGAAAAGAGAGAAGTTTTAAAAATACTTTTACAGCATGTTTCACTTTGCAATAAGAGATAGAGGGGGAATTAGATTCAGTTTGCATTTAAAGGCAAATCTATCAAATTCGTACTTCCCAAAACAATATATGAACCAAAACACAGCTATCCTTTGAAATTCACTTGCAATGCAGTTCTCCGGCCAGCCACTGTTTTTAAAAAACGCACATATTAGTGGGAAATGTGCATAAGAATTGATAAGGGAAAATAACTTACAAAAATGCACTACATTAGAAAAATGCTTGCAAAGATGTGCTCTTTAGTCAAAACTGCACACAAAAATGTTTTTATTAGAGTGAAAATTGCACCAAAACGCTGATGAATCTTCATGAGGATTAACTAATAATAATCATCATCTGTGAATTGCTGCAGAAAACTGGAGAATTTAATATAAGATTGGAAAATGAGAAACTGGGAGAACCAGAATCCTTCCATCCCTAGCAGCCACAGAGGACACAAATAGAGGCCTTTAAATAGGGCTGTAAAAACAACATTTTCACAGCAGTATGTCTATCATTGGCTGCTATCCACAATGGCTGTGCTCTTCCTTCACTGTCCAAGGAAGTATGTCTTTGAAAGCCAGTTTCTGGGCATCACAAGTGGGGAAGTTCTGTTGGGCTGATGTCCTCTGTGCAGGCTTCCCACTGAGGTATTTTGTTGGGCACTATGAGAACAGGATGCTGATATCTAAAAAAATATGGCAACCCTGGTATTGCTTCCAGTGACTTGCATCAGCCCTCCAGAGTCTGACATGGAGCCTCTCCCAGTCCTACTTAGAGATGCTAGGGACTGAACCTGGGACCTTCTGCATGCAAAGCACGTGCTCTGCCATTGATCTTCAGCCCTTTCCCCCAAATCCACCACTTCTGTGTGGCCTGTGCCTTATCTCTTAATCCTCATTCCCAGCTGCAAATAAACCTGTTCTCCCAGGGGTTTGCCTTCAAATGTAAGCTCCTCGCAAACTGGGAATGCACCCTCCCCTGGTGAGCAGGGATTGCTTTTATCTCTCAAGTGACAATGACAGCATAGAATTAATAACAATAACAATAATGATGATGATGATAATGATGATGCAAAGAGAGGGTGACATGTTATAAACATGCTGCTTATATAGAAACCAATTGCTGCCTTTCTGTCCTAATGTTCTGTAACATAGTAGTGTGACCAAGAAACACTACCAAGTACAGTGGTGCCTCGCAAGACGAAATTAATTCGTTCCGCGAGTTTTGTCGTCTTGCGATTTTTGTCGTCTTGCGAAGCACGGTGTCGGGAAAGTTTTGGAAAAGCTTCAAAAATACCAAAGTCTTTAAAAACCTCAAAAAGGCTACCACACCGCGTTCTATGAGTTGCTCCTCGAAGTCAAGTCGCAACTGTATTAACGGTGTTAAGAAAAAGGAAACAAACTTGCAAGACGTTTCCGTCTTGCGAGGCAAGCCCATAGGGAAAATCGTCTTGCGAAGCAGCTCAAAAAACAAAAAACCCTTTCGTCTAGCGAGTTTTTTGTCTTGCGAGGCATTCGTCATGCGAGGTACCACTGTATTGGCTATGCAAAATGGAGGGGCTATGCACACTCAGCTCCCAATGACTAGGAATCGGGAAACCCTAGTCTAGATATGCCGCAAGTTAACTTCCTCCAGAAATAAACCCAAGTTCACCCCATTGATTTTCTTCTATGTAAGTGAATGGCTGCAATTCCTAACTATGCAGGAAGCCAAGGGATGTTTTGGGGGCACAGGTAAGGTGGACTGAAACCTGTTCCTTGCCCGAATGCAGTGCGCATGTGACTTGAGCTTTCTGGTTCTGTGCTCAAAGCCTGAGAGACGCATTGAATATACAAACTTAATAACGTAAGAGCCCTGCTGGGTCAGACCAACGGCCCATCAAGCCCAATAGCCTACTTTCACAATATCCACCCAGATGCCTGTGAGAAGCCTGCAAGCAAGACCCAAATCCTAGCCCATTCTCCCCTCCTGTGTTTCCAGCAACTGGGGTCCCGTCAACAGAAAAGACTTCCCACCACAAACGTCACACACACACCACCGCCAGTCATGTGGACCGGCAACTTGCTAATAAACAGTGGTGATCAACAAGTATGACCTTGAAGGCCATCTCCTTCTGTCTTGTGAGTTCTCCGGGCCACCCGATCGGGCAGCAACACCAGCAGCTATATGAGCACATTCCCTCTTCTGTGGCCTCTCCACTCTGGTGGTATAAGGCTCCTCTGCTAATATCATCAGCTGCATTGTCTAGAGGACAGCCTGACCTTTAGGGTTTCGAGGTCACCTATGCAAAATCACAGCCTCTTGTACAAAAGGATGCAAAGCGGAAAGTGGCTGTTCTAGAGGGGAGCAGATACACAAAAACAATGCAGGGGGTGGCACTGCAGCTCCTACCTTGCAGACAGCCTACGCCAAGGATGGGGCCATGCCAGGAGAAGCACAGCAAAGTTCTCCCGGCGTGACATGGTGCTGCGCCCAGTACCCTGGGCACTGAGTGCAGAGGCTGTTTGTCTTCAGAGAGGCAATTCTCTCAGGCCGAAAATAAGACCCTCCCTCCCAAACGTGTCACATGAAATTCTATAAATGCAAAGGGCTGGTCCAGAAATAGAAGGCAGGCAGCCTTTCCCACAGATGCGCCAAAGCAGCCACTCTGACTCACCCTGTTTACCAGGGGCAGAACCTGTTTTCTGGTACCTGGCAAATCACTGCTCCTTTTTTAGCCAGGGTGTTGGGGAGATTTGGGGCAGGTACGAGAGAACCTTTGGCCCTCCAGATGTTGCTGAGTTACAGCTCCCAGCAGCCCAAATCTCCATGGATTATGGCTAGGGGTGTTGGGAACTGTGATTCAATAACTTCTGGATTTCCACAGTCCCCCATCTCTGGTTTGTCCAGGAAATATTGGATGTGTTTGAGAGGAGCTATTCAAATGCAACTAGGTCCACTCTGGTATCAAACCAAGGATGGGGGACTTTGATACCAGCACCTCCAGGTGTTGTGGAAGGAGTATTACACAGTTCTCCCCTTCCCTAGTTGGTCTTCGCAGGGAGGTTCAGCTGGCACCTTCATTATGCACCTTTAGGCACCAGTCAAAAATGTTCTTTTTCAACCAGGCCTTTGGCCTGTATCGGGAAGTTTTTAATGTTTGCTGTGTTTTTATTATGTTGGAAGCCAGCCAGAGTGGCAGGGGCAACACAGTCAGATGGGCGGGGGATAGATAGATAGATAGATGATAGATAAGGCTCATTAACATCCTATACCCTTTAAAATGTGTTTGAGGGATGGCAAGGGGCAAGGGGGGGGTAATGGTTTCATTTTGTTATTGTTTTTATTATGTATTTTGTGTTTTTATCATGTATTTTTATGCTATGAAGCACCCTGAGTCCTATGTATGAAGGATGGTATGCAAATTAGTTAGTTAGTTAGTTAGTTAGTTACTCTGTGAGGTATCATGGCTGAGTGGGAATGGGAGCTCTGATCTCCCTGATCCTGGAGTGGCAATCTAACTACACTAAATGACTAAAATGCCTGTTCAGAAATTAACCCTTTCCCCTTTCACAGCACCTCCAGGCGGGTGTTTTATTGCGGGTGTGTTCTTGACACCACAAAAGGGCAGCCCTGGTGGATTTATCCTGCTTTAGTTTGTTCTGCAATGCAACACATTAGTGCTGTCCAAAGGGGCCATGGCACAACAAAAGCAGGACAAAAATAAAACAGAACAGCTGTGGTATTAAAAAGTTATGGGATTTCTGAAGGAAGTTACAGAAAATGCACTGACTGGAAAGGAAGCAGCGTGACGGGCCCAAGACTTTTGCATGTGCACACAGCATTCAAAGCAGGATTGCATGTGACTATCCTGACAGCATCAAGTGCATAAATAATCCTGAATGCACAATATAAAGGACGTCTGGCAGGGGTCCTAAGAAGAGCTTGCTGAGTAAAGGATGAAGTGGGTTTTCTTATCCCCTTATTTTAAACAGGATGTAAACATGCCCCAGTGACTCTCGCCCACTAACTGCCTTCCTCCCCCCTCCCCCAACCATAGTTCTGGTAAAGTTCCTTTTTGTTAAGAGATTAACTGGAGAAGCCCACACGCTGCCACAGACACCAGACATGTGTTGCTGCCAGCCAGACTCAAAAGCTGAAAGCAGGAAATGCTATTAATAGTGTTACAGTAAAAACCAAAATGCTGCACATCACACAAGATCTCAACACACTCCATAGCTTCCAAAAAACATATACTGGGGATAGAACTTTTGTCCTCCCCAGGGAAAAAAAGGGGGGATGGATGCTCATAGTGTGACAATTTTTTCTACTTTGATCTATGGTAAGCAAGTGTTATAGATCGTTCTCAGTAGTGGCTGCTGCCCATTGGGACTTGTGGAGCAGAATGCAAGGAGTCCAAACAGTAGCTAGAGTCAGTCTATGACAGGCAAAACCAACTACAGTGGTACCTCGCAAGACAAATGCCTCGCAAGACGAAAAACTCGCAAGACGAAAGAGTTTTTCGTTTTTTGAGTTGCTTCGCAAGACGAATTTCCCTATGGGCTTGCTTCGCAAGACGAAAAACGAAAACGTCTTGCAAGTTTGTTTCCTTTTCCTTAAAACCGTTAATACCCAGGGTGACTTCGAGGAGCAACTCATAGCACGCAGTGTGGTACCCTCTTTTGAGGTTTTTGAAGACTTTGGTGATTTTGAAGACTTTGGGAAACCGTGCTTCGCAAGACGAAAAATTCGCAAGACGAAGAAACTCGCAGAACGAATTAATTTCGTCTTGCGAGGCACCACTGTAATTCTAGTTTCACCCTCATCCTTTTCCTTGCTGAATTCTACGAGGGCAACACCATGCGTTCACCAACACTTACTTTTGTAAGTGTGATTTCTAGGCACAAGTCTGGGCTTTCCAGGTCTGTGTCTGAGCATTGTTATTGCCCCCCCCATGTTTTTCCTGGGATAACCCATGTTTTACCACTGAATTGGAGCAAACAGCAATCCACTGAAAAACCGATTGCTGTTTGCTCCAATTCAAGGGTAAAATGTGGGACATAGAAGACGAAGAAACCGCTTGGACTCAGGCCTGGAAAGCCCAGACTTGGGCATAGAAACACAGTGCAAAAGGAAGTGTAGATGGACCTTGAGACGAAGGTGGAGGAAGCTGCCAGGCAGGGCCACCCCGTCAACTAGATGTAAGCAAGAAGGCAGCAAGGTGGGTGTTGCCAAGGTTGGTGGGGAAGCCTGCTATTTGCCCTAATGGGCAAACTTCCAATACCCTCAACCATTGGCCATTATTTCCTCAAAATATGGGAAAGTAAAAACAGTGCTGCAGGACCATGGCTGAAGATTGCCATCTGCTGGCCACGCTCCTGGAAAGCAGGTTTCATTGCAACATAATTCTGTTCTTGAATGGGTATTGAAGCCTTTGGGATTTTCTTTAGCATCTAAAGACCTATGGTAGCCCAAGCTATTTTGCTACCAGTCTAGACAAGCATTAATCCCTCCCCCATACTATTTTTGTTGGTGGGTGCAATGTGTATGGGGGAGGGACCTCCACACTTCTAATTTCAGCCTTCTTTCCTGCCGTACATGAACGGAGTGAAGGAGCTCTGAATCCATTCACTTGCATAATGGTGCATTATGCAGCAACCTTGCTGAAGCCAAGCGGGTTTGGGTCTGGTCAGTGCCTGGGCAGGAGAGCATTTGGAAGCTCTTCAACCCCTATACTGACTTCCTTCTACTATTAGAATAAGACCTGAGAGACCACAGTTCAAATCCCCACTCAGCCTAACATATTTCACAGAATTGTTGAGGGGATTAAATGAGAAAGAGAAAACAGGATGCTAGGCTAGACAGCCCTTTTGTTACCCCTCCTAGTGGTGCAGCAATGAAAAAAAACTGCTAGCATATTTGCAAAGCTAAGCAGGGTCCAATACGGTTTCAAATTGGATGGGAGACCGCATGTCGAGATTTCTGCATAGCTGGGCTTTGGACTAGATGACGCTCGGGATCCCTTCCGACTCTATGATTCAGGTAAGAGTTCAGGTAAGGCATTACCATTCCCACCCAATCTGAAAAGAACTGTTTTCTGCTTTGGCCACTAGGTGTCACTCAAGGACAGAGAGATGGATGGCCAATTTTGAGTTATGTGTTTGCATGGAGGTGCAGATACTACCCCAGGGGACAGAAAAATGCCACCCTCTTCCAAACAGCTAGATCCTAGTGGGAACAGTGCTGCACATGAGGAACATGTAAGCTCCACAAAATATAAAGCTGCCTTTTATTAAGTCAGAGCATTGGTCCTGCTCAACCAGCACTGCCCACTCTTTGGGCAGAAGCTCTGCAGCATTTCAGACCAGGAGTTCATTTTCAGGCCTACCCCCGAGATCCTTTTGACCAAGGACTGAACACGGGGCTTTTGGCATGCAAAGCACAACAGTGGCAGAGGACATGCAGAAGGTCCCAGCTTGAGTCACTGCTAGCATCTCCCAGGTAGGCCTAGAGAGAGAGAGAGATCTCTGGAAAGCTGCTGCTAGTCATTGTTGGCAGTACTGAGTTACATGGACCAAAATTCTGATTCAGTATAAGGCAGTTTCCTATGTTTCTTAGGAGTACTTATCACCTGGTGTTAGAGCACCTGCTCTGCATGCAGAAAGTCCCAGGTTCAATCCCAGGCAGCAACTGCAAGCAGGGCTGGGAATGTCACCTGTCTGAAACCCAAGAGAGCAGCGGCTGCTGTCGATGGTACAGAGCTACTACTAATGGTCCAATTCCATATTAGGTGGCTCCCTATGTTCCAGGGGCCCTTGGCAATGGCGAACTTTGGTCCCAGCTCTCACGCAGCTCATCTCTCCAATGCCTCCAGGGAACCACATGAATCCTTGCAGCCGCATGCTTTTCGAAGGCAGGGGTGAGAACCTGTGTGGCCTTCCAGATGTGGTTAGGCCTCCAGCTCCCACCAGCCCCATCCAGCATCGCCAAGGTGACTAGGGAAGATGGGAGTTAGAGACTAGGAACATCTGGAGGTTCTCCCCCCTGCTTCAGAAGTCTTTGGCTGGCCGTGACTCACATCCTAGTGCAGAGAGGCCAGGCCGCCTTTTCTTCCCCTTCCTAACACAGCTGATTAATTCCTCTGTAGGTCGAAACGCTCCCCTCGCTGGCTGGCTGCAACCCCCACTGGAGCCAGAATCTGTTTCACATCTGCGGGATTCAATTAGTCTTCTTGCAGCGCTCCCTTCTCTTCTTTCCAGTGCACCCCCACCCTTCCTTACACTCGCCAAGGCCTAACGGGCAGGACTGGAAGATGGAAGCTGTTATTCCAAACTCACGGCGGGCCTAGCTCCACACTGATCTCTCCTGACCTGGCCCACCTACTGTCTTGGGCTTCAAAGTGCAACCCAGGGAGGGAAAAGTCAGATTGCAATCATCACGCGGCATGTGCCCAGTAGCCCCCGAGCTGCAGCCCCCAGATTCCTCGCAAGAGCAGCGGTGAAGATTTCCTGGGGTGGCGACAGCTGCTTCCTTCCGAAATTCAATCTGACTTGAATTAAACTAGCAGTTGAGAAAGAGAGATTTGGGGTGGTGCTGGGAAGAGACTGATTTAACCCTGGAAATGCTGGGGATCTCTGCCCCCCCCCCAAGAACAAGCAAAGAAAGCAAATGATTTTAACACAAAACTGGGACCTACAACAAAATGCTGCAGTCTGGAGCATTGCTCTTTGATGTTGTCATTCACAACACTCCATTATGTTCTTGCTCCCATCCAGGTTTACACATGTGTACACACGTGAATGTGAGAAGAAGAAGAATCAATTTATACCCTGCCCATCTGGCTAGGTTTCCCCAGCCACTCTGGGCGGCTTCCAACAAAACATTAAAATACAATAATTCATCAGATATTAAAAGCTTCCCTAAACAGGGTTGCCTTCAGATGTCTTCTAAAAGTCGGATAGTTGTTAATTTCTTTGACATCTGATGGGAGGGTGTTCCACAGGGCAGGCGCCACTACCGAGAAGGCCCTCTGCCTGGTTCCCTGTAGCTTTGCTTCTCACAGTGAGGGAACTGCCAGAAGGCCCTCAGAGCTGGACCTCAGTGTCTGCGCAGAACAATGGGGGTGGAGATGCTCTTTCAGGTATACAAGACCGAGCCTGTTTAAGGCTTTAAAGGTCAGCACCAACACTTTGAATTGTGCTTGGAAACATACTGGGAGCCAATGTACGTCTTTCAAGACCGATGTTGTTGTTGTTTTATATTTATATTTATACCCCACCCATCTGGCTGGGTTTCCCCAGCCACTCTGGGCGGCTTCCAACAAAACATTAAAATACAATAATTCATCAGATATTAAAAGCTTCCCTAAACAGGGTTGCCTTCAGATGTCTTCTAAAAGTCAGATAGTTGTTTATTTCCTTGACATCTGAAGGAAGGACATTCCATAGGGAGGGTGCCACTACCGAGAAGGCCCTTTGCGCACGGACACACACACAGCATCAGCCAGCATTTCATGGTCCCTAAGCATGCCCAAAGTTCTATCTGCCCTCACAGTAACACATGAAGCTGCCTTATAGTGAATTATTTAGACCATTGGTCAGTCTAGTTCTACATTGTCTACACACTGACTTGCAGCAGCTGTACAAAGTTTCAGGTTGGAGTTTCTCCCCATCCTATCTGCAGATACCAGGGATTGAACCTGGGACCTTCACCACACAAAGCAGTTGCTCTGCCACCAAGCCATGGCCTTTCCCTTAAGACATAAGAACAGAGGAAACTGATTTTTACTGAATCAGACCACTGGTCTGCCTAGCTCAGCTTTGCCTACACTGACTGGCAGTGGCAATGTGCCCAAATTTGATCAGAGCAGCAAGATTTGGGAAAGGGTGTGATTTAATCTGGGTGCCTTCCCCCCAATTTTACACCACATCCTGGAGCAACTATGAGCCACAAAGTGGGGGAAAATCAATGTATAAAGCATATACTGTATATGGTTTGTGTCCTGTCCCCACCCCCTCGTGCCACATTGCAAGATTCCAGGGAATGACACAGGGATGGAGTCATGTTTAAACATCTCTTCAGCCAGTGGGTCTGCTCTGAAACATTATTATTATTATTATTATTATTATTATTATTATTATTATGTGGTGCCCATCCTGGGGAACACCCTCCCATCAGATGTCAAACAGATTAGCAACTATATGGCTTTTAGAAGACATCTAAAGGCAGCCCTGTATAGGGACGTTTTTAATGTTTGATGTTTTATTGTGGTTTTTTTATTTTGCTGGAAGCCGCCCAGAGCAGCTGGGGCAACACAGTCAGAAGGGCGGCATATAAATAATAACATTACTATTTTTATTATTTCAGTCATAATCTCCAGCATGAGTTGAGGCTTGACTCTTGAGATGGAGATACAGTGGCTGCTACACTTGTTTTTCTGCTTGTGTAGTATGGACATATCCCAGCACTGGTTTCTAGGGGAATGTTAAGATGACAGAGAGGTTGGGCCAGGGGCAGGCAATACCTTTTTTAGTCTGAGGGCCAGATTCCTTTCTGGATTACATTCTGAGGGCCATATGCCAACATTGGGTGGGGCCAGAGGCAAAAGTGAACAGAGCAATGGATTTAAATTGGACATTTCGTCAAGCTGGCTAGCTTCTACACACACACACATGTCTCCTTCCTTCTTCCAGGCAAACAAGAGGCATAATCAGAGTTGCAGGACACATCCCAACTGGGTGTGAAGCAGAGTTTTGTGGGCCAGGTAGAGGTTCCTGGAGGGCCACATTGAGGCCTTAGGTTGTCTACCACTCCTGGGTTAGATGGCAGACTATTAATTCCACCAGTTTATTCCACCATACAGCCCTCTTGAACAATTGCTTGCCCAAAGTTTCCTGAGTCCACCCTGTTCCCCGCACATGTCCTGCTCTCTCACGCCTTCCCTAACGCTGTCTTTGAACAATGAGACCCAGAAGCTCTTCTATACCTTCCTTTTGCAAAAAGGTGTGTATCGGGGCACCTGGTTGGACTAAGAGTGGCAAGACCTGCAGGGTCTAGTTCCCCATTCAGCTATGAAGCTTACTGGGTGACCTTCAGCCAGTAACTGTCTCTCAGCCTAGCCTGCCTTACAGGGTTATGTGGGGATTAGCTGGAAGAAAGAGAGAACCGTGTGCATCACCTTGGAGGAAAGGTGGGATATAAATGCAATAAATAAATAAGTTATACAGAGATCCATGAATTAACCCAGCAGTGGGGAAGCTTGAGGTAATTCCCTAGCCAGTTGCTTGAGGTCAAAGGTCTGGTGATAGGTTACAGTAGAGTCCAAGAGATTGGGGTCTCCAGAGATACCTCTTTCTTTTCATCCCGCCCCCTTCAGCCCTTTGCTTTAGAACATCTCTGCGTTGGTTTTGTACTCTACTCTCCCCAACCCCATGATGGCATTTTAACAAGGTCTGGTGCTGAATTGGCTAAAAGAAAATTAAATAGAAGAATCACATTAAAGAGGGTGAAAAAGCCCGCCACGATAATTAAAGGTCGTCCAGGCCATTCCAGAGACTACCCAATTACTCTGGCAAGAGTGTCACTAATGTGAGATAATGATGTCATATGGCCACTAATGAGATGGGTTAACCAACTCCTGCCCCCCAAGCCTTCATTCCATGATGACACGGCCGCCCCCGCCGCTGCCCCACACCAGCCTCCTCAGCCCCATTTGTCTCACATCCCCAAACCCCTGCGCAAAAGAATGTGGCTTCTTTCCTCAGCTGGTGAGCTGGAGGCAAAATGGCAGCCAGCCTCCCCTATTAGCCTCCTCTAATGATGCTCCTCCTGGGGGTGAGTGGGGGGCGAGGAGAATGGAGACAGAAGAGTTCAGAGTCCTCTTTGATGAATTTGAGTTGGGGTGGGGGGGGAGAGATATTTCGTCGAGCCCCGCATTCACTTCCCACTCCATGAATTGCTCCTTCAAGTGATGTCAACAAGACATTGTTCTGCCATGACCCTGGTCTCGTTCTCTCCCCCCGCCCCCCGATTCTTTCCCCCTCCCGCTTGGCCTAAGTTGCAAGCCCCCATTAGTGCTTCTTAATTGAACATAATCTTTGGCTTTTTAAGGGGGAGAAAACCCACAAAATGTCCCCCACTCAGATCCCAAATCTCTCACCCTCCAGTTCTGCCTAGGCAGAATAGAATTGTCTTCTATCTCGTCTGGCTTTGTTAGGGATAAGTTGGAAGCACCTAGATTTCTCGGGAAGTAGGAGAAAATAGGTTATATCCAAAGTTAGACCTACCCATTTGAAATGAATAGATACGATCGTCCATTAAATGAGCAGACCAGTTGAAACGAATAGATACGCCCATTAATTTCAGTGGGTCTACTCTGGGTAGTTAATTTATTTTATCCCACCCTTTTCTCCAAGGAGATTCTGCTCCAACTCATTTAATCCTCACAACAACCCTGTGAAGTAGACTAGGCTGAGAAGCTGTGACTGGCCCAAGGTCATTGCTAGTAAAGCCATGTGGTGATTTGAAACTGGTCTCCCAAGCCTGAGTCCGGTGCTCTAACCACTGCACCACACTGGCCCTCACCATAAGTAGTGGTGAAAACTTATGAGTAGAACTTAAGTCGTATTTGTGCCATTTTAAACAGCCTTGAAGCCTTAAACACCCAAAGAAGCCTGAGAGCTGTAGTTTGCTAAGGATATTGAGAGTTGCACTCGTAGAGCAACAATTAACAGAATTCCCTGTGAAGAGGGACTGACCATTAAACCACTCTGGGAATGGTAGCTCTGGGAGAGGAAAATAAGGGGTATCCTTATAACTCTCAGCTTCCCTTAGATTAGAACCATAGAATTGTAGAGTTGGAAGGGTCCCTGACGGTCATCTAGTCCAACCCCTGGCAATGCAGGAATCTCAACTAAATCATGATGGACGGCCATCCAGTCTCTACAGCTCCCATAATTATTTGGGGGAAGCCATGCCTGTTTGTTTAAAAGTGGTGTCAAGCTGTTTTAAACACATGGTGTGAATATGGCCTAACCTATGTCCATTAACTTCAGTGGGTCTACTCTGAATTTGGTTGGATGCAACCCAAGGTCTCTTTTTCACCATCTGAGTAAGAAATGCTCCTTTGCGCTCCCAGTGAGGCTGGTTTCCATTTTAAGAGGGAATATTGTCTTCAGATTAAACCAGGGGGAGCTGGCTCTTTAAAAAGAAAAGAAAAGAAAAACAAAACAAAACAAAACAAAACCCCAACAACCCACAAATCCAACCTCAGTTTTGTGTGCTAAAACCTCTGACTAAAAGCAGCCATGCGGGGGTCTTGGGTCAATATTGTTTTTTGGAGGAAAGGGGGGGGGACAGATGGGGGGGTCACATTTGAACATTCATTTCTATGCGCCCTCTGCTGAGCTGTTTGCCTCAGCCTTTGAAGGCCATTGGCTCTATTAGTGTAAACGCCTCTTTGTCTTACAGCTCAGGAAAATAGCAGGAGGGACTGGGGACGAAACCACTGCTGTAACTGAGATTAAAGTAAACTCACAAATGGAAAAAAGCCATGGGGTCCTTTTAGTGCTTCGAAATTTGAAGGGGGTGGGTTTGAGGGAGGAAAGGAAGAGGTGGAGGGGGGGTAGAAAGTAAAGTAAAGCAAGCCTATGTTTAATTAAAAACTTGAAGAAAAGAAGTGTTCCTGTCAAGGAGTTCGAAATTAGTGAATTGGAGTTGTAGCCAACTAAATTCTACTCAGCACTGACCCATTGAAATTAATAGGCCTAAGTTCATTTTTCTTCATACTTCAAAGGTATTAATATGGCAACCAAATACAAGCTATAGCAAATGGAAACATAAATTGAATATATGTTCAATTTACCTAATGATATATATTTACTTAACAATAAAAAGTTGGCCTATACAATCAATAATACCTAGATTTTTAATTAAAAAGGATTTTAAATCTCAAAGGAGGCCATGTGGCCATGTCTAATCTGAGGAGCCTTCATGACGAATTTAACTGCATTAAATATTACATACCTGTCTGAACTGGACAACAGAGATGTAATATTCTTCATATCATTGATGGTAGCAACCATTGCTAAAGATTTATCTAAAATATAGGTATTTCATACTATTTGCAGTAGCATATAGTGCATGCAGAAGAACTTGGGACCTCAGTTGGTCACTGTTATGCATTTCATTGGGTCTAGGCTGAGTAAGACCAACATTAGATACAACCCATAATCTGAACTTCCCAAACCGATTTGCAGACCAGGATGAAACTATCCTTTGGATTTCTCATTTCTACAGATTTTGTGAGGAAGCTCTTAGCTAACATCACAGTCCTTACTGCGCCTGCTCAGATGTAAGTCCTACTGAATTCAGCAAAGGTTATGCCCAGATAAGAGGGGTTAGGATTGCAGCCTCAAAAGTGTTTTGTTTTTGTGTTTTTTTTTAAAATGATTTAAAAATAAAATAAAATAAAATACATGTAATAAATTGAGAGAAAAAAGGCATTTAGAGATTAATTTCTATGTTTGTATTTAAATATGCATTTAAATGAGAATTTTAATGCAGATTAATTTTTTTAATTTCTTATTTTTGCATATCATTCTGGGGAAAGGACAGAAAGGGCATATGAATGAACACATTCAAATCTCCAACTCACCGAAGGTTTGAGACCCATCAGCTACCCTTACCTGGTTTAGCCGCCCAGTCAAAGCCGTTCCTGGGATGTGGCCACTGTCACATGCTGACAGC